ATGGGTGTTTCTGGAGGGTCATTATTGGACAATGGGTCATTATTGGAACCTTCCTGGTAAAACTTAAGAAATAATTGAGTATTACTAGGTAATAGAGTCTAGCAGGACTCCTGTGGGCATCTCTTTTCTGACTGGCAACTGATGGGGAAGGGTGAGTTCCTACTGGGGAAAGGAGAGAGGCCAAGATCAGCTCCAAGGATCATGTTGGAAGAGATCCCAAGTAGGTTCATGAGACAGGGTCTGAATTGTCACTTTAATGCTGTCTGAGGACTACCCTATCTCCAGCATTTCTGCTGGTCTTGTGTCAGGTGTGTGACACAAGTGAGTGAGTCTGTGGAGGTGAATAGTGAGTGACAAGGTGAAAGGGAGAGGTCTTGGTTTGCTGTGTGGGGTAGGTTTTTGTGCTACAAGGGACCAAAGGAAGAGGGATGATGTTCTGTTTTGTATTCTAAATCTAAGCTTACTTTCACTTTCATACACTGCCAATGATTTTATTAGAATTTGCTTACAGATGAATTTCAATGAACTGATAAAATGGCTTTGCAAACAGCTTCATCAGCAGTATGAAATACTGAATAACTGGCCCTAGAGGAAGAAATTTTTCATTGGTTCAAGTTGCGTGTGGTGATGCACATAGTAATTGCAGAACTCTGAGAGGCAGAGGTAGGAGGAGCCCAGCTTGGGCATCTTACCAACATAGCAAGACCTTGCTTATAGATGTATAAATAGACTGGAGATGTACTTTAGTGTGAAGGTTCTGGGTCTATTTCCCTGTACCACCAAATAACCCCCTACCCCTACTCTGTTTGGTTCAGAGAGTAGCCATAGAGGATGATAAGAAAGGTAAATTCTTGTATGCTCTGGGCGAGGGCCCACAAAAGGATATAGTTATCTTTTAGAGATCACCTTTTTTGTGATTCTTAAGGGGAATGGATAAATGTGTGTGTGTGTGTGTGTGTGTGTGTGTGTGTGTGTGTGTGTGTGTGTGTATGTGCGGGTGTGTGTGCTTTCCTTCTTAAGTCACACAGCCCAGTCACACAGTCAGAGTTTACTCTTGGATCTCTGTACTTTGTATGTGACCAGACTTGCAAAAACAAACATAAAACTGTTAGTAATTATTTTCTTTCTCATCTCTAGCTAGTCTGGAGACAATGGGACCATCTATGAAATATTGCCCAGTATTTTTGAGGAATAGCAATATCTGCTAAGGTTTTCTTTGCAAGTTATTCCTGGCCTGCCTAAAACTAACCTTCTCTTTTCAACTAGATTTCCTAGCTTATGTTACTTACAGTATTTTAGCTGAGCTCTTCATATTCAAATTTGATAATGGCTATAATTCTGAAAATAGATATCTATCTAATTTTTAAAATTAATTTGTACAGCCATTTTAGTTATTTGAATCCTGATGCTTTGAAAGTTATTCATACAACTATGTAATTCAAGAAGAAAATAATATGGAGTCTGTGTCACTTACATGTAATAATTGTCACTTTTTTTGGTGATATTTTTCCTGACTAAACTTTAAAAATTCCAACCTTCACTCCCACATTCTTCATCTTTTTCTTATGTTTCTTTTTTCTCCACAGCCCTTATATTGTTTAACCTGTTATATTTTATTTACAGTTACTCTGTTTTTTATCCATAATGATGTAAGTTCCACTAGGGCAAGAATTTTTATCTGTTTTGTTCATGGTTACATAACCAGCTCCCAGAAGAATGCTTGGTGCATTGTAGAAGCTTAATAAAACTGTTGATGAACAAAGTGCAAACAGATTTTCTTTCTACCCTTCAATAACCTGATGACAAATAAAACTGAGAAATGAGACATATCAGCACCTTGTCCACCTTGATGTCACAGAGAATTTAAAACCGTGCTGAAGACCATAAACTTAACGTGAATTAATGCCAAATGTACTCCAGAATGCTCTCAGTCCTCATGATCTGTGAGAACAGAAATGTTGCAGAATTATTGTTTCCTTTTGTTTCCATAAATCTTCTAGCCTAATGGTTGTCTTACCTTCCTTACGTTAGCAGGTTATCATTTATGGTATATACTTTTTTTTTTTTGTATTTGTGTCACCTGGTAGGGGGTGGTAGAACATCAGACTTTAGAGCAATGAGTTTGGATTTAGACTGCCTGGTTTGGATAAAAGCCTTGGCTGTAAAGTCCAAAGGGCAGGTATTTAAATAGTGGCTTTGCGCCTGCCCAGCTCTATATGACATCAGGCAGTCTAAAGGACCGGAGTGAACTTTCATTTCCTCATCGAAACCTAGGGATATTTAGAGTAACTTACTTGGGGTTGTTATGAGGATGGCATGTGACATATTAGGGAAAATTTAATAATTTTATAATAATTTGCTCAATCATTATCAACTATAATTATTAAAATTTTTGTCAAACAAAAAAGTATTTCAGTATCTATGACAAATTGCCAAACAGCAATTTCAAGTATCATAGAATTTTTGACTTTGAGAAAAAGGTCAGCATATCATGATTTTAAATAATGAATTTGCTTGGTACTTTCCCTAAGGCTACATATACTGTTCTTAATTTTTATTGGTTCAATCTATGAAGAACCTTTATCTCTATATACACTGATCTTCAAAAGTATCAGTGCATTTATGGAGTAAATTACTTCAAATGGAATTTTTGGGTTATGGGTGCAATAATATTGGTTGTTGTCAAGACTTAATAATACACAAGATGTCTAAAATGTGATCAGAAATGTGTAGAAATTTCTTCACAGTGTGTAACATACTGTGTTAATAAACACATGGAAAAGTTTAAAACATTAGTTTAAAGAACACTCTCCCATCTCACAATAGCGATAACCAAAGGTAAAGAGATGTGGCATTCTCTTCTTGTCAGTGAACATAAGATCAATTCTTTGCCTTATTAGCAAGTTTAACTTTATCAAGTATGGAAGATTATGAATCACTGTGGTATTTTATAGGTGAGATTAATATTATGGAATTTCTTACAAGAGTGTGAAATAATAGAGCTAATCTGCGTAAGAAAGACTAGAGTTGGGATAATTTATTCTAGAAAGAATAGCAGTTTTTTTAATAGAAAAAAGTAGCCCTCAGCTCCATTTCATTTTGCATATTAGGAATGAATTTGAGCAATGAACAACAATTCTCTTTATCAATCCATGAAAAGCCTTTTTTTTTTTTTTCCATCTAATCCTTGGACAAAAACTTGACGAAGGTTTTTTTTGGACTGAGATTGGTATGTGAAGACAAACTGATGGGATGGAGACCAAGAACACAAGGAAAGACACAATTTTTAAGAGCATGGAGTGATGAATTAAGGCGGAGGGAAGTAGGAAGGGCATGTTCTTTTTGATTAAACACTAGAGTGTGACTTTCAAGGCAGCCTGTGAAGGAATGGAGTGGATCACGGAAGAAAATGGACTTTGAATGAACAAGGCTGCTGCCATGGATCTTCTTCCCTGCTTTCTATACCTGGGTCTCAGATAATAAATATGCCACCTGACATGTGGGGTCATAAAGCACTTAACAGATAACGAGGTTGTATCAGAACAAATCAATGACAATCATTAACTATATATTAGTACTCCATCAAAAGACTGAGGGGTATAAGGGCAACACCCCATAACAACTTCTCCAAATGTTTCCCCTATCAATTTTATCATGTGGGTATTAGATCCCAACATATGAATATGTAGGGGGGCACATATACTCAAATTGCAGTAACAGGTAAGTATGCAATTTCAGTATTTTCTTTGAAATTGCAAATCCTCAACGACTCCTTGGGGAACCTTGAAGGGAAACTACTGATAGAGATGAGACACAAGATACCTTCAGTTAAATTTTATCAGTTCTAATCTACATTATGGTGTGTAAATACTACTCCCATTTAAATGAACAGGGGTACCTTACTTACAGTTTATAATTGTACCTTGAGGCAGACAATGTGCAAGCCTAGAATTTGTGTTATGCCAGAAAGCAGGAAGACTATCAAAGTATCTTTGAGTTATAGCAACAAGACTGAGGACCAACTCGAAGAGGTTCCTGCTTGACAAAGATGAGAAGATATGAGAATTCATGTTATCACTGGATTAAGATTGATCACATGCATTTAATTTATGATTTCATAAAAATGCCTAAAGCAATAACAACATTTTTTCCTCTTTAAAAGATGCTAGGGAAAAACTCATTTTGAAAATTTGTAAATAAAGACTTAAACATTTACCCCATTATTCCTTCATAAATTAGGTCTTTGTGAGACAAATAATAGATAAGGGGAAATTATTTCTGTGGAACTATTTCATCAAACAAAAATGAAAAAAATCACAACATCACTGATTCATAATTCCCAATTAAATAATCAATCTAGGAAATACCGGTAATTAATATAAAAAAGAGAATCAGATTGATTTTATGCCTCTTGCTGGAAACAAATAAACTTAAATTGGATTAAAACTATAGATCCAGCAATTAATTTATAAGAGTAGCGAAACATATTAGCATGTATGTGAATACAATTAACAAAACCTATATTGTGGGAAAAAATCCATAAAATAATTTATATAGATTAAAAAATAGAAACAAATTACAATATATAAATCATACTTGAATCCTTAAGAAAATAGAACAAACAATTTATTGGATAAGGTGAATTTCAAAATTGGCTAGCGGTTTGATGACAATAAGGTATTGTTGTAAAAATATTTTAGGTATAATATTTTGCCTTTTATAAAACTTCTTACTTTTAAAAATATACTTAAACATTTTTAGATTACAATATATGAAATGTAAGAGTTTCTTTAAAAAATTCAGGATTAGAGATACAAATAAGTAGGAACAAAGACAAGATGAGATTGTCCATGAGTTAATTTTTTAAATCAAGATTATGAGTACATGGAAATTTACTATACTCTTCACTTCATACATTTATGGTTTCCATTAAATTCTTAAAATTTTATAATTAAGTGCTCAATAAAATTCAAATCTAAAACTTTTTTTCTTTTTTATAGATGGCAAGAAAGAAGTTGAAAAAATTTACTCCACTAGAGATTGCGCTCAGCATTATTTTGCTTATAGTGTTCATCATTGCTGTGGTTCTAATTGTGCTTTTAGCTACAAAAGGTAACAGGGGCTCTCCCTCCATATATTGCTCTTGTCAGGATAAAACCCTCATCAATGATAAGAAGCACTGCTTTCATGTTCATTGGTGTGTGTGTGTGTGTGTGTGTGTGTGTGTGTGTGTGTGTGTGTGTATGTGTGTGTGTGTGTGAGAGAGAGAGAGAGAGAGAGAGAGAGTGATGTGTACATGACTGGGGAAACATTTAACTAAAACTATAGCAGCTTAAAAGTATAGTCCTTGTAGGTTTAAATTCTGATGCTTTCATATTCTGAATTAATTAGTGCTCTAGATTAAATTCCAAAATTGTCTTGAAATTTTATTGAATAATTCTAATTCTATTAATAATGATGAACAGTATACTTGTATAAAAAGAGGATAAATAAGTATATAATTAAAGTATTTTAGGACTAAGTTTAGTTCTTCAGGAAAGAAAAACAACTAAGTTATTATATTAAAAATTTATTGAACTATTATATCCCCAAAGATGGGCTGGATTGTGCTGAATTATCCAGGATTTCCTACCTGATTAATCCAGCAGCAACATCTTAGGGTAATCAGGTCATGGCCAAGTCATGCCTACAGGAAAGCCTTTTTTGCCCTCTCTGCCCCATTCCCAGTTGCAAAGTTTTCTACTTTTTCATAGGAAGTTAGATTAGGTAATCTTAATGGTCATTCAATTCTTACAAATTCTGTGATCCTAAAGATTGTGTTAAAGCCCTTATGCAGAAACTGGTACAAATACAGTTTGTTTAATCCAGCATTCAGTGAAAAGAAAATATTTAAAAGCCTCTGTTTTCTCTTAATGTCATTATTAACTATAGTATTGCAGAAAGCCTTAAAAAAACCCCACTTTCTCATGGTACAATACAATTTGTTTTGTATTGTTTTACTGATCCGTAAATCAAAATTCTCTAGCTCTGAGTTAGGCTCTAGCTTCTCATTTCTAGATAATAGGTTCCCTTTGCACTTTTTGTCATTAGAGACTTTATAGTTACAGAAGAGTGCCATTGCTCAGAAATGTGCTTTTCTGGTGAGCTGGCTGTTAACAAGCCAGCAGAACTGATGTATAGAGCTTAGGATGTCTCTTATTGTACACGCTTTGTGTGTGTCAGGGGCTGGGATAAAAGTCAAGGGCAAACGCAGACATCTGCAGACTTTTGTCTAAAAGAGCAGGTGGTAAATATGTATGGGCCATATGTTTCTGTCATCACTGCTTAATGTTGTCTTTATAGTATAAAAGCAACTATAAGCAAATGAATGTGTCTGAATTCCAGAAATACTTCATTTAAAAAAATAGGCTCTGACATTATTTTTTTTTTGAAGGCCATAGTTTGCTGACTTTAGACTAAAAGCAAAATGTTTCTTATTTTCATCACCTTTTAATCTAATGATCAAGTTTGTTTCTCATGTACATACTGTCTCTTAGTGAGCCAGTATGAATTTGGAAGTAGAGGGAGAGAGTATTGGTTTACATAGAGATAAAAACAATCAGCAAGATGAAATGAAGTTTTAGGAAGTGACGGTACATAAACGGGAATATCAGAGTGAAGCCCAGTCAATAATGGAGTTAATTTATTGAAAGTATTGAAACTATGGGGTTATTGAGTGCCTGTAGAAGTTAATATTTGCTTTTGGGATATCCCCAGATCCTGAGACAACTGGTACCCCAGTTCCTAACACCACGGATGCCCCTGCTTCTGGGACAAGAAGTACCACCCCTGATTCTGGGACAACAAGTACCACCTCTGATTCTGGGACAACAAGTACCACTCCTGATTCTGCTGCGTGCCCAGTAGTAGATGAACTGGAACGGATAAATTGCATCCCTGACCAGCCACCCACAAAGGTTTGCATTACAGACCTTGTTTTCATTTAGGAGCTTATTCTGCTATGTAGTTTTCTCTTCCATTATTATTTTTAATTGTTTGTGACTCACAAAGAGCTGTATAGTGCAGCTGTTAGTGCTCAGATTCTGTGTTCTTGCTCATGTGATGGTTTGAGAAAAGAAGAGCATCTTTGAGAAAAGAAGATCAGGAAAATTCCCTTTGATTATCAGATTTCACAAATAAAAGTGCAGAGTTCTCAGTGAAATTTTAATTTTAGAGAAACCATGAATATGTTTTTAGTTTAAATATGTCCTATGTAAGATTTGTACTTACAAAAAATGCATTTATCTTTCTTCTGGCAGTGCAATTTGATTCCTAGTTTTCCCTGACTCTGTCACTACCTCTGTTCTTTCCCTCTATTGCTTTTCTTCATTTCAGCATTTCAAAAGGTTATCTGGAATCTAAAATAAAAAAATCATAAATGTGCATGATGCATGATTTAAAAAAGGACAAAGTTTCAAGAGTTATGGCTTGGGAGGAAAAGGGTAGTAAAAACATCAGTGTAAAGATAACTCAGGCATCTGGACATTTACTTGATTCCACCATATCTTGAGCACTGGCTGAAGTGCAGCTGATTATGATAGTAAAGTTATTGTACACTCCTTATCAGTCACTCTACTTTGAGCACAAACATGATAACTAAATGAAAACTGAGTGCAGTCTTCTGAATGAAGTCCACTGGCACACAATGGCAGATCTGCATCAGGTGCAGAACAGGTGCTTCATGTATCTATTACTTGGACATGTGGTACTCCCACATCCATCTTCATAGTCATCCTACTCTTAGTAGGCTGTACTAATCTGTGATGTTCACAAGAGTTTCTATTTAGCCTATATACCCAGCTACATTTTATTTCCTGTTAGAAGACAAATTCTGCTCAAATTCTGCTTCTTCTTGGGGAAAGAGGTGAGGTGGAGGTAGGTGTGATATGGGATGAAGAGATACTAGAATCATAATTTTGGTTATTTCTGCCAGACAAAGGTAAATAAGACAGACAATTGAGTGATGAAGGGAAACTCAGTCAGAACACATGATGTTCTCAAATATCAAGATCTTCAATGTTTTGAAGCATCTGGTAATTGATTTAACTTCTCCCTTCCCATGAGCACTGTGGTTAGATCAAGAAGGCAAGAATGTCCCTGGAATATATTTATGAGACAGCAAAGACCTCAGCATGACTGGAATAATGTGAAAGGAGACTAGGGTTGGCAATGAGGTGGCGAGGCTCTGGAAATCCCAAAAGGCTTTTGATTTGGGTGTAATACACAGTAGCCTAGAACAGCCATCTAAGGTGGAATAGAGCCACATAAATGCAGGAGAAGAGAAAGGATTGAATAAAAGACTTAGAGAAATAAATGCAGAGGAACAGAGAAAGGAGAAAGGAAGGAAAGCACTTGAGTTTGGGGCCAAAATGAAAGGTAAATAGCATTTTAATGGACAGAAATGAAAGAAATGGAGAGTAAATTTAAGACAGAAGATATCAACAGAGTTGCAGAAAGGGAAATTACTGGACACATGCATGACCTATTGAATGGTCACATATAGTGTGAATGCCAAAGGAAAGACAAGGTTTAGACTGTAGAATAGGTTGAGGCTTGATGTTAAAGTGCTGCTTCGTCAATAGGAGCAGGAAGCTGTGACCTAATTATCTTATACCTAAACAGGATATTAGGCATACCAGGATGTTAGGTATGCAGAAGTTTGATGCACAGATTAGCTTGCCCCTATTACATTGTGCTAGGAAGACAGTTTTTCAGAAGCCCACATAGAAGCCTATCACATCCTACATATGTCAGTCGTGCCATGCCTCTTCTTGTTACTGGATATTGGTGAATTTAAGATTCGTTATTGCCACTGCAATGTTTTTTGCTGTTTTATTGTAAGACTTTTAATAAACACATAGTTTAATAAATGCTGTTTGGCTATTTCTACATGGTGTACCCAGGGAAGTTTGACCTTAGTGCTCATTCATTGGCATGTTCCTGTTTTGCTCAGAGAGAATACTGCCACTTTCAGTGATCTATTTTCCCACTGAAGTCATATCTTAGGCAATTTATTTATTGTATTTGCTGTGTGTCCTGGATACTGTATGCTGATCTAGACTATTGCTCTGAGGCTGAGTTTATGGGTAGTGATATATTTATGTGATGTGATGTTAAATGGAAGTGCACAGCTGGAGGATAGTAGGAATTATGCACCTCAAGGCCAGCTAGGCAGAATGTTTTGTGCTAAAGACATTGTTGCATAACTTAATCATCCCTAACTCCTCTCCCTTAGGGTTACATATAAAAGAATTAGCAGTACTACATGTATAATTAATACTGCTCTTTTAAACATCCTATTTTGATTATATTTCTACCCAACTCAAGTATTAAACTTAGTGGTTCATTCTGTATTTTGGGTTAAGTTCAAATACTTTGTTCTGTTGTCTAAAGTCCCTGTTTAACTTTGTGCCTCAATGGGTTTGTGTAGATCATACTCCCATGAAAATTTTAGAGACAGGTCTCTACATTGATTTTAAATCTCTCAGTTCTGAAAGAGTCTATACAAGTTCTGATTAAATAAATTCAGTGTGTTTTAAAAATAGTTTCATAATTAAAACACAGTAAAAGATACAGTGCCTTTAATCCCCCTCAAAATACTCCCTCTTCCTGCAAACACATTTATCCTGTTGCTCTGGCCACTTTATACAGAGATTGTGGAAGTTCTCTTTCAAGAATGTCTTTATGAAGAGTGGTAAAAAATACAGTGAATGCTGCTGCCCTGTCATCCAATGGAAATGCAGGCTCATGAAAACCTTATGGTGTGTTCTCATGTCCCAGAATCAATGAATAATTGATTCAATTATTCATTGATTCTGGCACTGTGTGACTTCTGGCTCTTCCTTCAGTCAAAATGACTGAAAGGTTTTGAATTAATTCAGACCACTGAGGCAACCATAAGAGTGCAACTAAAAACATGAGAGATGGCTTCCAGAACTTCTTCCAAAACTGCTGAAAGTGTTGGGATAAGTGTGTTTTCAGTGAAGAGAAGTATTTGAAAGGGGATTAATGGGAAAGTATCTTTTTTTTTTGACACAAGATTTAACTGTGCAGTTCAGGCTGGCCTTGAACTCATTTTGTAGCCCAGGTTGGCCTCAAACTCACAGCAATCTTCCTGGCCTCAGCCTCCCAACTGTTGGGATTATAGGCATCTTTTACTGTAATACTTTTTTTTTATTTAATGATCATATTTTTTGATCATGCCCTATAACTTTCTTTGTCCTTAATAATTTTTATCCTAGCTTTGGAATTTATAGTTGGAAAATTCCACCCATAGAAGGACAGAGAAATATTTAGCTGATTTCCAGATATTCAGCTCAGTAAAGTGAGGGGAGGCCATAATTTTAAACACGTTGATATTTTTATGGTTAGGGTATATTATGAAAATATGGGAATGCTTAAAATAAACTTATGTGCCCTAAGTAACCATTGCAGAATGGTTAGGAAGAGAGAAATTTAGAATTAGGTGCTTTTGGAGACAGTGATAGTAGTCATTATGATGACATTTGAGAGATTAATAATTTTTATTCAGAAGTGTTATCTTTTATGGCAAACACATTTTCCCATCATCTTACGATTATTTATTGGATGCATGACATCTTTTCAAATTCCAGTTTCTTATCAATATATTTAAGGAATTTACAATATACCAATAAGAGTATTGCATTTTGTTATGATCATTATGAATCTCTGCCCTTAAAGTTACTCTATGTTGACACATCTTTGGTTAAGAGCCATTGCATGGTGCTAGGAAAAATAGTGAGCTATAAAGTCTCTCTATAAATAGATTTAAATTTTTGTGTTGCATTTTGAATTGCTAGCATAGGCATTGGGTAAGAACATGGTAGGGGACCTAAGACACTGGGTTGGCATCTTGGCTTTGCTTCTGAAAAACTCTAATTTGAGTACTGTCACATTTCTTGTGTACTATCAAATTCTTATCAACGAATGAGATAGTGTGTATTCTTTTCTTAGTCATCTATCACATATAGCTCTTGGCCCACAGTCCTTGTTCTCAATGCCAACAGAACTTTTACCCCCAAAAGAATTTTTACTACTTTGTATTAAGAAATACTGTCTGGTCATACAAAAGCCTACTTTTCCTGCCTTTCAGTGGATTGTGAGGTATCTGGACCTATATTTCCCAAATTATAATTCTTAAAACTTCAAATAAATTTTTTTACTTTTACAATTTCTAAGTTTAAATTGATCTACAAGAGGTAGAGGAATCAGTAAGCACCAGCTGAGAGTGGGAGGCAGGGTAGATTAGCTCCTGTCTAGTGCAGATTCCAGTGCCTGCCATGGAATGATACAGGTGATGCTGTGAACTCACTCGGCTGACTTTCCCTGGGCCTGGGATCACCCCCCTTTAAGTAGTTTACATCCATCATTGCACTTTGTGTTTTTTCTTTTTAAATGTCGCAGCTGCTGTGGACTTGATTTTTTAAAATTCTTAGATTTATTGCTTCCTATCAACCAAAAGATTTATGCATTCCATGACATCAGTAATTTTGTCAGTGAGTTATTTGTAACTCATGGAAAGATATACCTTTCTTGTTGATAACTGAGTTCACTTTTAGCATATGCTTTGGTTATGTACAGTCTCAGTGCATCCTTTTATATTAAAATGTTTAAAAAGAGTTTTTTAAACTAAAAAGTACAAATACTACAGAAAAACGTGTTAGAAAAGGCATGTGACTGAACGATCCTTTTATAGTCTTTCAGTATTTTCCTCAATACCCACTACACTGATCATCACAACAGAGACCTGGGACCTTCTTTTATTTATTTTTTTCCTATAACAGAACCAATCAGGGATTATTCAGTAGGTAGGCTGTATTTTCATTTGCCCATTTCTCAGCTGCTTCTTTTTTTTCTGCCATTCTTAGTGGAAATTGTGTATGTCAGGGTAGTGATTTTCTAGGACAGTGAGTTTGAGCCTTGGCTGCACCTGAAAATCATGTGAATAGCTTTCAAAGATATCTATTCCCTGGGTTTACAGCAGAATTTCCAATTTAATTCCTAATCTTGAGAAATGGAATTAAAGAATGTGTATTTGTGAACACCTCTTAAGTGAGAATTAGAATCTATTTAAATTCTAAGGAAAGATTACTTTTTGCCTTGTGAGGAGCTGATAGACTGTATATATATCACACGTGTAATTCACACATATAATATGCATATATATGTATTTAAAAGTCAAAGAAAAATCAGTTTGATTTGAAAACTTTTGAATAAAGTTGATTGAAAAATCTTTTTGTTTCTTTTTAAGAATCAAAGCTAATATAATTGAAAATGGAATTTTGCATTAATGCACATACAAATGTTAGAGTTTGGTGTATATATATGTATATATATATTTTGAGACAGGGTCTTGGTATATAGTTCAGGCTGGCCTTGAACTCATTATGTGGCCCAGGCTGGCCTTGAATTCACAATAATCCTCCTGCCTCAGCTTCTCAAGTGCTGGAACTATGAGTGTGCACCACCTTGCCTGGCTTGGAATAATTAAATACAGTTATCAACTTTGTTATGGCAAAAGACATGGAGTGCATTTTGCTTCCTGGATGGAGGTACACTGGTCAGAAAATTGAGCTCTGCCACTGTTTGGGATATAGCACAATTCCTTAATGGTCAGCTCCTTTATTTGTAACATGAAGTTATTCATACCACAATATCAAATTGGACGATTCATACTTTATAAGAGATAAAGAACTCAATGGAACTGCTTTGTCTAATGTCTTGGTTCAGGCTACATGTGACCAACGTGGCTGCTGCTGGAAACCTCAGGGAGCCATAAGTATTCCTTGGTGCTACTATTCCAAGAATCATGGCTACCAAATGGAGGGAAATCTTGTAAACACAAATGCAGGTGAGTCAGACTCTGCCAGGAGGTAGGAGCTACAGACCTGGAAGTTGGCCCACCTTTTGTCAGACACAGTGGTGTGGTGCTGCAAAGCAGTCCCTTATATGCTGCCACGTGTCTCCTCTGGGGGACACAGAACCAACCTGAAGTTTAATTTTTTGTAGGAATTTACAGATACAGCTTTGCAAACCTTTTCTCCTCTTCATGTTAGGATTCACAGCCCAACTGAAAGCTCTGCCTTCTGCATCCTTGTTTGGAAATGATGTTGACAATGTGCTTCTCACAGCAGAATACCAGACATCTAACCGCTTTCATTTTAAGGTTTGTAGTTTGTTTGCTTTTAAAATATCTTTTTCAGAGGTTGTTGTCTCCTACCTGATGCAGTTGCTACCAAGTAAAATATTTTGTTAATGGAGATATTTTTATCTATTGCCCTTATTATTAGCTTTTGTATATTGAAGTCTTTTACAGACTTCCTTTTATGATGACTTCTTAGATATATATTAAAGAGTTAACTGGTAAGGATTTTGTTTTCATTTATTTGTCCTAGATAGCATGTAAAATGTATAGAGAGGAGAAAAACACAACTATCAGAGCTTTGAATTTTCTAGAGATAATCTATCTCTGCAGACTTGTAGTATATATCTTTCCCTACAAGTTAATTTAAGCACAACTGCAAAACATTTGAAGTAGGTAACATGGTGAGTAATTTCCTTAGATGTAATGCCAGTTCAACCAGTGTCTGATTTCTAGCACAATCAGTCCAGATACCAAGGAACACTGATATTTTAAAAAGAAAAGTTATCATTTTGGCTTTCTTTCTATTCTGTCTAGTTGACTGACCAAACCAAAAACAGATATGAAGTACCACATGAACATGTACAGTCTTTCAATGGAAATGCTGCTACTTCTTTGAACTATCAAGTGGAGGTCTCCAAACAACCATTTAGCATCAAAGTGATGAGAAGAAGCAACAGTCGTGTTCTGTAAGCTTCTGAATGCTGTCTGGGTTGTGAGACTTAGGAAGATCATGACGAAAGGAAGTCTAGAAGCTAGAGGAAGGGTGCATTTCAGTTCTGCATTTCAGCAGTAGACCACTATTGCTGCCCAGCCTCTCTCTTTTCAAATGTATATATATTTTTGCCTACCTTCCCCCTGGTTCTGTTTGCACAGTCACATTTTCTCTTCATTTCCCCTTTCTTTCCTCTATCTATGGTATTACTTGCCCACCAGTAAATACTTACTGGAAAATCTGTGATCATATAAATATAGTGCTCTGGTCATGTGGGAAAGTGTCTGAAGGACAAATATAAGAGATATATGGCATTTGTTGTATAGATACCTATCTCTTGGTAGTCACTGGAAAATGTGTACAGGAGAGCAAATGGGATTAAGTCATGGAGAACTAAAGGTTACTTTTCTAAGCACTTATGTCTTTCCATCTCCTGTACTCACTCATTCCTTTGTTTTTCACGCGTGTCTAGGTTTGACTCAAGCATTGGGCCCCTGCTGTTTGCAGATCAGTTCCTGCAGCTTTCCATCCGCCTGCCGAGTGCTAATGTGTATGGTCTGGGGGAGCATGTGCATCAACAATACAGGCATGACATGAATTGGAGGACTTGGCCCATATTTACCAGGGATACAATTCCTAATGCGGTGAGCTTCAGGGTGGCCCCTTTCCACTGAGTGCCAAAGGCTCATTCTTGAGGTCACTACTAGCAGCACAATTTAGTAGTTATGAGTAAGACTACAGTCAGATTGTTTGAATTTGAATTTTGTCTCTGATACTCTCAGATATGTGGCTGTGAGCCAGTTACTTTCTTCTCGGTGTTTACCTCATCTATAAAATTGGGGTAATATACTTATCTCATGGAATTGTGATTGAGGATTTAATAAACTAATACATATAAAAGTATCTACGAGAATGTCTACCACACAGAAATTTCTCAAAAAATGCCAACTCCTTTATATTGCTTTTTCTCTTTGAGCTTACCTGTTGTGGAGAAAATGTTATCAGTAATTGTACTTGAATGATGTAGTTGATTATGATCTTATTTTTATATTGGCCTTTAAAAATCACTGATTTACTAGGTTTGTCAGCAACAAAGGATTAAGTCCCAGCTAAAGCAACCTGTTAGGCATTTTTGTGTAATGAATGATTGGTGTACTGAAAGAAGAGACAGAGTTTTGTTGTTGTTGCTATTTTGTTTGTTTGTATCTTTGTTTGTTATACTGACTGACAAAACTTGAGACTGTTGTTTTCTTAATTCCTTAGCAATATTCTAGGTTCAGGAGCTTTTCTGAGTAACAGCTAATGAAATAAATGAGATCACAGCAATAATTTATTAAGCAACTCTCTTTATAAATTTTTTCAATTTAGTAAAACATACCAGAAAGAGTAAGAATAAGTTACTCATTTAACAGACAAAACTGAGGCTCCGAGAGGCCAAATTAATAGCCCAAGACAGAATAGTTTCTACATAAGTGAGAAAAGATCTGATCTCTACTCTGTCTCACCTAAAAAAAGTCCTGGCTCTCTACCATATAAATGCTATCAGAAGAGCAGAGAAGGCATTGAGTCAGAGCACCTTGTCCAGGAACAGCTGCTGATCACTGAGTTACAGATCATCAGACCCCTGCCACTTGAAGTGTGTGTGCTGATAACTGCTCTGGGGGAGGTGTGGGCTTTCAGTACTCCCACCATCCATTGATTTAGAATCCACATTTAACTAAGAAGACTGCGTAAGTTTTATATACACCAAACCCCAAGAAACTGTGTTCTAGAGCAGCAGTTATCAAATTGTGACTAAACATTGGAATGATCTGGTGAAATTAAAAGAAAAAAACACTGTTTGTTTCTATCCCTAGAGATTCTGATTTAATTGATCTGGAGTCTCATCAGGGTGGAGAACTCCTGTTCTGTAGTCTAGAAGTCTCAACAAGAACTCTATTTGGTTCCTGACTCAAATCAGTACTTGATAGAATGAATGAGGTTAAGTCAGATTAAGGCAGGCCTCTTGGAGAGAAGATCTTTTATAGTTATGTCTCCAATACTCATCTCCCCACATTCTAACAAATACCATAACCTTCACATTCTTATCACAGAAACGGTTATAGCAGATTCGCTGTATGAGCAAACACTATTCACTTGATTTATATCAACCAGAGAGGTCGCATCTTTTAAAGTTTGTTAGCTTCTTCATGGACTATGAAATTCTTCATATAACTAAGACTATTTCCTAAACTAGTCCTGCAATTTAATGTTTAAACTACTTTGTTACAACATTTTATTGTTAAATTATTTTTATAGACTTGGTTGTACATTTCTGTTTTTTAATTTTCTTTCTGCAGGATGGAACCAACTTGTATGGTGCTCAGCCATTCTTCTTGTGCCTTGAAGATGCTAGCGGATTATCTTTTGGGGTGTTCCTGATGAACAGCAATGCCATGGGTAAAGAACAAAAGAAATATTCATGCAAGAGACAAGCATAATAGCAATGTTTCGGTCCTTTTCTTACAATAAGATGATAAAAGGAATGCATTTTTTTTTTTGGTACTGGGGATTGAACTCACAACCTTGTACTTGCCAGGCAGGAGCTGTACACCGCTGAGCTAAACCCCCAGGGCCAGGAATGCATCTCTTTAAGAATGATTGAGCCATCACTTAGGGTCTTGTATGTTCTCTCTTTGTTCCATTCATACTTCACTCTACCTGTTGACCCATGCAGGGATTTTTTTCTTGACTTCTCATTTTCCTGAATCAGGCTGCCTCCTTTGAGTATTTTCTATTACAGAATTAAGATATTTAGGCCTTCCCAACTGGTAGAAACTATCTCAGTGTAGATGACAGGGAAGGGTTACTTTAAACCTTAAGTGAATGGGTCAATTATTTAAAGAGATTCATTCTTTTTATTCCTAAATGGAAACCAAACCTAAAAGGCAACTTGTGAGCATGATGCCTGGAGTTTAAAGGATTTTGAATTTATGAAACAAACTTTGATGTTTTTAGTGTGCCTCTTGCTTGATGTGAGAGTCACTGAAGTTAGCCCTCATTGTGGGTGATGTCCTTTCAGTAACGGTAGGGTATGGGGGTAAGGGTAGCATGTTCTGTGGTTGTAAAAGTGAGAGAGGAATCTTTTCATTCTACCTTCTTAGATTTAATTCTTTGGGCCTCAAAATTAAGTTGGCAGAAAGAAAGATCAGCAAGGAAAATACAGTTTACTTACCTGTGCTGTGTATATGTATATAAGCAATGCTCAGTGATTAGCGGCTGGCAGGAATGGTTAGTGTGGAGCTTATGTACTATAGCATCTTACTAGTTACCAAGTATTTCTCACTACTGATATTCTAGGTGGGGTTGTTTTGATTCAAAGCAATATTACTACCTTAATCTCAGAAAGGGTTGGGGAGAAAAATGGTGAAACAAATAACTTTTGGGGAAGATAAATAGGTCCTTAAGAGAGATGTGATGATTTATGCCAATGTCTGTTGGTGCTTTTTGGCTCAGAGGATGTCAGACTTGCTTCAAGAGAAGAAATTTATGTACCTTGAGTTCTTTTGGGAGGCTTTATCTTTAGGCAGTTTATTCTGGATGCCTGTGTAGGCCAGAAGTTTTCATCAGAGCCAAGGTCCTGGCATAAGGAATTAAAACCTTCCAGTCACCTGCCATTGAACTTGGTCACCAAATGCTTTGGTTTCCATGTGCAATAAGGGAACAAAATCAGAATTTGTCCTTTTGTATATAAAATGTGAAACATTAGGATCATATTATTCATTTTCATATAGTTAATGACCTTCTGGTCTAGAACTTTGTAGCCGTTACTTTAGAATAAATTTTAATGTGTTTTGCTTTTTGTTGCTTTTTAATCTTTTAAGAGGTTGCCCTCCAGCCAACCCCAGCAATCACTTATCGCACCATTGGGGGAATTCTTGACTTCTATGTGTTCTTGGGAAACACTCCAGAGCAAGTTGTTCAAGAATATCTAGAGGTAAATTTATGATTTCATGATTATGACTAAAGAAATCCTACATAACAAGTATTTAAGAAAAGTAAATATAATGTGAAGGTGTAAACCACAAAACTCTCTTATTACAACTTGCTAAAATGTGAATTTCGTGTATACAGTAGAAACTTGCCTTATATCATTTTTGTGTTAAAAAGAAGTGCAAGAATATAAGTTGTCCTAAATACATTCCTAACCTTGAAGATTTAAAAAGGGGCTGGAAAATATACTTTGTGACCTTAATGAATCGGAACACTGGCAGATAAGATATCTCTTACGCCTCACCCCAATGCTTAGAAAAAGTAAAAAACAAAACAAAACAAAAACACACTGCTAACTCTCTTTTCACATATTTCATTTAGCTCATTGGACGGCCATCCCTGCCTTCATACTGGTCACTAGGATTTCACCTCAGTCGGTATGATTACGGAACATTGGACAAGATGAAAGAAGTCGTGGACAGAAACCGGGCAGCACAACTCCCTTATGTTAGTAAGGCTTTAAATGGTTCTCAAAGAAAGAAAGAAAGAAAGAAAGAAAGAAAGAAAGAAAGAAAGAAAGAAAGAAAGAAAGGAAGAAAGAAAGAAAAGCAGTTGTTCATACTTTGTCTTTTTATGTAGTAAAAAAATTTTTATGTATTCAGATGATCAGTTGTACTTATGGACCAACCATGTTTTCAAGGAACCCTAGTTCTTTCTAGTGGGAAAGTGATAGAGACTACGACTACAAGTGAGATACAACCTATTTTTATCTTTATTTTTCTCATATGTTTTATTTTTTAATTTTTATATTAATTTACTTTCATCTCTTTTGAGATAAAGTCTTCTATGCAGTTCAGGCTGGCCTTGAGCTCATTTTGTAGTCCAGGCTGACCTTGATCTCCCAACAATCCTCTGCCTCGGCCTTCTGAATGCTGGGATCACAGGCATGCCCCACCACTCCCAGATTTCATCATATGTTTTAATTGTAAAGTTTTTTATGCTTATTGTATTGACTAAATTTTACATAATGTGCTTTTATTTTAGTACTTAGTATTTTCTCCAGCCTGGATTATAGTATTTTAATATTTATCAATGTAGATACTTCTCACCATTGATATTCTTGGTTGATTGTTTTGACTCAAAAGCATCATGGCAAGCACTGACCAGAAATGTGATATTATATCTTTAGAATTCCTCCAAAGTTCTGGGATAAACTTAATTTTTATATTTCATCTCTGGTAATAAATGATGTAGATTACTGATTCTTATACCCCTTGCCAGTTACTATGCATTAATCTATATTTGGGAAGTAATGCTAGGCCCCAAGGATTTAGGTCAGAATTGCTGGATACAATCCTCAATTCGCAACCAATACGTTTTGTACAAATAAGAAAGAAACTAAGTTAGGGAAACTACCTTGACTGAGACTGTGTGGTAGTAACTGGTGGCCGAACTTACACTACATAATTAAATGGATTGAAAGACTTGTAACATGTTTTAGGGGCTGGGGATTTAGCTCAGTGGCATAAGCACCTGCCTTGCAAGCAGGCGGTCATGAGTTCGATCCCTGGTACCGATAAAAATGAAAAAGACAAAAAAAACACACACACAAAAAAAAGACTTGTAACATGTTTTAGTACCATCTGTTTTTGCATGGATATTTTGATTGTTATTGAATTAAGAGTAAACAAAGTTTGATTTTCTGTATAGTGTGGCTATTTGTACTTGAGATATAACCTCAGTAGATACTTTAAAATTGGATTTAGAAAGTCCATAAACATGAAGTATGAATGAAAGTGCATCACAGACTTTTGATTTGCAATGCTTAAGACCACCAGAGGAAAGCAGAAAATGAAGCTAATGTCATCTGGCTGGGTGACTTTCTCTCCATTTTGGCCACAAGTCCTACTACTCTTTATTCTGCAGCTGTTGTGAGCGGGATATACCATCAGCATAGACTGAGCATTTTTGTATCTTTACATGGTTTCAGTTTATTGGATCACAATACATTCACAAGCTAATTTCATAAGCATAAATTCATTAACGATTTTGTCAGTTTTAATTACCTGAGCACCTAGATTTTTCTTGATAGCAATGGCAATCACAAGTTCTTTTATTGCATTCCAATGTTAATTACTAGTGCCTATGGCACTCAAGTCATATATCACAGTTCATCCATTAAAATATAGGTTTTGGAAAGGCTAAATAAGGATTGCAACAGCCACAACCTTCAAAGAGGCAGACCTGAAAGTAAAGGCAGGTGTCCAAATAAGATGCAAAGTCTGGCTGAGCATGTTCAAGGGTCTGCTGAGCCATTAGCAGCACAGAACTTTGTTCAGAGCCCAAGTCTGGCAGCAGGCAGTTTGCAATAGGCCAGGTCTTAGCAGGGAGATGGAACTGAGCTGAAGCTAGGGGACAGAGAGCTGAGATTTGGCACTGTTGTATTCATTTAGTGGTTAGATAAGATGACAGGTCCTGCTGTATGTGTCCAAACTCCTATGTTGTGTGCCATTCCTTTTATATGACACAAATGAAAGGTTGCACGTTCACTGGTCTGGTGTATCCAAGAAGCTCAGGGGTCTAGTTTTATTTAATATGGTTTTGATACATAGGCACTCCTGATTTAATTCAATAAATGCACAGATGATAATTTTTCATTAGCATGATTAACTTATCTATCAGTTTATGACTTACGACTGTGCTGAGCAGCTAGGGGTTGTTCTTTTCCCTAATTTCCCTCTTGTTGAGTTTGTTATTTTTGTACAGGAATGGTACTGATTTTTTGTTGTTGTTTTTTTGGTACTGGGGATTGAACTCATGACTTTGTGCTTCCCAGGCAGGCATTTAGGCCACTGAGCTAAACCCCAGGCCCTATTCTTTTCGATAAATTTGCTATATCCAGTATCTGCTGGTTATTTGTTTGCACAGAGATGTTAACAAGACATTTTTGCCTTAGCACTTTCACTCAACATGGAGTAACTCCGGACCAACTACTGAATTATAAAATGGAATCACTCAGTAGGGCACATTCTGCTGTCCACACCAGCCTTTAGCAACTTTATATATTTGGGAGTGGGCATGGCAGTGGGGGAGGAGAGGGTGAAACATGATGGAAGAGGAGGGATTGAGATAAAGGAAATAAACACAACTGCCATACCAATGGTGAACACTGTGCATGTGTGACGTCAGTGCTGTTGTTAACTATGTCACAATTCCATTCTAATATCAGAACCCCCTTTAAGATTATGAATCATATTTAATGTTAGAAAACCAAAGCACTGTTTTTAAAGTGATCTCTAGCATCACAGTGGCTCTCTACTTTTTATGTCATTCTTCTTACCTATCAACTACCATTTACTTCTTAAATGATCTAGGGAATCAAAGAGTTGGATTTTTTGGGTGTGCAAAGGAGTAAGATGTGAGAGGGAGCATTGAGCCCAGTGAATTGAAAACTATTAACTGAGTAAAAGTGTTAAATTCTGCCAACATTACATGAACAGAAGTACATAAATGCAATTATAAGATGAAGGATAATAAAAATACAGTAAATAAATTAAAAAATGTATTACAGTAAGGGACATATTGCCATTAATCTCCCTCCAAATACTCCCCTTCTAACACACCTACACCATCATTCTTCCCATTTTCTGGGAAAGTTCTGGAAGTCCTTCTTCCTGAGTGCCTGTACAAGGCTCGATCAAAACAATGGAGAATGCTGCTGCTGAACACCATCCAACATAAAGACAAGCTTATAAAAACATTACCTTGTGTCCTCCTTCACTTTATTCACCAGTGCTGGAACCATGTGACTTCTGGCTCTTCCCCAAATTCACAGTGATCATGAAAGGTAGACGTTTTGAATTGATTCAGGACATCAAAGCAGCCAGGACAGCCCAATACTCAGCAAAAGACTCATGATAAAGAACTTCCAGAACTTGTCAGGAAGTGGCAAGAACAAAGGGCTAAATGTGTTCTGTTTGATGTGAGGAGGAGCTATTTTGAGAGGAATCAATGGCATTGTATCTTATATTATAATAATTTTTAAAAACTTACACAATCACCAGATTTTTAGACCACATTTCTACGCTTCAAGTGGCAAAATTTGAATGTGCCTATTATAGCGGGAATGCTGATGGATAGTCAGGTGTTAGAAGAGATGCAAAGGATAAAATTTCTGAATTAACCTTCTTTCCCAACCCATTCCCTTAGAGGTAGACACCTGGGCATTAGAGTAAGTTTCATTCTGGCTCCATAGATAAAATTAGGAAAGGATAACACCAAAGACTTGAAGTAGAAGAGACAGCAAAACAAATTGTGGAATAATAAAATAAGAGAGAAATGGCACACCTAGAGAGAGAACACACCTTCCTTTATCTTGTAGATAGTGTGAAATTTACTTGGTAACTTTAGTGATTGTCATAAATGATCCAGTTAAGTTGACTGCAAGTACAGACCTTAGAGAAACAATGGGTTATTTGCTTTTGAAATTTTCCTGAAATTTAGATACCAGGGGCTGGTTAAGAATTCTGCTTGATCATATCCCTGAGTTTAGTATATTTTCAATAATTACTGATAATTAGGCTGGCTTGTTTTAGCAGGCAAACTCAAGGTGTTAAATTGGTGTTGTATATTACTCCAGGATGTTCAGCATGCTGATATTGATTACATGGATGAAAGGAAGGACTTCACTTATGATCCAGTGAGCTATAGAGGCTTCCCTGATTTTGCTAAGGAGTTGCACAATAATGGACAGAAACTCGTCATCATTGTGGTATGTGTTAGTTAACCTCTTTTTCTTTCAAATCAAGTATTTACTGTTTTTTTTTAAATCACAGCACCTACTCTCATCTCTGTGTCCTGAGATTCCTAGTCTCTTTTCAATGCTCTCAATTTAAAGCTAGTTTCTTCTGTGCTTTTTCCCTTTTTAGGACCCAGCCATCTCCAATGACTCTTCCTCAAGTAATCGCTATGGCCCATTTGACCGGGGTTCAGCAATGAACATATGGGTGAATAGTTCAGATGGAGTGAATCCACTCATTGGGGAGGTAACTTAATTGGAAAGCTAGGACCTGTGGAGGGGCTGTGACTCTTTGTGTGTGTGTGTGTGTGTGTGTGTGTGTGTGTGTGTGTGTGTGTGATTGTCCTGTCCATTTTCAGATGCATTGTGTATGCTAAGGATAAATTTTTGCTTTGTTATTTCATCCTCAAATGTCTAGCAGCCATTCTTCACATGCATCCTTTACATCTGCACTCATGCCTTTCACAGCCAGTTTCCATTAAACCAGAGCCATCACTTGGAGCATGCACTTCCACATGTTCTGTCTTGTCTTCAGTTGACCGCATCACCTTTCTTTTCTGTAACTTCACTTGGTAAATCCAGCAGAAATGTTTCACACCTCTTTTTTACTCAGCTTTCTGCAGTAATTTAGTAAGTTTGATCACTTTTTTCTCAAGTCTTATTTGACCTTGTTGGTTCATTTCTGGTGTCTCTGATAACTCTTTTGGAATTGGTGTCTGAAGGAAGTTGGATAGAGAAAGAATAGAGAAAAGCAAATGATACTAGAATTCATGGATTTTTAATGGGCCCAATGAAATCTATGGAGTTCTTCCTCCCTATTTCTAGAATTAAGACTAGCGAAAGTAATAAAGAGAATGAAGTAGATTCAGAGATCAGTAAACCAGATAAAGGCTTTTATCCATGGGTTTATTTAATAAGGATTTAGCTTTTATTTTTTTTAAAGTTTTTTAGGGCTGGGGATTTAGCTCAGTGGCATAAGTGCCTGCCTGGCAAGTGTGAGGTCATGAGTTCGATCCCTGGTACCTAAGTAAATAAATAATGTTTTCATGTCGGTATGGTGGTGCATGTCTGTAATCTCAGTACTCTGGCAGACTGAAGCAAAAGACTAGCAAATTCAAGCACAGCCTGGGCCACTGAGCAACTTAGCAAGACTGTCTCAAAATTAATAAAATCTGGTGGTGGTGTTGGTAGTGGTGACTGAGGGTGTAGCAAAAAATAAAACAAGAGTTGGGAATATAGCTCAGCAGCACAGTGCCTGCTTGCAAGCACGAGGTCTTTAGTTTGGGTCCCCATACCAAAACAACAACAAAGACAACAACAGCAGCAGCAGCAAAACAAAAACATGTTCTTTAAGTGTCTTTTTGATAAATCCTCATATTTATTTTCAGTATTCCCTATCCTGAGTGATTTACCTTCCTAATTTACCAGGACCTGAGCCTGGCCACCTCTGTCTCTATGAATGAATGAGTGATTTCTGTACATAGTTCTTTATTTTACTTCCTATTCGTTTAATTTATCCTTACTGTTATTTTCCTTTATTCTTCCACAGGTGTGGCCTGGAAGAACTGTGTTTCCTGATTACACAAATCCCAACTGTGCTGTTTGGTGGACAAGGGAATTTGAGCTTTTTTACAATCAAGTGGAGTTTGATGGGATCTGGATTGTGAGTTCTTAACACTTTGATTATTAGCTGACAAACATAGACATCATATACACTGAATTTTTTGCCTAATATATTTTGAAGCTGTTTGTGTTTCATATTTTTGTATATAAGTGAAATAAATATATAAAGGTTTTAGAGTTTCTTCAAATTTATATATAGTATATTTCATATTATATAACTAAATTATATGTTATATTTAATTTATTTGTATGAAATATAAAGTGTATTACATATAAATTTGAAAGGATTCTGAGAACTTTTCCTTGAGGTCTTCAGTGGGTAGAGAGGATGATAATGTCTATTTTGTTTCATGTACAGAAGTATCCTTTTAAAGAAATAAATATCTGAAATAATTTCTCTGATTCCTATAAAAAAGGAAATGATCAGTATAGCATCATGGAACTTTTTTTCCTAATCATTTTTGCTCTTTGTCCTGTAGGATATGAATGAAGTCTCCAACTTTGTTGACGGTTCAGTCTCAGGCTGTTCCACAAACAATCTCAATTATCCACCATTCACTCCCCGTAAGTCGTCCTGGTCAGCTTTACTGCAGCACTAATGCATATTTGGTATCATAAATTCATAAGGATAGATCTGAACAATCTGTCAAGGAAGTTTATATATATGAGCATTTATAAGAAAGAGAAATGTGAGCAACATATAAAAAAATAGGAAAGAAAGTGGAAACACCCTAAAGAGGCATTGATTCAAAATGGTCAATCTAGTTTTTTTTGCCTGCAGTACAAAGTATTTCTGCTGTAATATCTATAGGGGACATGGGGCAGAAGCCAGTTCCAATGGTTATTTTGTGCCACTCCTAAGTGTGCACAACAAGACATTGGTGTTCGGGTGAGGGCAAAGTCTGATGATGTCCACAGTTTAAAGGGCAGACATGGACCATGCAGTTAAAGCCAGAATCTATGGCCTGGGAGGTCAGGTAATGTGTTGCTCCTAAGATTTGACTGAACTTTGAACAACAGTATCTCTCAGAGTGTGATCTTAATAGGCTCAAGAACAAACTATTCCAGGTATTGTGATACATACCTGTAATCCCAGCACTTTGGAAGGCTGAGGCAGGAGGATCATGATGAATGTGAGGCTAGCCTGGGCTTCATCAGTGAGTTCTAGGTCAGCCTGCACTACACAGTGAGACCTTGTCTCAAAAATAAAGGAAGGGAAAAAAGAACAAATTGTATCTCAATTGAGAAAGTAAAAAATCTACCAGAATTGTAATATCTTATGGTGACTTAAATACAGTGGGAAGCTAAGAAACTGGGGAAGGGTAGGTCAGAATCAAATACTGAGGGGCCTGAGTGGAGGCTAAAGAGTTTACAGTTCATTTTTTTCAGAAACTATTTATGTTTTAGTTAGAGAAAGCACAATAGTTAAGTGGTATTAAGAATATTTATCTGACAATATGCAGTGTGAATTAGAAGATAAGGTAGATCCGAAATAAACAAGTCACTAAGAAGCTGTGGCAGTAACCAAGACCCAAAGGCAATTTGGATCTGAACCAGAGTGGTGCAGTGGGAGCAGAGATTAGATAGGTGAAAGCAAGATTGGAAATTATTTTTTTATAGTACATGGTCAGGGGAAAGAAGGAGTCAGAAATTAATTTACACTTTCATCCAATGCTTCTATTCTTGGAAGATTTAACTTGGCTTAAAGAATTCAGATTGGGCCTCTAGACTAACTGAATTCCTTGCTTCTGGATGCCTGCCTCCAGTCAGAGCCCAGGTGGGAGGGTGTGTAGGGGTCTGCACAATTTATTTATATGTTGGAGAAACTGTTTTAAATGAAGTGTCCTGATAGTGAGAAAGCAAAATGATTGCCCACAGGATGACCACAGTAAGTACCTGTCTTGGGAGCCACCTTTTCAGGTTCTGTGACAGTCAAGGAGTAGGAAATGCACATCTAGTGTTCACTTTCGCTGATTGTCCTTTTGCTGCAGGAGTCCTAGATGGGTACCTGTTCTGCAAGAGTCTTTGCATGGATGCAGTGCAGCACTGGGGCCAGCAGTATGATGTCCACAACCTTTATGGCTACTCCATGGCCATCGCCACAGCAGAGTGAGACCACTGTTTCTATGGGCTTATTCATGATCAAGTTGTGGGATTGCTAGATGAGTGGATCATATACAGTATTTGTTAAAAGTCACACAAATATGGTTGTTAGTGAGTGAATGAAGAAACTCTTTGGAACAGGGAAGAAGGGATCCAATATATATGTGTAGAACATGTAAAAAAAGAACAAATGACACAAATGAGTGGAGAGTTGGAAGAAGTCAAGATAAGCTAAGAAACTTATCTAAGGTCGAATAACAAATAATTGGCAAAAGCAAAATTTAGCCCCTTTTTTTCTATGAGTCTAAACCATTTTTGTACATGGGTAGAAAACAGTATAAAGGGTTAACTAACTCTGAGATCTCTGTGTGATTCAGGGTTTTACATTTTGGCTCAGCATTTTTTTTAGAGTATTCTTTTACTTGTGTGTGGAATTTAAATGCTATAGTGGGGGAAAAATATCTGCCACTGGCTACACCCACAGCCCTATAAAAGTTTTTACTTATATATACACAAATAGACTTGTAGCTTAAAACTATAAGTAATATGTACTTATATAAAGTACTTCCATGCATATGTACTTTTGAGATATATTTTCTTATTGTAAGATTGTTATCAATGTTAGCAAGAATTTGTCTTTCAAAAGATGGTTTATACATCCATTTATGTGTATGTCTGAAGTTTTATGATGTGAAAGATTAATTAAATACATCTGTGAAGTTAAATTTCACTTTAGTTCTAGAAAAATTGTATACCTTCAGTTACTAACATTTTAAAGAATGTTTTTGAACTTCTTGAAAATTATGAGGTTAACAATGTGCTTGAAACAAAGCAAAATATGAATGTACTTAAGGGTGCAGCAGTCACTCTCACCCGTGTGGGAGAGAATGAGATGGGAATGGGGCATTCATTTGTTTTTAATATTGTTGGTATTGTTGTTGTGTCCTTTGAGCTGAGATCAGCTAAGATCACACTTTGACCTCCTAAATCTCTCTCCCTTTCTAGAGCCGTCAAGACATTGTTTCCAAGCAAGAGAAGTTTCATCCTAACCCGTTCTACCTTCGCGGGATCTGGCAAGTTTGCAGCCCATTGGTTAGGAGACAATGCAGCCACCTGGAATGACCTTCAGTGGTCCATTCCTGGCATGCTTGAGTTCAACCTTTTTGGTATCCCAATGGTGAGTGCCTATCTTGACCTCTTAGGAGTCTGAATCCCTAGAGAGCCTTGTTTGGGCAAGTTGAGATTTACTATTTAGAGAACATGTACTTCAATATCAGTGAGGTTCTTGTGAAGATATAAAAAGAAATATTTGTACCCCTGTAATATTTCTTTCTATTAAAGTATAAAAGCATACAGAAAAGCACACAGATCCTTTATCTATAGCAGATGAATGTTATACACTGACAACACCTGTGAATCTAGCCCATATGTAAAGAAAGGTAGCAAAGCCAGCACTTGAGAGGTTTTAGCATCTTTTAGTTAAATTCAACATATATGTTTATTGAGCTCCTACTGTGTTCAAGGTGCTGATCTAAGGAAGTACTGCTAGCATAGTGAAACATGTAAATATGTAAACAGACACACCTTAGTTTCCCAGAAGGATTTACAATTTAGTGAAAGGAGACATATATGTCAACAAATGCTCATGATGAGCTGTATTAAAATGGCCAGGAGAAACATATGCACTAACTGTTTGGGGAACTTTTAGGGGAGATCCTGAGAAAGAGATTAACTCTGATAAGATTATGAGGGCCAGAGGGAATCAGGAGAAAATTCATAGGAAAGAAGCTGCTTGAGTTTAAATTAAAAAGTGACTGATGTGGGGAGAAGCTTATTTTCAGATTAAGAAAGAAATGCCAAGCCAGGTGTTGTGGTACACTCCTGTAATCCCAGTACTTGGGAGGCTGAGGCAGGAGGATAACTGTAAGTTTGAGATCATCAAACAAAGTGAGCCTAAGGCCAGCATAGTAAGACCCTGTCTCAAATAGACCAAAAAAGAAAGAAAGAAAGAAAGAAAGAAAGAAAGAAAGAAAGAAAGAAGAAATGTCAGCAAAAACAATATGAGGCGGAGTACTTGGTATGTCTGGGAGAACCAGCATGTGACACTGTAGTGGGAATGATGCTGAAAGGGTAGGTTGGAAGCAGGATTTGAAGAGTTAATAGGATAAGTAGTAAGAAGGCTCTGGAGAGATTTATATAGAATAATATAATAAGAATTCAGCTTTGGAAAGTAACTCTGATATTGGTGTGGTAAAATAATGACATCAGCGACTTTTAGTTACTGTTCATCAGAAAGCTGTTGTACTCATTTTCACGAAAGGAGGAAACAGGCACAGAGAGGTTAAATAACTCACGTGTCTAGCAGTAAAGCATGGGCGTAGGGTATTACCCAGTTCTGATTGCACTACATGAGACTTCTGCAGAAGAGGTGTTAGCTGAGAGGTCCTTGGGGGAAAATGAAGGAGCATGGTGGAAGTTAGGTGTACATGCCGTCTATATGTCTTTCCAGGTGGGTGCAGACATCTGTGGTTTCACCTCAGATACCTCTGAGGAGCTCTGCAGGCGGTGGATGCAGCTAGGAGCATTTTACCCATTTTCCAGAAATCACAATGGCCAAGGCTTCAAGGTAAAGCTCCCAGAGAAGATAATCAGAGTGAATCTGGGCACAGGTTAAGATGGAGCTACTGTATCCTCACCAAGAAGTCTAGTCAACCATTTGCACTATGCTTCACTTACACTAATTTGCCTCATCATTTGCAATTACCCAGGACCTTGTAATTTCATAAAATACCTTGCTGTCACACTGCTCTTCAGAAAATGGCAAGTCTGTGAAAGTTACCTATTTGTACACTTTTTCTACATCACTCACTTTATAATGAGTGGCAAATGGAGAAACATTTCAAAATTATTTACTTGGAAGTCTCCTCTAACAGAGCAGTTCTGAAGAGTGAATGAGACAGAATGAGTTGCAGGTTGTAATGACCATGTAGCCTTCCTTTGCTCAGTTGTGCTGCTCAGAGGCAAAACTTGTAACCTCAGTTACAGCCCATTTAGGGAGAAAATTCTTGGTTGTGATGGATGTAAGTCCCTGAGTATCTCTGATAGCCAACTCACAGTTGAAAACTTTTATTTCCTCCAAGGACCAGGATCCTGCCTCCTTCGGACCTGACTCCTTACTGCTGAATTCCTCCAGGCACTACCTTAACATCCGCTATACTCTGTTGCCTTACCTCTACACACTCTTCTACCACGCTCACAGCCGGGGGGATACGGTGGCCAGGCCCCTCCTGCATGAGTAAGTTCTCCACACACAAGGAACTGTGTTAATGTGACTTCAGTGACATTGACTGTATTATCATAGAAAGGTCAAAGTGAAAATTAGAACAATTCAAGCAAGTGTGTGTGTAACTGCAAAACCAAGTTGGTATTTATAAATCTGTTGCTACCTAGGTTTTATTGAAGGGAGTATATTTAAACACTATAACCTGTCTCATTTTGGGAAGAAAACTAGACTTAAAAGTTGGGGATTCAGGAGCTTTCATTTGTTCTGCCACCAACTAATTCTATGTCTTGGAAAATTCATATAAGCTCTTTCATCGTGAGTTTTGTTAGTATTTTTTTCTTGTGGTTCTGGGGATGGAACTCAGTGCCTTGTACATGCTAGATAAGTGTTTATAACTAAGTTACACTCCAATCCTTTTTAGTCAAGGGAGATTGTTTGATTCTGCTGGTCTCCCTCATAATGCACTATGATGCTAGTACTCATATAGGGATGAATCTATAATTTAAAAGCAATATTATACAAGATCTCTAGAGTTCCATAATTCTTTTATGCCAGCCAGTGAGCATCTTGGATTTCATTCTGTTTTGTTAAGATACAGCTGATTCCATCAAGTGTGTGATAGACACAGTCCTCAGGAGCACTACTACATATTCATTTTAGGGATAAGTTTTTATCACCTCCTGAAATTTCCTGTTTAAAAAAGGATAGCTTAAAATTGCATTCTTCATTATTTTTCATAATAACACCCCGCTTGATAGTCAGCTGAAGTTGTAGAATATACTGGTTATCTTATTTTTAAAAGAGGAATATGTCTAGAATTACTTCTCGTGACCAAAGTACAACACATACCTAGGAACTTTCTGTCCAACCGAGGGAAGAATAAGAGGGTACAGGAACTTGGAAGACTGGATTTTCTGGGGTTGGGCGAGGTGAGAGGGAGAAGTGTCACAGAGTAAACGTGGGTGCTTTCCCAGGCATCCTGCAGGCTTTGGACAGACTGAGGGAAGAGCTTCCAGTAGTACTGGTCCATGTTTCAGTGACCTATCTCTTTGGTTCTAGGTTCTATGGAGACAACAACACTTGGGATATATACCGACAGTTTTTATGGGGGCCAGGCCTTCTCATCACTCCAGTTCTGGAAGAGGCAAGTGTTCTTAGAGAGACCAATGGTCTCTGGTTTTGTTCCTATTCTCTTTTCACCCCAAACCTTGATCTTTTCTCTTTATTCCACACCCGTTTCCAAGATCTGTGGCCAAATCAGCCTTGAAGGGAATGTGCTGGGGTTTTGGAAACTGGCATATCTGTTATATATTGTCCTCTCTAAAAGGATTTTTCCTGGACCAAATTTTCAGGCAATGTAGAAGAATCTACTGGCAGCTATAGATTAAAGATTGGTCTGATGTGTTGTCAGATTGTCATAGCAATCATTGCTTACTCTGTGATGTAGCAGCAGAATGCAGCAGTGACCAGCACTTACTCTAAAGTCAAACTGATCAGGGCATGATTATTTTTTCTACCACTTAATGACCTGTGTGATCTGGGGCAAGATATTGTGCTGATTTCTCATCTGTAACCATGGAATAATAACACCATCCATTTGGAGCTGTAAGGTAGATTAAGTGAGATAATAAATGGCAAGTGGAATGCTCCCCACACTGAATGTTTCATTATTATTACTATTCCTAATGTTGTCTCATTTGGGATTTTTCCTGAAATGGTAAGTTATGGTTTCTATTATCTATACTAGAGGAAAGGCAGAAGAAAGTAATGATTCAATAATAGAGAAAAGAAAACCATGTCTGTCCTCTCTAAATACGGTTAAGAATTTCCCTAAGAGACATTAGGAAATCCACTTCTTTCACTCAGAGATTGAGTCATGAAGGACAATATTTTGTTCTAATTTTAGGGTGAAGAGAAAGTGACAGCATATGTACCTGATGCAATCTGGTACGACTATGAGACTGTAAGTAGTGTGGACTCTGCTACAACTCCTTTAGACCACAGCTACAGTTCATAGACAGTTGTGTCCTGCATTCACAGAAGAACTGCATAAAATGAGCCTAATATTAGTCAGAATGATAACATATTTATATTTTATTCAGCAATTAGATAAAGACAAATGATATGAGCAAATATTCAAGGACCCATGGGCAATTTGAGATCAGTTGGAATTTAGATTATTCAGAAACATTAGTTCATATAATCTGTATTACTTGCTCTCCTGACAATGGAACAAAATACTAGACATCCGCAAGTTAAAGGAAAAGAGATTTATTTTGGCTTATAGCTTCTGCCCATGCTGAGCTGGCTCCAAGACAGAAACTGCATGGTAGAGAGCCATGGTGCAGGACACTTCTTCACCCTGGTTTCTAGGTAGAAGAGAGAGAGAAGGGAGAAACCAGGGGCAAGAATCCTGCAGGTCACACCCAGTGAGCTGTCTCTAACTAGGTCCCTGCTCCTAATAGCACTTCGACATTCAGGTAATTAACTCCTCAATGGATGAATCTACTGATGAGGACAGTACCTCATGATCCAGTCACCTTCTAAATACACGAGACTGTTCGAGACATTGTAGATCTAAACCATAACAATATCAAACAGCCTCAGCATAGGATACACATTCTCACAAAATGTCATCTTGCCACAACACATGTTCTGAAATTTTTTCTTATTTGATTGCCTGGGTAGATAGTAATGCAGTCAAGTGGAAAAGGAAAGGCCAGAGATTAACTCAGCATGTGAGTGACCAGAGCAGGCACATGTACTGTCAGGCCATTATATTTGATTTATCTGCCTGCATCAGGGGGGCCAATTGGGATGGAGAAAGCAAAACATCGAGATGGAACTTCCTGGAGACAAGATTGGGCTTCATCTACGAGGAGGCTATATCTTCCCCATACAGCAGCCAAGTACAACCACTGTGGCCAGGTACGGCATGGCTAGGGATGTTTTTCAAGGGTAAGGGTGAAAAACTGTCATTCTTGTATTTCTATTGACCAGAGGGTGCTGAACGATCATGCAGAGCAACTTGAGTTTGCTGACGTGTGTATGTGTGTCTGTGTGTGTGTGTGTGTGTGTGTGTGTCTGTGTGTCTGTGTGTCTGTGTGTCTGAATGTGTGTCTGTGCTGGCAGATGGTCATCAAACTCCTTGGATTTTCCTGTCTCTTCTCAAGAAGCTGTTGGTCTAGTGCTCCACCTAGGTAGATTTTGAGAGACTTTAATTCCTGGCTTTCCACGAACTCTCCAGATTTCTCAAAATTCACAGACAGCCAAGACGGTAGGCCTTGCTAGTTTGCCTGGTACTGTTACCATTTTAGCACTGAAATGCTCCAATCTTGGAAAACCCCTCAATTTTGGCCACAGACGTTACTCAGTCTCTTTACATGCCTTGGCTAGACCATCCACTCAGGGGTCTCCATTCTTACCTCAGACATTCTCATTTCTAGAGTTGAGCCTTCTGTAACCTCAACATTTACCATTCATTTGTGACATTTGTGATTCAAAGCCAGGTTAAAAAACTGTATCTTCAAACCTCCCTCATGTCACTGATTTTTATTTTTATCCGATTGCAAAAATTGTAGACCCTATCGTACTAAGGCGATGCAATTTTATATTTCTATGTCCCTGGAAATATTAGCTCATTTGATTTTAATAGACTTCAGATTCCTGTGAGGCTAGAAACCAGTTTTTTCTTTTGAACCTTGTTTACTGTCTTATGTTTTTAAATTATAGACCTTTTTTTTTTTTTACAATAATGTGCCTAAATCCAATACAAATTGGGTTCTTTTACTCCATTGTTCAGCTTCAGTTTTCTGCATAGTAACATCAAAATTATCTTTCTAAAATGAAAAATCTTAACTTATCATTTTCCTGCTTGACGTGTGGACTGTTTTAATATTGGGGTGTTCAAGGCCAAGCACAATCAGATTCCAAGATGACCTTAACAACTATATCTCTTGCAATACATTAGTAAGCACACAGATCAGCGATGCAAAATAGCCTATTCCCCAAACAGGCCCATTGATTTTCCTGCATTTGAATCTCTTACCTGTTACGCTTTCCAAAAGAGTTAAGCCTCCACCATGCTAGGAAGGCATTTTACCACAAGCTACACTGAATGACTGTGCTTACTCTATGCTACAAGTGCAGCTGGGATTTATCTGCAAAGCATTTTCTTATATTCTTCCAGCAGAGGGAGTGTTACTGCTTCCAGCGTTTGGTCATTTAAAAATATATATTTGCTCCTTAGCAGAGTTTTATGTTCTTTTTAATATTGTTAAATATACCACTGTTGGTTATATTCATGCTTTGTGTTGCAATATTCTATTATTTGAAGCTTTTAGGAGAACTTAATCTATAGTTACTTCTAACTTTTGTTGATGCTAACTTCTCACATTGTGCATTTAATGATATTTTGTTTTTCAAATGTGGTGATTTTAAGGACACATATATGGTCTCCAGAGATGATTTACTTTCCTTTTGGTTGCAAATCAGTGGCTTCTTCCTACTTAGTATCATATGTTTTCCTTCTAAGACTCTGGCTTCACAGGGATTTGGAGGTTCAGGTACTGTACCTTGAGTTTCCAGGTTTAGTGGCTCACATATCTATTACAGACTTTTGCTCTAGATAAATTTCAGTTTTTATTTACTGGTTTTCTTTATGCTTTGAACTCATGTTTTATTTTCTTTTATTTATGGCTATATGTTATATTTTTCTTGCAAGTTCAGCATTTTTAATTAGGATATGTGTTGAAATTTATTTAGGATTAAGAAGAACTTTAGTTGATAGGTGCTTTAGAATATCAATTCTGCTATACTCTAGAATTGTCATCTCGGACTCCTAGAGTATCTTAACTTTTGTGCTGGCTTTTGTTTTTTACCTTGATTATTTGGTGAATGTGTCTAATCTTAAAACATTGAGGCCTGAAGAGAACTAAGGTTATGATGCATTTATCTTTGTATTTTCTAGACTTCTTAGCAATGACAGCTCAATGCATGAGCTGTAAATGAAAGGAGGTGATTGTGCTGATAGGAATATGACTTTCATAATGGAAGCTGAGTGGCACAAGAACACAATAGGGAATGTGAGGCCAGAGAAGTTCACAGAGGGAGCAGGGAATTTGAGCGTATTCCAAAGGAGTGATGAAGTGAAATCTCAGGTTAAATTGCTTTCCTTCTCACTCCTCCCCTACATTCATCTATTTCTTCCTCTCTTTGAATAGTGTTTTCCGTTTCCTGTTTTAAATTTTAAATCAGATAATTAAAATTCCTTTTTTTCCTCTTAATAAAATGAAAAAATAAAATAAGAAAAGTTGCCAGTAAATAGACCAACCTCATTGTATGCTTTGCTTCCTGAGAATATGTGGTCCTTAGAAAGGTAAAGTGGCTCCTCCTTATGGCTAATACTGTTGTTTCTGCAAGTAGCATCCGTACCTTCTCCTTACAGATCCATTATTGCGTAGGATTTCTTTTTTTCCAGTCACCTGTCTTCTAAATAATAGTTGCAACTCCAGTTTACTGTAGTAGCAGTGATTTCAGTGCTTACAATATTGTCTCCTAAGCAAATGTTTATTGTAACATTTGGGGTATTTCTGGATTTGGTGACATTACTGATAGAAGAAAAATAAGTTCCTGCCATTACTTGCTTTGTGCCTGAAAGAAAGCACAGCCACTTGATGCTACTTGCTTTTCCCATTTGAAATTTGACAGAAACATGAGGTAACACTTTTTGGGTCCTTTTCATCACTTAAATGAATCTTGTTTTCCGTAGTCGGCAGAATCCTCTAGGTCTCATCATTGCTTTGGATGAGAACAAAGAAGCAAAAGGGGAGCTTTTTTGGGATGATGGCGAATCAAAGGGTGAGTATTGTAATGAGAAGGATGCTGTTCCCAGCCTGCATCTTTGGCTTATGGCCCTTCACTTCTGCTGGCCATTTGGCAGTGTGAGAAGTCTCCCCCCGCATAGTAGCAAAAATCAACTTGGTCCTGTTTGCTGCATTGAGGAGCAGTGATAGATGAACCACAGTTGGAAGGAAAACTCATTTTTGCTTACAAATTTCTCTTTTTGGCCAGGGATCTATAACAAGCTCTTACTTTATTGTCAGTAGTACTTGGAACACACATTTTCCAAGACTGTAATTCATTCATCTGTTATATGAATATCTTCACCCAAAATAAGGCAAGAAGAATATCCTTCTCTAGTGCACACACATCTAGCCAGGCCTGTCAGCAGTTTTCAAGATTACGTATGCTAATAATTTTTGTGGTTGCAGTTTAGCACTTGGAAGAGAATATTTTCTAGGTTACAGGAAACAGGGAAAAACAGGAGCTTAGCCAAGGAGACTCTGGTATAATCTTATCATTCCCAATCAATAGCTTTAAAAAAGCTTCTCATTTATCTAGTCATCAAATAAAGAGTGAATACATTTGGATGAACAACATATATACATATATATCTTGTTTAATGAAGTCTATCTATCTTGTATAATAATTACCACAATCTAATTAACTAACACATTAATCTCTACCAGTGTTGTACATGAGCACCCTTGAACTTGTTTCTTGCATAGCTGAACATTTATAACCTTTGACCATTTTTTGCATTCCTCTGTCCCTAACTGATTTAACTGACCTAACTTCTGCTTTTATGAAATGATCTTTTCTTATATTTTACATATAATGGCAGTTATGTGACAACATCTCCTATGTCTGTTCTATTTCACTTAGTATAATGTGGTCCAGATTCATTCATATTGTCACAATTATCAAAAATTACTTCCCTTGAAATCACTGTGTAGTATTGCATTATATATACTTCCCCATATATATAAAAATATATATCTCCATTTAAATATAAGTATGTATCATATATACATATATATGTTTTACACACACACACACACACACACACACACACATATATCTGCAGTTGTTTGTCTAGGTTGTTTCCATATTTTGGCAACTTGGCTGAAACTGAAAAATTCTAGGAGAAACTTAGGAAAGAAACTCTTTAATATTAGGCATGTTTTTGACTATTATATCAAATGCAGAGGAAAGAAAAACAAAACATAACAAATGACATTACTATGAACTAAAAAGCTTCTGCATAACCAGAGTCAACAAAATCAAAAAGGATGATACAATACTGGAAAAATATATGCAAACCACTTATCTGCTGGAGGTTTAACACAAAACATATAAAAGGAATTCTTAAAACTCAATAATGAGGAAATAAATCATTTGATTTTAAAATGAGCAAAGAACTAGAATATATGTTTTTCCAGTGAATACATACCGCTGACCAATAGGTATATAAAAAGGCATTGAACATCGCCAAACAGCAGAGAAATCAAATGACAATTTACAATGAGCTATCACCTCCCACCTGTTAGGGTTGCAATGAAAAAGATAAGAACTTGCAAGTGTGGACAAGAATGCTGAGAAAATAAGATGAACCTTGGATGCTATTGGTGGAAATATAAATTGGTGAAGCCATTATACAAAATGATATCATATTTTGAGGATCCTTGAAATATTAAAAATGGAACTACCATATATTTAATAATCCCATTTCTGAGTTTATATTTAAAAGAATTGAAATCAGTATGTCATAGAGATATGTGTGCTCCTATGTACATTGCAGCCCTAGTCTCAAAAGCTGAGATATGGAAGCGACCTAAGAACCCACTCATAGATGTATGAATAGAGAAGTTGTGGTGCCTATGTACAAATAAATATCATTCATTCACATAAAGAAGGAAATCTTTTCATTTGTGACATCAAGAGTGTCTTTAAGAGGAGGCAGCTGAGATTTATTCTGTGATGGATAGGCCAATCTGACTTGTCTTTCTTCTGCTTTCAGATACTGTGCTCAATAAAGTTTACCTGTTATGTGAGTTTTCTGTCACTGAAGTAAGTAGCTTGTTTTTATGAGTCTTGGCAGTGGGCAATTGACCATTACCATACATGAATTGTGTGTGTGATTATATTTGTAACTTCATTTGTATTAAGGAAACATTTCAAATTATGACTTAACAACTCCCAATAATTTCATCATCTGTGTTATCAGAAAGTGGCAATAATATTGATAAAAACAACCAATGTTTCAAATATAATTTTCTAAAATTTCTCCTTATGTATGTTTGTCTCTAATATTTTTCTTAGAGAATTTTAAAAGTAAACTTTCAGTCCTTGATCACACTTAGTACAGAAGCGGAGGCACTGAGAGCAATGGGGAGGATCTGGGGTCGTCTGTAGCATTTGGGTGATTAGAGAATCTGTGCATTATTGGCAAACCTTTGTTTTTAATTGTTTTGCAGAACAAGTTAGATGTGACGATTTCTCAGTCAACCTACCAGGACCCTAATAACTTAGCATTTCAGGAGATTAAAATACTTGGCACACAGGAACCTACCAACGTTACAGTGAAACACAATGGTGTCCTCACTCAGACTTCGTCTAAAGTCACTTATGATTCTAGTCTGAAGGTAAAAGGTCATTTTGTTGAACTTCTTTATTTCATTTTGTATTTTTCCTAACATCCTGGTGTGTCTTTATGCAAAGGCTGAATGAGTTTCTAAAGTACCAAATCATTGTGAGCTCTGTGATGGGTAAGTCCGAGGGTTGGGAAAGAAAATGAGAATGAGGAGATGGCCAGAGCTAGACTGAGACAGGGAGCTGCCGAGGAACCGGCTGCGGTACAATGCTCTTCCCGTCCTTGTTGTCTTCTCTGCACCTGCACCTGGGTGTACTTCTCTCTTCACTGACTTTCCTTCCAGGAAAGAGTTATGACGAGTGGACACAAGAAGAGCAGAGTGAGAAAAGTGGGGAATGGCCTGAGGAAAAGGGATCTGGGCACTTAAAGGAGATGCATTAAGGCAAAGAACTTGGTAATCTTACCTAATGAATGCTTATTTGATGAGATGATAATAGTGAAATAAATTTTCAACACATGTGCTGAGATCTTACCCATTGAACAATCTTATAATCTGCTTACCTGATACCTTAACATTTTGAAGACTTTTTTTCTCCAAATAGTTCTGATCATAAATACTCAAGGGATCTTGGTATCAGAGCTGCTAGCTCTGCATGACTTGCAAGTGTTCTTCTAAACATGAGAAATCTAAGTGGGAAGGATTTCACTTTAAAGTTAAATTGAGAGTACACATATTGTAAAGTTAGTGGTAAAGTTGTGTGTTTTGTTACATAACTTTGAGTACTTCAAAGTTCAAGACATTTTAAATATGTATATGTGAAAACAAATTGAATCCTTTTTAGTCAGATAAATTAATTAACATAGGACAAAATTAACTCTTACATTGTTTGAATTTGGGTGGAAGGGAGTCATAATTTGCCTAAATGAAAATATTGCAAGGTGGCAGGAAATCAAAATGAATATAGAGGAAATGTTAGTACCTGTATTATTTGATATTCAAAGTTCAATGGGATCAAGCCTCTCAGATTGGGCAAGGGTAGAGCTGGCCTTGAAAGATGGAATAATGAATTGGTTTTGGGAATGTTTTGGTAGCAAGTGGCTGGGAATGCTAAATGGTAACAAATTAGGATTTGGTTTTTAGTCTACAATTAGAAGACTAGAAAACAGAGAGTTGCTGTCATTGATTCAGTGCTTCAAAGTTTTCAAGATTGAAGTCTTTTCTTCTTCTTGTTGAAAATGACTGCTCAGTTTCATTATCACAATCTTGATGTAGGATGAATTGAAAAGAAAAAAAAAAAAAGAAAAAAATTGGTAAAGGTGATGAAATAAGCCTTCAAATTAAGAAGGATTGTTGGGTCAGAAATTTCCATGGGTGGGGGGAAGAAATTCCCAATGAACTTGAATTTATTTTTACATGATTTTAGTTCTGATATGTTCATTAAAAATTTACACATTTAAACTGGGTGTAGTGGAACAAGCCAATATCAGCACTCTGAAGGCTGAGGCAGGAAAACTGCTGTCAGCTGGAGGCCAACTTGGACTACATAGGGAGTTCAAGGCCAGCCTCAACTACGTAACATGACCATCTGTCAATAAAACAAACAAGCAAAAACCCCTAGCTGGGCACTGTGCTGTAAGAACATATTTTATATATTCTGTGAGGTAAGACTTTTGTAGGAAGTAGAGGTAGAGAATGGGTTTAGTAGTACAGGGAAGTGCAAGGTAATTTATACTAGGAGACTGGGAGAAGGATACTAATTCTCCACATGTGTTCATAGTGGTTTTGACAAATGAGAACATTAACCAAAGAAAAGGGCTATTTAGAAAATACTATACTGCAAAAATATGAAGATCAATACTATAAATGCAAAAAATATGAAGTATTTGATCCGGAGAGGAGGAGTCAGGAAAGATCCCCAATTTTTAATGTTTGGGCTTTGAGAAATGAAGAAGCGAGAAATTTAGAAATCAAAGGAAATGTTATCATTTATATAACTTGCCAGTTTTTCAGTTGATAAAACAAGCCCAATGAATTTAAACCGTTCATCTAAGATTCCATACCAAAATAGGAATTAGACTACAGTCATGTTGTTCCTCCAAAGCAGACCAATGGAGACATTGGTTTGGGAGTGAAGGGAAAGAAGGTAAGCTCAATTTGGGAGGAGCTGACTAAATAAAGAAGGGTAAGGGGAGGCAGAAAAAAACAGAAAAGAAAGAAAGGGGGTGATCACAATAGCTTTTATTTAGCTCACTTCTTGTTACAATATAACATACAAGTTTTGACAAAGTAGTGACATTTGCTGTGTTGTTACTGACCAGTCCCTCTGTCATACACACAGCTCTGTTCATACAAGTTATAGTGATATGTTAATTGGATTGGTGACAGTCTAGTATCATTTCTACTTATTTCATTAAAAAAAACTTTAAGATTTGCAAGGCCTTCATCCTGAGGCTGAATTTCCTGTGACTTCTGCAATCCCTACAGGTTGCCATTATCACAGAAATTAATCTTGTCCTGGGAGAGGCATACACGGTGGAGTGGAGCACAACCACAAGGGATGAAATAAAAATAGACTGTTACCCCGATGCGCATGGTGTCACTGAAGCAAACTGCATTGCCCGTGGCTGTGTCTGGGAGGTAAGCTTGCTGATGGCGTTTGTGCTCCCTGAAATTCTCTACTCCTAATCTGCAGTTTCAATCCAGAGAAAGAAGACTTCCAAAGGAATCTGATCCTGGTGTGAGGCTAGTTATCAGTGTCTTTAATAAGTGTTTCCTTTAGAGATTAGTAATTTAAATTTTTGCCACTAATATATGATACCTAAGTAAACAAGTAAGATGGTGATATTGTCTTCACATAAATTGCCTTTTCTATCAGTATTCGGTAAGGATGGAACCCTATGCTGATCTGTGAAATTGACTTGTTATTTCAGGAATCCAGTACCACAGGGGTCCCATTTTGCTATTTTGTCACCGATCTGTACTCTGTCAGCAATGTGCAGTATGACTCACAGGGCGCGAGCGCTGACATCTCCTTAAAGTCTTCTTCTTACGCCAACGCCTTCCCCTCCACCCCTGTGAGCCCCCTGCGCCTGCAGGTGACCTACCATAAGGATGAAATGCTGCAGTTTAAGGTAAACACTGGATATGTGTCAGGTACTGACACAACCTTTTTTGGTCCTGCTATTTTTTTTTTTTTCAGTACTGAGGATTAAACCCAGGGCCTTTGCATTCACCTACATCTATATTCTGTTTTTTATGTTTTAATTTTAAGACGGGGTCATGTAAAATCATTCAGTTGAGCTTGACTAAACTGAAGCTAAAATGAGCTCAAATTTTTGATCCTCTTGCCTCAGACTCCAGGAATGCTGAAATTATAGGCATTTGTATCCACACCAGTCAGTTTACTCTTTTAAATTCAGTGATGTAATAAACTAGATCATAATCCTAATCCAAAGAACAGCAACAAATGGTTAACAGAACAGTGTGATGTATCCTAATTTGCATTTAGGTAATTGTGGTGGCTACTCAGGAAAACAGCTAGGAGAGTGAGAAATGGAGAGAACAGTTAGGAGCCTTCCTTTCGGGTGGGGCAGGTGAGCGATTGATGCTTTTTATGTTTCCATCCCTACCAGAGGTGGCTATGGATTTGAAATGAGTGAATTTGCTTGGTCTATCCTTAACTCCTGCTTACTCTGCCTTTTCATAGAGCAGTAGCTGCCTTCCAGATCTGTGCCTTTCTGAGCCCACTTTTATGCTCCATGCCTTTGTCTTTCTTATTTCTTTTCCAGAAAGACATAGTCTCATTTTGTATTTAGTTAATGGCTACAAAACTTTAAGACTCAGTATATGTTTTTTTCAGAGTGTCAGCATCCCAGAAAAGGTGTTAGGTATTTTCTTCCCAATAGTCTCACAGCACTTCTACATAGTTTTGCATTAACCCTTATCACTGAAGTGCTGTGACTGGCTCTCTTTCACATCAAGTTAAAATATGAAATTTTCAAAATAATAATTTTGGCTTAATCAGTTTAAATCCCTGGTGTCCAGCACAGTATCAAGCAGCTATGTAGTACATACTCAATAAATCAATTTATATACATTTTTCAGCAAGGACATTAATCCAAGTAATTCTTGCTTTTTTTTTTTGTACTGGTAATTGAACTCTCATGATCTTATGCTTGCCAGTAGTTCATGCTTTTTTTGAGGAGTATTTCCCACTTCCAAATGGTTTTTAAGCGTTCACATACTCATATACCCACACACAAAAATGAATATATTGATAATTACCGCACTGACTTATGAGTATATTTTAAGTACCATCTATATCAAAGTGAGTGTTGTTAGATACAACACATGCAGTTCAAAATGTTAAAATCTAATATTGTCCTTTGATATTCCTATTAAATTGGGATATCAGAGAAAATAACAATAAGAAATAGCATCCATACCCCTGTCAAAAATGTCAACATTCTTCTAAGATACAGATTTCAAAAGTACGATCACTGAGCAAAAGAGTTTCTAAAAAATTGACAGTAATGGTTGTACATCTGTATATTGTGATGTTTTGATTCTTTTATATATAACAAACTGATCAACTCAGGATAATCATTCATAATTTCATATGTCTCTCATCCCTTTAAATTAAGAACATTAAAATCTTCACTTATAATTATTTTGAATTCTATGAAGAAATATCATTAACTGTAAACACTTGCTGTATAATGAAACAGCAGATATTCCCCCATATACATCTTATAAAAATTTGATTTCTTTTCCCTAGATTTATGACCCCAACAACAATCGCTATGAAGTTCCAGTTCCACTGAACATACCCACAGTTCCATCCAGCACCTCTCAGAGTCGACTCTATGATGTCCTCATTAAGGAAAATCCATTTGGAATTGAGATTCGCAGGAAAAGCACAGGCACTGTAATGTAAGTGGCTCTTACTCTGAATTTCTGGTCACTTACATTTTCCTTGTCAGTGTTTTGTCCTTGGATATATTATGGTTCAAATTAAAACACTGTTCACTTCTAGATCCATGAATATATTATTTCCTTCAGGCCTTTTACTAGGAGCCCAAGAATAATTGCTGAGGCAATTCCTGGGAATTCATTCAACTAATAGACGTTTATAGGGTACCTTCTCTGTGCCACATACTGTTTTATGTTGTAGTTAGGACTGAAGGAGTCTTTCTTCTCATGATACAAAAGATAGTGTAATTATAAATTAAAAAGAAAAAAGTTAGATAGTGATAGCTACCTTATAGGAAGAATAGAAGATCAAATGAGAGTTGTCAGAGATTTCTGTTTTCCATACTGTAATCATCTGTGGTCTCTAAAGAGGAGATGAAGTAATACTTGGGTATGGGGAAGGACATGTCCACATGAGCCTTGGGAAGGGAAAGAATAGTTTAGATAAAGGGAATAGTAAATATACAGACCACAAAAAAGAGAAGACTTGGCATGTCTAGCAATATAAAGGTCTAAAGTAATACTTGGGGAAATAAGAGGTGGGGATGAAGCCGGGATGTTAAGTGGGTTCAGATAAGGGGCAGCTTTAGGGAGTGTGTATGGTGTTTGTATTAAAAGCCACTGAAGAATGCAACAGAGGAAACGCATGATATGAGGTTCCTTTAGAAACATCAGTAAGTCTTCATGAAAGGAATGGAGCATCCTGGAGCAAGAGCAGAAGGCGGGGCTGGTACGGAGGGTGGCAGATGAGATGGTGGGAAGTATTCACTTTAGTGTGGTGGGGGAGCAGTGAAAGGGCACAGTGACAGAGAAAGCAGAGAAGGGGAGGCTGCCTTCTATCTTTCAACAAGGGCATCAGTGATAGTTTTATCCATGTGAACTGCGCTGTACTAGGAGATGAGCAGGCTCTGTTGGCAGGAGACAATTAGCAGTTCTGCTGCCCTTGGAAAGTCAGCTGCTCCAACTCAGTAAGGAAAGCTGAGGTCCTTTATAACCTACCTGTGCACTTCTCAGCTGGGACTCGCAGGTCCTGGGCTTCACCTTCAATGACATGTTCCTCCGCATCTCCACCCGCCTGCCCTCCTCTTACATCTATGGCTTTGGTGAAACGGAGCACACGGCCTTTCGGAGAGACCTGAACTGGCACACGTGGGGCATGTTTTCCCGAGACCAGCCCCCAGGGGTGAGCATGCGTCTCTGCTTCTGTCTGCCTTCAGCGTGTGTGCTTTGTGCTTAGTCTTCCCTGGCTGGGTGGGGCTTGTCACACTGTGCTCTGAGACAAGTGGGCCCATACCTGGTCAGCTTTGTTTGCCTGTGTTTAACTTACTTCTCAGGAAAGGCAAGACCCGTCTTAATAAACATATGGGCTGAATTTCCTAATGTGTCACAGTGTGTGCTAACCCTGTGTCCCTTCTCCCCCCTGATGTTAGTACAAGCTGAATACCTATGGTGTCCACCCTTACTACATGGGACTCGAGGAGGACGGCAATGCCCACAGTGTGCTGCTGCTGAACAGCAATGCCATGGGTAGGTGATGCCGATGCTCCTTTATTTTTTGGAATACTACTTACTCCTAAGTAATGTTAGAATTTGAGTGACCTGGCTGCCCCGAAGTCATAATTCCTATCTTGTGGATTTTGTTGTTATTCTGTGTAGCATTCTGTTTATTTCATTCCAGTGACAAGTAATAATAAGATTACTCCTTTTTTTTTTGACAGAAATCACATAGGAAGGGAAAACAAAACCAAGTTACTTCCAAATATCCTACAGTTCAGCTAGTGGGAACAACTATCTAACTTGAATGATTTGTAATCTATGAATCAGTGCACTTAATTTTGGGATGGTACATAGAATATTTGTGTGGTATTTAAGAAACCAATGGAAAATCAGGATGTAGGGAGAAAGTGATTCCTCCCTATATACGCCATGGATGAGGTAGCAATATTTCGTCATTGTCAGCCTCCTGTTTGACAGCACATGGTTACTGAATAAGATGCTAGAGCTAGCCTGAGCCTTGTAAACATGTGAACCCTCAGTTATATTTATTTAACCTTTTGTAAATTGCAATCTACTGTAAAACACAAGTTGAAATGATTTTTAAGAGCAAAACTGGAAAACATATAACATCGTAATATGGAACACCATAAAAGAAACATTGAAGTATGAGATCTGTAAATTCTTACTCAGCTTGTTTAATTCTTGTTAGTGAAGCGAAGAATATTTGCTCTCATATTCTATAAAGAGATATATGGATGCCAGAGCTAATTCTTCATCATGAAGTTTTCCAAGTTGGTTAACATTTTCCTATCTTTTCAGATGTGACGTTCCAGCCCTTGCCTGCCCTGACATACCGAACCACGGGGGGAATTCTGGACTTTTATGTGTTCTTGGGCCCAACTCCAGAGCTTGTTACCCAGCAGTACACTGAGGTAGGAGAATATTTTTTGCTTATCAGGTATTTATTTAGACCTTCTGTATTCTACAGGCTATATCCATTTATATAAATGTCACATGATAAATGGAATCATTGTTTTTCAGAGGTGTATACGTTTTATAGGGAAGCACATATGTTAAATAACTGTTAAATTAAACTTATTGTAGAGTAGTAGAAGTGGCCATGCTAACATTGATGGTGACAAGGCTAGTTGTAGTGGAGTGTGCTTTATTCTGGGTAGAGCCATGGCGATGATAAGGACGGTAGAGTTGATCCTAGTGGCTGTGGGTTGGAGGGAATGATGTTAGTTTTGGTGATGGAATAGCAGTGAAGTTGTAGTGGTGGTGACGTGCTGGTGGTGGTGGTGAGGTTGGGAAATGTGACACTGATTTGAAGGGTGTTGATAATGTGGTTGTTGTGAGGAGTGTTGGTGCTTGTGGCAGCAATGACAGGAACTTGTATAATAATTACATCTATTATTTACTGCATATCAAAGAATTTAATACATGTTTTCTCATCCTAAAAGCCCTAGACAGATGTTACTATTGCCTCCAATTTATAGATAAAGAAAGCAAGCACACAACAATACTTCTCTTTCCTTAATGTTCACAGGAGAGCCACCCAGGCATTTTTCCTTTGGCTTATGGTTTCCCACCATATAAATTAGACCAAATCTAAGAATTAGAGCAAGCCCAGATTTTCCAGAATTCTTATAGGAGATTCAGTATAGCAGAAATAATTACTTCTTGTATTGCCACGGTTCTGCATCCTTTCAGTTAATCTCTGGATTTGAATTTATTGACTGCCTAATTGGAGAATTGATGTATAACATTATTCTGGCCTTTTCTTTATAAGGACTATTATTTTTTGTCTATTTTCTAGGTTATTGGTCGGCCTGTGATGGTGCCTTACTGGTCCCTGGGGTTCCAGCTATGTCGCTATGGATATGAGAATGACTCTGAGATTGCCAGCCTGTATGATGACATGGTGGCTGCCCAGATCCCCTATGTACGTAAAGGACCTGTGCATTAGCTCTGAGATCTTGTAGCTAGCTCACATATCTTACTGTCTGGATTAGGTGTAGAGTTTTATTATTTTCTGGAGGAAGACAAAGAGTTTTCTCACATTATGTCACAATGAGTATCAGCCCAACACAGTTATACACATGGGAACCTTGGCTCCCACCTAGGTCCTAGAGGACTGAAGGCTCACAGCAATGACATAAAGCTGATGTAGGCTTTTTCTACTGTGTCGTGCTCTTTTCCATTTCCTTTCCATGACTTCAAAGCGTTTAGTGTAAAATCCTTTGGTCCTGTAAGAATAAATGTCCCTTAAACAATAGTTTTGCTTATCAAAAAGGAATTAAAATGCATGAGGCTATTGTATGTGGCGATGTGTCTTCTGTTCGAGTGCCTGGTGACTGCAGCACAGTGTTTCTACTCACTTTGGGTCAATCACAGGCTGACCATGGGGATCTTGGCGTGGTTTTCCAGAGCAAGTGCATATGCAAACAAACCAGAGGCCAAGAGGGGCACAATAATCCAAACTGACCCCATGGGCCACTTTTATGTTTAAATTTATTCTCCTTAATGTACAATGAAAAGAAATGACATCACAAAGTATATGGTCTTCTTAAGAGAGTTGTGTCTGATTACCTACAAGATTGGATGAAATATTTATACACAGCTTTGTGGAGTTTTTTGTTTTATAGTAGATTTTGTGTCCATATGGTTTTATGATTCATACTGTGTTATGATTGCACCGTTCTCATTACTTTTAGTGAACAAAGGTCATTAATACTACAGATGGCATTCTGGGAGAGGTAACCATAACCAGTCTTTAATATTGGCAAATCAAAGCACTTTCTCCGAATGTGTTTTATTTTTCACTGTAAAAGCCCTTGCACATACACATTACCATCTTTTATCCTTTTGCTCACTTAGAGATTTTTCTTTTTTTTTGTCTTTTTCTTTTTTATTGGTACCGGGGATTGAACTCACGACTGCCTGCTTGCAAGGCGGGCACTTATGCCGCTGAGCTAAATCCCAAGCCCCTCACTTAGAGATTTTTAAGTTTAAAAATTGCCTCCAATTTATAGATAAAGAAAGAAAGCACACAACAATACTTTTTTTAAGTTTAAAATTGCCTCCAATTTATAGATAAAGAAAGCAAGCACACAACAATACTTCTCTTTCTAGTAAAGTAGAAAAGTAACTAAGACTTTTAGTCTTAGTTACTTTTCTCCTTGCTGGGACAAAATATTCAACAGCCAAAGGAGGAAAGATTTATTTTGGCCTGTTTGTAGAGGTTTCTGTGCATAGTCAAGTGGCTCCAAAGCAGGGTGGCATGGCAGCCGAGCGTCAGAGAGAGGAAACAGTTCACAGAGTGTGAGGCATGAGACAGCAGCAGCAAGCATCAAAAGCAGCAGAAAGAGCAGAAACAATAGCAAAGCAAACCTCCTTTTCCTTTTTATCCTATCCACGCTATGAACCTTTGGGGTGGTGCCACTTACCCAGGTTGGGCCTTTCAACAATGCACAAATACAACTATGAAAAATCACTTAGTAGACTAATTCAGATGACTGTTACCCTCAAACCCAGTAACTCATACCTTAGAAGCAGCCATCTCTGAAGAGTTCCACCAATGAGCATATGAGGATTTAGGGGAACAATCAGAAATCATACCAGTTTATTTTTAAAAATTTGAAAAATGAGATAAAGTTTCTGTACGTATATCAAAAAATTCCAGAGTCATGATTTGAAAGAGCCTGCGAGAAACCTTTCAACTTCCCCACCAGTTGGATGATTGCAGCCTTTCAAAATTGGATTGTACCACCTGAGCCCCTGTGTTTCCCTGTGTCCTCCCACAGGACGTGCAGTACTCAGACATCGACTACATGGAGCGGCAGCTGGACTTCACTCTCAGCCCCAAGTTTGCTGGGTTACCGGCTCTGATTGATCGCCTGAAGGCCGATGGGATGCGGGTCATCCTCATCTTGGTTAGTCCTGTGTGAATGTGACTAGTATGGGCAGTGGCTGCCCTCGATGGAGAATGCATTAGGCTGTATTTTCTTTTGTGCTGCAAGAAGAGAAATTGAAGCACAACGAGAATTTGATATTCTAGGGTTGATGGATGTATTAAAGTTCAGATGGAAGCCAGAGACACCTGTGTCAACAATTCCCCTGTCTCCTGCCCCTTTGTCGTTCCCTGGCTGTGGTTTCCCCTCCTGACTTGTGCTTTGCTTTCAGGACCCAGCCATTTCTGGCAATGAGACGCAGCCCTACCCTGCCTTCACTCGGGGTGTGGAAGATGATGTCTTCATCAAGTACCCAAATGATGGAGGCATTGTCTGGGGAAAGGTATGACCTAAGGGATGGATGATCCACCAATCCCAGGCTAGGGCAGTATCTTAGAGGTGGTAGAATGTTTGTCAGAATTGTTTCTTGGTCCTTTGCATTTGGGATCTGAGGTCCATACTTTTAATTTTTCAATCAAGGTTAGTTGGTACAGGCGAGAATTTTGTAGAATCTACCTGACTCTATGTTGGAGACCACAAATTCACAGTGGCTCATTTTGCACAGTTCCCTAAGTTTCAAATGTAGATTTGAGATTAGAGTATCACCTTTGGAGACTTCTCATTAATTCTTTTTCATGGGCTATCATCTGCCACCCACTAATATTAAAGTAAAATTCCTAAGATTAAAAAGAACGCTGCAGGGCAAGATCCTTCTTAGCATAAGATCATCTCTACACTCTTGAGTCTTTCCAGGATTATTCATTTACTCCTGAAACTGCAGACCTTGAATCTTGTGCTAGTTATACTTTAGGCATCCATTAGAAAGTGGCTGCATTGGAGTATCTTGGTCCCTGCCCCTGCTGAGGCATGGGCCTCCCAGCACCCCACCATGCATTACTCAATTTTCTCCGTTTCTCATTTCATCCTCTTGCCATAGCCCTCATACAGGCAGTTGGGCATCTTGACCAGGTCTTCAGTCCCTCTAGATTAGACATACATGCTAATTGATGCATTAGTGACCGTTAAAGCATAGTTTCAATTTTCTTGGGAAATACTGTATGGTGCATTGCTGTTGAATGTTTGTTTCTCCACAGGTTTGGCCTGATTTCCCTGATGTTGTTGTTGATCCCTCTCTAGACTGGGATAGTCAAGTAGAGGTAAGAGCCCCACTGTGCATCTTTGTGGAGGGTTTTTTGGGACCAAGGAGCCTTACCCAGGTTTCTGGAAATTCCCTGCCATGGGTATGGGTTCAGCAAAGGATAAACACTTAGGAATTATGTCCTGAGTGTACATAAGTCTGTGTGCAGATTTCTTCATATACAGTAAAGATCTGTTTCCTGTAGCAATGAAGGTACTGTTAAGGTGTTGTTATCCTTGGGAAAGTGAGAGATCTTCAGATTTTTTTCATGGCTTTAGATGACTCTGGTAATTTCGCCCTCAAAGCTGTCAGATTTCAAAGGCCCCTGAAATCCTGATTACACCTCACGTACAAGTGCTACTTCCCTCTGAATCAATGTGGTTATAGTTGTTTAGATAACTCTCTTACTTACAGTGTCCAAGCTTTCTCTTTAGTTATTGAGTCTTTCTCTGCACATTATTTGTTCTTTTATTCTTCTCTACCTTGTCATGTATAAATCCCCACTGTCAGGTTCCTTGAATCTTGAGTCTTTCCACTTTTCTCTTTCTCCTTAATTTCCCATCTTTCTTGAAAATTCTTTCCTAGGAACAGTTTCTTGTTTGCAATGGATTCTGATAGCCCCTACAGCTGGACATAAATGCTGTCCAGCATCATCAATCATTTGTTACCTGAGTGAATTGGTGCTGCTTGTTATTCAGTAGCTTCAACTGTATTCTACCCTGTGATATGTACACCGTGAAGTGATGTTACCCACTGTTCTGATAACATCTCTGAGCAGGGTTCCCTTAGTTCTTAAAAATCATTATCTCTCCTGACCTTGTTTCACTCTTTTTCTGCAATGATTACTCTTTCCATAGGATATTTTAGCCCAAGGAACTGCATAGAATTGTTTTTAAGTCATTGAAGAGATATTTTTCTTTTACCACCAGTAGTACTGAAAGGCATAAGGGGTCCAATATCTGGCCTGTGTGGTCAACAAGGTGGTGGACATTTTACTACTATGAAACTCTGTCAGTTTAAGAATGAATAAATGTTTATCAGTGTTGTGAGAAGAAAGCACAGCAGTAAAGTTTTATAGTATTACTCAAAGCCCAAGGCCAAGAGCCCTTTAAATAGCTCTTAAAAAATATCGGATTCTATCTGATGGATGGGGGTTTATGTGAAAGATTTCCCATTATAAGGTAGTCCTGAAGGCACATTATCAGTGTTGGATAGAAGAATAATATTATACCGAACCTGCATATCTGAGGAGAAATTTCTCAGGTGGGACAGCTCTCCCGGAATAGTGAAAATAGGTATGACTGGTTAGGCATGTATTCTTTTGTGGTGTTACTTTCTGACTGCATGTATCCTAGTTGACAGTAGTGCCCTAGCTCTAAAACATGACACAGGTACTGTTGAACAGGATGCCTGTCTTTGGGCTGTATATGTCTTCATGTTTTGTCCGTAGAGGCAGTAGAAGAGACTGCATTTGATTGGGGCACGTTTCTCAAATTTGCAAGAGAGTTTCAGACTGAGCTCTATATTGTTTTCTTTTTGTGATCTTTTACAAGTATCTATGTGTCTGTCTGTCTATCTACCTATGTAAGATGTGATGAGAATTTGAGGGAAATGACCTATCCATTCTCCTTTCCTCCATTCTTATAAATAATCACATGAATTTTGGTGTTTCACGTGGTTCATGTGGTCACACAAATGTGCCAGGCAGAGGCACTGGTGGACACAGGATTCCATAGTTATATTTTTGCATTGATAGTGGGGCTGCTTCATTCGTCATATGGTTGCGTATTAGCATATGAAACCTACAGCCCATCAGCCACTGGAGTGACTACTAACCCTAATGATGAGGTTATTTGGAGGCCTGTGCTTCAGTGTTGATTATCACACAGTGATTGGGAAACAGCATGTGACTTTCAGTGTGTGGTGTCCAGGGTCGCCCATAGAATTCAGTTGCTCCAAATGAAAATTTTGCTTTTGAGGGAAACACTTTATTTGGAATCACAGGAATTGCAGCTTAGTACCCACAGTGGATTAGAATAAGCAATTCTTGATCCAGTCATTCGGGTATGCATAGCTCTGGTTCAATATCCAAGTAAGTATAAGCAAAGAGGAAGGGTGGAATGTTGACAGAGTACAGATGGCCTCACCCTTAGTGAATGGAAATGAATGATTCGAGTGTGACTTATTGAGGTTAATATAACATGGTTGGCTTAATTTCCACTTGCATCCTCTTGTTGATCAAACTGTAATGCAGACATAGCTAATATTTGCTTTTCATCCTACTCCTCTGTTCCCTCTGTATCCTGTTGTTTCTGACCTTGCCTGGGATGGAGTCTCTGGAGTGGAATGTTGTTTTCTCCTAGTTTTATGGTTTCATTTCTTTCAGTCATTTGAAGATGCTTCCAAAGATTTCTAATAATGTGACTTCTTGCTTTTTGTAAGAAAGGTCTGTGCACGCAGATCTATTTGCATGTTTTTATGTTTTCTCTAGACATGTGATTTTCTCTAGACAATTGATTTTGTGTACTGTGAGTAGGAACTGATATTCCCTTAGGTAAAGGTCTTTCTGTTGCTCCTCTGCCCTTACCCCCAATATTATTGAGCTATTTCACTATTAGAAAATGAATGGTGTGATTAACCAGAGGAGATTGTTTATAGAGGTCTACCAGCTATCATCATGTCCTTTACAAGGAACATGGAGTATACAGACATTTTTGAATTTTGCTGCTTAAAGATATGAGACTTTACAATTAAACCGGACATTTATTGTTGTTTCTTATGAATTATTATGTCTGGCTAAGAAGATATAATAATAAAGGAGCAAAAAATAGAACAGAAGAATATCAGAACATTTTCTTCTAAAAGCATTCAGTCCAATTACACAGATCCCTGTTTTAAAATTTTATTTTTATTAGTACATATTTGAAGTCCACAATGATTCCATTATTCATGGGGAGTATGTGCACAGCACATCTTTCTTGTTTTTAATATCTGTCTGCTGTTCCTGTTCTTCCTTCCTCCATTTCTTAATCCCCTTCCCTTTTGCCAAGAGTGGCACTTTAAATCTATATTTACAGTTCACATAAGGACATTATGTTTACTATTTGAGGGTGCAGGGAGAGTGGGCATTGAAACTTTCTCCTAAGGTCCCCTCATTTCACATTAGACACAGCTGCACAATACTTTTATATGTGTGTCTTTAATAAGAGTGCATTTGTTGGTTCATAATATGGGTCCTTTACTATGTGAAATGTGGTACTAGGTTAAGGAGAGAGAGGAATGAAAGTATAGCTGCACTTTTTATGTAGTTAAGAAACTATAGAAAATAAAGATGCATCCAGGTGTAATATCACAAGCGCAAATTGTATGCCTTCCTCTCAATCCTAGCTGATGTTTTGTTGTAACCTGCTACGGCACATCTCATTTCTACTCTTTCTCCTTATCATCGTTCTGCCTCTTGCCTTGTCTTTGAGAAGAGTTTAGGAAATATCTGGACAGAAGTTGAAGGCTGAGCATCCAGAGCATCAGATTATGAGATGAGGTTGCTGTTGCTGTTCATATTAACCTGTAGGGGTAATCAACCTCTGCATGTCTTCCAAACTCTAGGGTATATGATTTGTGCTCATTCTTCTGTATTGTACTCAAGAAACCTACGCAGGTTTGTTCTGTTCGGCCTATCACGATCTACCACCTGACAGTGTAGTCTTTGCATGGGTTACATTGTAAGTAAGTGTTTGCTTGCTGTGTAATACATTCATTTAGCACAAATGAGTTATACTTTGTTTTTATAGCAATACCGAGCTTATGTGGCTTTCCCAGACTTTTTCCGTAATTCAACTGTCCTGTGGTGGAAGAGGGAGATTCAAGAGCTGTACAACAACACACAGAATCCAGAGAAGAGCTTGAAATTTGATGGCATGTGGATTGTAAGTGTGTGCATATGTGTTCCTTACACATGGATAGGTGTGCATATCTTTTTCTTTCTTAAGTTGCAGATCTGTGACTTCTAGATGTGAATAATAGTGAAGAATGCTTTGCATATTTCAAAAACACTTAGTCACTCAGTATGGGGAAGCCATGATACCCTTCAAACCTTGTATCTTGCCCTAGGTTTCTGGTGCAAGACCTCCTGGGCCATTACTAGGAATGCTTTGCAGGTTTCCTTGCCCTAAGAGAGAATTTTTGTCACCCTCTGACCAGTCACCTTGTAGGTATTAACTGAGTTTTTAAGTTGTTCTTCTCTGGATTTGATGAACTTCCTGCTGCAAGCATGTATAGAGATTCCAGTATTTTAAATAATTTATTCACTACTCTCTTTTCTCTGGACAGGACATGATTATCTTTTAAAATGAACTATGAACACTTATTTTGTAGGACATGAATGAACCAGCAAGTTTTGTGAATGGAGCTGTCCCTTCAGGCTGCAGGAATGGTACTCTGAACCATCCTCCCTACATGCCATGTAAGGACCCTAAGCCTCTCTGCAGTGTATCCCTAGATAAACGTAGGGTGACACCTAGAAGAGCCCAGCATCTAGGGGTTTATCCTGAGCCCTGAGGACATGCCCTAATTGATCCGATGGTTTTTGGAAATCAAGACAAAATCACTTTTAGGACTTTACTCAACTTATGGTCTGCAGTGTACTGGGCCAGAGGGATTGATGTTGAACACCTTGATGGAGTCCTCACTGTAGGTTAGAATAAATAGTATTCTTTCTGGGAAAACTATAGGAGGGATCCATGAGCAATCATGTTATGGTTAAGTTTCACAGTTCAATGTCTTACACAGAAAAGGGAATGAGGACTAAATGCAATAATGATGTTATCTTAAGTGTTTTCCCCTCAGATTTTATTTGAAATTTCAGGAGACTGTAATTTCTCCAAAGAAGTCTCACACATTGATTTCAAAGCTGTCCATTAATCTCTTTGGTGAATGGTTGAGGAGCTCAATGCTTTCTACTTTCAAGAAGCACCTCTTGTTGCCACTCATCTATGAGACAGATTAATTCATGATCTCTCTTAGTTTTTGGTGATAGTATATCTTCAATGATTTATTTTGCCACTAATTGATTTAAATTAATGGTATCCTCTTCTATTGTGGGTCATGGACTTTATTGACCTTGAAGTTGTGTTTGTATTTTAATCCCTAGAAATTATACTTTCTATAAATTTGGCGACTTTCCATAGATTATATAAAGTTCCATGTCTCAACTTTTTATACTATAGGCAATCACTAATCTTCCTCCTAGAATTGTCTAAAATCAGTTAGAAGTTAAAATAGAGTGTATCATCCCTAATGATATAGTGTTTAAGAACCCTGAGTTTTCTGGCAGGAAATTCTGCTTTCTGTAGTGAACTTGATGTTGAAAATTCTGGGGTAAATGGTCATACCACAGCACCCACTGTTGTTACCTTGTCCCTGGGAAGCAGGAAATAATCTTCAGATTCAGAGTATCTTCCCTTAAAAAGGCTGCGGGTGGTTTTGACATTTCTAAATCTTTCCCCTTAGATTTGGAGGACAGAAATGGTGGCCTAAGCAGTAAGACCCTGTGCATGGAGGGTGAGCAGATCCTTCCAGATGGTTCCAGAGTGCGTCACTACGATGTGCACAGCCTGTATGGATGGTCTCAAACCAGGCCCACCTATGAGTGAGTTTCTCTCTGCCTTCTCTAGTTGATAAAATCTGTAGGATCAGCCAGTGATGGGTGTAGAATCTCTACAGTTCTTTGATGTATCATGCGAAGATTTAGGGAGAGTTTAAGTACAAGCCATTTTAAATCTTAAACAAAAAGCCTGCAAGCATACAGCCAGGCCCTATTACTGTAGCTGATATGACCGAAGTAAATAAGTCAGTTTTTCCGATCATAGAGAAACTAACAATCCAAATGGGTCACACACAGAGGGTTACCAGTGCTGTGACAGCATTGATTAGAAGTCTCAAAAGTAATAAGAATGATAAGTGCGTTTTTTTCATCTCAAAATGGACATATCCCTATTTTTCACCTACTGTGTTTGAATAGTTCCTGCGTATCCTGTTTAATTAACCTTTTCTAGTTTGTGAAGTCACTGGATAGTATTTATAACCTTCAGTGAATCTGTAAAAAAGAACTTGCCTCTTTCCTCCTCTTGGATAGAAAACCAAGTCTCGTGTTAATAAGTAACAGAGTTAGTGCTTGTTTACAATTTCAGGATAACCACGTGATTTTATCATATTGTGAACTCATGGTAAACACTGAAAAAATAAACCAGTCATATTAATGGCCTCCATCAGTGTGCACCACCCTACCTGAGTTCCATGTATTCTTGTTCTGATGAGGTGTGAGGCAAACAGTTCCTCACCATGCCCTAGCCACCGGGAACTTTACAAGGCAGAGGCCTGTAGCCTTTCTTTTCCTACTTTGGTGTCATTTCACCCCCTTGCTGTCCTCCAACCAGAGCCGTGCAGGAGGTGACAGGACAGCGAGGGATTGTCATCACCCGCTCCACATTCCCCTCTTCTGGCCGCTGGGCAGGACACTGGCTGGGAGACAACACGGCCGCGTGGGACCAGCTGAAGAAATCGATCATTGGTAAGTGGGTCTGTTGGCAGGGCTGTGGTGGCAGGGAGGGGTGAGGGAGGAGGGGCAGGAGGAGCCAGCAGGGCCCCATGCCACCCTGACACACATGTGGTTCCCATTGCAGGCATGATGGAGTTCAGCCTCTTTGGCATGTCCTATGTAAGTGGCCTTCAGATCCCTCCTGATTGCTTCCAAGGTGGTGCCAGCATTCAGAAATCACCACCGACCTGGTTTTATTTCCTCTTGTTTCAGACCGGGGCAGACATCTGTGGGTTCTTTCAAGATGCCGATTATGAGATGTGTGCTCGCTGGATGCAGCTGGGGGCCTTTTACCCCTTCTCCAGGAACCACAACACCATTGGCACCAGGGTAGGGCCTCAGCTCCCGCTGACTGCTGTGTAGTTTATTTGTTTTTCCTTTTTGTTTTTTTCACTTAAAATGCACAACCATTTTTGAGCTAAGTTCAACCAACTGTTTCCTTGGGGAAATCATCCAAATTGTGAAGCCCTCCTCTCAGCATACCATATTCTTTGGTATTGTGTAGGGAATAATTGGGCTCAGCAAGGTTTTTCAACATTATTTGAGAGAAATATCTGAAACAAACTTGTATTTGCTTTCTAGGAGTGCTTCAGTGTCCCTTTCCAGCATATTCATAATATTCTTGAAGTCTCCCCTGTCGTTACCTTTAGTTTAGTTATGTGTGAGCCATGTGGAAAGTGTGCACTGACCCTCTGAGCTTTGTGATTTCCCCTTGCAAAATGCTGAACTGTCCTTTTCCCCCTTTAGAGACAAGACCCTGTGTCCTGGGATGCTGCCTTTGTGACTATTTCAAAAAGTGTGTTGGAGACCAGATACACCCTGTTGCCTTACCTCTACACCTTGATGCACAAGGCCCACACAGAGGGCGTCACTGTCGTGAGGCCTCTCCTGCACGAGTGAGTGTCCCCCTGGTACCTTGCGCACTAAGGCAGAATGCATTTCTTTTTGTAGAGTGGTAGTGCATGCAGAGAATTTCTCCAAGCAGAAGATATGATTTCTCTTTTATTATAAGATCATAACACCGAGATGATAATTGCACTTTTAATAGTCCCTGAAGAAAAGATATTTATCAGCTGACAAAATGTCTTAAAGGATTCTACACAATACAGCATAATTGTATGTAATTTGTCAATGCAGACACAGGTCTCCATTTCTTTTTTTTACCGTTGTTGTTTGCCTGGGCCTAAATGAGTTTAGTTAACCAAAGAAGATACTTAGTGAGAGACGAAAGCGATGAGGGCCAACCTGCGGTTTAGCATGTGCCATGGTGAGGAAATATCTTTCTGCCTTCAGAGGAGCCTGACCTGTGGAGAGCGGGGCTCCATATTTTCAGTGACACTCAGAAGTGAGGATGGCAGTGAATGCAGCTGAATTCTTCACACAGAGTTGAAGCTGAGGTCTTTCCTCAGACCCTGGGATCTGATTGTGACCAGTTTCTTTTCCTTCCAGGTTTGTGTCAGACCGTGTGACCTGGGATGTAGACAGTCAGTTCCTGCTGGGCCCGGCCTTGCTGGTCAGCCCTGTCCTGGAGCCTGTGAGTGTGGAGGGCCGTGCTGGTGGGTGGAGGATCTGAGCTGTGAGGCTGGGTGACTAGGGAAGGAGAAGCCAGCAGGGGTATGAAGTTGCCTGAGTCATGGCTTCTTGTTCTACCTTGTTCTCTTTTTCTCCTGAGTCGAAGAATATGGCTTCAATATTGTGGTATCAGCCTCCACTTCTTTAATGTCTGCCTGAAAATCCTGGTTAGAACCATAAGAAAAACAAACAAACAAATAAAGCAACAACCATTTTGTCCTAATACCCTCAAGAGACATTTGAGAATTTAACATTTCTCCAAGCAGGAAGAGTATATATGGATTTCATTACAGTGTCCTGTCACGATTAGAACACTTTGCAAGAGAGCTATCCACAGACATGTGTGTTATTCCCTTGCTTCTACTGAACCCAACTGGCTGCAACAGCCATTCCATTACTTGTCTCTGAATCACCTTAAATATGCATCTGATGCCACCTATTGTCACCCTCCTTATCATACCTATGAGTTCTGCTCCAGACCCAAGCTCAGATAGATTATGTCTTAGGTAAGTGTTTGGGCTAAGTGTATAATCCAGTGTTGATATTTTCCTCTGATGTACTGGAACCCACGAGATTTATGGAAGTCACTAAACGGGTAGCAAAATTTCCTCTGGGTGCTAACAGGGAACAGGTGGGTCCCATGCAATCTTTTCATTCCTTTTGTTTGGCCTGATATCTGTGTTCTAAAATATAGAAATTCTCACTGCCCATACATTTGTGTACAATTTCAGGATGCCAGAAGTGTCAAAGCCTATTTTCCTGGAGCCCACTGGTACGATTACTACACGGTAAGTTTTTTCTTCTTGTGTGTGTGAGGGAAATGCATAAACAAGTGAGTTAGATGGATCCTGTGCATGGCAAACCCTGGATGTGCGTGCTCCTGCTTTATATTTGTAGTCTTGCATAAACCACTTTAAGCATTGTAACTCAATTTTGTTATTGCTCTATTGAGTGTGACCCGTCACTCACATAAATGTAAAATAAACATGAAGCTTCTCACAGGGACCTGTGTTGTCCTGAGTGTTCTCTACTAGAGATTCCATACATTTTCTTGAAGCTGACTACTCACAATATTGGTATTTGTACTAGTATCTTGTGTAGTATTTGTTACACAAAGCCTTTCAAGGTAAGTCATTACAGCAGGGAGCAGATGACAGCAGAGAGTGAGCAGAAAGTGTCTCGCAGGTGTGTGCTGAACTGTGAAGTACAGGCAGCAAGTTCTGAGAGTCAGACGAGCTATCGGCCGAATGCACTGACGAGAGAGGTGTGTGTCCTGGCCTTCATGCTCTCCTTTCCCCTGCCCACAGGGTGTGAACATTAATGCAAGGGGGCAGTGGAAGGATGTGGCAGCCCCTCTGGACCACATTAATCTTCATGTGCGTGGGGGCTACATCTTGCCCTTGCAGGAGCCTGCGCTGAACACTCACTTAAGGTAAATTATGGACCAGGGCTCTGATTGGCAAAATATGAAGAACACTGGTTTGTATTGAATGCTACCAATGCCTTAATTGTCATTCTGAAGTCCAAAACAATTTTCCAGAAAATACATTTTTTTAATTTTTAAAAATTTGCTTTTGTTTTCTCCATATCCGTAACTCTTTTTATCCGTCTCCATTGTTGAGGAGAAGTTAGTGAAGACCTTGGAAGGCTGCCGCCCAGGACATTTGTGCTCGCCTGTTAGGAGCTGTAGTCAAATTGTATCTTGTATGTCTGTTGGTCTTTTCTCCTGAGTGTTTTTGTCTACACCTGCAGCCAGATGGGCTTTGAGAGGTACTAATCTGCATTCTTAAGTCCTCTGAATTTCACAAACACACTGACAGCCAGAATAGTCATTCTTCCCGGTTCATGTGAGCCTCTTGCAGTATTAGCACTGAAGCTCAGCACTTGGTTGCTGTCATCAGCTATAAAGCAGGTGCGAGGGCAGTGCCTCCACACTGATTTCTCATGAATCTTCGTGTGTGGCAGGTATCACTGGTGTTACAATCTCAACCTAGGTGCAAGCATTGTAGTTCGACAGTGAAGCAAGTGTGTCTTCATGTCAGTTGTCTCTTGTCAATTGTCCCCTTGCTCTGGCTGAGGAAAAATTCCAAGCTCTGTGTACTTGGAGGAGGGGTGAAAGCTTTACAGTGTCACTTTTCTCTCCTCAGGAATCTGTTGATTGCTACAGTTGCACCTTATCAGAGTGTGGGGCTACTGTTCTGCTCATACCCTGTCCCTAATGTTAAACGCCTCTGTCCCTGTTTCGTTTCTTTCAAGATTGTTTCATGCTCTGTGTTGAAAATTGTACTCTCTGACGTCTTTGAGAATATGAATCTACAGTTGGTTACTTTGACTGTCTTTCTTGGTGCCTTGTTGTTTGTGTGTTTATTGATATTTTGCTTTTCAAATGTAGTGAGCATTAGGTCTGACGTGAGTCTCCTTCCTGCAGAGGTGAATTGCCTTGTCTTTGCTTGCAAGCCAGTGGCACAGCTCCCATCTTGGTTTCTTATGAACTTGCTCACTGAACCCAGCTTCACATGAGGATTGGAGATTCAGGTTCTCTATAATGGATTATCAGGTGTAGTGGCACAGTTGGAGCCTTTCGAGGCATTTGTCCCTGGGAAATTCCAGGTTTTTCTTACTATACTCCCTTGTGGCTAGAGACCAATATTTGCTTTTCTGTTGTTTCTGTGAAGTGTTGGCTAGCCCCTATTTACTTGAAAGTCCAACGATTATTTTTAGAGGATTTTGTATTTGTAATATATTTAAGGACAAGTAATATATCAATAGATGTGTTGTCAAGAATATATGGTCTACTGTATTGCTGGAAGTCTCTCACAATTTCTGTGGTATCTTAGAGTTTATTTCTCTTTTCATTGTCTGATTTGATTATTTGGTAAATAAACGTAATATTTCTTAAAGTATAGAATGTCCAAAAGTTCATTCATCTGTGTGTTTCCTGCACTGTGTAGCACTGACTATTTGAGACATGCAGTGAGTGAGAGCAGGCGATTGCCTTGGTAACCAGAGTTGCATGGAGAAGGCTGAACTGTGAAGCCTGTGGTAGGAAAGGTGAAGCAGGGCGAGGCACAGGAGGAGCAGGAGCTGGGAGGGAGTCCAGAGGAGTTGCTCAATGAACAGATCCCAAGCAACACTGCTTTCTTCCTTCTTCTTTCCCTACATGCATCTTATTATCTTTATCAGTATTGTTTTATGTTTTCATTTTAAAATATAAAACAAGTAATTAAAATGTCATTTTTGTCTAAACTCAGATTAATGATATGCCCCCAGATAAGGCAGTTGCCATGGTATAGACAGAGCTTACTGAAGTTTTTGCTTTCTGAGGAAATACGCTGCTCAGGCACAAAAGTGGCTCTCCCAGAGGCAGCTGGCACTTGTACTGTGGGGAGCATCGCTAATGTGATGTGGCTGCACAGTTATCGTCTGGTATTTCCTTCCCATCCAGTTGTATGTGTTGTAAATAATAGCAGTAGCTGTAGTTTTAATGTAGTGATTGTAGTGATTTTTACGCTTATATTATTGGCTTGTACATGTATGTTTATTGCCATGCTTGAGGCATTTCTCTCTTATGTGACACTGCTATAAAAGAAGCTCAGGGCAAGTTTCTCCTAGTGCCTGAAGGAAAGCAGAGCAACCTGATGCTAGTGATTTTTCCCATTTCAGCTTGATGGGCATGTGGGCCAAAGTTTTTAGAGACGGAAGTCTTTATTTCTTGCATGTTTCTCATTCCCTACAGCCGGAGGAATCCTCTTGGTCTCCTGATTGCCCTGGATGAGAACAAAGAAGCAAGAGGGGAGCTCTTCTGGGATGATGGCGAATCAAAGGGTGAGTACAGTTTCAAGAATATTGCTGTTGAGAAACCTGTCTCCCGACTTACTGCTTTCTTTCTCACTATGCCCAGCAGCCAAAGTCAGCTGAGTGAAGAGTTTTGTTCTGGTTTCTCCTGAACAGTAATGGGGCAGTAATGCATGAACCACAGATAGCAGGAAAATGCATTTATACCAGAAAATTCTCTCCCTGCACAGCAGTCATCAATGACAATTTGTCTTCTTCTTCTTAGTGGCTATCTGGGAGATATCTTCAAACTACGCCTATAATTCTTTTGTGATATAAGTGATTTCCTCCCAAATCTTGTGAACATACACTGACATGAAAAATGTCATCTCAGGCAGGCAGGAAGCATATACTTCACCAGGGAATCTACAAGTAGGCCTGCTTAGGCGCATTTTTCTGTGTCTTTTATGTGAACAATTCTTATGTCTGTAGCTTACTAAATACATTCCCATAGGACAGATGCATGGTAAGGACTTGAGAGGGACACTTTTCAAGGTTACAGTAAAAGAAGAAGTAAAAGTGCAATCTTAGTCTCAAATACTGTGTGCTTTTCTTTTATCCTCAAGATGTAGATATAAAACAGTTCATATTTGGGTATTATTAAAAAGTACAATCAACAAAATTTGAATACAGTTTATGTGAACAGTGTATACATATATTTTGTGTAATGATTACACTGTCCTGTGAACATACCTCCCAACACAAATGCTGTAGCTCAAGTTTTGGAATTTGTTCTCATAATTCAAGGTTTCACATTCTAACCAATATTTCTTGTTTTCTTCCACTTTTCTCTCTGTTCCATCTGCTGTTGCACCTTTTGCTTGTATCTGTCTAAATTTTTCTTAGTCTATTTATAAATCTCCTCACAGAAATGAATCCATACCACATTCAGTTTTTTCTGGTTAATTTGACTTGTCATCCATGTTGTCAAAAATGTCAAAGTTGGTCACATTTTTTATGGCTGAATAATACCTTGCTCTCTGTAAGTTCCACAGTGTATCTTTCCACTCATCTGTTGATGAATACTTGTTGTGTCCAAATCTTGAGTGTTAAGAAAATGATTTGAAAACTTAAATGTAAAGCCTGGAAGTATGAAACTCCCAAAATAGGGAAATTTTTTGACATTGGCCTTGTCATCAATTTTGAATATGACACTGAAAACAGGCAACAAGAGTAAAAACAAAACGTGTGTTATGACATCAAAGTAAAAGGCTTATGCATAAAGAAGAATCCAACGGAATAAAAAGTGAGCCCACATATTAATGGACATGTGTGCAAGCTACAACTTTAATAAAATGGTTTATATATAAAAGCATGCGGGGACTCTTATAACTCAGTTGCAAGAAAATAAATAAGCTGACTTAAAAATAAGTCCAATAGACATTTTTTCCAAAGAAGACTTACCACTGGCCAACAAGTATGCAGAACGTATTGCTCATCACTAAGCTGAAGAGAAATACTGATGAAAAATTGCAGTGATACATCGACTCAGGATTAACAAGAATGGTGCGATGGGAAAGAGCAGAGACTGCAGTGTTCCCAAAGGTTCTGAGGAATGGAGGGAACTCTTGCTATGTTCTTGGTAAAAATATAAATTTATACAGCCATTACATAAAGCTATGTAAATGTTCCATAAAATATTAAAAGTAGAACTATGTGATCTGGCAGTCTCATTTCTAGCGTCTATTCAAAAAGTGTAGTGAGCCTATCAAAGAGGTATGTACACTCCCATGTTAAAGGCAGCTGAGATCCCGAGACAGTCCATGGTTCCACTTACTGAAGAGTGAATAAAGAAGTCATGGCAGATGTACAGCAAGGAACTCCTGCCATCTGAGAGACAGAGTCAGCTTTAAGGGGAGGCAGGTGAGGTTTGCCTGTGTTGAGCAGAGAGTCTGAGTTGACTTCTTTTCTGCTTTCAGATACTGTGGCCAATAATGTTTACCTTTTATGTGAGTTTTCTGCCACCGAAGTGAGTACTGCATTTTTATGTATTTTATTTACCTGTGGGCTTTCATCTGACCATTAGCACATATGTGCTTGTTGATATGTTTGATTATGTATTTAACTTATTGGGATTAAGGGTGATAGTTGGAGATATTTCCTTTTAGGGTATAACAGCCAGTAGTAGCCGTGTGTGTAACTAGAGGAGACACTCGTATTGGCAAATCAAAGCAGCTTGTGTTTATAAATATAGATTTGTCAACTGTCTGCGTGCATGGTGCTGGCTCTTTTCTTATACCTAATTTAATTCGAATAAGATTATGCTCCTTGACTGTGCATCAATCAGTAGCATAATCTGAAGCATTCAGAGCAAGAGGAAGTATGTAGTCCTGGGTGTAGCATTTGTATGACTGTACATGAGCATGTGTGTCTTACAGGTAAACCTTTGGTGCTTTTTTGTGCTTAATTGTTTTGCAGAACCACTTGGAGGTGAAGATTTCTCAGTCGACCTACAAGGACCCCAATAATTTAGCCTTTCAGGAGATTAAAATACTTGGAATAGAGGAACCTATCAATGTCACAGTGAAACACAATGGTGTCCTGAGTCAAGCTTCTCCTAATGTCACTTATGATCCTAATCTGAAGGTAACACTGCATTGTGTGAATGCGTCTGTTTTATTCTTCTTCAAAGCACTGTGACATTTTTCCTGTCATTTGTTGCTGAAGGATCAGAGATCCTTGTGAGTGATGAATAGTGAATTCAAAGGATCTGGTGAGAAAATGAGAAAGAGACAGAGAGACAGACTAAGAGTGTGTTGAGGAGCTACTGTGGAGTGGTCTCTTCTTCCTCACCCATCTCTACCTAAATGTTCTGCACTCTTCAGTGATTTTTCGTTCTGAGAAAGAGTTGTCATGTTCACAAGAAGACCAGTAAGGAAAGTGGCAACAGGATCAAGGGAAAAGGGATTTGGGAACCTGTGACTGATGGTAAAATGTAAAGGTGGGATATAGGGTTCTGATAAATAAAAATCGTGGTGGGTGTTTGTTTTTATCCTTCTGTACTGAAACTGAGTCCAACAAATACTGTATGTGCTCAAGAGTCACATTAAGGTAAGTAATCTATGATCCTATCAAATTCCTGCTTCTTTCATTAGATAATAGGAAAATAGTAAGTCTCCATCAGTGAAATTCAGACATGACCCTCTTTAACACATTGTAATCAGTGGCTCTGAGATCCTAGCACTATAAGGACTTGTTAATCCAAGAAAGCCTGATGACAAATCCTTCAGCGATATTTGCGCTTGCAGCTTACATGGTAGCCAACTTTCCACATTTATGGAAATAATTTCATTTCCACATCTACTTATAATTGCAGATTGATGGGGTGTGATATTTTCTTCAAAGAACTCATACTGAGGTTATATCCATTATAAGATATAAATAAATATATGCAGAGGCTCATGTTTATTGCTATGAACAAGCCATTTGAAAATACATACAGATAAAGCAGCTGAATCTCTGTTCGGCAAATGTATTAATTCAGATAAGACCAAAGGAAATGTTTTGTTGAGTTTGGTTATGGGAAGATAGAATTTATAATCAGCAAACTCTTGAAAAGGGAGGCTAGAAACATAAAGCAACATTGAGAGATGTCACTTTATGTAGTACATGCTGAGCAAAGCTTATGGTTATCGCCGAGCCAAGTTTTTTGGAGAAAGCAGTGGCTTTGGATGATCATGTGTCAGGTAGGAGATCAAAGCTTTGAGTGAAAAAAAGTCCAAGTGATAATGAATTAGAATATTGTAGTGAATACAGAAGGTAGAGAAATGCTGGTGTTGGGTCAGAGGCTCAAAGTTGTCAAGAGTGAGGTCTTTTCTTCTCTTGTTAAAGGAACTGGCTGCCTAGGTTAATTATCCATGCCTCTCTCCCAAGAGATAGCTTTAAAAATTGAAAGCTGATGAAAGAAAGTTCAGAGGCAGGACTTTATATCAAGAAATAAACACGTGGTGAGGAACCCTCCCTGAATCTGAATTTACCTTTTCCTTGTCATTCTCATGTGTCATGAACTAAAATTTAGCTTTGATTTGGGGAGTTTGGTATTGTATTTTGCAGTGCTGAAGACTGAACCCAGGGTGTAGTGTATGCTTGGCAAGTGATGTGTTACTGAGCCATGACTGCTAGTGGAACCTTGGTATCCTAGACTGAAATAATGAACAACAAAGAAATGCATTATACAGACAAGGCACATTGCAGTGGAACCTCACTATGGATACCATTTTCCTAGAAATGAGTATTTGTCAGTTTAAAATATTTCATGTTGACACATTAGAATAAGCCAACCTAAGACTTGGAAGAGCTTTGGTCTGTGAATGTCTCAATAAAAGCTTTGGAAGATTCACTTTTGAAGAGATTGACTTGGTCTGTGGGAAAGTTGTGGTCCCATTTTGAAGAGTTTTAGGTGGCCCAGTGAGAAAGCCATACCTGGTTTAGTTCTCGAAGTTTCTCATAAAGATGCTGACAGTAGGGATTATTGAGTTGATGATGCAGTGTAGGGATTAGTAGGACAGGAAAGGCAAGTTGATTTAGACTGGAAGGATCAAATGTGATCTTCATGCTTCAGTCAAATGAGAATGCTGACTGTGGGAAGTGCTACTTAAAGAAGAGCGCCACATAAGACTCAGGTATAGAAAAATGTGAAGTTTGGATTTCTGCAGGGTGTGCAGCAAAGATTTACAAGTTTGAGTAAATAGGTTTTCAGAAATGAAGAACCCGAGCTCTAGGAAATGAAAGAAATGTTTATGCTCTATACACCTCATTACTTTTGAAGCTGGTAAAACAGAACCTAAAAATTGAAACACTTTGCATTAGATTCCATGGAATAATGGACACACCCAGCCATAGGACTTTGTATGCTTCCGAATATTGCGGACTATGGATACAATTGTTTTTTAAGTGGAGAACAAGAAGGAAAACTCGATTTTGAAAAGCAGAAGAGAATGTTTTTGCCACAATAAGGAGAAAGATGAGGAGTTAGGGAAGGAGAAAAAAGTGGTGAACACAATAGATTTTATTTGACTTTTTTTGTATTATAAAGTAGAACATTGTGAGAGAATGGTAATATTTGTCCTAGTATCATATAACATTGCCCTATAGTTATAGAAAAGACTTCATATAAACTCTAGTCACATATTGTTTGAATCGTAGGGTCTCACCTAATGACAATTTTTTCCCTAAAGGGAGATTTCTGATTTTGCAAAGCCTTAGTCTCGAGCATGAATTTCCTGTGACTTCTCCATCTCTGTAGGTTGCCATTATCTCAGATATTAATCTTGTCCTGGGAGAGGCATACACAGTGGAGTGGAGCCTAAACATAAAGGACACAGAGAAAATAGACTGTTACCCAGATGAGCATGGCATTTCTGAAGCAGCCTGCATTGCCCGTGGCTGTGTGTGGGCGGTAAGTGTGCTGATGCTGTTAGTGCTCACTGAAATATTTTGCTCTTTGTCTACAACTTCATGAGCATGGTCCTGGTACCTGTACACCTAGGTACAACTGACAGAAGGCAAGGGCTTGAGAAGCAGTGTATGTGTGTGTGTGAATATGTGGGGGAGGGTTGGATGATTTTACTGGGTATCATGTTTGGAGATCAGTAGTGTAATCTTTTGGCATTACCAAATTATATATAAGTAAGTAAGTGGTGCCACATAAATTGTCTGTCTCAAGTCTTTCATAGAATAGATGCTGACTAGGATTCTGACTTTACTTTTCAGGAATCCAATACCTCAGGTGTCCCATTTTGCTATTTTGTCACCGATCTGTACTCTGTCAGCAATGTGCAGTATGACTCACAGGGCGCCAGCGCTGACATCTCCTTAAAGCCTTCTTCTTATGCCAATGCCTTCCCCTCCATCCCTGTGAGCCCCCTGCGCCTGCAAGTGACCTACCATAAGGATGAAATGCTGCAGTTTAAGGTAAACACTGGATAAGTATCAGGTGCTGACACAACCTTTTTTAGTACCACTTTTATTTTTCTGGCACTTGGAATTTAACACCGCCTCTTTACATTGAGATACCTCCCCCTCCCTTTTTATTTCTTAATTGTTAGGCAGGGTCTCATTAACTCACCCACTGGCCATGCTGGGCTTGAACTTATGGTGTTGCCCCTACCTCAAGCTGCCAGAATACTGGGAGTAAGGCAAGTGCCACAATGCCTGCCTCCCACGGTGGCTGCTATGGAACTTTCATGATACTCTTTGAATAAGTTTCCTCTTTTTTATGAGCTGTGACTTCATATTAGTACTTGAGGTTGAGCACAATGTTTTACACTAAACTACAACCTCAGGGCAGGGCACGGCACTAAGTTGCTCCATTCCCTCACCTGTGTTTGAATTTGTGATCATGCTACCTCAGCTTCTCAGAGTACTGAGATTGCAAGAATGTACCTCCCTACCTGATTAGTTTTTTTCTTTCAAATTATTTGCTGCATGATAATTCCAATCAAAAGAACAGTGAGAGCAGATGGGTAGTTCAGTGAGATCTGCCCAGACTTGCATTTGGAGAGCTGATCAAGGCTACTCTAAGAAAAATAGCTGGGAGAATGAGAAGTGGAGAGGACATTTAGGAACCTTCCCTTCACATGGGACCAGTGAGAGACTGAAGCTGTTTGTGTGTATCCTCACTACATCTGGGGCAAGCCATGCGTATCTACAGATTTAAAATGAGTAATTTGATTGTTCAAGTTGTTGTATGGTGACTATCTTCTAAATATGTGTATTTCTCGGAAGCCAAATAATTTCCTGTGTCTTTGACTTTCCTATTAACTTATCAAATTGTTTTAATCTTATCTTTGTGCTTGGTTATTACCTAAAACACTTTTAATCCTCACTCTGTATTTGTCACTGAGACTCTATCTCCTAGAAACAGAGGAAAGCATTTCCTTCCTTATAATCTCACAGCTTGTCTGCATCACCACACATCACTTCAGTATTGTGAATCTCTCTCCTTCTGTTGCATGAGTATGTGCATTTCTTAACACAATAACTATTACTCCTTGAGCTCTTATCCCTAGTGTTCGGTATATACATTAAGGCACAGCAGATACTTCGCAAAATCAATGGATTTTCACCCTAGAACATCCAGCATTGTTTGAACAACAAAATAGCTCATGTTTTTCGTGGATTATATTGTTATTATGAATAATTTCCAGGTATTCACAAAGCTCATATACTCACACAAACGAAGAACATTAATAGCACACTGAGGTTTAAAACTTATTTTACAAGTTAGTACCCATGTTAAGATGAATGTTTTGCTGAGGCGTTAAAAGTGTAGATTGACAAAATCAGATCAAATCCAGATGTCAGATTCTTACAGAATACAAGTATAGCATATCTAGATTATTGAGGTAGTCAGGTACTGCTAAAGTATAGCTATGCATTGTACTTTCCTTGCCTGAAAAGAGTTTTCATTGACAGTAATATTAGGGGATCTCTGTAGTGTTCACTGTGATGCTTTGAGACATTTCTACATTGTGAATCGATCAACTTAGGAGGCTAAGGTTCTTTTATCATCCCACATACTTCTGATTTCTTTGTAAGGAGAATATTCCACTTCATGCCTTTGAGCTATTTTGGATCCTATAACACAGTATTGTGAACTACAGTCGTGTCTGTATATAGTGTGTATTCCCCATGTTTTCTTTCCTTCCCTGAAATCTGTTTCCTCTCTAGATTTATGATCCCAACAGCATTCGTTATGAAGTCCCAGTACCTCTGAATCTCCCCAAGATTCCCTCCAGCACCCCGCAGAGCCGGCTCTATGATGTGCTCATCACCAGTAATCCATTTGGGGTAGTAATTCGCCGGAAGAGTACAGGCACTGTCATGTAAGCATGATTTGGAATTTCTGGTTACTTTCTGGTCCCTTGTGAGCCATTTGTCCTTGGAGTTACCCTGAAGGAAACCAGACACAGTTCATTTCCAGATTCCATTTCCAGATCTGTAAATAAGGATTTTCCTTTAGATCTGTTTAATCAGAACTCCTTTGCCACTTTAGAACATTGCTGAGAGATTTGTGTGTTCCTGGAACATCATGCAGCTACTCACTATTTAGTGGCATGTTGTTAAGATATGACCTGCTTTTCTAGGTTGCATGTTGTGGCAGATAATTGTTGTGTAGGACAGGGAACAGGAAAATCTAGAGTTCTGCGAGCTGACCGTTTTGACAGTGTGGCCAGAGTAGGCCTGTCCCAGAGGTGGTATTTGAGGTAGGGTCTGGATGTAGAGGAGGGCTCTGCAGTGCATGCTATGTTCTGGGGCAAGGGAAAAATATTCTTGATAGAGGGACAAATAAGTGCATAGGTCATGGTACAGGAGGAAAACTTACTGCTAGAAGAACAGCCCATAAGGAAGTGGGTGTTAGGTGTGAAGCTGGGATGTTGCATGTGTTGAGATGGGGTGCAACTTAAAGGCTTCATTTAAATGGTCTTTATTGGAGAGGACTCTGCTAATATAGACAGTAGAAGAACCTGATATTTGGTTCTCTCAGAAATATCAGTCAGCATGCAAGAGACAACTAGAACTTAAGAGCAAGAGCAGAAGGCGGGGCTGGTACGGAGGGTGGCAGATGAGATGGTGGGAAGTATTCACTTTAGTGTTGTTGGGGGAGCAGTGAAACCACATTGTGGTAGAGAAACCAGAGGAAGGAAGGATGATTTTGCTTTGAGCAAAGATATCTGTGATTATTTATCCACATAGACTTTGTGCTGTACTGGGAGAGGAGCAGGGTCTGTTGGCAGGGGACAATTAGCAGTTCTGTTGCCCTTGGAAAGTCAGCTGCTCCAACTCAGTAAGGAAAGCTGAGGTCCTTTATAACCTACCTGTGCGCTTCTCAGCTGGGACTCGCAGGTCCTGGGCTTCACCTTCAATGACATGTTCCTCCGCATCTCCACCCGCCTGCCCTCCTCTTACATCTATGGCTTTGGTGAAACGGAGCACACGGCCTTTCGGAGAGACCTGAACTGGCACACGTGGGGCATGTTTTCCCGAGACCAGCCCCCAGGGGTGAGCATGCGTCTCTGCCTCTGTCTGCCTTCAGCGTGTGTGCTTTGTGCTTCGTCTTCCCTGGCTGGGTGGGGCTTGTCACACTGTGCTCTGAGACAAGTGGGCCCATACCTGGTCAGCTTCGTTTGCCTGTGTTTAACTTACTTCTCAGGAAAGGCAAGACCCGTCTTAATAAACATATGGGCTGAATTTCCTAATGTGTCACAGTGTGTGCTAACCCTGTTTCCCTTCTCCCCCCTGATGTTAGTACAAGCTGAATACCTATGGTGTCCACCCTTACTACATGGGACTCGAGGAGGACGGCAGTGCCCACAGTGTGCTGCTGCTGAACAGCAATGCCATGGGTAGGTGATGCCAGTGCTCCCTTTGTTTGTGCGTACTACTTCTCCTGAGTAATGTTAGAATGTGTGTTATCTGGCTGCATTCAGAGGTGGAGATATTCAACTTGTGGTGAGTAATTTTGTCTTTAAATTTAATATTCTCTTCATTTCATTTGAGTAACATATAACAGCAAGCTAGTTTGAACCCTTGTTTTGGGAAGAATCACATAATAAAGTAAAGAAAACCTCCCATGTCCTTAGAGCACCTGGTGGGAACAACTGTGTGAGTTGAATCAGTTGCCAATCTGTGGGTCTCTGCACTCACTGCCTGTGTAGGAAGTGTGAATAACATTTATGTGATACAAAACAGAAAAAACACGGAGTTTAAAAGAAACATTAATTAAAACTGGTGAAATGTAAGTAAATTCACTTAGTAGTGTTTTACTACGGCTGACCTCCTATTTTTGGCAATGTATGGTAATGATTCAGAAAAGGTTATCCATGGGGTGTACACAAAAGTGAAGTGTACACAAAAGTCTGAGGAATATTTCTGCAACTTGCCGTGAGTCCCTAAATTTTTGTGATATTAAAATTGTAATAGTTTTGAAGAAAGAGAATGGCAAAACATGTATAAGATAATAAAACCCACCAAGGGGGAATCATCCAGGGATGGAACCTTTGTTCTATCACTTCCACATTTCTAGCCCACTGTCTGCCTTTCACTCTGTAAAGTGGAAGGGGACTATGGGAACCTCATCGTGGAGATTTCCACCTAGTTTTGCATTTCTATCTTTTCAGATTTGATGTTCCCAGGAGAGACAGTATGAATGTGAGGCTAGTTATTCCCCATCGTTGGCTTTTCCCATCATTATAGTTTGTTGGCATCATTTTTCTATCTTTTCAGATGTGACGTTCCAGCCCATGCCTGCCCTGACCTACCGCACCACGGGGGGAATTCTGGACTTTTATGTGTTCTTGGGCCCAACTCCAGAACTTGTCACTCAGCAGTACACGGAGGTAAGAGCAAATTGATTAGCTTCTCAAGTATGTGTTAAACTCATTCTGTGTTCTCAAAAGAGTCTTCACTCGTTTAAATCTCAGTTGACAGGTAGAGCTGGTCTTTGTCAAAGATGGGTCATGCCGAGTAACAATAGATGCATTTCCAGAATCCTTACATCCATAGGCTATCTGCTCATTGCAGTGAGGGTACAGCAGTCATGGTACCAATTGCAGTGTTCAGACTAGTGTAGGATGTGGGTGGTTATGGTGATAATGGTTTTGGTGATGTTCGGTCCTATTGTTGTTAATGGAGAGAGTAGCTCCCATAGTGTGGATGGGAGTGGCTGTGAGTGTAATGATTTTTATGGTGATCCTGACCTTTGTGGTGTAGGTGATGGAATGGTGATAGTGATGACAGTGAAGCAGGTGGATTATGGGTGTTTTCCGAGGGTTCTGTGGTGAATGTTTTGTCTGTAGTCGTGATAGACTTAGTGATATGGGTGAGCAAGAGAAGGTAACATATGAGTTGTGGCAAAAAACCCCATGCAATTCTTTATTTCATTTAGTTTTTACTTTGTGAATGCCAGAGCACTCCTGAGTAATTTAGATTAAGCCATTTTTCTATGTTGTTGTTCACTAGTGGTATTGTTTTTGACAGGTGAAGAAACAAGCAGGAATGTATGCTTTATAATATCTCACAACTAGCACACATGGAGCCTGTCCATCAATCCAGAAATTTTTTCTCTGCGTTCCATGCTCCTAGCCATACACAAACTATAGGAATCATAGTAAAACCATATTTGCTCCAATTCCTAGCTTAGCAGTTTTCTCCAGGTATTCTGGTAGCTCAGGAGCTTGACACCTCATTTAACTTTGCATTTGTACTGTTGGTTTTCTATCTCAGAGCCCTGAAGGAACATGTTTATTACTGCATGTGCTGCTTAAACCTGACTTCTCCCAGACATATTAGTATTTTGTGTATTTTCCAGGTGATTGGTCGGCCTGTGATGGTGCCTTACTGGTCCCTGGGATTCCAGCTGTGTCGCTATGGTTATGAGAATGACTCTGAGATTGCCAGCCTATATGATGACATGGTGGCCGCCAAGATCCCCTATGTACGTAAAGGACATTGTGCATTAGCTCTGAGATCTTGGAGACAACTCATTCATCTCTGCATCTGGTTTGTTTGTTGGACATTTGTGAAGTTGTACAAAGACACAAAGTTTTTTCTCAAATGATGTCCCAGGATGCCTAATCCCAGCACTGTAAGGCAGGTGGCACCTTGTCACCCCTTATCAAGAATGATCCAAGCTTTGTCTCCCATATCATGCTCTCTTGTTACTCTTATATGAGTTACATAAATTATGTGAAATGTTCTTCATTCCATAACAATAAAGTATGCCTCAGCAAATGAGCCCAGGTGGCTGATTACAGCTATGCATGAAGCTAAAGTTGAGAGATCAGCACTGTGGATCTAGGCTGGACAACTTAAGATCGTGTCTCACAACAGCATAATAAAATTTCTAGGGATATAGCCCAGGTTTAAAGCACTTGTCTGACTAGTGCAGGGTTCTCTGTTCAAGCCTCAGTATTACAAACAAAAGAAAACAGGAACAAAACAACAAAGAGAAAGTGATAACTGAACACCCCAAAAGAAAAATTGTGTGTGGTTAAAAAAAATGACTTCAAATGTCATCAAACCTTCACAAGTAGAGGCGTGTTCTGAATCCCAGTGCTTGGTGTGCCACTTCATTTTATCTGTGTAGGACCCTCGCTGCCTACAAGGGTTCGTGATAGGTCTGCCAGCCTGGGGTTTAGCTACAAGCTCCCAACTTGTTACCTGAGACAGAGAAACAATTTTATCTCTCCAAGCATATCTTCTACCTTCTCCTTCTCTTTCCACGGATAAACCTCCGGCTCCCTTTTTGCTCATGCCTCGAGCCCTTTCCAATCCCAAGACTCTACAACCACTCAACCTCTAATTCAAGATGCCAGTAAATCTTCCTGTCTACTGTTTTCCACAGGGAGATGTTTCCTTTAATTCAGCAGTTAATATGTCATGTTCCCACTTCCCAAACTCCTCCCTCAGCCAAACTGATAAATGTATTGAGACTTTTTTGTTCTCATTTGAGAGCCTCTATACCCCTGCCCCATGAAGCTCTCTGTGCTCACATTAAAGGCCTCACGCTTTGTCTCCTGCTTATATCTCTCATTGTTTCTGTGCTGCTTCAGATTACGTGCTGAAATTACTCAATCTGTTTGCAGAATAAGGGGGCTGCAAAATATCAGAAATTTTCCATGGAGCCCTTTCCTACAAACCAGTCTACTTGCTGTTCTGTTATTTATAATAGTTTCATTAATGGAAAATGTATCACAAAGTATGAATTAATGAGAGAACTTTACCCAATTACCTCCCACATTGGATGTTCCTCAGCAATTACAATTTTCTCCTTAGTCACATAGTACTTTACAATCCACTTTGTGTTATGAGTTAAAAATTTTCATTATATTTTCTGAACAGGATTCTGTGTGATCCTGGGTGCTCTCCTAGGATAAGCAAAGCGCCTGTTTATAATCAAGTTTTACACAGCCACTTTCGCATTGAGAGTTTTTATTTATCATGGTAAAAGTCCTTCTGAATACACTATCATTCTACATGTTACTGATTTACATTATTTTATGACTTAACACTAGAAAAACTTATATAAACTTCCTGCGGCACATACCAAACACATGACAGAGTTAGGATTTGAAGGGCTCGCGAGAAACCTTTCAATTCCCCATCAGTTGGACGATTGCAGCCTTTCAAAATTGGATTGCACCACCTGAGCCCCTGTGTTTCCTTATGTCCTCCCACAGGACGTGCAGTACTCAGACATCGACTACATGGAGCGGCAGCTGGACTTCACTCTCAGCCCCAAGTTTGCTGGGTTACCGGCTCTGATTGATCGCCTGAAGGCCGATGGGATGCGGGTCATCCTCATCTTGGTTAGTCCTGTGTGAATGTGACTAGTATGCGCAGTGGCTGTCTTCCATGGAGAAGGCATTAGGCTGTATTTTCTTTTGTGCTGCAAGAAGAGAAATTGAATCACAATAAGAATTTGATATTCTAGGCTTGATGGATGTATTAAAGTTCAGATGGAAGCGAGAGACTCCTGTGTCAACAATTCCCCTTCTCCTGCCCCTTTGTCGTTCCCTGGCTGTGGTTTCCCCACCTGACTTGTGCTTTGCTTTCAGGACCCAGCCATTTCTGGCAATGAGACGCAGCCCTACCCTGCCTTCACTCGGGGTGTGGAAGATGATGTCTTCATCAAGTATCCAAATGATGGAGGCATTGTCTGGGGAAAGGTATGACCTAAGGGATGGATGATCCACCAATCCCAGGCTAGGGCCGTGTCTTAGAGGTGGTAGAATGTTTGTGAGAATTGTTTCTTGGTCCTTTGCATTTGGGATCTGAGGTCCATACTTTTAATTTTTCAATCAAGTTTAGTTGGTACAGGCGAGAATTTTGTAGAATCTACCTGACTCTATGTTGGAGACCACAAATTCACAGTGGCTCATTTTGCACAGTTCCCTAAGTTTCAAATGTAGATTTGAGATTAGGGTATCACCTTTGGAGACTTCTCATTAATTCTTTTTCATGGGCCATCATCTGCCACACACTAATAGTAAAGTAAAATTCCTAAGATTAAAAAGAATGCTGCAGGGCAAGATCCTTCTTAGCATAGATCATCTCTACACTCCTGAGTCTTTCCAGGATTATTCATTTACTCCTGAAACTGCAGACCTTGAATCTTGTGCTAGTTATACTTTATGCAACCATTAGAAAGTGGCTGCATTGGAGTATCTTGGTCCCTGCCCCTGCTGAGGCATGGGGCTCCCAGCACCCCACCATGCATTACTCAAGTTGTCTCCGTTTCTCATTTCATCCTCTTGCCATAGCCCTCATACAGGCAGTTGGGCATCTTGACCAGGTCTTCAGTCCCTCTAGATTAGACATACATGCTAATTGATGCATTAGTGACCGTTAAAGCATAGTTTCAATTTTCTTGGGAAATACTGTATGGTGCATTGCTGTTGAATGTTTGTTTCTCCACAGGTTTGGCCTGATTTCCCTGATGTTGTTGTTGATCCCTCTCTAGACTGGGATAGTCAAGTAGAGGTAAGAGCCCCACTGTGCATCTTTGTGGAGGGTTTTTTGGGACCAAGGAGCCTTACCCAGGTTTCTGGAAATTCCCTGCCATGGATATGGGTTCAGCAAAGGATAAACACTTAGGAATTATGTCCTAAGTGTACATAAGTCTGTGTGCAGATTTCTTCATATACAGTAAAGATCTGTTTCCTGTAGCAATGAAGGTACTGATAAGGTGTTGTTATCCTTGGGAAAGTGAGAGATCTTCAGATTTTTTTCATGGCTTTAGATGACTCTGGTAATTTCGCCCTCAAAGCTGTCAGATTTCAAAGGCCCCTGAAATCCTGATTACACCTCACGTACAAGTGCTACTTCCCTCTGAATTAATGTGTTTGTAGTTGTTCAGATAACTCTCTTACTTACTGTGTCCAAGCTTTCTCTTTAGTTATTGAGTCTTTCTCTGCACATCACTTGTTCTTTTATTCTTCTCTGCCTTGTTATATATGAAACCCCACTGCCATGTTCCTTGAATCTTGACTCTTTCCACTTTTCTCTTTCTCCTTAATTTCCCATCTGTCTTGAAAAGTCTTCTTTCCTAGGAACAGTTTCTTGTTTGCAATGGATTCTGATAGCCCCTACAGCTGGACATAAATGCTGTCCAGCATCATCAATCATTTGTTACCTGAGTGAATTGGTGCTGCTTGTTATTCAGTAGCTTCAACTGTATTCTACCCTGTGATATGTACACCGTGAAGTGATGTTACCCACTGTTCTGATAACATCTCTGAGCAGGGTTCCCTTAGTTCTTAAAAATCATTATCTCTCCTGACTTTGTTTCACTCTTTTTCTGCAATGATTATTCTTTCCATAGGATATTTTAGCCCAAGGAACTGCATAGAATTGTTTTTAAGTCATTGAAGAGATATTTTTCTTTTACCACCAGTAGTACTGAAAGGCATAAGGGGTCCAATATCTGGCCTGTGTGGTCAACAAGGTGGTGGACATTTTACTACTATGAAACTCTGTCAGTTTAAGAATGAATAAATGTTTATCAGTGTTGTGAGAAGAAAGCACAGCAGTAAAGTTTTATAGTATTACTCAAAGCCCAAGGCCAAGAGCCCTTTAAATTGCTCTTAAAAAATATCGGATTCTATCTGATGGATGGGGGTTTATGTGAAAGATTTCCCATTATAAGGTAGTCCTGAAGGCACATTATCAGTGTTGGATAGAAGAATAATATTATACCGAACCTGCATATCTGAGGAGAAATTTCTCAGGTGGGACAGCTCTCCCGGAATAGTGAAAATAGGTATGACTGGTTAGGCATGTATTCTTTTGTGGTGTTACTTTCTGACTGCATGTATCCTAGTTGACAGTAGTGCCCTAGCTCTAAAACATGACACGGGTACTGTTGAACAGGATGCCTGTCTTTGGGCTGTATATGTCTTCATGTTTTGTCCGTAGAGGCAGTAGAAGAGACTGCATTTGATTGGGGCACGTTTCTCAAATTTGCAAGAGAGTTTCAGACTGAGCTCTATATTGTTTTCTTTTTGTGATCTTTTACAAGTATCTATGTGTCTGTCTGTCTATCTACCTATGTAAGATGTGATGAGAATTTGAGGGAAATGACCTATCCATTCTCCTTTCCTCCATTCTTACAAATAATCAAATGAATTTCTGTGTTTCACACAGATCCCGTGGTCACACAAATGTGCCAGGCAGAGGCACTGGTGGACACAGGATTCCATAGTTATATTTTTGCATTGATAGTGGGGCTGCTTCATTCGTCATATGGTTGCGTATTAGCATATGAAACCTACAGCCCATCAGCCACTGGAGTGACTACTGACTCTAATGAGGTTATTTGGAGGCCTGTGGTGCAATATTGATTATCACACAGTGATTGGGAAACACCATGTGCCTTTCAGTGTGTGGTGTCCAGGGTCGCCCATAGAATTCAGTTGCTCCAAATGACAATTTTGCTTTTGAGGGAAACACTTTATTTGGAATCACAGAATTTATTATTGGAACCCCAAGAGACTCTTAGTAAGTGGAATTCTTACAAGTTTTTATATTAATAAGATCCGTATTCATGAGGCTTGTGAAGGAAAGTTTATGATGTACGTGTCTGACATTCCTGAGGGTTGTATAAAACAACAAAACAAATACTCAAGTATTAAAGAGGACAATGTGTAACATCAACTAATAATTTTTTAATGATAATATAGTTCTTTTAAATTCTTATTTGAAATACTTCTACCTTTTTTCCTTTTGTCTTGTTTTTATTCTTTTTTTCTTTAAACAAATAGATAAATTAATAAACCCCATAGAAAGCAAAATTTTCCTCTTTCTTTCTCTCCCTCTCTTCTTTTTCCTTCCTTCCTTCCTTCCTTCGTTCCTTCCTTCCTTTCTTCTTCCCTTTCTCTCTTTCTCTCTATACTTGGAGTCTAAATCCGTACCTTATGCTTGCCAAGCAAGCACAGTGCTGCTTAGCTGCATTCTAGCTCAAAAAGCAAATTTAGAGTTCAAATTTTGTAGTTTTAATTTAGTAATCCTGGATTGGGGACCAGGAATTGCAGTTTAGTACTCAAAGTGGATTGGAATAAGCAATTCTTGATCCAGTCATTCGGGTGTGCACAGCTCTGGTTCAATATCCAAGTAAGTATAAGCAAAGAGGTAGGGTGGAATGTTGACAGAGTACAGCTGGCCTCACATTTGGTTAATGGAAATGAATGATTCGAGTGTGACTTATTGAGGTTAATATAACATGGTTGGCTTAATTTCCACTTGCGTCCTCTTGTTGATTAAATTGTAATGCAGACATAGCTAATAGTTGCTTTTCATCCTACTCTTCTGTTCCCTCTGTATCCTGTTGTTTCTGACCTTGCCTTAGATGGAGTCCCTGGAGTGGAATGTTGTTTTCTCCTAGTTTTATGGTTTCATTTCTTTCAGTCATTTGAAGATGCTTCCAAAGATTTCTAATAATGTGACTTCTTGCTTTTTGTAAGAAAGGTCTATGCACGCAGATCTATTTGCATGTTTTTATGTTTTCTCTAGACATGTGATTTTCTGTAGACACTTGATTTTGTGTACTGTGAGTAGGAACTGACATTCCCTTAGGTAAAGTCCTTTCTGTTGCTCTTCTAATCTTACCCCCAATACTATTGAGCTATTTCACTATTAGAAAATGAATGGTGTGATTAATCAGAGGAGAATGTTTATAGAGGTATACCAGCTATCATCATGTCCCTTGAAAAGGCACTTGGAGTATACAGATATTTTTGAATTTTGCTGCTTAAAGATATGAGACTTTACAATTAAACACAATACTTACTGCAAGTTATTATGAATTATTATGCCTGACTAAGGAGACATAATAATAGAGGAGCGCAAAATAGAACAGAAGAATATCAGAACATTTTCTTCGAAGAACATTCAGTTCAATTACACAGATTCCTGTTTTAAAGTTTTATTTTTATTAGTACGTATTTTGAATTCCGTGATAATTGCATTATTCGTGGCGAGTTTGTGCACAGCACATCTTTCTTGTTTTTAATATCTGTCTGCTGTTCCTGTTCTTCCTTCCTCCATTTCTTAATCCCCTTCCCTTTTGCCAAGAGTGGCACTTTAAATCTATATTTACAGTTCACATAAGGACATTATGTTTACTATTTGAGGGTGCAGGGAGAGTGGGCATTGAAACTTTCTCCTAAGGTCCCCTCATTTCACATTAGACACAGCTGCACAATACTTTTATATGTGTGTCTTTAATAAGAGTGCATTTGTTGGTTCATAATATGGGTCCTTTACTATGTGAAATGTGGTACTAGGTTAAGGAGAGAGAGGAATGAAAGTATAGCTGCACTTTTTATGTAGTTAAGAAACTATAGAAAATAAAGATGCATCCAGGTGTAATATCACAAGCGCAAATTGTATGCCTTCCTCTCAATCCTAGCTGATGTTTTGTTGTAACCTGCTACGGCACATCTCATTTCTACTCTTTCTCCTTATCATCGTTCTGCCTCTTGCCTTGTCTTTGAGAAGAGCTTAGAAATACCTGGACAGAAGTTGAAGGCTAAGCATCCAGAACATGAGATTATGAGTTGAGGTTGCTGTTGCTGTTCATATTAACCTGTACAGTTAAATAGACTGTGGATGTCTTCCAGAATCTAGGGTATATGATTTGTGCTCATTCTTCTGTATTGTACTCAAGAAACGTATGCATGCTCTGTTTGGCCTATCACTATCTACCACCAGATAGTGTAGTCTTTGCATGGGTTACATTGTAAGTAAGTGTTTGCTGGCTGTGTAATACATTCATTTAGCACAAATGAGTTATACTTTGTTTTTATAGCAATACCGAGCTTATGCGGCTTTCCCAGACTTTTTCCGTAATTCAACTGTCCTGTGGTGGAAGAGGGAGATTCAAGAGCTGTACAACAACACACAGAATCCAGAGAAGAGCTTGAAATTTGACGGCATGTGGATTGTAAGTGTGCATATGTGTTCCTTACACATGGATAGGTGTGCATATCTTTTTTGTTTCTTAAGTTGCAGATCCTTGACTCCTACATGTGAATAATAGTGAAGAAATGCTTTTAATATTTCAAAAACACTTAGTCACTCAGTATGGGGAAGCCATGCTACCCTTCAAACGTTGTATCTTGCCCTAGGGTTCTGGTGTAAGACCTGGGCAATTACTAGGAAATTTTGCAGTTTTTAGTTTCCCAAGAGACAATTTTTGTCACTCTTTGATCGGTCACCTTGTAGGGAATTAATTGAGTTTTCAAGTTGTTCTTCCCTGGATTTGATGAACTTCCTTGTGCAAGCATGTTTAGGGATTCCAGTATTTTAAGTAATTTATTCATACTCTCTTTTCTCTGGACAGGACATGATTATCTTTTAAAATGAACTATGAACACTTATTTTGTAGGACATGAATGAACCAGCAAGTTTTGTGAATGGAGCTGTCCCTTCAGGCTGCAGGAATGGTACTCTGAACCATCCTCCCTATATGCCATGTAAGGACCCTGTGACTCTCTGCTGTGTATCCCTGGATAGAAATAGGGTACCCCTAGAAGAGCCCAGCATCTAGGGGTTTATCCTGAGCCCTGAGAACCTGCCCTAATTGATCTAATGATTTTTGGAAATCAAGACAAAATCACTTTTAGGACTTTTCTACTTATGGTGTGCAGTATGCTGGGGCCAGAGGGATTGATTTTGCACAGCTTGATGGAGTCCTCACTATAGTTTAGAATAAATAGTATTCTTTCTTGGAAAACTAGAGGAGTGATCCATGAGCAATCAAGTTATTGTTAAGTTTCACAGTTCAATGTCTTATACAGAGAAGGGAATAAGGACTAAATGCAATAAGGATGTTACCTTAAGTGTTTTCCTCTCAGATTTTATATGATATTTGGGTAGAAAGCACTGAAGCACTGTAATGTCTCCAAAGAAGTCTCACACATTGATTTCAAAGCTGTCCATGAATCTCTTTGGTGAAATGTTGAGGAGCTCACTGCTTTCTCCTTTCAAGAAGCACCTCTTGTTGCCACTCATCTATGAGACAATTAATTCATGATTTCTCTTAGTTTTTGGTGATAATATATCTTCAATGATTTCTTTTGCCACTAATTGATATAAAGTAACGGTATCCTCTTCTATTGTGGTCATGGACTTTATTGACCTTGAAGTTGTGTTTGTATTTTAATCCCTAGAAATTATACTTTCTATAAATTTGGCGACTATCCATAGATTATATGAAGTTCCATGTCTCAGCTTTTTATACTATAGGAAATCACTAATCTAATCTTCCTCCTCGAATTGTCTAAAATGACTTAGAAGTTAAAATACAGCGTATCATCCCTAATGATGTAGTGTTTAAGAACCCCGAATTTTCTGGCAGGAAATTCTGCTTTCTGTAGTGAACTTGATGTTGAAAATTCTGGGGTAAATGGTCATACCACAGCACCCACTGTTGTTACCTTGTCCCTGGGAAGCAGGAAATAATCTTCAGATTCAGAGTATCTTCCCTTAAAAAGGCTGCGGGTGGTTTTGACATTTCTAAATCTTTCCCCTTAGATTTGGAGGACAGAAATGGTGGCCTAAGCAGTAAGACTCTGTGCATGGAGGGTGAGCAGATCCTTCCAGATGGTTCCAGAGTGCGTCACTACGATGTGCACAGCCTGTATGGATGGTCTCAAACCAGGCCCACCTATGAGTGAGTTTCTCTCTGCCTTCTCTAGTTGATAAAATCTGTAGGATCAGCCAGGGATGGGTGTAGAATCTCTACAGTTCTTTGATGTATCATGCGAAGATTTAGGGAGAGATTAAGTACAAGCCATTTTAAATCTTAAACAAAAAGCCTGCAAGCATACAGCCAGGCCCTATTACTGTAGCTGATAGGACCGAAGTAAATAAGTCAGTTTTTCCGATCATAGAGAAACTAACAATCCAAATGGGTCACACACAGAGGGTTATCAGTGCTGTGACAGCATTGATTAGAAATCTCAAAAGGAATAAGAATGATAAGTACGTTTTTGTCATCTCAAAATGGACATATCCCTATTTTTCACCTACTGTGTTTGAATAGTTCCTGCGTATCCTGTTTAATTAACCTTTTCTAGTTTGTGAAGTCACTGGATAGTATTTATAACCTTCAGTGAATCTGTAACAAGAACTTGCCTCTTTCCTCCTCCTGGATAGAAAACCAAGTCTCGTGTTAATAAGTAACAGAGTTAGTGCTTGTTTACAATTTCAGGATAACCACGTGATTTTATCATATTGTGAACTCATGGTAAACACTGAAAAAATAAACCAGTGATATTAATGGCCTCCATCAGTGTGCACCATCCTACCTGCGTTCCACTTTTTCCTGTTCTGATCAGGCGTGAGGCAAACAGTTCCTCACCATGCCCTAGGCACCGGGAACTTTACAAGGCAGAGGCCTGTAGCCTTTCTTTTCCTACTTTGGTGTCATTTCACCCCCTTGCTGTCCTCCAACCAGAGCCGTGCAGGAGGTGACAGGACAGCGAGGGATTGTCATCACCCGCTCCACATTCCCCTCTTCTGGCCGCTGGGCAGGACACTGGCTGGGAGACAACACGGCCGCGTGGGACCAGCTGAAGAAATCGATCATTGGTAAGTGGGCCTGTTGGCAGGGCTGTGGTGGCAGGGAGGGGTGAGGGAGGAGGAGCAGGAGGAGCGGGCAGGGCCCGATGCCGCCCTCACACACTTGTGGTTCCCATTGCAGGCATGATGGAGTTCAGCCTCTTTGGCATGTCCTATGTAAGTGGCCTTCAGATCCCTCCTGATTGCTTCCAAGGTGGTGCCAGCATTCAGAAATCACCACCGACCTGGTTTTATTTCCTCTTGTTTCAGACCGGGGCAGACATCTGTGGGTTCTTTCAAGATGCCAATTATGAGATGTGTGCTCGCTGGATGCAGCTGGGGGCCTTTTACCCCTTCTCCAGGAACCACAACACCATTGGCACCAGGGTAGGACCTCAGCTCCCGCTGACTGCTGTGTAGTTTGTTTTTTCCTTTTGTTTTTTCACTTAAGATACACAACCGTTTTTGAGCTAAGTTCAACCAACTGTTTCCTTGGGGAAATCATCCAAATTGTGAAGCTCTCCTCTCAGCAAACCATATTCTTCCGTATTGTGTAGGGAATAATTGGGCTCAGCAAGGTTTTTCTACATTATTTGAGAGAAATATCTGAAACAAACTTGTATTTGCTTTCTAGGAGTGCTTCAGTGTCCCTTTCCAGCATATTCATAATATTCTTGAAGTCTCCCCTGTCGTTACCTTTAGTTTAGTTATGTGTGAGCCATGTGGAAAATGTGCACTGACCCTCTGAGCTTTGTGATTTCCCGCTTGCAAAATGCTGAACAGTCCTTTTCCCCCTTTAGAGACAAGACCCTGTGTCCTGGGATGCTGCCTTTGTGACTATTTCAAAAAGTGTGTTGGAGACCAGATACACCCTGTTGCCCTACCTCTACACCTTGATGCACAAGGCCCACACAGAGGGCGTCACTGTCGTGAGGCCTCTCCTGCACGAGTGAGTGTCCCCCTGGTACCTTACGCACTAAGGCAGAATGCATTTCTTTTTGTAGAGTGGTAGTGCATGCAGAGAATTTCTCCAAGCAGAAGATATGATTTCTCTTTTATTATAAGATCATAAGACAGAGATGGTAATTGCACTTTTAATAGTCCCTGAAGAAAAGATATTTATCAGCTGACAAAATGTCTTAAAGGATTCTACACAATACAGCATAATTGTATGTAATTTGTCAATGCAGACACAGGTCTCCATTTCTTTTTTTTACCGTTGTTGTTACATGAGCCTGGGCCTAAATGAGTTTAGTTAACCAAAGAAGATACTTAGTGAGAGACGAAAGCGATGAGGGCCAACCTGGGGTTTAGCATGTGCCATGGTGAGGAAATATCTTTCTGCCTTCAGAGGAGCCTGACCTGTGGAGAGCGGGGCTCCATATTTTCAGTGACACTCAGAAGTGAGGATGGCAGTGAATGCAGCTGAATTCTTCACACAGAGTTGAAGCTGAGGTCTTTCCTCAGACCCTGGGATCTGATTGTGACCAGTTTCTTTTCCTTCCAGGTTTGTGTCAGACCGTGTGACCTGGGATATAGACAGTCAGTTCCTGCTGGGCCCGGCCTTGCTGGTCAGCCCTGTCCTGGAGCCTGTGAGTGTGGAGGGCCAGGCTGGTGGGTGGAGGATCTGAGCTGTGAGGCTGGCTGACTAGGGAAGGAGAAGCCAGCAGGGGTACGAAGTAGCCTGAGTCATGGCTTCTTGTTCTATCTTGTTCTCTTTTTCTCCTGAGTCAAAGAATATGGCCTCAGTATTGTGGTGTCAGCCTCCACTTCTTTAATGTCTGCCTGACAATCCTGGTTAGAACCATAAGAAAAACAAACAAATAAAGCAACAACCATTTTGTCCTAATACCCTCAAGATACATTTGAGAAATTTACATTTCTCCAAGCAGGAAGAGTATATATGGATTTCATTACAGTGTCCTGTCACGATTAGAACACTTTGCAAGAGAGCTATCCACAGACATGTGTGTTATTCCCTTGCTTCTACTGAGCCCAACTGGCTGCAAGCCATTCCATTACTTGTCTCTGAATCACCTTAAATATGCGTCTGATACCACCAAATGTCACACTCCTTATCCTACCTATGAGTTCTGCTCCAGACCCAAGCTCAGATAGATTATGTCTTAGCTAAGTGTTTGGGCTAAGTGTTATAATCCAGTGTTGATATTTTCCTCTGATGTACTGGATCCCAACGAGATTTATGGAAGTCACTTAACTGGGTAGCAAAATTTCCTCTGGGTGCAAACAGGGAACAGGTGGGTCCCATGCAATCTTTTCATTCCTTTTGTTTGGCCTGATTTCTGTGTTCTAAAATTTAGAAATTCTCACTGCCCACACATTTGTGTACAATTTCAGGATGCCAGAAGTGTCAAAGCCTATTTCCCTGGAGCCCACTGGTACGATTACTACACGGTAAGTTTTTTCATCTTGTGTGTGTGAGGGAAATGCATAAACAAGTGAGTTAGATGGATCCTGTGCATGGCAAACCCTGGATGTGCGTGCTCCTGCTTTATATTTGTAGTCTTGCATAAACCACTTTAAGCATTGTAACTCAATTTTGTTATTGCTCTATTGAGTATGACTGGTCACTCACATAAATGTAAAATAAACATGAACTTCTCACAGGGACCTGTGTTGTCCTGAGTGTTCTCTACTAGAGACTCTATACATTTTCTTGAAGCTGACTACTCACAATATTGGTATTTGTACTAGTATCTTGGGTAGTATTTGTTACACAAAGCCTTTCAAGGTAAGTCATTACAGCAGGGAGCAGATGACAGCAGAGAGTGAGCAGAAAGTGTCCTCGCAGGTATGTGCTGAACTGTGAAGAACAGGCAGCAAGTTCTGAGAGTCAGACGAGCTATCGGCCCAATGCACTGTCGAGAGAGGTGTGTGTCCTGGCCTTCATGCTCTCCTTTCCCTGCCTACAGGGTGTGAACATTAATGCAAGGGGGCAGTGGAAGGATGTGGCAGCCCCTCTGGACCACATTAATCTTCATGTGCGTGGGGGCTACATCTTGCCCTTGCAGGAGCCTGCGCTGAACACTCACTTAAGGTAAATTATGGACCAGGGCTCTGATTGGCAAAATATGAAGAACACTGGTTTGTATTGAATGCTACCAATGCCTTAATTGTCATTCTGAAGTCAAAAATGATTTTCCAGAAAATATATTTTTTTAATTTTTAAAAATTTGCTTTTGTTTTCTCCATATCCGTAACTCTTTTTATCCGTCTCCATTGTTGAGGAGAAGTTAGTGAAGACCTTGGAAGGCTGCCGCCCAGGACATTTGTGCTCGCCTGTTAGGAGCTGTAGTCAAATTGTATCTTGTATGTCTGTTGGACTTTTCTCCTGAGTGTTTTTGTCTACACCTGCAGCCAGATGGGCTTTGAGAGGTACTAATCTGCATTCTTAAGTCCTCTGAATTTCACAAACACACTGACAGCCAGAATAGTCATTCTTCCCGGTTCATGTGGGCCTCTTGCAGTATTAGCACTGAAGCTCAGCACTTGGCTGCTGTCATCAGCTATAAAGCAGGTGCGAGGGCAGTGCCTCCACACTGATTTCTCATGAATCTTCGTGTGTGGCAGGTATCACTGGTGTTACAATCTCAACCTAGGTGCAAGCATTGTAGTTCGACAGTGAAGCAAGTGTGTCTTCATGTCAGTTGTCTCTTGTCAATTGTCCCCTTGCTCTGGCTGAGGAAAAATTCCAAGCTCTGTCTATTTGGAGGAGGAGTGAAAGCTTTACAGTGTCACTTTTCTCTCCTCAGTAATGTGTTGATTGCTACAGTTGCACCTTATCAGAGTGTGGGGCTACTGTTCTGCTCATACCCTGTCCCTCATGTTAAACGCCTCTGTCCCTGTTTCGTTTCTTTCAAGATTGTTTGATGCTCTGTTTTTAAAATTGTACTCTCTGAAGTTTCTTTGAGAATATGAATCTACAGTTGGATACTTTGACTGTCTTTCTTGGTGCCTTGTTTGTGTGTTTATTGATATTTTGCTTTTCAAATGTAGTGAGCATTACGTCTGACGTGGGTCTCCTTCCTGAGGGGTGAATTGCCTTCTCTTTGGTTGCAAGCCAGTGGCACGGCTCCCATCTTGGTTTCTTATGAACTTGCTCACTGAACCCAGCTTCACATGAGGATTGGAGATTCAGGTTCTCTATAATGGATTATCAGGTGTAGTGGCACAGTTTGAGCCTTCAGAGGCATTTGTCCCCTGGAAATTCCAGGTTTTTCTTACTATACTCCCTTGTGGCTAGAGACCAATATTTGCTTTCCTGTTGTTTCTGTGAAGTGTTGGCTAGCCCCTATTTACTTGAAAGTCCAACGATTATTTTTAGAGGATTTTGTATTTGTAATATATTTAAGGACAAGTAATATATCAATAGATGCGTTGTCAAGAATATATGATCTACTGTATTGCTGGAAGTCTCTCACAATTTCTGTGGTATCTTAAAGTTTGTTTCTCTTTTCATCGTCTGATTTGATTATTTGGTAAATAAACGTAATATTTCTTAATGTATAGCATGTCCAAAAGTTCAGGAATTGTTAGTTATTCATCTGTGTATTTCCTGCACTCTGTAGCACTGACTATTTGAGACATGCAGTGAGTGAGAGCAGGCGATTGCCTTGGTAACCTGAGTTGCATGCAGAAGGCTGAACTGTGAAGACTGGGGTAGGAAAGGTGAAGCAGGGCGAGGCACAGGAGGAGCAGGGGCTGGGAGGGAGTCCAGAGGAGTTGCTCAATGAACAGATCCCAAGCAACTCTGCTTTCTTCCTTCTTCTTTCCCTACTTGCATCTGATTATCTTTATCAGTTTTGTTTTATGTTTTCATTTTAAAATATAAAACAAGTAATTAAAATGTCATTTTTGTCTAAACTCAGATTAATGATATGCCCCCAGATAAGGTAATTGCCATGGTATAGATAGAGCTTACTGAAGTTTTTGCTTTCTGAGGAAATACGCTGCTCAGGCACAAAAGTGGCTCTCCCAGAGGCAGCTGGCACTTGTACTGTGGGGAGCATCGCTAATGTGATGTGGCTGCATAGTTATCGTCTGGTATTTCCTTCCCATCCAGTTGTATGTGTTGTAAATAATAGTAGTAGCTGTAGTTTTAATGTAGTGATTGCAGTGATTTTTCCGCTTATATTATTGGCTTTTACATGTATGTTTATTGCCATGCTTGAGGCATTACTCTCTTATGTGACACTGCTATAAAAGAAGCTCAGGGCAAGTTTCTCCTAGTGCCTGAAGGAAAGCAGAGCAACCTGATGCTAGTGATTTTTCCCTTTTCAGCTTGATGGGCATGTGGGCCAAAGTTTTTAGAGACGGAAGTCTTTATTTCTTGCATGTTTCTCAATCCCTACAGCCGGAAGAATCCTCTTGGTCTCCTGATTGCCCTGGATGAGAACAAAGAAGCAAGAGGGGAGCTCTTCTGGGATGATGGCGAATCAAAGGGTGAGTACAGTTTCAAGAATATTGCTGTTGAGAAACCTGTCTCCCGACTTACTGCTTTCTTTCTCACTGTGCCTAGCAGCCAAAGTCAGCTGAGTGAAGAGTTTTGTTCTGGTTTCTCCTGAACAGTAATGGGGCAGTAATGCACGAACCACAGATAGAAGGAAAATGCATTTATACCAGTAAAATTCTCTCCCTGCACAGCAGTCATCAGTGACAATTTGTCTTCTTCTTCTTAGTGGTTATCTGGGAGATAGCTTCAAACTATCCCTGTAATGCCTTTGTGATATAAGTGATTTCCTCCCAAATCTTGTGAACATGCACTGACATGAAAAATGTCATCTCAGGCAGGCAGGAAGCATATACTTCACCAGAGAATCTACAAGTAGGCCTGCTTAGGCGCATTTTTCTGTGTCTTTTATATGAACAATTCTTATGTCTGTAGCTTTCGAAATAGATTCCCATGAGGTAGATGCATGGTAAGGACCTGAGAGGGACACTTTTCAAGGTTACAGTAAAAGAAGAAGTAAAAGTGGAATCTTAGTCTCAAATACTGTGTGCTTTTCTTTTATCCTCAAGATGTAGATATAAAACAGTTCATATTTGTGTATTATTAAAAAGTACAATCAACAAAATTTGAATACAGTTTATGTGAACAGTGTATACATATATTTTGTGCAATGATTACACTGTCCTGTGAATACATCTCCCAGCACACATGCTGTAGCTCAAGTTTTGGAATTTGTTCTGATAATTCAAGGTTTCACACTCCAACCAATATTTCTTGTTTTCTTCCACTCTTCTCTCTGTTACATCCGCTGTTGCACCTTTTGCTTGTATCTGTCTAACTTTTTCAGAGTCTATTTATAAATCTCCACACAGAAATGAATCCATACAACATTCAGTTTTTTCTGGTTAATTTCACTTGTCATCCATGTTGTCAAAAATGTCAAAGTTGGTCACATTTTCTATGGCTGAATAATACCTTGCTCTCTGTAAGTTCCGCAGTGTATCTTTCCACTCATCTGTTGATGGATACTTGTTGTGTCCAAATCTTGAGTGTTAAGAAAATGATTTGAAAACTTAAATGTAAAGCCTGGAAGTATGAAACTCCCAAAATAGGGAAATTTTTTGACACTGGCCTTGTCATCAATTTTGAATATGACACTGAAAACAGGCAACAAGAGTAAAAACAAAACGTGTGTTATGACATCAAAGTAAAAGGCTTATGCATAAAGAAGAATCCAACATTATAAAAAGTGAGCCCACATATTAATGGACATGTGTGCAAGCTTCAACTGTAATAAAATGGTTTATATATAAAAGCATGCGGGGACTCTTATAACTCAGTTGAAAGAAAATAAATAAGCTGACTTAAAAATAAGTCCAATAGACATTTTTTCCAAAGAAGACTTACCACTGGCCAACAAGTATGCAGAACGTATTGCTCATCACTAAGCTGAAGAGAAATACTGATGAAAAATTGCAGTGATACATCGACTCAGGGTTATCAAGAACGGTGCAATGGGAAAGAGCAGAGACTGCAGTGTTCCCAAAGGTTCTGAGGAATGGAGGAAACTCTTGATATTTTCTTGGTAAAAATATAAATTTATACAGCCATTACATAAAGCTATGTAAATGTTCCATAAAATATTAAAAGTAGAACTATGTGATCTGGCAATCTCATTTCTAGTGTCTATTCAAAAATTGTAGTGAGCCTATCAAAGAGGAATGTACACTCCCATGTTAAAGGCAGCTGAGATCCCGAGACAGTCCATGGTTCCACTTACTGAAGAGTGAATAAAGAAGTCATGGCAGATGTACAGCAAGGAACTCCTGCCATCTGTGAGACAGAGTCAGCTTTAAGGAGAGGCAGATGAGGTTTGTGCTTTGGTGAGCAGAGTCTGAGTTGACTTTTTTTCTGCTTTCAGATACTGTGGCCAATAACGTTTACCTTTTATGTGAGTTTTCTGCCACCCAAGTGAGTACTGCATTTTTATGTATTTTATTTACCTGTGGGCTTTCATCTGACCATTAGCACATATGTGCTTGTTGATATGTTTGATTATGTATTTAACTTACTGGGATTAAGGGTGATAGTTGGAGATATTTCCTTTTAGGGTATAACAGCCAGTAGTAACCATGTGTGTAAACTAGAGGAGACACTCGTATTGGCAAATCAAAGCAGCTAGTGTTTATAAATATAGATTTGTCAACTGTCTGCGTGCATGGTGCTGGCTCTTTTCTTATACCTAATTTAATTCAAATAAGATTATGCTCCTTGACTGTGCATCGATCAGTAGCATAATCTGAAGCATTCAGAGCAAGAGGAAGTTTCTGCTCCTGGGTGTAGCATTTGTATGACTGTACATGAGCATGTGTGTCTTACAGGTAACCCTTTGGTGCTTTTTTGTGCTTAATTGTTTTGCAGAACCGCTTGGAGGTGAAGATTTCTCAGTCGACCTACAAGGACCCCAATAATTTAGCCTTTCAGGAGATTAAAATACTTGGAATAGAGGAACCTATCAATGTCACAGTGAAACACAATGGTGTCCTGAGTCAAGCTTCTCCTAATGTCACTTATGATCCTAATCTGAAGGTAACACTGCATTGTGTGAATGCGTCTGTTTTATTCTTCTTCAAAGCACTGTGACATTTTTCCTGTCATTTGTTGCTGAAGGATCAGAGATCCTTGTGAGTGATGAATAGTGAATTCAAAGGATCTGGTGAGAAAATGAGAAAGAGACAGAGAGACAGACTAAGAGTGTGTTGAGGAGCTACTGTGGAGTGGTCTCTTCTTCCTCACCCATCTCTACCTAAATGTTCTGCACTCTTCAGTGATTTTTCGTTCTGAGAAAGAGTTGTCATGTTCACAAGAAGACCAGTAAGGAAAGTGGCAACAGGATCAAGGGAAAAGGGATTTGGGAACCTGTGACTGATGGTAAAATGTAAAGGTGGGATATAGGGTTCTGATAAATAAAAATCGTGGTGGGTGTTTGTTTTTATCCTTCTGTACTGAAACTGAGTCCAACAAATACTGTATGTGCTCAAGAGTCACATTAAGGTAAGTAATCTATGATCCTATCAAATTCCTGCTTCTTTCATTAGATAATAGGAAAATAGTAAGTCTCCATCAGTGAAATTCAGACATGACCCTCTTTAACACATTGTAATCAGTTGCTCTGAGATCCTAGCACTATAAGGACTTTTTAATCCAAGAAAGCCTGATGACAAATCCTTCAGCAATATTTGCGCTTGCAGCTTATATGGTAGTCAACTTTACACATTTATGGAAGTAATTTCATTTCCATATCTACTTATAATTGCAGATTGATGGGATGTGATAATTTCTTCCAAGAACTCATACTGAGGATATATTCATTATAAAGATATAAATAAATATATGCAGAGGCTCATGTTTATTGCTATGAACAAGCCATTTAAAAATACATACAGATAAGGCAGCTGAATCTCTGTTAGGCAAATGTATTAATTCAGATAAGACCAAAGGAAATGTTTCGTTGAGTTTGGTTATGGGAAGAGAGAATTTATAAACAGCAAACTCTTGAAAAGGGAGGCTACAAAGATAAAGCAACATTGAGAGATGTCAATTTATAATTTATGTAGTACATGATGAGCAAAGCTTATGGTTATTGCTGAGCCAAGTTTCTTAGAGAAAGCAATGGCTTTGGATGATCATGTGTCAGGTAGGAGATCCAAGCTTTGAGTGAAAAAAAAGTCCAAGTGATAATCAATTGGAATATTGTAATAAATACAGAAGGGAGAGATATCCTGGTGTTGGGTCAGAGGCTCAAAGTTTTCAAGATTGAGGTCTTTTCTTCTCTTGTTAAAGGAACTGGCTGCCTAGGTTAATTATCCATGCCTCTCTCCAAGAGATAGCTTTAAAAATTGAAAGCTGATGAAAGAAAGTTCAGAGGCAGGACTTTACATCAACAAATAAACACGTGGTGAGGAACCTTCCAGGGATTTGAATTTACCTTTTCTTAGTCATTCTCATGCGTCATCAACTAAAATTTAGCTTTGATTTGGTGAGTTTGGTATTGTATTTTGCAGTGCTGAAGACTGAACCAAGGGTGTAGTGTATGCTTGGCAAGTGATGTGCTACTGAGCCATGACTGCTAGTGGAACCTTGGTATCCTAGACTGAAATAATGAACAACAAAGAAATGCATTATAAAGACAAGGCACAATGCAGTGGAACCTCACTATGGATACCATTTTCCTAGAAATGAGTATTTATCAGTTTAAAATGTTTCATGTTGACACATTAGAATAAGCCAACCTAAGACTTGGAAGAGCTTTGGTCTGTGAATGTCTCAATAAAATCTTTGGTAGATTCACTTTTGAAGAGATTGATTTGGTCTGTGGGAAAGTTGTGGTCCCATTTTGAAGAGTTTTAGGTGGCCCAGTGAGAAAGCCATACCTGGTTTAGTTCTCGAAGTTTCTCATAAAGATGCTGACAGTAGGGATTATTGAGTTGATGATGCAGTGTAGGGATTAGTAGGACAGGAAAGGCAAGTTGATTTAGACTGGAAGGATCAAATGTGATCTTCATGCTTCAGTCAAATGAGAATGCTGACTGTGGGAAGTGCTACTTAAAGAAGAGCGCCACATAAGACTCAGGTATAGAAAAATGTGAAGTTTGGATTTCTGCAGGGGGTGCAGCAAAGATTTACAAGTTTGAGTAAATAGGTTTTCAGAAATGAAGAACCCGAGCTCTAGGAAATGAAAGAAATGTTTATGCTCTATACACCTCATTACTTTTGAAGCTGGTAAAACAGAACCTAAAAATTGAAACACTTTGCATTAGATTCCATGGAATAATGGACACACCCAGCCATAGGACTTTGTATGCTTCCGAATATTGCGGACTATGGATACAATTGTTTTTTAAGTTTCCTTCTTGTTTTTTGAGAACAAGAAGGAAAACTCGATTTTGAAAAGCAGAAGAGAATGTTTTTGCCACAATAAGGAGAAAGATGAGGAGTTAGGGAAGGAGAAAAAAGTGGTGAACACAATAGATTTTACTTGACTTTTTTTGCATTATATAAAGTAGAACATTGTGAGAGAATGGTAATATTTGTCCTAGTATAATATAACATTGCCCTATATTTATAGAAAAGACTTCATATAAACTCTAGTCACATATTGTTTGAATCGTAGGGTCTCACCTAATGACAATTTTTTCCCTAAAGGGAGATTTCTGATTTTGCAAAGCCTTAGTCCCGAGCGTGAATTTCCTGTGACTTCTCCATCTCTGTAGGTTGCCATTATCTCAGATATTAATCTTGTCCTGGGAGAGGCATACACAGTGGAGTGGAGCCTAAACATAAAGGACACAGAGAAAATAGACTGTTACCCAGATGAGCATGGCATTTCTGAAGCAGCCTGCATTGCCCGTGGCTGTGTGTGGGCGGTAAGTGTGCTGATGCTGTTAGTGCTCACTGAAATATTTTGCTCTTTGTCTACAACTTCATGAGCATGGTCCTGGTACCTATACACCCAGGTACAACCAACAGAAGGCAAGGGCTTGAGAAGCAGTGTATGTGTGTGTGAATATGTGGGGGAGGGTTGGATGATTGTACTGGGTATCATGTTTGGAGATCAGTAGTGTAATCTTTTGGCATTACCAAATGATATATAAGTGAGTAAGTGGTGCCTTCATCGCCACATAAATTGTCTGTCTCAAGTCTTTCATAGAATAGATGCTGACTAGGATTCTGACTTTACTTTTCAGGAATCCAATACCTCAGGTGTCCCATTTTGCTATTTTGTCACCGATCTGTACTCTGTCAGCAATGTGCAGTATGACTCACAGGGCGCCAGCGCTGACATCTCCTTAAAGTCTTCTTCTTATGCCAACGCCTTCCCCTCCACCCCTGTGAGCCCCCTGCGCCTGCAAGTGACCTACCATAAGGATGAAATGCTGCAGTTTAAGGTAAACACTGGATAAGTATCAGGTGCTGACACAACCTTTTTTAGTACCACTTTTATTTTTCTGGCACTTGGAATTTAACACCGCCTCTTTACATTGAGATACCTCCCCCTCCCTTTTTATTTCTTAATTGTTAGGCAGGGTCTCATTAACTCACCCACTGGCCATGCTGGGCTTGAACTTATGGTGTTGCCCCTACCTCAAGCTGCCAGAATACTGGGAGTAAGGCAAGTGCCACAATGCCTGCCTCCCACGGTGGCTGCTATGGAACTTTCATGATACTCTTTGAATAAGTTTCCTCTTTTTTTATGAGCTGTGACTTCATATTAGTACTTGAGGTTGAGCACAATGTTTTACACTAAACTACAACCTCACGGCAGGGCACTAAGTTGCTCTATCCCCTCACCTGTGTTTGAATTTGTGATCATGCTACCTCAGCTTCTCAGAGTACTGAGATTGCAAGAATGTACCTCCCTACCTGATTAGTTTTTTCTTTCAAATTATTTGCTGCATGATAATTCCAATCAAAAGAACAGTGAGAGCAGATGGGTAGTTCAGTGAGATCTGCCCAGACTTGCATTTGGAGAGCTGATCAAGGCTACTCTAAGAAAAATAGCTGGGAGAATGAGAAGTGGAGAGGACATTTAGGAACCTTCCCTTCACATGGGACCAGTGAGAGACTGAAGCTGTTTGTGTGTATCCTCACTACATCTGGGGCAAGCCATGCATATCTACAGATTTAAAATGAGTAATTTGATTGTTCAAGTTGTTGTATGGTGACTATCTTCTAAATATGTGTATTTCTCTTAAGCCAAAAAATTTCCTGTGTCTTTGACTTTCCTATTATCTTATCCAAGTGTTTTAATCTTATCTTTGTGCTTGGTTATTACCTAAAACACTTTTAATCCTCACTCTGTATTTGTCACTGAGACTCTGATCTCCTAGAAACAGAGGAAAACATTTCCTTCCTTATAATCTCACAGCTGGTCTGCATTACCACACATCACTTCAGTATTGTGAATCTCTCTCCTTCTGTTACATGAGTATGTGTGTTTCTTAACACAATAACTATTTCTCCTTGAGCTCCTATCCCTAGTGTTCAGTACATACATTAAGGCACAGCAGATACTTTGCAAAATCAATGGATTTTCACCTAGAACATCCAGCATTGTGTGAACAACAAAATAGCTCATGTTTTTCGTGGATTATATTGTTATTATGAATAATTTCCAGGTATTCACAAAGCTCATGTACTCACACAAATGAAGAATATTAATAGCACACTGAGGTTTAAAACTTATTTTACAAGTTAGTACCCATGTTAAGATGAATGTTTTGCTGAGGCGTTAAAAGTGTAGATTGACAAAATCAGATCAAATCCAGATGTCAGATTCTTACAGAATACAAGTATAGCATATCTAGATTATTGAGGTAGTCAGGTACTGCTAAAGTATAGCTATGCATTGTACTTTCCTTGCCTGAAAGGAGCTTTCATTGACAGTAATATTAGGGGATCTCTGTAGTGTTCACTGTGATGCTTTGAGACATTTCTGCATTGTGAATCGATCAACTTAGGAGGCTGAGTTTCTTTTTTAATGCCACATACTTCTGATTTCTTTGTAATGAGAATATTCCAATTCATGCCTTTGAGCTATTTTCAATCCTATAACATTGTGAACTACAGTCGTGTCTGTATATAGTGTGTATTCCCCATTTTTCTTTCCTTCCCTGAAATCTGTTTCCTCTCTAGATTTATGATCCCAACAGCATTCGTTATGAAGTCCCAGTACCTCTGAATCTCCCCAAGATTCCCTCCAGCACCCCGCAGAGCCGGCTCTATGATGTGCTCATCACCAGTAATCCATTTGGGGTAGTAATTCGCCGGAAGAGTACAGGCACTGTCATGTAAGCATGATTTGGAATTTCTGGTTACTTTCTGGTCCCTTGTGAGCCATTTGTCCTTGGAGTTACCCTGAAGGAAACCAGACACAGTTCATTTCCAGATTCCATTTCCAGATCTGTAAATAAGGATTTTCCTTTAGATCTGTTTAATCAGAACTCCTTTGCCACTTTAGAACATTGCTGAGAGATTTGTGTGTTCCTGGAACATCATCCAGCTACTCACTATTTAGTGGCATGTTGTTAAGATATGACCTGCTTTTCTAGGTTGCATGTTGTGGCAGATAATTGTTGTGTAGGACAGGGAACAGGAAAATCTAGAGTTCTGCGAGCTTACTGTTTTGACAGTGTGACCAGAGTATTCCTGTCCCAGAGGTGGTATTTGAGGTAGGGTCTGGATGTAGAGGAGGGCTCTGAAGTGCATGCTATGTTCTGGGGCAAGGGAAATATATTCTTGATAGAGGGACAAATAAGTGCATAGGTTATGGTACAGGAGGAAAACTTACTGCTAGAAGAACAGCCCATAAGGAAGTGGGTGTTAGGTGTGAAGCTGGGATGTTGCATGTGTTGAGATGGGGTGCAACTTAAAGGCTTCATTTAAATGGTCTTTATTGGAGAGGACTCTGCTAATATAGACAGTAGAAGAACCTGATATTTGGTTCTCTCAGAAATATCAGTCAGCATGCAAAAGACAACTAGAGCTTAAGAGCAAGAGCAGAAGGCGGGGCTGGTATGGAGGGTGGCAGATGAGATGGTGGGAAGTATTCACTTTAGTGTTGTCAGGGGAGCAGTGAAAGGACATTGTGGTAGAGAAACCAGAGGAAGGAAGGATGATTTTGCTTTGAGCAAAGATATCTGTGATTATTTATCCACATAGACTTTGTGCTGTACTGGGAGAGGAGCAGGGTCTGTTGGCAGGGGACAATTAGCAGTTCTGTTGCCCTTGGAAAGTCAGCTGCTCCAACTCAGTAAGGAAAGCTGAGGTCCTTTATAACCTACCTGTGCGCTTCTCAGCTGGGACTCGCAGGTCCTGGGCTTCACCTTCAATGACATGTTCCTCCGCATCTCCACCCGCCTGCCCTCCTCTTACATCTATGGCTTTGGTGAAACGGAGCACACGGCCTTTCGGAGAGACCTGAACTGGCACACGTGGGGCATGTTTTCCCGAGACCAGCCCCCAGGGGTGAGCATGCGTCTCTGCCTCTGTCTGCCTTCAGCGTGTGTGCTTTGTGCTTCGTCTTCCCTGGCTGGGTGGGGCTTGTCACACTGTGCTCTGAGACAAGTGGGCCCATACCTGGTCAGCTTCGTTTGCCTGTGTTTAACTTACTTCTCAGGAAAGGCAAGACCCATCTTAATAAACATATGGGCTGAATTTCCTAATGTGTCACAGTGTGTGCTAACCCTGTTTCCCTTCTCCCCCCTGATGTTAGTATAAGCTGAATACCTATGGCGTCCACCCTTACTACATGGGACTCGAGGAGGACGGCAGTGCCCACAGTGTGCTGCTGCTGAACAGCAATGCCATGGGTAGGTGATGCCAGTGCTCCCTTTGTTTGTGCGTACTACTTCTCCTGAGTAATGTTAGAATGTGTGTTATCTGGCTGCATTCAGAGGTGGAGATATTCAACCTGTGGCGAGTAATTTTATCTTTAAATTTAATATTCTCTTCATTTCATTTGAGTAACATATACCAGCAAGGTAGTTGAACCCTTGTTTTGGGAAGAATCACATAAAAAAGTAAATAAAACCTCCCATATCCTTAGATCACCGGGTGGGAACAACTGTGTGACTTGAATCAGTTGCCAATCTGTGGGTCTCTGCACTCACTGCCTGTCTAGGAAGTGTGAATAAAATTCATGTGATACAAAACAGAAAAAACACGGAGTTTAAAAGAAACATGAATTAAAACTGGTGAAATGTAAGTAAATTCACTTAGTAGTGTTTTACTACTGCTGATCTCCTATTTTTGGCAATGTATGGTAATGATTCAGAAAAGGTTATCCATGGGGTGTACACAAAAGTGAAGTGTACACAAAAGTCTGAGGAATATTTCTGCAAATTGCCGTGAGTCCCTAAATTTTTGTGATATTAAAGTTGTAATAGTTTTGAAGAAAGAGAATGGCAAAACATGTACAAGATAATAAAACCCACGAAGGGGGAATCATCCAGGGATGGAGCCTTTGGGCTAGCACTTCCACATTTCTAGCCGACTGTCTGCCTTTCACTCTGTAAGGTGTAAGGGGACTGTCGGAACCTCATCATGGAGATTTCCACCTAGTTTGGAGACTGTAGGAACCTCATCATGGAGATTTCCACCTAGTTCTATCTTTTCAGATTTGACGTTCCCAGGTGAGACAGTATGAATGTGAGGCTAGTTATTCCCCATTGTTGGCTTTTCCCATCATTATAGTTTGTTGGCATCATTTTTCTATCTTTTCAGATGTGACGTTCCAGCCCATGCCTGCCCTGACCTACCGCACCACGGGGGGAATTCTGGACTTTTATGTGTTCTTGGGCCCAACTCCAGAACTTGTCACTCAGCAGTACACGGAGGTAAGAGCAAATTGATTAGCTTCTCAAGTATGTGTTAAACTCATTCTGTGTTCTCAAAAGAGTCTTCACTCGTTTAAATCTCAGTTGACAGGTAGAGCTGGTCTTTGTCAAAGATGGGTCATGCCGAGTAACAATAGATGCATTTCCAGAATCCTTACATCCATAGGCTCTCTGCTCATTGCAGTGAGGGTACAGCAGTCATGGTACCAATTGCAGTGTTCAGACTAGTGTAGGATGTGGGTGGTTATGGTGATAATGGTTTTGGTGATGTTCGGTCCTAGTGTTGTTAATGGAGAGAGTAGCTCCCATAGTGTGGATGGGAGTGGCTGTGAGTGTAATGATTTTTATGGTGATCCTGACCTTTGTGGTGTAGGTGATGGAATGGTGATAGTGATGACAGTGAAGCAGGTGGATTGTGGGTGTTTTCCGAGGGTTCTGTGGTGAATGTTTTGTCTGTAGTCGTGATAGACTTAGTGATATGGGTGAGCAAGAGAAGGTAACATATGAGTTGTGGCAAAAAACCCCATGCAATTCTTTATTTCATTTAGTTTTTACTTTGTGAATGCCAGAGCACTCCTGAGTAATTTAGATTAAGCCATTTTTCTATGTTGTTGTTCACTAGTGGTATTGTCTTTGACAGGTGAAGAAACAAGCAGGAATGTATGCTTTATAATATCTCACAACTAGCACACATGGAGCCTGTCCATCAATCCAGAAATTTTTTCTCTGTGTTCTGTGCTCCTAGCCATACACAAACTATAGGAATCATAGTAAAACCAAATTTGCTCCAATTCCTAGCTTAGCAGTTTTCTCCAGGTATTCTGGTAGCTCAGGAGCTTGACACCTCAGTTAACTTTGCATTTGTACTGTTGGTTTTCTATCTCAGAGCCCTGAAGGAACATGTTTATTACTGTATGTGCTGCTTAAACCTGACTTCTCCCAAACATATTTGTATTTTGTGTATTTTCCAGGTGATTGGTCGGCCTGTGATGGTGCCTTACTGGTCCCTGGGATTCCAGCTGTGTCGCTATGGATATGAGAATGACTCTGAGATTGCCAGCCTATATGATGACATGGTGGCCGCCAAGATCCCCTATGTACGTAAAGGACATTGTGCATTAGCTCTGAGATCTTGGAGACAACTCATTCATCTCTGCATCTGGTTTGTTTGTTGGACATTTGTGAAGTTGTACAAAGACACAAAGTTTTTTCTCAAATGATGTCCCAGGATGCCTAATCCCAGCACTGTAAGGCAGGTGGCACCTTGTCACCCCTTATCAAGAATGATCCAAGCTTTGTCTCCCATATCATGCTCTCTTGTTACTCTTATATGAGTTACATAAATTATGTGAAATGTTCTTCATTCCATAACAATAAAGTATGCCTCAGCAAATGAGCCCAGGTGGCTGATTACAGCTATGCATGAGGCTAAAGTTGAGAGATCAGCACTGTGGATCTAGGCTGGACAACTTAAGATCGTGTCTCACAACAGCATAATAAAATTTCTAGGGATATAGCCCAGGTTTAAAGCACTTGTCTGACTAGTGCAGGGTTCTCTGTTCAAGCCTCAGTATTACAAACAAAAGAAAACAGGAACAAAACAACAAAGAGAAAGTGATAACTGAACACCCCAAAAGAAAAATCGTGTGTGGTTAAAAAAATGACTTCACATGTCATCAAACCTTCACAAGTAGAGGCGTGTTCTGAATCCCAGTGCTTGGTGTGCCACTTCATTTTATCTGTGTAGGACCCTCGCTGCCTACAAGGGTTCGTGATAGGTCTGCCAGCCTGGGGTTTAGCTACAAGCTCCCAACTTGTTACTTGAGACAGAGAAACAATTTTATCTCTCCAAGCATATCTTCTACCTTCTCCTTCTCTTTCCAGGGATAAACCTCCGGCTCCCTTTTTGCTCATGACTCGAGCCTTTTCCAATCCCAAGACTCTACAACCACTCAACCTCTAATTCAAGATGCCAGTAAATCTTCCTGTGTACTGTTTTCCACAGGGAGATGTTTCCCTTAAATCAGCAGTTAATATGTCATGTTCCCACTTCCCACACTCCTCCCTCAGCCAAACTGATAAATGTATTGAGACTTTTTTGTTCTCATTTGAGAGCCTCTATACCCCTGCCCCATGAAGCTCTCTGTGCTCACAGTAAAGGCCTCACCTGCTTATATCTCTCATTGTTTCTGTGCTGCTTCAGATTACGTGCTCAAATTATTCAATCAGTTTGCAGAATAAGGGGGCTGCAAAATATCAGAAATTTTCCATGGAGCCCTTTCCTACAAACCAGTCTACTTGCTGTTCTGTTATTTATAATAGTTTCATTAATGGAAAATGTATCACAAAGTATGAATTAATGAGAGAACTTTACCCAATTACCTCCCACATTGGATGTTCCTCAGCAATTACAATTTTCTCCTTAGTCACATAGTACTTTACAATCCACTTTGTGTTATGAGTTAAAAATTTTCATTATATTTTCTGAACAGGATTCTGTGTGATCCTGGGTGCTCTCCTAGGATAAGCAAAGCGCCTGTTTATAATCAAGTTTTACACAGCCACTTTCGCATTGAGAGTTTTTATTTATCATGGTAAAAGTCCTTCTGAATACACTATCATTCTACATGTTACTGATTTACATTATTTTATGACTTAACACTAGAAAAACTTATATAAACTTCCTGCGGCACATACCAAACACATGACAGAGTTAGGATTTGAAGGGCTCGCGAGAAACCTTTCAATTCCCCATCAGTTGGACGATTGCAGCCTTTCAAAATTGGATTGCACCACCTGAGCCCCTGTGTTTCCTTATGTCCTCCCACAGGACGTGCAGTACTCAGACATCGACTACATGGAGCGGCAGCTGGACTTCACTCTCAGCCCCAAGTTTGCTGGGTTACCGGCTCTGATTGATCGCCTGAAGGCCGATGGGATGCGGGTCATCCTCATCTTGGTTAGTCCTGTGTGAATGTGACTAGTATGCGCAGTGGCTGTCTTCCATGGAGAAGGCATTAGGCTGTATTTTCTTTTGTGCTGCAAGAAGAGAAATTGAATCACAATAAGAATTTGATATTCTAGGCTTGATGGATGTATTAAAGTTCAGATGGAAGCGAGAGACTCCTGTGTCAACAATTCCCCTGTCTCCTGCCCCTTTGTCGTTCCCTGGCTGTGGTTTCCCCACCTGACTTGTGCTTTGCTTTCAGGACCCAGCCATTTCTGGCAATGAGACGCAGCCCTACCCTGCCTTCACTCGGGGTGTGGAAGATGATGTCTTCATCAAGTATCCAAATGATGGAGGCATTGTCTGGGGAAAGGTATGACCTAAGGGATGGATGATCCACCAATCCCAGGCTAGGGCCGTGTCTTAGAGGTGGTAGAATGTTTGTGAGAATTGTTTCTTGGTCCTTTGCATTTGGGATCTGAGGTCCATACTTTTAATTTTTCAATCAAGTTTAGTTGGTACAGGCGAGAATTTTGTAGAATCTACCTGGCTCTATGTTGGAGACCACAAATTCACAGTGGCTCATTTTGCACAGTTCCCTAAGTTTCAAATGTAGATTTGAGATTAGGGTATCACCTTTGGAGACTTCTCATTAATTCTTTTTCATGGGCCATCATCTGCCACCCACTAATAGTAAAGTAAAATTCCTAAGATTAAAAAGAATGCTGCAGGGCAAGATCCTTCTTAGCATAGATCATCTCTACACTCCTGAGTCTTTCCAGGATTATTCATTTACTCCTGAAACTGCAGACCTTGAATCTTGTGCTAGTTATACTTTATGCAACCATTAGAAAGTGGCTGCATTGGAGTATCTTGGTCCCTGCCCCTGCTGAGGCATGGGGCTCCCAGCACCCCACCATGCATTACTCAAGTTGTCTCCGTTTCTCATTTCATCCTCTTGCCATAGCCCTCATACAGGCAGTTGGGCATCTTGACCAGGTCTTCAGTCCCTCTAGATTAGACATACATGCTAATTGATGCATTAGTGACCGTTAAAGCATAGTTTCAATTTTCTTGGGAAATACTGTATGGTGCATTGCTGTTGAATGTTTGTTTCTCCACAGGTTTGGCCTGATTTCCCCGATGTTGTTGTTGATCCCTCTCTAGACTGGGATAGTCAAGTAGAGGTAAGAGCCCCACTGTGCATCTTTGTGGAGGGTTTTTTGGGAGCAAGGAGCCTTACCCAGGTTTCTGGAAATTCCCTGCCATGGATTGGGTTCAGCAAAGGATAAACACTTAGGAATTATGTCCTAAGTGTACATAAGTCTGTGTGCAGATTTCTTCATATACAGTAAAGATCTGTTTCCTGTAGCAATGAAGGTACTGATAAGGTGTTGTTATCCTTGGGAAAGTGAGAGATCTTCAGATTTTTTTCATGGCTTTAGATGACTCTGGTAATTTCGCCCTCAAAGCTGTCAGATTTCAAAGGCCCCTGAAATCCTGATTACACCTCATGTACAAGTGCTACTTCCCTCTGAATCAATGTGTTTGTAGTTGTTCAGATAACTCTCTTACTTACTGTGTCCAAGCTTTCTCTTTAGTTATTGAGTCTTTCTCTGCACATCACTTGTTCTTTTATTCTTCTCTGCCTTGTTATATATGAAACCCCACTGCCATGTTCCTTGAATCTTGACTCTTTCCACTTTTCTCTTTCTCCTTAATTTCCCATCTGTCTTGAAAAGTCTTCTTTCCTAGGAACAGTTTCTTGTTTGCAATGGATTCTGATAGCCCCTACAGCTGGACATAAATGCTGTCCAGCATCATCAATCATTTGTTACCTGAGTGAATTGGTGCTGCTTGTTATTCAGTAGCTTCAACTGTATTCTACCCTGTGATATGTACACCGTGAAGTGATGTTACCCACTGTTCTGATAACATCTCTGAGCAGGGTTCCCTTAGTTCTTAAAAATCATTATCTCTCCTGACTTTGTTTCACTCTTTTTCTGCAATGATTATTCTTTCCATAGGATATTTTAGCCCAAGGAACTGCATAGAATTGTTTTTAAGTCATTGAAGAGATATTTTTCTTTTACCACCAGTAGTACTGAAAGGCATAAGGGGTCCAATATCTGGCCTGTGTGGTCAACAAGGTGGTGGACATTTTACTACTATGAAACTCTGTCAGTTTAAGAATGAATAAATGTTTATCAGTGTTGTGAGAAGAAAGCACAGCAGTAAAGTTTTATAGTATTACTCAAAGCCCAAGGCCAAGAGCCCTTTAAATTGCTCTTAAAAAATATCGGATTCTATCTGATGGATGGGGGTTTATGTGAAAGATTTCCCATTATAAGGTAGTCCTGAAGGCACATTATCAGTGTTGGATAGAAGAATAATATTATACCGAACCTGCATATCTGAGGAGAAATTTCTCAGGTGGGACAGCTCTCCTGGAATAGTGAAAATAGGTATGACTGGTTAGGCATGTATTCTTTTGTGGTGTTACTTTCTGACTGCATGTATCCTAGTTGACAGTAGTGCCCTAGCTCTAAAACATGACACAGGTACTGTTGAACAGGATGCCTGTCTTTGGGCTGTATATGTCTTCATGTTTTGTCCGTAGAGGCAGTAGAAGAGACTGCATTTGATTGGGGCACGTTTCTCAAATTTGCAAGAGAGTTTCAGACTGAGCTCTATATTGTTTTCTTTTTGTGATCTTTTACAAGTATCTATGTGTCTGTCTGTCTATCTACCTATGTAAGATGTGATGAGAATTTGAGGGAAATGACCTATCCATTCTCCTTTCCTCCATTCTTACAAATAATCAAATGAATTTCTGTGTTTCACACAGATCCCGTGGTCACACAAATGTGCCAGGCAGAGGCACTGGTGGACACAGGATTCCATAGTTATATTTTTGCATTGATAGTGGGGCTGCTTCATTCGTCATATGGTTGCGTATTAGCATATGAAACCTACAGCCCATCAGCCACTGGAGTGACTACTGACTCTAATGAGGTTATTTGGAGGCCTGTGGTGCAATATTGATTATCACACAGTGATTGGGAAACACCATGTGCCTTTCAGTGTGTGGTGTCCAGGGTCGCCCATAGAATTCAGTTGCTCCAAATGACAATTTTGCTTTTGAGGGAAACACTTTATTTGGAATCACAGAATTTATTATTGGAACCCCAAGAGACTCTTAGTAAGTGGAATTCTTACAAGTTTTTATATTAATAAGATCCGTTATTCATGAGGCTTGTGAAGGAAAGTTTATGATGTACGTGTCTGACATTCCTGAGGGTTGTATAAAACAACAAAACAAATACTCAAGTATTAAAGAGGACAATGTGTAACATCAACTAATAATTTTTTAATGATAATATAGTTCTTTTAAATTCTTATTTGAAATACTTCTACCTTTTTTCCTTTTGTCTTGTTTTTATTCTTTTTTTCTTTAAACAAATAGATAAATTAATAAACCCCATAGAAAGCAAAATTTTCCTTTCTTTCTTTCTCTCCCTCTCTTCTTTTTCCTTCCTTCCTTCCTTCCTTCGTTCCTTCCTTCCTTTCTTCTTTCCTTCCTTTCTTCTTCCCTTTCTCTCTTTCTCTCTATACTTGGAGTCTAAATCCGTACCTTATGCTTGCCAAGCAAGCACAGTGCTGCTTAGCTGCATTCTAGCTCAAAAAGCAAATTTAGAGTTCAAATTTTGTAGTTTTAATTTAGTAATCCTGGATTGGGGACCAGGAATTGCAGTTTAGTACTCAAAGTGGATTGGAATAAGCAATTCTTGATCCAGTCATTCGGGTGTGCACAGCTCTGGTTCAATATCCAAGTAAGTATAAGCAAAGAGGTAGGGTGGAATGTTGACAGAGTACAGCTGACCTCACATTTGGTTAATGGAAATGAATGATTCGAGTGTGACTTATTGAGGTTAATATAACATGGTTGGCTTAATTTCCACTTGCGTCCTCTTGTTGATTAAATTGTAATGCAGACATAGCTAATAGTTGCTTTTCATCCTACTCTTCTGTTCCCTCTGTATCCTGTTGTTTCTGACCTTGCCTTAGATGGAGTCCCTGGAGTGGAATTTTGTTTTCTCCTAGTTTTATGGTTTCATTTCTTTCAGTCATTTGAAGATGCTTCCAAAGATTTCTAATAATGTGACTTCTTGCTTTTTGTAAGAAAGGTCTATGCACGCAGATCTATTTGCATGTTTTTATGTTTTCTCTAGACATGTGATTTTCTGTAGACACTTGATTTTGTGTACTGTGAGTAGGAACTGACATTCCCTTAGGTAAAGTCCTTTCTGTTGCTCTTCTAATCTTACCCCCAATACTATTGAGCTATTTCACTATTAGAAAATGAATGGTGTGATTAATCAGAGGAGAATGTTTATAGAGGTATACCAGCTATCATCATGTCCCTTGAAAAGGCACTTGGAGTATACAGATATTTTTGAATTTTGCTGCTTAAAGATATGAGACTTTACAATTAAACACAATACTTACTGCAAGTTATTATGAATTATTATGCCTGACTAAGGAGACATAATAATAGAGGAGCGCAAAATAGAACAGAAGAATATCAGAACATTTTCTTCGAAGAACATTCAGTTCAATTTCACAGATTCCTGTTTTAAAGTTTTATTTTTGTTAGTACGTATTTTGAATTCCGTGATAATTGCATTATTCGTGGCGAGTTTGTGCACAGCACATCTTTCTTGTTTTTAATATCTGTCTGCTGTTCCTGTTCTTCCTTCCTCCATTTCTTAATCCCCTTCCCTTTTGCCAAGAGTGGCACTTTAAATCTATATTTACAGTTCAAATAAGGACATTATGTTTACTATTTGAGGGTGCAGGGAGAGTGGGCATTGAAACTTTCTCCTAAGGTCCCCTCATTTCACATTAGACACAGCTGCACAATACTTTTATATGTGTGTCTTTAATAAGAGTGCATTTGTTGGTTCATAATATGGGTCCTTTACTATGTGAAATGTGGTACTAGGTTAAGGAGAGAGAGGAATGAAAGTATAGCTGCACTTTTTATGTAGTTAAGAAACTATAGAAAATAAAGATGCATCCAGGTGTAATATCACAAGCGCAAATTGTATGCCTTCCTCTCAATCCTAGCTGATGTTTTGTTGTAACCTGCTACGGCACATCTCATTTCTACTCTTTCTCCTTATCATCGTTCTGCCTCTTGCCTTGTCTTTGAGAAGAGTTTAGGAAATATCTGGACAGAAGTTGAAGGCTGAGCATCCAGAGCATCAGATTATGAGATGAGGTTGCTGTTGCTGTTCATATTAACCTGTAGGGGTAATCAACCTCTGCATGTCTTCCAAACTCTAGGGTATATGATTTGTGCTCATTCTTCTGTATTGTACTCAAGAAACCTACGCAGGTTTGTTCTGTTCGGCCTATCACGATCTACCACCTGACAGTGTAGTCTTTGCATGGGTTACATTGTAAGTAAGTGTTTGCTTGCTGTGTAATACATTCATTTAGCACAAATGAGTTATACTTTGTTTTTATAGCAATACCGAGCTTATGCGGCTTTCCCAGACTTTTTCCGTAATTCAACTGTCCTGTGGTGGAAGAGGGAGATTCAAGAGCTGTACAACAACACACAGAATCCAGAGAAGAGCTTGAAATTTGACGGCATGTGGATTGTAAGTGTGCATATGTGTTCCTTACACATGGATAGGTGTGCATATCTTTTTTGTTTCTTAAGTTGCAGATCCTTGACTCCTACATGTGAATAATAGTGAAGAAATGCTTTTAATATTTCAAAAACACTTAGTCACTCAGTATGGGGAAGCCATGCTACCCTTCAAACGTTGTATCTTGCCCTAGGGTTCTGGTGTAAGACCTGGGCAATTACTAGGAAATCTTTGCAGTTTTTAGTTTCCCAAGAGACAATTTTTGTCACTCTTTGATCGGTCACCTTGTAGGGAATTAATTGAGTTTTCAAGTTGTTCTTCCCTGGATTTGATGAACTTCCTTGTGCAAGCATGTTTAGGGATTCCAGTATTTTAAGTAATTTATTCACTACTCTCTTTTTTCTGGACAGGACATGATTATCTTTTAAAATGAACTATGAACACTTATTTTGTAGGACATGAATGAACCAGCAAGTTTTGTGAATGGAGCTGTCCCTTCAGGCTGCAGGAATGGTACTCTGAACCATCCTCCCTATATGCCATGTAAGGACCCTGTGACTCTCTGCTGTGTATCCCTGGATAGAAATAGGGTACCCCTAGAAGAGCCCAGCATCTAGGGGTTTATCCTGAGCCCTGAGAACCTGCCCTAATTGATCTAATGATTTTTGGAAATCAAGACAAAATCACTTTTAGGACTTTTCTACTTATGGTGTGCAGTATGCTGGGGCCAGAGGGATTGATTTTGCACAGCTTGATGGAGTCCTCACTATAGTTTAGAATAAATAGTATTCTTTCTTGGAAAACTAGAGGAGTGATCCATGAGCAATCAAGTTATTGTTAAGTTTCACAGTTCAATGTCTTATACAGAGAAGGGAATAAGGACTAAATTCAATAAGGATGTTACCTTAAGTGTTTTCCTCTCAGATTTTATATGATATTTGGGTAGAAAGCACTGAAGCACTGTAATGTCTCCAAAGAAGTCTCACACATTGATTTCAAAGCTGTCCATGAATCTCTTTGGTGAAATGTTGAGGAGCTCACTGCTTTCTCCTTTCAAGAAGCACCTCTTGTTGCCACTCATCTATGAGACAATTAATTCATGATTTCTCTTAGTTTTTGGTGATAATATATCTTCAATGATTTCTTTTGCCACTAATTGATATAAAGTAACGGTATCCTCTTCTATTGTGGCCATGGACTTTATTGACCTTGAAGTTGTGTTTGTATTTTAATCCCTAGAAATTATACTTTCTATAAATTTGGCGACTATCCATAGATTATATGAAGTTCCATGTCTCAGCTTTTTATACTATAGGAAATCACTAATCTACTCTTCCTCCTAGAATTGTCTAAAATGACTTAGAAGTTAAAATACAGCGTATCATCCCTAATGATGTAGTGTTTAAGAACCCCGAATTTTCTGGCAGGAAATTCTGCTTTCTGTAGTGAACTTGATGTTGAAAATTCTGGGGTAAATGGTCATACCACAGCACCCACTGTTGTTACCTTGTCCCTGGGAAGCAGGAAATAATCTTCAGATTCAGAGTATCTTCCCTTAAAAAGGCTGCGGGTGGTTTTGACATTTCTAAATCTTTCCCCTTAGATTTGGAGGACAGAAATGGTGGCCTAAGCAGTAAGACCCTGTGCATGGAGGGTGAGCAGATCCTTCCAGATGGTTCCAGAGTGCGTCACTACGATGTGCACAGCCTGTATGGATGGTCTCAAACTAGGCCCACCTATGAGTGAGTTTCTCTCTGCCTTCTCTAGTTGATAAAATCTGTAGGATCAGCCAGGGATGGGTGTAGAATCTCTACAGTTCTTTGATGTATCATGCGAAGATTTAGGGAAAGTTTAAGTACAAGCCATTTTAAATCTTAAACAAAAAGCCTGCAAGCATACAGCCAGGCCCTATGACTGTAGCTGATAGGACCGAAGTAAATAAGTCAGTTTTCCGATCATAGAGAAACTAACAATCCAAATGGGTCACACACAGAGGGTTATCAGTGCTGTGACAGCATTGATTAGAAATCTCAAAAGGAATAAGAATGATAAGTACGTTTTTGTCATCTCAAAATGGACATATCCCTATTTTTCACCTACTGTGTTTGAATAGTTCCTGCGTATCCTGTTTAATTAACCTTTTCTAGTTTGTGAAGTCACTGGATAGTATTTATAACCTTCAGTGAATCTGTAACAAGAACTTGCCTCTTTCCTCCTCCTGGATAGAAAACCAAGTCTCGTGTTAATAAGTAACAGAGTTAGTGCTTGTTTACAATTTCAGGATAACCACGTGATTTTATCATATTGTGAACTCATGGTAAACACTGAAAAAATAAACCAGTGATATTAATGGCCTCCATCAGTGTGCACCATCCTACCTGCGTTCCACTTTTTCCTGTTCTGATCAGGCGTGAGGCAAACAGTTCCTCACCATGCCCTAGGCACCGGGAACTTTACAAGGCAGAGGCCTGTAGCCTTTCTTTTCCTACTTTGGTGTCATTTCACCCCCTTGCTGTCCTCCAACCAGAGCCGTGCAGGAGGTGACAGGACAGCGAGGGATTGTCATCACCCGCTCCACATTCCCCTCTTCTGGCCGCTGGGCAGGACACTGGCTGGGAGACAACACGGCCGCGTGGGACCAGCTGAAGAAATCGATCATTGGTAAGTGGGCCTGTTGGCAGGGCTGTGGTGGCAGGGAGGGGTGAGGGAGGAGGAGCAGGAGGAGCGGGCAGGGCCCGATGCCGCCCTCACACACTTGTGGTTCCCATTGCAGGCATGATGGAGTTCAGCCTCTTTGGCATGTCCTATGTAAGTGGCCTTCAGATCCCTCCTGATTGCTTCCAAGGTGGTGCCAGCATTCAGAAATCACCACCGACCTGGTTTTATTTCCTCTTGTTTCAGACCGGGGCAGACATCTGTGGGTTCTTTCAAGATGCCGATTATGAGATGTGTGCTCGCTGGATGCAGCTGGGGGCCTTTTACCCCTTCTCCAGGAACCACAACACCATTGGCACCAGGGTAGGACCTCAGCTCCCGCTGACTGCTGTGTAGTTTGTTTTTTCCTTTTGTTTTTTCACTTAAGATACACAACCGTTTTTGAGCTAAGTTCAACCAACTGTTTCCTTGGGGAAATCATCCAAATTGTGAAGCTCTCCTCTCAGCAAACCATATTCTTCCGTATTGTGTAGGGAATAATTGGGCTCAGCAAGGTTTTTCTACATTATTTGAGAGAAATATCTGAAACAAACTTGTATTTGCTTTCTAGGAGTGCTTCAGTGTCCCTTTCCAGCATATTCATAATATTCTTGAAGTCTCCCCTGTCGTTACCTTTAGTTTAGTTATGTGTGAGCCATGTGGAAAATGTGCACTGACCCTCTGAGCTTTGTGATTTCCCGCTTGCAAAATGCTGAACAGTCCTTTTCCCCCTTTAGAGACAAGACCCTGTGTCCTGGGATGCTGCCTTTGTGACTATTTCAAAAAGTGTGTTGGAGACCAGATACACCCTGTTGCCCTACCTCTACACCTTGATGCACAAGGCCCACACAGAGGGCGTCACTGTCGTGAGGCCTCTCCTGCACGAGTGAGTGTCCCCCTGGTACCTTACGCACTAAGGCAGAATGCATTTCTTTTTGTAGAGTGGTAGTGCATGCAGAGAATTTCTCCAAGCAGAAGATATGATTTCTCTTTTATTATAAGATCATAAGACAGAGATGGTAATTGCACTTTTAATAGTCCCTGAAGAAAAGATATTTATCAGCTGACAAAATGTCTTAAAGGATTCTACACAATATAGCATAATTGTATGTAATTTGTCAATGCAGACACAGGTCTCCATTTCTTTTTTTTACCGTTGTTGTTACATGAGCCTGGGCCTAAATGAGTTTAGTTAACCAAAGAAGATACTTAGTGAGAGACGAAAGCGATGAGGGCCAACCTGGGGTTTAGCATGTGCCATGGTGAGGAAATATCTTTCTGTCTTCAGAGGAGCCTGACCTGTGGAGAGCGGGGCTCCATATTTTCAGTGACACTCAGAAGTGAGGATGGCAGTGAATGCAGCTGAATTCTTCACACAGAGTTGAAGCTGAGGTCTTTCCTCAGACCCTGGGATCTGATTGTGACCAGTTTCTTTTCCTTCCAGGTTTGTGTCAGACCGTGTGACCTGGGATGTAGACAGTCAGTTCCTGCTGGGCCCGGCCTTGCTGGTCAGCCCTGTCCTGGAGCCTGTGAGTGTGGAGGGCCAGGCTGGTGGGTGGAGGATCTGAGCTGTGAGGCTGGGTGACTAGGGAAGGAGAAGCCAGCAGGGGTACGAAGTTGCCTGAGTCATGGCTTCTTGTTCTATCTTGTTCTCTTTTTCTCCTGTGTCAAAGAATATGACTTCAATATTGTGGTATCAGCCTCCACTTCTTTAATGTCTGCCTGACAATCCTGGTTAGAACCATAAGAAAAACAAACAAATAAAGCAACAACCATTTTGTCCTAATACCCTCAAGATACATTTGAGAAATTTACATTTCTCCAAGCAGGAAGAGTATATATGGATTTCATTACAGTGTCCTGTCACGATTAGAACACTTTGCAAGAGAGCTATCCACAGACATGTGTGTTATTCCCTTGCTTCTACTGAGCCCAACTGGCTGCAACAGCCATTCCATTACTTGTCTCTGAATCACCTTAAATATGCGTCTGATGCCACCTAATGTCACCCTCCTTATCCTACCTATGAGTTCTGCTCCAGACCCAAGCTCAGATAGATTATGTCTTAGCTAAGTGTTTGGGCTAAGTGTATAATCCAGTGTTGATATTTTCCTCTGATGTACTGGATCCCAACGAGATTTATGGAAGTCACTTAACTGGGTAGCAAAATTTCCTCTGGGTGCAAACAGGGAACAGGTGGGTCCCATGCAATCTTTTCATTCCTTTTGTTTGGCCTGATTTCTGTGTTCTAAAATTTAGAAATTCTCACTGCCCATACATTTGTGTACAATTTCAGGATGCCAGAAGTTTCAAAGCCTATTTCCCTGGAGCCCACTGGTACGATTACTACACGGTAAGTTTTTTCATCCTGTGTAGGTGAGGGAAATGCATAAACAAGTGAGTTAGATGGATCCTGTGCATGGCAAACCCTGGATGTGTGTGCTCCTGCTTTAGGATTTGTAGTCTTGCATAAACCACTTTAAGCATTGTAACTCAATTTTGTTATTGCTCTATTGAGTATGACTGGTCACTCACATAAATGTAAAATAAACATGAACTTCTCACAGGGACCTGTGTTGTCCTGAGTGCTCTCTACTAGAGATTCTATACATTTTCTTGAAGCTGACTACTCACAATATTGGTATTTGTACTAGTATCTTGGGTAGTATTTGTTACACAAAGCCTTTCAAGGTAAGTCATTACAGCAGGGAGCAGATGACAGCAGAGAGTGAGCAGAAAGTGTCCTCGCAGGTATGTGCTGAACTGTGAAGTACAGGCAGCAAGTTCTGAGAGTCAGAAGAGATATCGGCCCAATGCACTGTCGAGAGAGGTGTGTGTCCTGGCCTTCATGCTCTCCTTTCCCTGCCTACAGGGTGTGAACATTAATGCAAGGGGGCAGTGGAAGGATGTGGCAGCCCCTCTGGACCACATTAATCTTCATGTGCGTGGGGGCTACATCTTGCCCTTGCAGGAGCCTGCGCTGAACACTCACTTAAGGTAAATTATGGACCAGGGCTCTGATTGGCAAATATGAAGAACACTGGTTTGTATTGAATGCTACCAATGCCTTAATTGTCATTCTGAAGTCCAAAACGATTTTCCAGAAAATATATTTTTTTAATTTTTAAAAATTTGCTTTTGTTTTCTCCATATCCATAGCTCTTTTTCTCTGTCTCCATTCTTGATGAGAAGTTAGTGAAGACCGTTGAAGGCTGCCGCCCAGGACATTTGTGCTCGCCTGTTAGGAGCTGTAGTCAAATTGTATCTTGTGTGTCTGTTGGTCTTTTCTCCTGAGTGTTTTTGTCTACACCTGCAGCCAGATGGGTTTTGAGAGGCACTAATCTGCATTCTTAAGTCCTCTGAATTTCACAAACACACTGACAGCCAGAATAGTCATTCTTCCCGGTTCATGTGGGCCTCTTGCAGTATTAGCACTGAAGCTCAGCACTTGGTTGCTGTCATCAGCTATAAAGCAGGTGCGAGGGCAGTGCCTCCACACTGATTTCTCATGAATCTTCGTGTGTGGCAGGTATCACTGGTGTTACAATCTCAACCTAGGTGCAAGCATCGTAGTTCGACAGTGAAGCAAGTGTGTCTTCATGTCAAGTGTCTCTGTGTCCCCTTGCTCTGGCTGAGGAAAAATTCCAAGGTCTGTGTATTTGGAGGAGGGGTGAAAGCTTTACAGTGTCACTTTTCTCTCCTCAGTAATGTGTTGATTGCTACAGTTGCACCTTATCAGAGTGTGGGGCTACGGTTCTGCTCATACCCTGTTCCTTATGTTAAACGCCTCTGTCCCTGTTTCGTTTCTTTCAAGATTGTTTCATGCTCTGTGTTGAAAATTGTACTCTGTGAAGTTTCTTTGAGAATATGAATCTACAGTTGTTTACTTTGACTGTGTTTCTTGGTGCCTTGTTGTTTGTGTGTTTATTGATATTTTGCTTTTCAGGTGTAGTGAGCATTAGGTCTGACGTGAGTCTCCTTCCTGCGGAGGTGAATTGCCTTGTCTTTGGTTGCAAGCCAGTGGCACGGCTCCCATCTTGGTTTCTTATGAACTTGCTAACTGAACCCAGCTTCACATGAGGATTGGAGATTCAGGTTCTCTATAATGGATTATCAGGTGTAGTGGCACAGTTTGAGCCTTCAGAGGCATTTGTCCCTGGGAAATTCCAGATTTTTCTTACTATACTCCCTTGTGGCTAGAGACCAATATTTGCTTTCCTGTTGTTTCTGTGAAGTGTTGGCTAGCCCCTATTTACTTGAAAGTCCAACGATTATTTTTAGAGGATTTTGTATTTGTAATATATTTAAGGACAAATAATATATCAATAGATGTGTTGTCAAGAATATATCATCTACTGTATTGCTGGAAGTCTCTCACAATTTCTGTGGTATCTTAGAGTTTATTTCTCTTTTCATCGTCTGATTTGATTATTTGGTAAATAAACGTAATATTTCTTAATGTATAGCATGTCCAAAAGTTCAGGAATTGTTAGTTATTCATCTGTGTATTTCCTGCACTCTGTAGCACTGACTATTTGAGACATGCAGTGAGTGAGAGCAGGCGATTGCCTTGGTAACCTGAGTTGCATGGAGAAGGCTGAACTGTGAAGACTGGGGTAGGAAAGGTGAAGCAGGGCGAGGCACAGGAGGAGCAGGGGCTGGGAGGGAGTCCAGAGGAGTTGCTCAATGAACAGATCCCAAGCAACTCTGCTTTCTTCCTTCTTCTTTCCCTACTTGCATCTGATTATCTTTATCAGTTTTGTTTTATGTTTTCATTTTAAAATATAAAACAAGTAATTAAAATGTCATTTTTGTCTAAACTCAGATTAATGATATGCCCCCAGATAAGGCAGTTGCCATGGTATAGACAGAGCTTACTGAAGTTTTTGCTTTCTGAGGAAATACGCTGCTGAGGCACAAAAGTGGCTCTCCCAGAGGCAGCTGGCACTTGTACTGTGGGGAGCATCACTAATATGATGTGGCTGCACAGTTATCGTCTGGTATTTCCTTCCCATCCAGTTGGATGTGTTGTAAATAATAGTAGTAGCTGTAGTTTTAATATAGTGATTGCAGTGATTTTTACGTTTATATTATTGGCCTGTACATGTATGTTTATTGCAATGTTTGAGGCATTTCTCTCTTATGTGACACTGCTATAAAAGAAGCTCAGGGCAAGTTTCTCCTAGTGCCTGAAGGAAAGCAGAGCAACCTGATGCTAGTGATTTTTCCCTTTTCAGCTTGATGGGCATGTGGGCCAAAGTTTTAGAGACGGAAGTCTTTTATTTCTTGCATGTTTCTCATTCCTTACAGCCGGAAGAATCCTCTTGGTCTCCTGATTGCCCTGGATGAGAACAAAGAAGCAAGAGGGGAGCTCTTCTGGGATGATGGCGAATCAAAGGGTGAGTACAGTTTCAAGAATATTGCTGTTGAGAAACCTGTCTCCCGACTTACTGCTTTCTTTCTCACTGTGCCTAGCAGCCAAAGTCAGCTGAGTGAAGAGTTTTGTTCTGGTTTCTCCTGAACAGTAATGGGGCAGTAATGCATGAACCACAGATAGAAGGAAAATGCATTTATACCAGTAAAATTCTCTCCCTGCACAGCAGTCATCAGTGACAATTTGTCTTCTTCTTCTTAGTGTCTATCTGGGAGATATCTTCAAACTACGCCTATAATTCTTTTGTGATATAAGTGATTTCCTCCCAAATCTTGTGAACATGCATTGACATGAAAAATGTCATCTCAGGCAGGCAGGAAGCATATACTTCACCAGGGAATCTACAAGTAGGCCTGCTTGGGCGCATTTTTCTGTGTCTTTTATATGAACAATTCTTATGTCTGTAGCTTTCGAAATAGATTCCCATGAGGTAGATGCATGGTAAGGACCTGAGAGGGACACTTTTCAAGGTTACCGTAAAAGAAGACGTAAAAGTGCAATCTTAATCTCAAATACTCTGTGCTTTTCTTTTTATTCTCAAGATGTAGATATAAAACACTTAATATTTGTATATTATTAAAAAGTACAATCAACAAAATTTGAATAAAGTTTATGTGAACAGTGTATGCATATATTTTGTGTAATGATAACACTGTCCTGTGAACACATCTTCCAACACACATGCTGTAGCTTAAGTTTTGGAATTTGTTCTCATAATTCAAGGTTTCACACTCCAACCAGTATTTCTTGATTTCTTCCACTCTTCTCTGTGTTACATCCGCTGTTGCACATTTTGCTTGTATCTGTCTAACTTTTTCAGAGTCTATTTATAAATCTCCACACAGAAATGAATCTATACAACATTAAGTTTTTTCTGGTTAATTTGACTTGTCATCCATGTTGTCAAAAATGTCAAAGTTGGTCACATTTTTTATGGCTGAATAATACCTTGCTCTCTGTAAGTTCCACAGTGTATCTTTCCACTCATCTGTTGATGGATACTTGTTGTGTCCAAATCTTGAGTGTTAAGAAACTGATTTGAAAACTTAAATGTAAAGCCTGGAAGTATGAAACTCCCACAATAGGGAAATTTTTTGACACTGGCCTTGTCATCAATTTTGAATATGACACTGAAAACAGGCAACAAAAGTAAAAACAAAACGTTTGTTACGACATCAAAGTAAAAGGCTTATGCATAAAGAAGAATCCAACATTATAAAAAGTGAGCCCACATATTAATGGACATGTGTGCAAGCTACAACTGTAATAAAATGGTTTATATATAAAAGCATGCAGGAACTCTTATAACTGAGTTGCAAGAAAATAAATAAGCTGACTTAAAAATAAGTCTAATAGACATTTTTTCCAAAGAAGACTTACCACTGGCCAACAAGTATGCACAAAGTATTGCTCATCACTAAGCTGAAGAGAAATACTGATGAAAAATTGCAGTGATACATCGACTCAGGGTTATCAAGAAAGGTGCAATGGGAAAGAGCAGAGACTGCAGTGTTCCCAAAGGTTCTGAGGAATGGAGGGAACTCTTGATATTTTCTTGGTAAACATATAAATTTATACAGCCATTACATAAAGCTATGTAAATGTTCCATAAAATATTAAAAGTAGAACTATGTGATCTGGCAATCTCATTTCTAGTGTCTGTTCAATAAGTGTAGTGAGCCTATCAAAGAGGAATGTACACTCCCATGTTAAAGGCAGCTGAGATCCAGAGACAGTCCATGGTTCCACTTACTGAAGAGTGAATAAAGAAGTCATGGCAGATGTACAGCAAGGAACTCCTGCCATCTGTGAGACAGAGTCAGCTTTAAGGAGAGGCAGATGAGGTTTGTGCTTTGGTGAGCAGAGAGTCTGAGTTGCCTTTTTTTCTGCTTTCAGATACTGTGGCCAATCATGTTTACCTTTTATGTGACTTTTCTGCCACCCAAGTAAGTACTGCATTTTTATGTATTTTACCTGTGGGCTTTCATCTGACTATTAGCACATATGTGCTTGTTGATATGTTTGATTATGTATTTAACTTACTGGGATTAAGGGTGATAGTTGGAGATATTTCCTTTTAGGGTATAACAGCCAGTAGTAACCGTGTGAGTAACTAGAGGAGACACTCGTATTGGCAAATCAAAGCAGCTAATGTTTATAAATATAGATTTGTCAACTGTCTGCCTGAATGGTGCTCTTTTCTTATACCTAATTTAATTCAAATAAGATTATGCTCCTTGACTGTGCATCAATCAGTAGCATAATCTGAAACATTCAGAGCAAGAGGAAGTTTCTGCTCCTGGGTGTAGCATTTGTATGACTGTACATGAGCATGTGTGTCTTACAGGTAACCCTTTGGTGTTTTTTCTCCTTAATTGTTTTGCAGAACCGCTTGGAGGTGAAGATTTCTCAGTCGACCTACAAGGACCCCAATAATTTAGCCTTTCAGGAGATTAAAATACTTGGAATAGAGGAACCTATCAATGTCACAGTGAAACACAATGGTGTCCTGAGTCAAGCTTCTCCTAATGTCACTTATGATCCTAATCTGAAGGTAACACTGCATTGTGTGAATGCGTTTGTTTTATTCTTCTTAAAAGCACTGTGACATTTTTCCTGTCATTTGTTGCTGAAGGATCAGAGAACCTTGTGAGTGATGAATAGCGAATTCAAAGGATCTGGTGAGAAAATGAGAAAGAGACAGAGAGACAGACTAAGAGTGTGTTGAGGAGCTACTGTGGAGTGGTCTCTTCTTCCTCACCCATCTCTACCTAAATGTTCTGCACTCTTCGGTGATTTTTCTTTCTGAGAAAGTCTTGTCATGTTCACAAGAAGTCCAGTGAGGAAAGTGGAACAGGATCAAGGGAAAAGGGATTTGGGAACCTGTGACTGATGGTAAAATGTAAAGGTGGGATGTAGGGTTCTGATAAATAAAAATCGTGCTGGGTGTTTGTTTTTATCCTTCTGTACTGAAACTGAGTCCAACAAATACTGTATGTGCTCAAGAGTCACATAAGGTAAGTAATCTATGATCCTATCAAATTCCTGCTTCTTTCATTAGATAATAGGAAAATAGTAAGTCTCCATCAGTGAAATTCAGACATGACCCTCTTTAACACATTGTAATCAGTGACTCTGAGATCCTAGCACTATAAGGACTTGTTAATCCAAGAAAGCCTGATGACAAATCCTTCAGCAATATTTGCGCTTGCAGCTTATATGGTAGTCAACTTTCCACATTTATGGAAGTAATTTCATTTCTACATCTACTTATAATTGCAGATTGATGGGATGTGATACTTTCTTCCAAGAACTCATACTGAGGTTATATCCATTATAAAGATATAAATAAATATATGCAGAGGCTCATGTTTATTGCTATGAACAAGCCATTTAAAAATACATACAGATAAGGCAGCTGAATCTCTGTTAGGCAAATGTTTTAATTCAGATAAGACCAAAGGAAATGTTTCATTGAGTTTGGTTATGGGAAGATAGAATTTATAATCAGCAAACACTTCAAAAGGGAGGCTACAAAGAGAAAGCAACATTGAGAGATGTCACTTTATGTAGTACACGCTGAGCAAAGCTTATGGTTATCGCCGAGACAAGTTTCTTGGAGAAAGCAATGGCTTTGGATGATCATGTGTCAGGTAGGAGATCAAAGCTTTGAGTGAAAAAAAGTCCAAGTGATAATGAATTGGAATATTGTAGTGAATACAGAAGGTATAGAAATGCTGGTGTTGGGTCAGAGGCTCAAAGTTGTCAAGATTGAGGTCTTTTCCTCTCTTGTTAAAGGAACTGGCTGCCTAGGTTAATTATCCATGCCTCTCTCCCAAGAGATAGCTTTAAAAATTGAAAGCTGATGAAAGAAAGTTCAGAGGCAGGACTTTATATCGAGAAATAAACACGTGGTGAGGAACCCTCCCTGAATCTGAATTTACCTTTTCCTTGTCATTCTCATGTGTCATGAACTAAAATTTAGCTTTGATTTGGGGAGTTTGGTATTGTATTTTGCAGTGCTGAAGACTGAACCCAGGGTGTAGTGTGTGCTTGGCAAGTGATGTGCTACTGAGACATGACTGCTAGTGGAACCTTGGTATCCTAGACTGAAATAATGAACAACAAAGAAATGCATTATACAGACAAGGCACAATGCAGTGGAACCTCACTATGGATGCCATTTTTGTAGAAATGAGTATTTGTCAGTTTAAAATGTTTCATGTTGACACATTAGAATAAGCCAACCTAAGGACTTGGAAGAGCTTTGGTCTGTGAATGTCTCAATAAAAGCTTTGGTAGATTCACTTTTGAAGAGATTGATTTGGTCTGTGGGAAAGTTGTGGTCCCATTTTGAAGAGTTTTAGGTGGCCCAGTGAGAAAGCCATACCTGGTTTAGTTCTCGAAGTTTCTCATAAAGATGCTGACAGTAGGGATTATTGAGTTGATGATGCAGTGTAGGGATTAGTAGAACAGGAAAGGCAAGTTGATTTAGACTGGAAGGATCAAATGTGATCTTCATGCTTCAGTCAAATGAGGATGCTACCTGTGGGAAGTGCTACTTAAAGAAGAGCGCCACATAAGACTCAGGTATAGAAAAATGTGAAGTTTGGATTTCTGCAGGGTGTGCAGCAAAGATTTACATGTTTGAGTAAATAGGTTTTCAGAAATGAAGAACCCGAGCTCTAGGAAATGAAAGAAATGTTTATGCTCTATACACCTCATTACTTTTGAAGCTGGTAAAACAGAACCTAAAAATTGAAACACTTTGCATTAGTTTCCATGGAATAATGGACACACCCAGCCATAGGACTTTGTATGCTTCCGAATATTGCGGACTATGGATACAATTGTTTTTTAAGTGGAGAACAAGAAGGAAAACTCGATTTTGAAAAGCAGAAGAGAATGTTTTTGCCACAATAAGGAGAAAGATGAGGAGTTAGGGAAGGAGAAAAAAGTGGTGAACACAATAGATTTTACTTGACTTTTTGTGCATTATATAAAGTAGAACATTGTGAGAGAATGGTAATATTTGTCCTAGTATCATATAACATTGCCCTATAGTTATAGAAAAGACTTCATATAAACTCTAGTCACATATTGTTTGAATCGTAGAGTCTCACCTAATGACAATTTTTTCCCTAAAGGGAGATTTCTGATTTTGCAAAGCCTTAGTCCCGAGCATGAATTTCCTGTGACTTCTCCATCTCTGTAGGTTGCCATTATCTCAGATATTAATCTTGTCCTGGGAGAGGCATACACAGTGGAGTGGAGCCTAAACATAAAGGACACAGAGAAAATAGACTGTTACCCAGATGAGCATGGCATTTCTGAAGCAGCCTGCATTGCCCGTGGCTGTGGGTGGGCGGTAAGTGTGCTGATGCTGTTAGTGCTCACTGAAATATTTTGCTCTTTGTCTACAACTTCATGAGCATGGTCCTGGTACCTGTACACCTAGGTACAACTGAAAGAAGGCAAGGGCTTGAGAAGCAGTGTATGTGTGTGTGTGAATATGTGGGGGAGGGTTGGATGATTGTACTGGGTATCTTGATTGGAGATCAGTAGTGTAATCTTTTGGCATTACCAAATGATATATAAGTGAGTAAGTGGTGCCTTCATCGCCACATAAATTGTCTGTCTCAAGTCTTTCATAGAATAGATGCTGACTAGGATTCTGACTTTACTTTTTAGGAATCCAATACCTCAGGTGTCCCATTTTGCTATTTTGTCACCGATCTGTACTCTGTCAGCAATGTGCAGTATGACTCACAGGGCGCCAGCGCTGACATCTCCTTAAAGTCTTCTTCTTATGCCAACGCCTTCCCCTCCACCCCTGTGAGCCCCCTGCGCCTGCAAGTGACCTACCATAAGGATGAAATGCTGCAGTTTAAGGTAAACACTGGATAAGTATCAGGTGCTGACACAACCTTTTTTAGTACCACTTTTATTTTTCTGGCACTTGGAATTTAACACCGCCTCTTTACATTGAGATACCTCCCCCTCCCTTTTTATTTCTTAATTGTTAGGCAGGGTCTCATTAACTCACCCACTGGCCATGCTGGGCTTGAACTTATGGTGTTGCCCCTACCTCAAGCTGCCAGAATACTGGGAGTAAGGCAAGTGCCACAATGCCTGCCTCCCACGGTGGCTGCTATGGAACTTTCATGATACTCTTTGAATAAGTTTCCTCTTTTTTATGAGCTGTGACTTCATATTAGTACTTGAGGTTGAGCACAATGTTTTACACTAAACTACAACCTCACGGCAGGGCACTAAGTTGCTCCATTCCCTCACCTGTGTTTGAATTTGTGATCATGCTACCTCAGCTTCTCAGAGTACTGAGATTGCAAGAATGTACCTCCCTACCTGATTAGTTTTTTCTTTCAAATTATTTGCTGCATGATAATTCCAATCAAAAGAACAGTGAGAGCAGATGGGTAGTTCAGTGAGATCTGCCCAGACTTGCATTTGGAGAGCTGATCAAGGCTACTCTAAGAAAAATAGCTGGGAGAATGAGAAGTGGAGAGGACATTTAGGAACCTTCCCTTCACATGGGACCAGTGAGAGACTGAAGCTGTTTGTGTGTATCCTCACTACATCTGGGGCAAGCCATGCATATCTACAGATTTAAAATGAGTAATTTGATTGTTCAAGTTGTTGTATGGTGACTATCTTCTAAATATGTGTATTTCTCTTAAGCCAAAAAATTTCCTGTGTCTTTGACTTTCCTATTATCTTATCCAAGTGTTTTAATCTTATCTTTGTGCTTGGTTATTACCTAAAACACTTTTAATCCTCACTCTGTATTTGTCACTGAGACTCTGATCTCCTAGAAACAGAGGAAAACATTTCCTTCCTTATATTCTCACAGCTGGTCTGCATTACCACACATCACTTCAGTATTGTGAATCTCTCTCCTTCTGTTACATGAGTATGTGTGTTTCTTAACACAATAACTATTTCTCCTTGAGCTCCTATCCCTAGTGTTCAGTACATACATTAAGGCATAGCAGATACTTTGCAAAATCAATGGATTTTCACCTAGAACATCCAGCATTGTGTGAACAACAAAATAGCTCATGTTTTTCGTGGATTATATTGTTATTATGAATAATTTCCAGGTATTCACAAAGCTCATGTACTCACACAAATGAAGAATATTAATAGCACACTGAGGTTTAAAACTTATTTTACAAGTTAGTACCCATGTTAAGATGAATGTTTTGCTGAGGCGTTAAAAGTGTAGATTGACAAAATCAGATCAAATCCAGATGTCAGATTCTTACAGAATACAAGTATAGCATATCTAGATTATTGAGGTAGTCAGGTACTGCTAAAGTATAGCTATGCATTGTACTTTCCTTGCCTGAAAGGAGCTTTCATTGACAGTAATATTAGGGGATCTCTGTAGTGTTCACTGTGATGCTTTGAGACATTTCTGCATTGTGAATCGATCAACTTAGGAGGCTGAGTTTCTTTTTTAATGCCACATACTTCTGATTTCTTTGTAATGAGAATATTCCAATTCATGCCTTTGAGCTATTTTCAATCCTATAACATTGTGAACTACAGTCGTGTCTGTATATAGTGTGTATTCCCCATTTTTCTTTCCTTCCCTGAAATCTGTTTCCTCTCTAGATTTATGATCCCAACAGCATTCGTTATGAAGTCCCAGTACCTCTGAATCTCCCCAAGATTCCCTCCAGCACCCCGCAGAGCCGGCTCTATGATGTGCTCATCACCAGTAATCCATTTGGGGTAGTAATTCGCCGGAAGAGTACAGGCACTGTCATGTAAGCATGATTTGGAATTTCTGGTTACTTTCTGGTCCCTTGTGAGCCATTTGTCCTTGGAGTTACCCTGAAGGAAACCAGACACAGTTCATTTCCAGATTCCATTTCCAGATCTGTAAATAAGGATTTTCCTTTAGATCTGTTTAATCAGAACTCCTTTGCCACTTTAGAACATTGCTGAGAGATTTGTGTGTTCCTGGAACATCATCCAGCTACTCACTATTTAGTGGCATGTTGTTAAGATATGACCTGCTTTTCTAGGTTGCATGTTGTGGCAGATAATTGTTGTGTAGGACAGGGAACAGGAAAATCTAGAGTTCTGCGAGCTTACTGTTTTGACAGTGTGACCAGAGTATTCCTGTCCCAGAGGTGGTATTTGAGGTAGGGTCTGGATGTAGAGGAGGGCTCTGCAGTGCATGCTATGTTCTGGGGCAAGGGAAATATATTCTTGATAGAGGGACAAATAAGTGCATAGGTTATGGTACAGGAGGAAAACTTACTGCTAGAAGAACAGCCCATAAGGAAGTGGGTGTTAGGTGTGAAGCTGGGATGTTGCATGTGTTGAGATGGGGTGCAACTTAAAGGCTTCATTTAAATGGTCTTTATTGGAGAGGACTCTGCTAATATAGACAGTAGAAGAACCTGATATTTGGTTCTCTCAGAAATATCAGTCAGCATGCAAGAGACAACTAGAGCTTAAGAGCAAGAGCAGAAGGCGGGGCTGGTATGGAGGGTGGCAGATGAGATGGTGGGAAGTATTCACTTTAGTGTTGTCAGGGGAGCAGTGAAAGGACATTGTGGTAGAGAAACCAGAGGAAGGAAGGATGATTTTGCTTTGAGCAAAGATATCTGTGATTATTTATCCACATAGACTTTGTGCTGTACTGGGAGAGGAGCAGGGTCTGTTGGCAGGGGACAATTAGCAGTTCTGTTGCCCTTGGAAAGTCAGCTGCTCCAACTCAGTAAGGAAAGCTGAGGTCCTTTATAACCTACCTGTGCGCTTCTCAGCTGGGACTCGCAGGTCCTGGGCTTCACCTTCAATGACATGTTCCTCCGCATCTCCACCCGCCTGCCCTCCTCTTACATCTATGGCTTTGGTGAAACGGAGCACACGGCCTTTCGGAGAGACCTGAACTGGCACACGTGGGGCATGTTTTCCCGAGACCAGCCCCCAGGGGTGAGCATGCGTCTCTGCCTCTGTCTGCCTTCAGCGTGTGTGCTTTGTGCTTCGTCTTCCCTGGCTGGGTGGGGCTTGTCACACTGTGCTCTGAGACAAGTGGGCCCATACCTGGTCAGCTTCGTTTGCCTGTGTTTAACTTACTTCTCAGGAAAGGCAAGACCCATCTTAATAAACATATGGGCTGAATTTCCTAATGTGTCACAGTGTGTGCTAACCCTGTTTCCCTTCTCCCCCCTGATGTTAGTACAAGCTGAATACCTATGGCGTCCACCCTTACTACATGGGACTCGAGGAGGACGGCAGTGCCCACAGTGTGCTGCTGCTGAACAGCAATGCCATGGGTAGGTGATGCCAGTGCTCCCTTTGTTTGTGCGTACTACTTCTCCTGAGTAATGTTAGAATGTGTGTTATCTGGCTGCATTCAGAGGTGGAGATATTCAACCTGTGGCGAGTAATTTTATCTTTAAATTTAATATTCTCTTCATTTCATTTGAGTAACATATACCAGCAAGGTAGTTGAACCCTTGTTTTGGGAAGAATCACATAAAAAAGTAAATAAAACCTCCCATATCCTTAGATCACCGGGTGGGAACAACTGTGTGACTTGAATCAGTTGCCAATCTGTGGGTCTCTGCACTCACTGCCTGTCTAGGAAGTGTGAATAAAATTCATGTGATACAAAACAGAAAAAACACGGAGTTTAAAAGAAACATGAATTAAAACTGGTGAAATGTAAGTAAATTCACTTAGTAGTGTTTTACTACTGCTGATCTCCTATTTTTGGCAATGTATGGTAATGATTCAGAAAAGGTTATCCATGGGGTGTACACAAAAGTGAAGTGTACACAAAAGTCTGAGGAATATTTCTGCAAATTGCCGTGAGTCCCTAAATTTTTGTGATATTAAAGTTGTAATAGTTTTGAAGAAAGAGAATGGCAAAACATGTACAAGATAATAAAACCCACGAAGGGGGAATCATCCAGGGATGGAGCCTTTGGGCTAGCACTTCCACATTTCTAGCCGACTGTCTGCCTTTCACTCTGTAAGGTGTAAGGGGACTGTCGGAACCTCATCATGGAGATTTCCACCTAGTTTGGAGACTGTAGGAACCTCATCATGGAGATTTCCACCTAGTTCTATCTTTTCAGATTTGACGTTCCCAGGTGAGACAGTATGAATGTGAGGCTAGTTATTCCCCATTGTTGGCTTTTCCCATCATTATAGTTTGTTGGCATCATTTTTCTATCTTTTCAGATGTGACGTTCCAGCCCATGCCTGCCCTGACCTACCGCACCACGGGGGGAATTCTGGACTTTTATGTGTTCTTGGGCCCAACTCCAGAACTTGTCACTCAGCAGTACACGGAGGTAAGAGCAAATTGATTAGCTTCTCAAGTATGTGTTAAACTCATTCTGTGTTCTCAAAAGAGTCTTCACTCGTTTAAATCTCAGTTGACAGGTAGAGCTGGTCTTTGTCAAAGATGGGTCATGCCGAGTAACAATAGATGCATTTCCAGAATCCTTACATCCATAGGCTCTCTGCTCATTGCAGTGAGGGTACAGCAGTCATGGTACCAATTGCAGTGTTCAGACTAGTGTAGGATGTGGGTGGTTATGGTGATAATGGTTTTGGTGATGTTCGGTCCTAGTGTTGTTAATGGAGAGAGTAGCTCCCATAGTGTGGATGGGAGTGGCTGTGAGTGTAATGATTTTTATGGTGATCCTGACCTTTGTGGTGTAGGTGATGGAATGGTGATAGTGATGACAGTGAAGCAGGTGGATTGTGGGTGTTTTCCGAGGGTTCTGTGGTGAATGTTTTGTCTGTAGTCGTGATAGACTTAGTGATATGGGTGAGCAAGAGAAGGTAACATATGAGTTGTGGCAAAAAACCCCATGCAATTCTTTATTTCATTTAGTTTTTACTTTGTGAATGCCAGAGCACTCCTGAGTAATTTAGATTAAGCCATTTTTCTATGTTGTTGTTCACTAGTGGTATTGTCTTTGACAGGTGAAGAAACAAGCAGGAATCTGTGCTTCATAGTATCTCACAACTAGCACACATGGAGCCTGTCCATCAATCCAGAAATTTTTTCTCTGGGTTCTGTGCTCCTGACCATACTCGAACTATAGGAATCATAGTAAAACCAAATTTGCTCCAATTCCTAGCTTAGCAGTTTTCTCCAGGTATTCTGGTAGCTCAGGAGCTTGACACCTCAGTTAACTTTGCATTTGTACTGTTGGTTTTCTATCTCAGAGCCCTGCAGGAACATGTTTATTACTGCATGTGCTGCTTAAACCTGACTTCTCCCAGACATATTTGTATTTTGTGTATTTTCCAGGTGATTGGTCGGCCTGTGATGGTGCCTTACTGGTCCCTGGGATTCCAGCTGTGTCGCTATGGATATGAGAATGACTCTGAGATTGCCAGCCTATATGATGACATGGTGGCCGCCAAGATCCCCTATGTACGTAAAGGACATTGTGCATTAGCTCTGAGATCTTGGAGACAACTCATTCATCTCTGCATCTGGTTTGTTTCTTGGACATTTGTGAAGTTGTACAAAGACCCAAAGTTTTTTCTCAAATGATGTCCCAGGATGCCTAATCCCAGCACTGTAAGGCAGGTGGCACCTTGTCACCCCTTATCAAGAATGATCCAAGCTTTGTCTCCCATATCATGCTCTCTTGTTACTCTTATATGAGTTACATAAATTATGTGAAATGTTCTTCATTCCATAACAATAAAGTATGCCTCAGCAAATGAGCCCAGGTGGCTGATTACAGCTATGCATGAGGCTAAAGTTGAGAGATCAGCACTGTGGATCTAGGCTGGACAAGTTAAGATCGTGTCTCACAACAGCATAATAAAATTTCTAGGGATATAGCCCAGGTTTAAAGCACTTGTCTGACTAGTGCAGGGTTCTCTGTTCAAGCCTCAGTATTACAAACAAAAGAAAACAGGAACAAAACAACAAAGAGAAAGTGATAACTGAACACCCCAAAAGAAAAATTGTGTGTGGTTAAAAAAATGACTTCACATGTCATCAAACCTTCACAAGTAGAGGCGTGTTCTGAATCCCAGTGCTTGGTGTGCCACTTCATTTTATCTGTGTAGGACCCTCGCTGCCTACAAGGGTTAGTGATAGGTCTGCCAGCCTGGGGTTTAGCTACAAGCTCCCAACTTGTTACCTGAGACAGAGAAACAATTTTATCTCTCCAAGCGTATCTTCTACCTTCTCCTTGTCTTTCCAGGGATAAACCTCCGGCTCCCTTTTTGCTCATGCCTCGAGCCCTTTCCAATCCCAAGACTCTACAACCACTCAACCTCTAATTCAAGATGCCAGTAAATCTTCCTGTCTACTGTTTTCCACAGGGAGATGTTTTCCTTAAATCAGCAGTTAATATGTCATGTTCCCACTTCCCAAACTCCTCCGCAAGCCAAACTGATAAATGTATTCAGACTTCTTTGTTCTCATTTGAGAGCCTCTATATCTCTGACCCATGAAGCTCTCTGTGCTCACAGTAAAGGCCTCACCTGCTTATATCTCTCATTGTTTCTGTGCTGTTTCAGATTATGCGCTCAAATTACTCAATCAGTTTGCAAAATAAGGGGGCTGCAAAATATCAGAAATTTTCCATGGAGCCCTTTCCTACAAACCAGTCTACTTGCTGTTCTGTTATTTATAATGGTTTCATTAATGGAAAATGTATCACAAAGTATGAATTAATGAGAGAACTCTACCTACTTACCTCCCACATTGGATGTTCCTCAGCAATTACAATTTTCTCCTTAGTCACGTAGTACTTTACCATCCACTTTGTGTTATGAGTTAAAAATATTCATTATATTTTCTGAACAGGATTCTGTGTGATCCTGGGTGCTCTCCTAGGATAAGCAAAGCGCCTGTTTATAATTAAGTTTTACACAGCCACTTTCGCATTGAGAGTTTTTATTTATCATGGTAAAAGTCCTTCTGAATACACTATCATTCTACATGTTACTGATTTACATTATTTTAGGACTTAACACTTGAAAAATTAGATAAACTTCCTGTGGCACATACCAAACAAATGACACAGTTAGGATTTGAAGGGCCCGCGAGAAACCTTTCAACTTCCCCATCAGAATGGACGATTGCAGCCTTTCAAAATTGGATTGCACCACCTGAGCCCCTGTGTTTCCTTGTGTCCTCCCACAGGACGTGCAGTACTCAGACATCGACTACATGGAGCGGCAGCTGGACTTCACTCTCAGCCCCAAGTTTGCTGGGTTACCGGCTCTGACTGATCGCCTGAAGGCCGATGGGATGCGGGTCATCCTCATCTTGGTTAGTCCTGTGTGAATGTGACTAGTATGGGCAGTGGCTGCCCTCGATGGAGTATGCATTAGGCTGTATTTTCTTTTGTGCTGCAAGAAGAGAAATTGAAGCACAACAAGAATTTGATATTCTAGACTTGATGCTTGTATTAAAGTTAAGATGGTAGCGAGGGACACCTGTGTCAACAATTTCCCTGTCTGCTGCCCTTTGTCGTTCCCTGGCTGTGGTTTCCCCACCTGACTTGTGCTTTGCTTTCAGGACCCAGCCATTTCTGGCAATGAGACGCAGCCCTACCCTGCCTTCACTCGGGGTGTGGAAGATGATGTCTTCATCAAGTACCCAAATGATGGAGGCATTGTCTGGGGAAAGGTATGACCTAAGGGATGGATGATCCACCCATCCCAGCCTAGGGCAGTGTCTTAGAGGTGGTAGAATGTTTGTGAGAATTGTTTCTTGGTCCTTTGCATTTGGGATCTGAGGTCCATACTTTTAATTTTTCAATCAAGGTTAGTTGGTACAGGTGAGAATTTTGTAGAATGTATCTGACTCTATGTTGGAGACCACGAATTCACAGTGGCAAATTTTGCACAGCTCCCTACGGTTCTAATGTAGGTTTGGGATTAGGGTATCACCTTTGGAGACTTCTCATTAATTCTTTTTCATGGGCCTTAATCAGCCACCCACTAATATTAAAGTAAATTCCTAAGATTAAAAGAGTACTGCAGGGCAAGATCCTTCTTAGCACAAGCTCAGCTCTACACTCTTGAGTCTTTCCAGGAGTATTCAGTTACTCCTGAAACTGCAGACCTTGAATCTTGTGCTGATTATACTCTATGCATCCATTAGAAAGTGCCTGGATTGGAGTGTCTTGGTCTCTGCCCCTGCTGAGGCATGGGCCTCCCAGCACCCCACCATGCATTACTCAAGTTGTCTCCGTTTCTCATTTCATCCTCTTGCCATAGCCCTCATACAGGCAGTTGGGCATCTTGACCAGGTCTTCAGTCCCTCTAGATTAGACATACATGCTAATTGATGCATTAGTGACCGTTAAACCATAGTTCCAATTTTCTTGGGAAATACTGTATGGTGCGTTGCTGTTGAATGTTTGTTTCTCCACAGGTTTGGCCTGATTTCCCCGATGTTGTTGTTGATCCCTCTCTAGACTGGGATAGTCAAGTAGAGGTAAGAGCCCCACTGTGCATCTTTGTGGAGGGCTTTTTGGGACCGAGGAGCTTTATCCAAGTTTCTGGAAATTCCCTGCCATGGATATGGGTTCAGCAAATGGAAACACTTATGAATTATGTCCAGCACATATGTCTGTGTGCAGATTTCCTCATATACAGTAGAGACCTGTTTCCTGTAGCAATGAAGGTACTGTTGAGGTGTTGTTGTCACTGGGAAAGTGAGAGATCTTCAATTTTTTTTCATGGATTTAGATAACTGGTAATTTCGCCCTGAAAGCTGTCAGATTCCAAAACCCCTGAAATCCTCATTACAGCTCACATACAAGGAGTGCTACTTCCCTCTGAATTAATATGTTTTTAGTTGTTTAGATAACTCTCTTAAGTACTGTGTCCAAGCTTTCTCTTACTTATTGAGTCTTTCTCTGCACATTATTTGTTCTTTTATTCTTCTCTACCTTGTCCTGTATAAATCCCCACTGCCAGTTTCCTTGAATCTTGAGTCTTTCCACTTTTCTCTTTCTCCTTAATTTCCCATCTTCCTTGAAAATTCTTTCCTAGGAACAGTTTCTGTTTGCAATGGATTCTTATAGCCCCTACAGCTGGACATAAATGCTGTCCAGCATCATCAATCATTTGTTACCTGAGTGAATTCATGTTGCTTGTTATACAGTAGCTTCAACTGTATTCTACGCTGTGATATGTACGCCGTGAAGTGATGTTACCCACTGTTCTGATAACATCTCTGAGCAGGGTTCCCTTAGTTCTCAAAAGTCATTATTTCTCCTTACCTTGTTTCACTCTTTTTCTGCAATGATTATTCTTTCCATAGGATATTTTAGCCGAAGGAACTGCAATAGAATTGTTTTTAAGTCAATGAAGATATTTTTCTTATACCACCAGTAGTCCTGAAAGGCATAAGGGGTCCAATATCTGGCCTGTGTGGTCAACAAGGTGGTGGACATTTTACTACTATAAAACTGTCCGTTTAAGTATCAATAAATGTTTATCAGTGTTGTGAGAAGAAAGTACAGCAGTGAAGTTTTCTAGTATTACTCAAAGCTCAAGGCCAAGAGCCCTTTAAATAGCTCTTAAAAAATATTGGATTCTATCTGATGGATGCGGGTTTATGTGAAAGATTTCCCATTATAAAGTAGTCCTCAGGGCACATTATGAGTATTGGAAAGAAGAATAATATTATACCGAACCTGCATATCTGAGGAAATTTGTCAGGTGGGACAGCTCTCCCGTAGTAGTGAAAATAGGTATGACTGGTTAGGCATGTATTCTTTTGTGGTGTTACTTTCTGACTGCATGTATCCTAGTTGACAGTAGTGCCCTAGTTCTACAACATGTCACAGGTACTGTTGAACAGGATGCCTGTCTTTGGACTGTATATGTCTTCATGTTTTGTCTGTAGAGGCAGTAGAAGGGATTGCATCTGATTGGGGCAGGTTTCTCAAATTTGCAAGACAGTTTCAGAGTGAGCTCCATATTGTTTTCTTTTTGTGATCTTTTACAAGTATCTATGTGTCTGTCTGTCTATCTACCTATGTAACATGTGATGAGAATTTCAGGGAAATGACCTATCCACTCTCCTTTCCTCCATTCTTATAAGTAATCACATGAAGTTTGGTGTTTCACGCGGTTCACGTGGTCACACAAATGTGCCAGGCAGAGGCACTTGTGGACACAGGATTCCATAGTTGTATTTTTGCATTGAAAGTGGGCTGCTTCATTCGTCATATGGTTGCGTATTAGTGTATGAAACTTACAGCCCGTCAGCTACTGGAGTGCCTACTGACCCTAATGATGAGGTTATTTGAAGGCCTGTGGTGCAATATCGATTATCACACAGTGATTGGGAAACAGCATGTGCCTTTCAGTGTGTGGTGTCCAGGGTTGCCCATAGAATTCAGTTGCTCCAAATGACAAATTTGCTTTTGGGGTCAACACTTTATTTGGAATCACAGAATTTATTATTGTAACCCAAAGACACCCTTAGTAGGTGGAATTCTTGTAAGTTTTTGTATTAATAAGATCTGTATTCATGAGGCTTGTGAAGGTAAGTTTATGATGTACATGTCTGGCATTCCTAAGGCTTGTATAAAACAACAAAACAAAGACTCAAGTATTAAAGAGGACAACGTGTACCCTCAACTAGTAATTTCTTAATGCTAATATATTTCTTTGAAATTCTTATTTGAAATACTTCTTTTTTCCTCTTTGTCTTATTTTTATTCTTTTTTTTCTTTAAACAAATACATAAATTAATAAACCCCATAGAAGCAAGCTTTTCTTTTCTCGCTCTTTCTTTCTTTGTTCCTTCCTTTCTTCCTTATTCCTTCCTTCCTTCCTTCCTTCCTTCCTTCCTTCCTTCCTTCCTTCCTTCCTGCCTGCCTGCCTGCCAGCCTGCCTGCCTTCTTTCATTCTTTCCTTCTTCACTTCTTCCCTTTCTCTCTTTCTCTCTATACTTGGAGTCTAAATCCGTACCTTATGCTTGCCAGGCAGACACAGTGCTGCTTAGCTGTATTCAGGCTCAAAAAGCAAATGTAGAGTTCAAATTTTGTAGTTTTAATTTAGTAATCCTGGATTGGGGACCAGGAATTGTAGTTTAGTACCCACAGTGGATTAGGATAAGCAATTCTTGATCCAGTCATTCGGTATGCACAGCTCTGGTTCAATATCCAAGTAAGTATAAGCAAAGAGGAAGGGTGGAATGTTGACAGAGTACAGATGGCCTCACCCTTGGTGAATGGAAATGAATGATTCGAGTGTGACTTAGTGAGGTTAATAAGCCATGCCTTGGGCTTTGGATTTAGCTCAGCGGCATAAGCAGTTGCCTTGCAAGTGTGTGGTCATCATTTCGATCACCAGTACCAATAAAAAAGAAAAAGACGAAAGAAACTAACAATAAAACAAACAAAGAAACCATGGTTGGCTTAATTTCCACTTGCATCCTCTTGTTGATCGAATTGTAATGTAGACACAGGTAGTAGTTGCTGTTCATCCTACTCCTCCATTCCCTACCTATCCTGTTTTTTTCTGACCTTGCCTGAGATGGAATCTCTGGAGAGAAATGTTGTTTTCTCCCAGTTTTATGGTTTCATTTCTTAATGAGATGCTTCCAAAGATTTCTAATAATGTGACTTCTAGGTTTTGTAAGAAAGGTCTATGCATACAGATCTATTTGTATGTTTTTTTGTTTTCTCTAGTCATGTGGTTTGTACTTGATTTAGTCTACTGTGAGTAGGAACTGACATTCCCTTAGGTATTTGTCTTTCTCTTTCTCCTCTACCCTTACCTCAATATCATTGAGCTGTTTCACTATTAAAAAATGAATGGTATGATTAACCAGAGGAGATTGTTTATAGAGGTCTACCAACTCTCATCATGTCCTTGACAAGGAACATGGAGTATACAGACATTTTTGAATTTTGCTGCTTAAAGATATGAGACTTTACAATTAAACTGAACATTTATTGTAGTTTCTTATGAATTATTATGTCTGGCTAAGAAGATATAATAATAAAGGAGCAAAAAATAGAACAGAAGAATATCAGAACATTTTCTTCTAAAAGCATTCAGTCCAATTACACAGATCCCTGTTTTAAAGTTTTATTTTTATTAGAACATTTTTGAAGTCCATAATGATTCCATTAATCATGGGGAGTATGTGTATAGCACATCTTTCTTGTTTTTTAATCTCTGTCTGCTGTTCGTGTTCTTCCTTCCTCCATTTCTTAATCCCCTTCCCTTTTGCAAAAGAGTGATACTTTCAGTTCACATAAGGACATTATGTTTACTATTTGAGGGTGCAGGGAGAGTGGGCATTGAAACTTTCTCCTAAGGTCCCCTCATTTCACATTAGACACAGCTGCACAATACTTTTATATGTGTGTCTTTAATAAGAGTGCATTTTGTTGGTTCATCATATGGGCCCTTTATTGTGTGAAATGTGGTACTAGAAAAGGAGAGAAAGGAACGAAAGTATAGCTGCACTTTTTATGTAGTTCAGAAACAATAGAAAATAAAGATACAATCAGGTGTAATATCAAAGAGCAAATTGTATGCCTTCCTCTCAATCCTAGCTGATGTTTTGTTGTAACCTGGTGTCTTAGTCACTTTTTACTGGTCGCTGAGACAAAATACCTGAAGCCCAAAGTTGGGAAAGGAAAGGTTTATTTCTTACAGTTTTTGGAGGTTTCAGTCCACACTCAGTTGGCTCGAAGACAGGCAGGCATCGCTGGGCTGCAGTTCATGGCAGCTGGCAACAGCAAACTCGAACCAGCAAAGAGAAAGACACGCCTTCTTCCTGCCATTACATCACATCCTGGCTCCACCCCTATATGGGTGGAGCACTGACACCATCAATCCAACCACTATACAATGAACCATCACAAATGAACAATGCAAACTCATGAGGCCTGGGGGACACAAACATAAACCATGACACCTGGTATGGCACATCTCATTTCTACTCTTTCTCCTTATCATCGTTCTGCCTCTTGCCTTGTCTTTGAGAAGAGTTTAGGAAATATCTGGACAGAAGTTGAAGGCTGAGCATCCGGAGCATGAGATTATGAGTTGAGGTTGCTGTGGCTGTTCTTATTAACGAGTAGAGGTAATCAGCCTCTGAACGTCTTCCAAACTCTAGTGTATATGATTTGTGCTCATTCTTCTGTATTGTACTCATGAAACCTACGCAGGTTTGTTCTGTTCGGCCTATCATGATCTACCACCTGACAGTGTAGTCTTTGCATGGGTTACATTGTAAGTAAGTGTTTGCTTGCTGTGTAATACATTCATTTAGCACAAATGAGTTATCCTTTGTTTTTATAGCAATACCGAGCTTATGTGGCTTTCCCAGACTTTTTCCGTAATTCAACTGTCCTGTGGTGGAAGAGGGAGATTCAAGAGCTGTACAACAACACACAGAATCCAGAGAAGAGCTTGAAATTTGACGGCATGTGGATTGTAAGTGTGTGCATGTGTGTTCCTTACACATAGATAGGTGTGCGTATCTTTGTCTTTCTAAGTTGCAGATATTTGACTTCTATATGTGAATTATAGTGAAGAAATGCTTTTAATATTTCAAAAACACTTAGTCACTCAGTATGGGGAAGCCATGATATCCCTCGAACCTTGTGTCTTGCCCTAGGTTTCTGGTGTAAGACCTCCTGGGCCATTACTAGGAATGCTTTGCAGGTTTCCTTGCCCTAAGAGAGAATTTTTGTCACCCTCTGACCAGTCACCTTGTAGGTATTAACTGAGTTTTTAAGTTGTTCTTCTCTGGATTTGATGAACTTCTTGCTGCAAGCATGTATAGAAATTCCAGTATTTTAAATAATTTATTCACTACTCTCTTTTCTCTGGACAGGACATGATTATCTTTTAAAATGAACTATGTCCACTTATTTTGTAGGACATGAATGAACCAGCAAGTTTTGTGAATGGAGCTGTCCCTTCAGGTTGCAGGAATGGTACTCTGAACCATCCTCCCTACATGCCATGTAAGGACCCTGTGACTCTCTGCTGTGAATCCCTGGATAGAAATAGGGTACCCCTGGAAGAGCCCAGCATCTAGGGGTTTATCCTGAGCCCTGAGGACATGCCCTAATTGATCTGATGGTTTTTGGAAATCAAGACAAAATCACTTTTAGGACTTTACTCAACTTATGGTGTGCAGTGTACTGGGTCAGAGGGATTGATGTTGAACACCTTGATGGAGTCCTCACTGTAGTTTAGAATAAATAGTATTCTTTCTGGGAAAACTATAGGAGGGATCCATGAGCAATCATGTTATGGTTAAGTTTCACAGTGCAATGTCTTACACAGAGAAGGGAATAAGGACTAAATGCAATAATGATGTTATCTTAAGTGTTTTCCCCTCAGATTTTATTTGAAATTTCAGGAGAATGTAATGTCTCCAAAGAAGTCTCACACATTGATTTCAAAGCTGTCCATGAATCTCTTTGGTAAATGGTTGAGGAGCTCAATGCTTTCTACTTTCAAGAAGCACCTCTTGTTGCCACTCATCTATGAGACAGATTAATTCATGATCTCTCTTAGTTTTTGGTGATAGTATACCTTAAATGATTTATTTTGCCACTAATTGATTTAAAGTAATGGTATCCTCTTCTATTGTGGGTCATGGACTTTATTGACCTTGAAGTTGTGTTTGTGTTTTAATCCCTAGAAATTATACTTTCTATAAATTTGGCGACTTTCCATAGATTATATAAAGTTCCAAGTCTCAACTTTTTATACTATAGGCAATCAGTAATCTTCCTCCTAGATATGTCTAAAATCACTTAGAAGTTAAAATAGAGCGTATCATCCCTAATGATGTAGTGTTTAAGAACCCTGAGTTTTCTGGCAGGAAATTCTGCTTTCTGTAGTGAACTTGATGTTGAAAATTCTGGGGTAAATGGTCATACCACAGCACCCACTGTTGTTACCTTGTCCCTGGGAAGCAGGAAATAATCTTCAGATTCAGAGTATCTTCCCTTAAAAAGGCTGCGGGTGGTTTTGACATTTCTAAATCTTTTCCCTTAGATTTGGAGGACAGAAATGGTGGCCTAAGCAGTAAGACCCTGTGCATGGAGGGTGAGCAGATCCTTCCAGATGGTTCCAGAGTGCGTCACTACGATGTGCACAGCCTGTATGGATGGTCTCAAACTAGGCCCACCTATGAGTGAGTTTCTCTCTGCCTTCTCTAGTTGATAAAATCTGTAGGATCAGCCAGGGATGGGTGTAGAATCTCTACAGTTCTTTGATGTATCATGCGAAGATTTAGGGAGAGTTTAAGTACAAGCCATTATAAATCTTAAACAAAAAGTCCTCAAGCATACAGCCAGGCCCTATGACTGTAGCTGATAGGACCGAAGTAAATAAGTCAGTTTTTCTGATCATAGAGAAACTAACAATCCAAATGGGTCACACACAGAGGGTTACTAGTGCTGTGACAGCATTTATTAGAAGTCTCAAAAATAATAAGAATCTTAAGTGCGTTTTTGTCATCTCAAAATGGACATATCCCTATTTTTCACCTACTGTGTTTGAATAGTTCCTGCGTATCCTGTTTAATTAACCTTTTCTAGTTTGTGAAGTCACTGGATAGTATTTATAACCTTCAGTGAATCTGTAACAAGAACTTGCCTCTTTCCTCCTCCTGGATAGAAAACCAAGTCTCGTGTTAATAAGTAACAGAGTTAGTGCTTGTTTACAATTTCAGGATAACCACGTGATTTTATCATATTGTGAACTCATGGTAAACACTGAAAAAATAAACCAGTGATATTAATGGCCTCCATCAGTGTGCACCATCCTACCTGCGTTCCACTTTTTCCTGTTCTGATCAGGCGTGAGGCAAACAGTTCCTCACCATGCCCTAGGCCCCGGGAACTTTACAAGGCAGAGGCCTGTAGCCTTTCTTTTCCTACTTTGGTGTCATTTCACCCCCTTGCTGTCCTCCAACCAGAGCCGTGCAGGAGGTGACAGGACAGCGAGGGATTGTCATCACCCGCTCCACATTCCCCTCTTCTGGCCGCTGGGCAGGACACTGGCTGGGAGACAACACGGCCGCGTGGGACCAGCTGAAGAAATCGATCATTGGTAAGTGGGCCTGTTGGCAGGGCTGTGGTGGCAGGGAGGGGTGAGGGAGGAGGAGCAGGAGGAGCGGGCAGGGCCCGATGCCACCCTGACACACTTGTGGTTCCCATTGCAGGCATGATGGAGTTCAGCCTCTTTGGCATGTCCTATGTAAGTGGCCTTCAGATCCCTCCTGATTGCTTGCAAGGTGGTGCCAGCATTCAGAAATCACCACCGACCTGGTTTTATTTCCTCTTGTTTCAGACCGGGGCAGACATCTGTGGGTTCTTTCAAGATGCCGATTATGAGATGTGTGCTCGCTGGATGCAGCTGGGGGCCTTTTACCCCTTCTCCAGGAACCACAACACCATTGGCACCAGGGTAGGACCTCAGCTCCCGCTGACTGCTGTGTAGTTTGTTTTTGCCTTTTGTTTTTTCACTTAAGATGCACAACCATTTTTGAGCTAAGTTCAACCAACTGTTTCCTTGGGGAAATCATCCAAATTGTGAAGCCCTCCTCTCAGCAAAACATTTTCTTCGGTATTGTGTAGGGAATAATTGGGCTCAGCAAGGTTTTTCTACATTATTTGAGAGAAATATCTGAAACAAACTTGTATTTGCTTTCTAGGAGTGCTTCAGTGTCCCTTTCCAGCATATTCATAATATTCTTGAAGTCTCCCCTGTCGTTACCTTTAGTTTAGTTATGTGTGAGCCATGTGTAAAGTGTGCACTGACACTCTGAGCTTTGTCATTTCCCCCTTGCAAAATGCTGAACAGTCCTTTTCCCCCTTTAGAGACAAGACCCTGTGTCCTGGGATGCTGCCTTTGTGACTCTTTCAAAAAGTGTGTTGGAGACCAGATACACCCTGTTGCCCTACCTCTACACCTTGATGCACAAGGCCCACACAGAGGGCGTCACTGTCGTGAGGCCTCTCCTGCACGAGTGAGTGTCCCCCTGGTACCTTGCGCACTAAGGCAGAATGCATTTCTTTTTGTAGAGTGGTAGTGCATGCAGAGAATTTCTCCAAGCAGAAGATATGATTTCTCTTTTATTATAAGGTCATAAGACCGAGATGATAATTGCATTTTTAATAGTCCCTGAAGAAAAGATATTTATCAGCTGACAAAATTTCTGAAAGGATCGTACACAATACAACATAATTGTATGTAATTTGTCAATGCAGAGACTGGTCTCCATTTCTTTTTTTAACCGTTGTTGTTACATGAGCCTGGGCCTAAATGAGTTTAGTTAACCAAAGAAGATACTTAGTGAGAGACGAAAGCGATGAGGGCCAACCTGGGGTTTAGCATGTGCCATGGTGAGGAAATATCTTTCTGTCTTCAGAGGAGCCTGACCTGTGGAGAGCGGGGCTCCATATTTTCAGTGACACTCAGAAGTGAGGATGGCAGTGAATGCAGCTGAATTCTTCACACAGAGTTGAAGCTGAGGTCTTTCCTCAGACCCTGGGATCTGATTGTGACCAGTTTCTTTTCCTTCCAGGTTTGTGTCAGACCGTGTGACCTGGGATGTAGACAGTCAGTTCCTGCTGGGCCCGGCCTTGCTGGTCAGCCCTGTCCTGGAGCCTGTGAGTGTGGAGGGCCAGGCTGGTGGGTGGAGGATCTGAGCTGTGAGGCTGGCTGACTAGGGAAGGAGAAGCCAGCAGGGGTACGAAGTTGCCTGAGTCATGGCTTCTTGTTCTATCTTGTTCTTTTTTTCTCCTGAGTCAAAGAATATGGCCTCAGTATTGTGGTATCAGCCTCCACTTCTTTAATGTCTGCCTGACAATCCTGGTTAGAACCATAAGAAAAACAAACAAACAAATAAAGCAACAAACATTTTGTCCTAATACCCTCAAGATACATTTGAGAAATTTACATTTCTCCAAGCAGGAAGAGTATATATGGATTTCATTACAGTATCCTGTCACGATTAGAACACTTTGCAAGGGAAGTATCCACAGACATGTGTGTTATTCCCTTGCTTCTACTGAGCCCAACTGGCTGCAACAGCCATTCCATTACTTGTCTCTGAATTGCCTTAAATATGCGTCTGATGCCACCTACTGTCACCCTCCTTATCATACCTATGAGTTCTGCTCCAGACTCAAGCTCTGATAGATTATGTCTTAGGTAAATGTTTGGGCTAAGTGTATAATCCAGTGTTGATATTTTCCTCTGATGTACTGGATCCCAACGAGATTTATGGAAGTCACTTAACTGGGTAGCAAAATTTCCTCTGGGTGCAAACAGGGAACAGGTGGGTCCCGTGCAATCTTTTCATTCCTTTTGTTTGGTCTGATTTCTGTGTTCTAAAATTTAGAAATTCTCACTGCCCACACATTTGTGTACAATTTCAGGATGCCAGAAGTGTCAAAGCCTATTTCCCTGGAGCCCACTGGTACGATTACTACACGGTAAGTTTTTTCATCTTGTGTAGGTGAGGGAAATGCATAAACAAGTGAGTTAGATGGATCCTGTGCATCTCAAACCCTGAATGTGCATGCTCCTGCTTTATATTTGTAGTCTTGCATAAACCACTTTAAGCATTGTAACTCAATTTTGTTATTGCTCTATTGAGTATGACTGGTCACTCACATAAATGTAAAATAAACATGAAGCTTCTCACAGGGACCTGTGTTGTCCTGAGTGCTCTCTACTAGAGATTCTATACATTTTCTTGAAGCTGACTATTTACAATATTGGTATTTGTACTAGTATCTTGGGTAGTATTTGTTACACAAAGCCTTTCAAGGTAAGTCATTACAGCAGGGAGCAGATGACAGCAGAGAGTGTGCAGAAAGTGTCCTCGCAGGTATGTGCTGAACTGTGAAGAACAGGCAGCAAGTTCTGAGAGTCAGACGAGCTATCGGCCGAATGTACTGACGAGAGAGGTGTGTGTCCTGGCCTTCATGCTCTCCTTTCCCCTGCCCACAGGGTGTGAACATTAATGCAAGGGGGCAGTGGAAGGATGTGGCAGCCCCTCTGGACCACATTAATCTTCATGTGCGTGGGGGCTACATCTTGCCCTTGCAGGAGCCTGCGCTGAACACTCACTTAAGGTAAATTATGGACCAGGGCTCTGATTGGCAAAATATGAAGAACACTGGTTTGTATTGAATGCTACCAATGCCTTAATTGTCATTCTGAAGTCCAAAACGATTTTCCAGAAAATATATTTTTTTAATTTTTAAAAATTTGCTTTTGTTTTCTCCATATCCATAGCTCTTTTTCTCCGTCTCCATTGTTGAGAAGTTAGTGACGACCGTGGAAGGCTGCTGCCCAGGATATTTGTGTTTGCCTGTTAGGAGCTGTTGTCAAATTGTATCTTGTATGTCTGTTGGTCTTTTCTCCTGAGTGTTTTTGTCTACACCTGCAGCCAGATGGGTTTTGAGAGGCACTAATCTGCATTCTTAAGTGCTCTGAATTTCACAAACACACTGACAGCCAGAATAGTCTTTCTTCCCGGTTCATGTGGGCCTCTTGCAGTATTAGCACTGAAGCTCAGCACTTGGTTGCTGTCATCAGCTATAAAGCAGGTGCTAGGGCAGTGCCTCTACACTGATTTCTCATGAATCTTCGTGTGTGGCAGGTATCACTGGTGTTACAATCTCAACCTAGGTGCAAGCATTGTAGTTCGACAGTGAAGCAAGTGTGTCTTCATGTCAAGTGTCTCTGTGTCCCCTTGCTCTGGCTTAGGAAAAATTCCAAGCTCTGTGTATTTGGAGGAGGGGTGAAAGCTTTACAGTGTCACTTTTCTCTCCTCAGTAATGTGTTGATTGCTACAGTTGCACCTTATCAGAGTGTGGGGCTACTGTTCTGCTCATACCCTGTCCCGTATGTTAAACCCCTGTATCCCTCTTTTGTTTTTCACAGTTGTTTGATGCTCTGTGTTGAAAATTGTACTCTCTGAAGTTTCTTTGAGAATATGAATCTACAGTTGTTTACTTTGACTGTCTTTCTTGGTGCCTTGTTGTTTGTGTGTTTACTGATACTTTGCTTTTCAAATGTAGTGGGCATAATTGCTGTGAAGGGAGTCTCCTTCCTGCAGAGGTGATTTGCCTTCTCTTTGGTTGCAAGCCAGTGTGATGGCTGCCAACTTGGTGTCTTATGACCTTGCTCACTGAACCTGGCTTCACATGGGGATTGGAGATTCAAGTTCTCTATACTGGACTATCAAGTGTAGGGGCACAGTTTGAGCCTTCTAAGGCATTTGTCCCTGGGAAATTCCAGGTTTTTCTTACTATGTTCCCTTGTGGCTGGAGACCAGTGTTTTGCTTTCCTGTTGTTCCTGTGGAGTATTGCGTAACCCATATTTACTTAAAAGTCCAATGAAAATTTTTAAAAGAATTTTGTATTTGTAATTTATTTTGGATCAAGTAATATATCAATAGATGTGGTGTCCAGATTATATGGTCTACTGTGTTGCTGGAAATCTCTTTCACAATTCCTGTGGTACCTTAATGTTTGTATCGCTTTTAATCTTCTTATTTGATTATTTGGTAAATGGGCTTAATATTTCTTAAAATATAGAATGTCCAAAAATTCAGGAATTGTTAGTTATTCATCCTTATATTTCCTGCACTATGTAGCACTGAGTCTTCCAGACATGCAGTGAGTGAGAGCAGGCGATTGCCTTGATAACCTGAGCTGCGTAGAGAAGGCTGAACTGTGAAGCCTGGGGTAGGAAAGGTGAAGCAGGGCGAGGCAGGAGGAGCAGGAGCTGGGAGGGAGTCCAGAGGAGTTGCTCAATGAACAGATCCCAAGCAACTCTGCTTTCTTTCTTCTTCTTTGCCTACATGCATCTCATCATCTTTCTCACTACTATTTTATGTTTCCCATTTTGAAATGTAAAACAAGTAATTAAAATGACATTTTTTTCTTAAAATAGATTAATGATATCTCCCCAAATGAGGAAGTTGCCATGGTATAGACAGAGCTTACTGAAATTTTCCTTTCTGAGGAAATACGGTGCTCAGGCAGCAAAAGTGGCTCTCCCAGAGGCAGCTGGAACTGTACTGTGGAGAGCATCGCTAATATGATGCGGCTGCATGGCTATTGTCTAATTTTTCTTTCCCAACCTGCTGTCCATTTTGTAACTGTAGCTGTAGTTTTAATGCAGTGATTTTTACGCTTTTATTATTGGCTTGTACATGGATGTTTATTGCAATGCTTGGAGCATTTCTCTCTTATGTGACACTGCTATAAAACAAACTCATGCCAAGTTCCTCCTAGTGCCTGAAGGAAAGCAGAGCAACCTGATGCTAGTGATTTTTCCCTTTTCAGCTTGTTGGGCATGTGGGCCAAAGTTTTTAGAGCCTGAAGTCTTTATTTCTTGCATGTTTCTCATTCTCTACAGCCGGAAGAATCCTCTTAGTCTCTTGATTGCCCTGGATGAGAACAAAGAAGCAAGAGGGGAGCTCTTCTGGGATGATGGCGAATCAAAGGGTGAGTACAGTTTCAAGAATATTGCTGTTGAGAAACCTGTCTCCCGGCTTACTGCGTTCATTCTCACTGTGCCCAGCAGCCAAAGTCAGCTGAGTGAAGAGTTTTGTTCTGGTTTCTCCTGAACAGTAATGGGGCAGTAATGCATGAACCACAGATAGAAGGAAAATGCATTTATACCAGTAAAATTCTCTCCCTCCAGAGCAGTCATCGATGACAATTTGTCTTCTTCTTCTTAGTGGCTATCTGGGAGATATTTTGGACACTGACCTTATAATTCTTTGTAATTTCCTCCCAAATCTTGTGTTCATTACTGACATGAAGAAATGTCATCTCAGGCTGGGAGGAAGCATATACTTCACCTACAAGTAGGCCTGCTTTAGGAACATTTTTCTGTGTATATTATATGAACAATTTTATGTCTATAGCTTACGCAATAGATTCCCATGAGGTATATTTATGGTACAGACTTGAGAGGGACACTTTTCAAGGTTACAGTAAAAGAAGAAGTAAAAGTGGAATCTTGGTCTCAAATACTCTGTGTGTATTATTTTTGACCTCAAGATGTAGATACAAAATATTTCATATTTTTGTATTATTGCAAAAGTGTAATCAATAAATTTGAAGACATTCAAAGTGAGCATTGTATACATGTATTTTGTGTAATTATTAAGCTGTGAATTGAACATATTGCCAACACACGTGCCGTACATTAACTTTCAGAATTTATTCTTTAAGTTAAAGTTCTTATACTTTGATATACATGTCCTGCTATCTCCCACTCTTCTGTCTGTTATAACCACTGTTGCACCCTTCCCCAAGTCTTTTTAGAAAGTTCATTTATAAATTTCCACATAAAAATGAAACCATACACTGTTTAATTTTTCCTAGTTTATTTTACTTAGTATACTGCGTTCCATCCGCAAAAATGTTTTCAAAAATCTAGTTTACCAGTTTTGTTATGTCTGATTAATTCCCTGCTCTTTGTAAGTTCCACAATGTATCTTTCCATTCATCTGCTGATGGACACTGGTTGTGTCCAAATCTTTCCTGTTAAGAAGATGATTTGAATACTTAAATGTAAAGGCTGGAACTAGGAAACTCACAAATATGGGGTAATATGTTTGTCCCTAACCTTGTCAAAATTTTTGGGGATATGACACCAAAAACATAACACAAGCAAAAAATAAACATGTTATCACATCAAAATAAAAGGCTTGTGTATAATAAAAGAAACCAATGAAGTAAAAAGAGAACTCACAAGATAAAGGACAAACACGCAAGTTACCTATCTGATCAAAACATTAACATAAAAACATGTAAGTGACTCCTATAACTCAGTTGCAAGAAAATAAGTAAGCTGACTTAAAAATAAGTTTGATAGACTTTTTTCCAAAGAAGACTTACAGCCGGTCAACAGGTTTGGAAAAATAATGTTGCTCATTACTAAGCTGAAGAGGAATACTGATAAAAAATTGCAGTGATGCATCAACTCAGGATTGTCAGGGATGGTGCGATAGGAAAGAGCAAAGACTACAGTGTTCCCCAGGGTTCTGAGGAATGGAGGAAACTCTGACAGTTTCTTGGTAAAAATATAAATTTATCCAGCCATTACATAAAGCTTTCTAAACATTCCCTAAGATATTAAAAGTAGAACTATGTGATCTGGCAATCTCATTTCTAGCGTCTATCCAAAAAGTGTAGTGAGTCTATCAAAGAGATATGTACACTTCCACATTCATTGCAGCTAAGATTCAGAGGTAATCCATGGTTCCACTTACTGATGAGTGAATAAAGAAGTCATGGCAGATGTACAGTAAGGAACTCCTGCCATCTGTGAGACAGAGTCAGCTTTAAGGGGAGGCAGGTGAGGTTTGCCTGTGGTGAACAGAGTCTGAGTTGCCTTTTTTCTGCTTTCAGATACTGTGGCCAATAATGTTTACCTTTTATGTGAGTTTTCTGCCACCCAAGTGAGTACTGCATTTTTATGTATTTTAGCTGTGGGCTTTCATCTGACCATTAGCACATATGTGATTGTCAATATGTTTGATTATATATTTAACTTATTGGGATTAAGGGTGATAGTTGGAGATATTTCCTTTTAGGGGTTAGCAGCCAATGATGACAATATGTGTGTGTGTGTAACCAAAGGAGCCACTCATATTGGCAAATCAAAGCAGCTAGTGTTTACAAATATATATTTTTCAAATGTCTGTCTGCATGGTGCTGGCTTTTTTCTTATATATATTTTAATTCAAATGAGATTATGCTCTTTGAGTGTGCATCAATCAGTAGCATAATCTGAAGCATTCAGAGCAAGGGGAAGTATCTGGTCCTGGGTGTAGCATTTGTATGACTGCACATGAGCATGTGTCTCTTACAGGTAAATCTTTGTGCTTCTTTGTGCTTAATTGTTTTGCAGAACCGCTTGGAGGTGAAGATTTCTCAGTCGACCTACAAGGACCCCAATAATTTAGCATTTCAGGAGATTAAAATACTTGGAATAGAGGAACCTATCAATGTCACAGTGAAGCACAATGGTGTCCTGAGTCAAGCTTCTCCTAATGTCACTTATGATCCTAATCTGAAGGTAACACTGCATTGTGTGAATGTGTTTGTTTTATTCTTCTTCAAAGCACTGTGACTTTTTTCCTGTCATTTGTTACTGAAGAATCAGAGATCTGTGTGAGTGCTGAATAGTGAATTCAAAGTATCTGGCTAGAAATGAGAAAGAGACAGACAGACAGACCAAGAATGAGTTGAGGAGCTACTGTGGAGTGGTCTCTTCTTCCTCACCCATCTCTACCTAAATGTTCTGCTCTCTTTGGTGAATTTTCTTTCTGAGAAGGAGTTGCTGTGTTCACAAGAAGACCAGTGAGGAAAGTGGGAACAGGACCAAGGGAAAAGTGATTTGGAAACCTATGACTGATGGTAACCATAGTGGTGGGATGTAGGGTTCTGATAAATAAAAATTGTACAGGGTATTTGTTTTTTTCCATCTGTACTGAAACTGTCTTCAACACATAGTATATGTGCTCAAGAGTCACATTAATGTAACTATCTATGATTCTATTAAATTCCTGCTTCTCTCATTAGATGGTACGAATAAAGTAAGTCTCCATCAGTGAAATTCAGACATGACCCTCTTTAACACATTGTAATCAGTTGCTCTGAGATCCTAGCATTGTAAGAACTTTTTAATCCAAGAAATCCTGATCACAAGTCCTTCACAGATATCTACCCTTGGAACTTATTTGTGATGAGCTTTCCAAAATTATAGCAAGAATTTGATTTAGACATCTGCTATGATGACAGATTGATGGTATGTGGTATTTTGTTCCAAGAATTTGTAGTGAGGATGTATCCATTATATAATGCTATAAGTACATATGTGTGGCAGTTTGTGTATATTTGTAAGACCAAGACATTGAAAAATAGATGCAGGGAAACCAGCTGAATCTCTTTTAGACAATTGTATTAATTCAGATAAGACCAAAGGAACTGTTCCTTTGCATTTGGTTGTGGGAAGATGGAATTTATACACAGCAAACTCTTGGAACAGAGGCTGCAAAGGTAATCCAGCATTGAGGAGATGTTACTTTATGTAGTACTTGCTGTGCAAAGCTTATTGTTATTGTTGAACCAAGTTTCTTGGAGAAAGCAATGGCTTTGGATGATCATGTGTCAAGTAGGAAATCACAGCTCTGAGTGAGAAAACAAGTGGTAACGAATGGGAATTTTGTTTTTGTAGATGAGTACAGAAGGTAGAGAGATGCTGGTGTTGGTTCAAAGACTCAAAGTTGTCAGGATTGAGGTCTTTTCTTGTCTTGTTAAAGGAGCTGGCTGCCTAGGTTAATTATTCAGGGCTCTGTTCGAAGAGAAAGCTTTAAAAAATGAAAGCTGACGAATGAATGAAAATTACAGAGACAGGCCTTTATATGAAGAAATAAACATGTGGTGAGGAACCCTCACTGAACCTGAATTTACCTTTTCCTAGTCATTCTCATGCAACATTAACTAAAAATGTAGCTACTATTTGGGGAGTTTGATATTGTATTTTGCAGTGCTGAGGACTGAACCAGGGCATAGTGTATGCTCGGCAAGTGATGTGCTACTGAGCCAGCACCTCTAGGGGATTCTACATGGAAATAATGAACAACAAATATTTGTGTTACAAGAGGAAGACATAAGTAGTGGAACCCCAATAAGGAAAGCATTTTCTTAGAAACAGTTCTTTGTCAGTGTGAGACATCTCATGTTAAGGCATGTGAATAAACCATGATAAGACTTGGAATAGTTTCATCTCAGTCATCTTTCAATATCTCCCAAATAAAAAAATGTGGGAGAATGACTTTTGAAAAGAGATTAACTTGACCTGTAGGAAACTTGTGATGCCATTTTGAAAGATTGGAGGAGGTCCAAAGAGAAAGCCAATCTTTATTTAGTTCTCAAAGTTTCTCATAGTGATGCTGATACTGTCAGTGGGCATTCCTGAGGTGGTGATAAAGTGTAAGGATGACTAGGACAGACAAGGGAATATGATTTAGACTATGATGAGATTGGAAGATGGATGATAATCCCTCACATGTGATCTTGCTTCAGTCAAAGGAGAATAAAGAAGAATGCTACATAAGACTCATTTGAATTTCTGTGGGGACTGCAGAAAAGATTTAAAAGTTTGAGTAACTAGGTTTTCAGAAATGAAGAGCGTGAGCTCTAAGAAATGAAAGACATGTTTACGCCCTATACAATTCATTACTTTTGAAGCTGATAAGACAGAACCTAAAAATTGAAACACTTTGCATTAGATTTCATAGAATAATGGGAATAAGACAACCAGGGGTAGGACTTTGTATGCTTTCTACTACTGCAGACCATGGGGACAATGGTTTTTCAAGTGGAGAACAAGAAGGAAAACTCGATTTTGAAAAGCAGAAGAGAATGTTTTTGCCACAATAAGGAGAAAGATGAGGAGTTAGGGAAGGAGAAAAAAGTGGTGAACACAATAGATTTTGACTTTTTTTCACATTATAAAGTAGAATATTCTGAGAATGGTAATATCTGTCCTAGTATTATATAACATTGCCCTATATTTATAAACAAGACTTCATATAAACTCTAGTCACATATTGTTTGAATCATTGAGGCTCACCTAATGACAATTTTTTTCCTAAAGGGAGATTTCTGAATTTGCAAAGCCTTAGTCCCGAGCATGAATTTCCTGTGACTTCTCCATCTCTGTAGGTTGCCATTATCTCAGATATTAATCTTGTCCTGGGAGAGGCATACACAGTGGAGTGGAGCCTAAACATAAAGGACACAGAGAAAATAGACTGTTACCCAGATGAGCATGGCATTTCTGAAGCAGCCTGCATTGCCCGTGGCTGTGTGTGGGCGGTAAGTGTGCTGATGCTGTTAGTGCTCACAGAAATATTTTGCTCTTTGTCTACAACTTCATGAGCATGGTCCTGGTACCTGTACACCCAGGTACAACTGACAGAAGGCAAGGGCTTGAGAAGCAGTGCATGTGTGTGTGTGAATATGTGGGGGAGGGTTGGATGATTTTACTGGGTATCTTGATTGGAGATCAGTAGTGTAATCTTTTGGCATTATCAAATGATATATAAGTGAGTAAGTGATGCCTTCATCGCCACATAAATTGTCTGTCTCAAGTCTTTCATAGAATGCATGCTGACTAGGATTCTGACTTTACTTTTCAGGAATCCAATACCTCAGGTGTCCCATTTTGCTATTTTGTCACCGATCTGTACTCTGTCAGCAATGTGCAGTATGACTCACAGGGCGCCAGCGCTGACATCTCCTTAAAGTCTTCTTCTTATGCCAACACCTTCCCCTCCACCCCTGTGAGCCCCCTGCGCCTGCAGGTGACCTACCATAAGGATGAAATGCTGCAGTTTAAGGTAAACACTGGATAAATATCAGGTGCTGACACAACCTTTTTTAGTACCACTATTGTTTTTGTGGTACTTGGAATTTAATACCGGGTCTTTACATTGAGATACCCCTCTCCCTTTTATTTAAACTTTATTTTTAGACAGGGTCTCATTAATTCACCCATCGGCCATGCTGGGCTTGACTTTATCCTGTTGCCTCTACCTCATGCTGCCAGAATACTCGGATTATAGGCGAGTGCCACAATGCCTGCCTTCCACTGTGGCCTGCTAGTGAACTTTCATAATACTATTGAAATAAGTTTACTACCTTTTTGTATGCTTTGTCTTTATTTAAAAACCTGAGTTGAATACAAGTTTTAGACACTAAACTACAACCTCAGGGCAGGACAGTAAGTTGCTCCATTCCGTTACCTGAGCTTGAATTTGTGAATATCCTGCCTCAGTCTCTCAGAGTACTGAGACTGCAAGAATATAGCCCCATACCTGATTAGTTTTCTCTTTTAAATTATGTACTGCAATGACTAGATGATAATTATAATCAAATGAACAGTGAGAGCAGATTGATAGTACAGTGAGACCTATCCAAATTTGCATTTGGAGAGCTGAGCAAGGCTACTTTAAGAAAAATAGCTGGGAGAATGAGAAATGGAGAGGACATTTAGGAACCTTCCCTTCACATGGGGCAGGTGAGAGACTGAAGCTGTTTTCGGTGTATCCTCACCACATCTGGGGCAAGCGATGAGTATCTGCAGATTTAAAATGAGCAACTTTATTGTATTCTGTATTCCTCCTTACTCTTCCTCTTGATAATATATGTTGGCTGTCTTCTAAATATGTATATTTTGCTGAAGACAAAGAACTTCCTGTGCTTTGAATTCTGTGTTTCTTTGACAACATGTTTTAACCTTGTTTTTGTGCTTGGTTATTGCCTACAGAACTTTTAATACTCTGTCTGAATTTCTCACTGAGACTCTCTGTGTCTCCTAGAAACAGAGGGAAGCATTTCATTCCTTATATTCTCACAGCTTACTGCAGAGTTCTCCATTACCACACATCACTCCAGTATTGTGACTCTCTTTCCTTCTGCCACATGAGCATGTCGATTTCTGAAAACAATAACCATCACTCCTTGATGCCCTATCCTTAGTGTGTGGTACATACATTAAGAGGTGGCAGATATTGTGCAAAATCAATGGATTGGCTAAGGTATCATTTTCAGCAAGTACATACAGGATTTTTTAAACAAAATTCCTCATGTTTTGGGAGGATTATATTGTAATTATGAATAATTTTCAGGTATTCACAAAGGTGATATACTCACACAAATGAAGAACATAAATAGCACACTGAGGTTTAAAATTTATTTTACAAGTTAGTACCCATGTTAAGATGAGTGTTTTACTGAGGCGTTAAAAGTGTAGATTGACAAAATCAGATCAAATCCAGATGTCAGATTCTTACAGAATACAAGTATAGCATATCTAGATTATTGAGGTAGTCAGGTACTGCTAAAGTATAGCTATGCATTGTACTTTCCTTGCCTGAAAGGAGCTTTCATTGACAGTAATATTAGGGGATCTCTGTAGTGTTCACTGTGATGCTTTGAGACAGTTCTGCATTGTGAAGCGATCAACTTAGGAGGCTGAGGTTCTTTTTTAATGCCACATACTTCTGATTTCTTTATAATGAGAATATTCCAATTCGTGCCTTTGAGCTATTTTGAATCCTATAACACAGTATTGTGAACTACAGTCGACTCTATATATAGTGTGTATTCCCCATTTTTCTTTCCTTCTCTGAAATCTGTTTCCTCTCTAGATTTATGATCCCAACAGCATTCGTTATGAAGTCCCAGTACCTCTGAATCTCCCCAAGATTCCCTCCAGCACCCCGCAGAGCCGGCTCTATGATGTGCTCATCACCAGTAATCCATTTGGAGTAGTAATTCGCCGGAAGAGTACAGGCACTGTAATGTAAGCATGATTTGGAATTTCTGGTTACTTTCTGGTCCCTTGTGAGCCATTTGTCCTTGGAGTTACCCTGAAGGAAACCAGACACAGTTCATTTCCAGATTTCATTTCCAGATCTGTAAATAAGGATTTTCCTTTAGATCTGTTTAATCAGAACTCCTTTACCACTTTAGAACATTGCTGAGAGATTTGTGTGTTCCTGGAACATCATCCAGCTATTCACTATTTAGTGGCATGTTGTTAAGATATGACCTGTTTTTCTAGGTTGCATGTTGTGGCAGATAATTGTTGTGTAGGACAGTGAACAGGAAAATCTAGAGTTCTGCGAGCTGACTGTTTTGACAGTGTGACCAGAGTATTCCTGTCCCAGAGGTGGTATTTGAGGTAGGGTCTGGATGTAGAGGAGGGCTCTGAAGTGCATGCTATGTTCTGGGGCAAGGGAAAAATATTCTTGATAGAGGAACAAATAAGTGCATAGGTCATGGTACAGGAGGAAAACTTACTGCTAGAAGAACAGCCCATAAGGAAGTGGGTGTTAGGTATGAAGCTGGGATGTTGCATGTGTTGAGATGGGGTGCAACTTAAAGGCTTCACTTAAATGGTCTTTCCTGGAGAGGACTCTGCTAATATAGACAGTAGAAGAACCTGATATTTGGTTCTCTCAGACATATCAGTCAGCATGCAAGAGACAACTAGAGCTTAAGAGCAAGAGCAGAAGGCGGGGCTGGTATGGAGGGTGGCAGATGAGATGGTGGGAAGTATTCACTTTAGTGTTGTCGGGGGAGCAGTGAAAGCACATTGTGGTAGAGAACCCAGAGGAAGGAAGGATGATTTTTGGCTTTGAGCAAAGATTTCTGTGATTATTTATCCACATAGACTTTGTGCTGTACTGGGAGAGGAGCAGGGTCTGTTGGCAGGGGACAATTAGCAGTTCTGCTTCCCTTGGAAAGTCAGCTGCTCAAACTCAGTAAGGAAAGCTGAGGTCCTTTATAACCTACCTGTGCGCTTCTCAGCTGGGACTCGCAGGTCCTGGGCTTCACCTTCAATGACATGTTCCTCCGCATCTCCACCCGCCTGCCCTCCTCTTACATCTATGGCTTTGGTGAAACGGAGCACACGGCCTTTCGGAGAGACCTGAACTGGCACACGTGGGGCATGTTTTCCCGAGACCAGCCCCCAGGGGTGAGCATGCATCTCTGCCTCTGTCTGCCTTCAGCGTGTGTGCTTTGTGCTTCGTCTTCCCTCGTTGGGTGGGGCTTGTCACACTGTGCTCTGAGACAAGTGGGCCCATACCTGGTCAGCTTTGTTTGCCTGTGTTTAACGTACTTCTCAGGAAAGGCAAGACCCATCTTAATAAACATATGGGCTGAATTTCCTAATGTGTCACAGTGTGTGCTAACCCTGTTTCCCTTCTCCCCCCTGATGTTAGTACAAGCTGAATACCTATGGTGTCCACCCTTACTACATGGGACTCGAGGAGGACGGCAGTGCCCACAGTGTGCTGCTGCTGAACAGCAATGCCATGGGTAGGTGATGCCAGTGCTCCCTTTGTTTGTGCATACTACTTGTGCATACTAATGATAGAATGTGCATACTAATGTTAGATTAATGTTAGTTGTGCATGCTAATGTTAGAATGTGTGTTATCTGGCTGCATTCAGAGATGGAGATATTCAACTTGTGGCGAGTACTTTTTGTCTTTATATTTAATATTCTCTTCATTTCATTTGAGTAACATATAACAGCAAGCTAGTTGAACCCTTGTTTTGAGAAATATTACATAAAAAGTAAATAAAACCTCCCATATCCTTAGAGCACCTGGTGGGAACAACTGTATGAGTTGAATCAGTTGCCAATCTGTGGGTCTCTGCACTCACTGCCTGTCTAGGAAGTGTGAATAAAATTTATGTGATACAAAACAGAAAAAACACGGAGTTTGAAAGAAACATGAAGTAAACCTGGTGCAATGTAAGTAAATTCACTTAGTAGTGATTTACTACTGCTGAGCTCCTATTTTTGGCAATGTATGGTAATGATTCAGAAAAGGTTATCCATGGGGTGTACACAAAGTGAAGTGTACACAAAAGTCTGAGGAATATTTCTGCAACTTGCCGTGAGTCCCTAAATTTTTGTGATATTAAAGTTGTAATAGTTTTGAAGAAAGAGAGGGACAAAACATGTACAAGATAATAAAACCCACCAAGGGGGAATCATCCAGGGATGGAGCCTTTGGCTAGCACTTCCACATTTCTAGCTGACTGTGTGCCTTTCACTCTGTAAAGTTGAAGGGGACTGTAGGAACCTCATCATGAGATTTCCACCTAGTTTGGCATTTCTTTCTTTTCAGATTTGATGTTCTCAGGAGAGACAGTATGAATGTGAGGCTAGTTATTCCCCATTGTTGGCTTTTCCCATCATTATACTTTGTTGGCATCATTTTTCTGTCTTTTCAGATGTTACATTCCAGCCCATGCCTGCCCTGACATACCGCACCACGGGGGGAATTCTGGACTTTTATGTGTTCTTGGGCCCAACTCCAGAACTTGTCACTCAGCAGTACACGGAGGTAAGAGCAAATCCATTAACTTCTTAAGTATGTGTTAAGCTCATTCTGTGTTCTCAAAAGAGTCTTCACTCATTTAAATCTCAGTTGACAGGTAGAGCTGGTCTTTGTCAAAGATGGGTCATGCCGAGTAACAATAGATGCATTTCCAGAATCCTTACATCCATAGGCTCTCTGCTCATTGCAGTGAGGGTACAGCAGTCATGGTACCAATTGCAGTGTTCAGACTAGTGTAGGATGTGGGTGGTTATGGTGATAATGGTTTTGGTGATGTTCGGTCCTAGTGTTGTTAATGGAGAGAGTAGCTCCCATAGTGTGGATGGGAGTGGCTGTGAGTGTAATGATTTTTATGGTGATCCTGACCTTTGTGGTGTAGTTGATGGAATGGTGATAGTGATGACAGTGAAGCAGGTGGATTGTGGGTGTTTTCCGAGGGTTCTGTGGTGAATGTTTTGTCTGTAGTCGTGATAGACTTAGTGAAATGGGTGAGCAAGAGAAGGTAACATATGAGTTGTGGCAAAAAACCCCATGCAATTCTTTATTTCATTTAGTTTTTACTTAGTGAATGCCAGAGCACTCCTGAGTAATTTAGATTAAGTCATTTTTCTATGTTGTTGTTCACTAGTGGTATTGTCTTTGACAGGTGAAGAAACAAGCAGGAATCTGTGCTTCATAGTATCTCACAACTAGCACACATGGAGCCTGTCCATCATTCCAGAAATTTTTCTCTGGGTTCTGTGCTCCTAACCATACACGAACCATAGGAATCATAGTAAAACCAAATTTGCTCCAATTCGTAGCTTAGCATTTTTTCCAGGTATTCTGGTAGCTCAGGAACTTGACACCTCAGTTAACTTTGCATTTGTACTGTTGGTTTTCTATCTCAGAGCCCTGCAGGAACATGTTTATTACTGCATGTGCTGCTTAAACCTGACTTCTCCCAGAAATATTAGTATTTTGTGTATTTTCCAGGTGATTGGTCGGCCTGTGATGGTGCCTTACTGGTCCCTGGGATTCCAGCTGTGTCGCTATGGATATGAGAATGACTCTGAGATTGCCAGCCTGTATGATGACATGGTGGCTGCTAAGATCCCCTATGTACGTAAAGGACATTGTGCATTAGCTCTGAGGTTTGGAGCCAACTTATTCATCTCTGTATCTGGTTTGTTTGTGGGACATTTGCGAAATTGTACAAAGACACAAAGTTTTTTCTCAAATGATGTCCCAGGATGCCTAATCCCAGCACTGTAAGGCAGGTGGCACCTTGTCACCACTTATCAAGAATGATCCAAGCTTTGTCTCCCATATCATGCTCTCTTGTTACTCTTATATGATTTACATAAATTATGTGAAATGTTCTTCATTCCATAACAATAAAGTATGCCTCAGCAAATGAGTCCAGGTGGCTGATTACAGCTATGCATGAGGCTAAAGTTGAGAGATTAGCACTGTGGATCTAGCCTGGACAACTTAAGATCGTGTCTCACACAGCATAATAAAATTTCTAGGGATATAGCCCAGGTTTAAAGCACTTGTCTGACTAGTGCAGGGTCCTCTGTTAAAGCCTCAGTATTACAAACAAAAGAAAACAGGAACAAAACAACAAAGAGAAAGTGATAACTGAACACCCCAAAAGAAAAATTGTGTGTGGTTAAAAAAATGACTTCACATGTCATCAAACCTTCACAAGTAGAGGCGTGTTCTGAATCCCAGTGCTTGGTGTGCCACTTCATTTTATCTGTGTAGGACCCTCGCTGCCTACAAGGGTTAGTGATAGGTCTGCCAGCCTGGGGTTTAGCTACAAGCTCCCAACTTGTTACTTGAGACAAAGAAACAATTTTATCTCTCCAAGCGTATCTTCTACCTTCTCCTTGTCTTTCCAGGGATAAACCTCCGGCTCCCTTTTTGCTCATGCCTCGAGCCCTTTCCAATCCCAAGACTCTACAACCACTCAACCTCTATTTCAAGATGCCAGTAAATCTTCCTGTCTACTGTTTTCCACAGGGAGATGTTTCCTTTAATTCAGCAGTTAATATGTCATGTTCCCACTTCCCACACTCCTCCCTCAGCCAAACTGATAAATGTATTTAGACTTCTTTGTTCTCATTTGAGAGCCTCTATCCCTCTGACCCATGAAGCTCTCTGTGCTCACATTAAAGGCCTCACGCTTTGTCTCCTGCTTATATCTCTCATTGTTTCTGTGCTGCTTCAGATTACGTGCTGAAATTACTCAATCTGTTTGCAGAATAAGGGGGCTGCAAAATATCAGAAATTTTCCATGGAGCCCTTTCCTACAAACCAGTCTACTTGCTGTTCTGTTATTTATAATAGTTTCATTAATGGAAAATGTATCACAAAGTATGAATTAATGAGAGAACTCTACCCAATTACCTCCCACATTGGATGTTCCTCAGCAATTACAATTTTCTCCTTAGTCACATAGTACTTTATCATCCACTTTGTGTTATGAGTTAAAAATTTTCATTATATTTTCTGAACAGGATTCTGTGTGATCCTGGGTGCTCTCCTAGGATAACCAAAGCTCCTGTTTATAATCAGAGTTTTCCACAGCCACTTTCGCATTGTGAGTTTTTGTTTATCATGGTAAAAGTCCTTGTGAATACACTATCATTCTACATGTTACTGATTTACATTATTTTAGGACTTAACACTTGAAAAATTAGATAAACTTCCTGTGGCACATACCAAACAAATGACACAGTTAGGATTTGAAGGGCCCGCGAGAAACCTTTCAACTTCCCCATCAGAATGGACGATTGCAGCCTTTCAAAATTGGATTGCACCACCTGAGCCCCTGTGTTTCCCTGTGTCCTCCCACAGGACGTGCAGTACTCAGACATCGACTACATGGAGCGCCAGCTGGACTTCACTCTCAGCCCCAAGTTTGCTGGGTTACCGGCTCTGATTGATCGCCTGAAGGCCGATGGGATGCGGGTCATCCTCATCTTGGTTAGTCCTGTGTGAATGTGACTAGTATGGGCAGTGGCTGGCCTCGATGGAGAATGCATTAGGCTGTATTTTATTTTGTGCTGCAAAAAGAGAAATTGAAGCACAACGAGAATTTGATATTCTAGGGTTGAAGGATATATTAAAGTTCAGATGGAAGCAAGAGACACCTGTGTCAACAATTCCCCTGTCTCCTGCCCCTTTGTTGTTCCCTGGCTGTGGTTTCCCCACCTGACTTGTGCTTTGCTTTCAGGACCCAGCCATTTCTGGCAATGAGACGCAGCCCTACCCTGCCTTCACTCGGGGTGTGGAAGATGATGTCTTCATCAAGTACCCAAATGATGGAGGCATTGTCTGGGGAAAGGTATGATCCAATAAGTGACCCACCAATATCCAGCTTGTGCCAGCCTTTTGCACACTGTTGATGTATTTGATTATTTTCCTTTAGACCTTTTGTAATACTTCTGTTTTTCTTTATTGCGCATTTGTGGATGCAGCTAATGAATTTTGTACAATCCACTCTTCTCCAAATTAATACTCTATGATGATTGAAATATTACTAGCCCTTGTGCAATGGCTTACCTTGTTTTGGAAACTAGCATGTATGGTATATTGTGTGGTGCATTTGTTTTCAACATTTGTCTTCCCACAGGTCTGGCCCGATTATCCCAATATTGTTATTAACAGCTCTCTAGACTGGGAGAGTGAAGTTGAGGTAAAATGCTCTTTGTGACTCTTGGGTAGTATCGTGATTGTCAGAATGGCACAACATCTCTCAGAGTACTGCACGTGTTAGGGAGAAAACCTTTATGACTCAGTGTCAGTTGTGTGTCAACTTTTTTACATCCAGTAATAGTTCCCCTCCAATGGCAACATAGAATTGGCCCTAGGGTGCTGAATTCATCATCCATAATTTTAGGTGACTCTGATGATTTTTAACTCAAAGCTGTTAGATTCCAATAGCTTGTACAATTTCCACTTGGTGATCCCTCAAAGAATGCTGTCTTTTCTCTGAATTCTTAGACTTTGTGTTGTCTCAGCTGTCTCTTTAAAATTATTTCTAACCTTTGTCTTTGGTGGTTGTGTCTCTTTCTCTATACATATTTCATGGACAGGCTTCTCTATCTTGCCTTCCACACCCATCCTGACTTTAATTTCTCATATTGTTTTTAACTCTCATTTTCCTGCAAAGTGGTTTAAAATTTTCTCTCTCATAGGAACAGATACTTGTCTATTATGGTGGATCCAGGTATTCTAATCCTTTTGGACCTATATTCCTTCCTTCCCTCCCTGGTTCATTAAGCATTTGTTGCTTTGATCAATACGTAGTTTCTTACTGGTTCTGGAATCTTCAGCTGTTCTTCTGGCCATGCTGTATACAGAGTGAACCAATTTAGCTTTTTTGATTTGTTATCAATTGTTCTGATAATACCTGTGAGCAAGGAGACTGTTTTGGAGAGTAAGTCTTATTATCTTTAACTCTTCCTCTAAAATGATCATTCTTTCTTGACAGGAACTATGATAGGGCATATGCAGCCTGCAGAACTCCCATGGAGGAGCTAGAATGTCAGGGAAAAGGTCTCTTTCCTGGGATACTTGTTACTGTGTTATTTCAGTGACTCCGTGTAGCATTTGATGGGCATTGACTATCTTGCAGGGGATTCTTCATATGGAATTATTTTGCTTTCATTGACAATTAGGAGAGACCATTAGAGGGTCATAAAAATTTTGGCATATATTATAATTACAATTATTTATAGTATGAAGACCCATGTGATCCACAGGCTGAGGTGGGTGGCGATACTTAGGTGGGTGGTTATTGATATCTAGATTTGGAGATGCAAAAAAGAGTTTAAAACAAAAAACAAAAGATCCAAGAATTCTACTGATATATAAAGCCAACATCTGAGCACAAGCCTGAAATTTAATTGAGTAATTCTGAGGTAAGGCCTAGAAATTTCATTATGGGAGCGTGCAGTGGATTGTGAAACATAATCCTGGGGTCAGTCATGTAGGTGGGCATGTCACTGGTTTAAGATCAAGGAAAGTAAAAGGAATTACAATTAGATAAGAGTTGAATATAGAAAGGAGTGAGACAGCACCTTGGAGCATGGGAGGACATTTTTCATTACATGGATATAGTTCACCAAAATTTAGTAAGATTAATAAACCATGATTGGGTTAATTTTCCACTTGTGCTTCATAGGGAATACAGTTCTACCTCTGTCACAGCTTATAATGACAGTTTATTCTGTCCATCCCTCTGGTCCCCAAACCCATTGTTTCTGACCTTCCCTGATTTAGAACTCTGTTCCTCATGAAAAACTCTCTGTGTAATTCTATGCTTTTACATTTCTGAATCGAAGGAATTCTGTGGTTCCTAGTAATGGTGCACCTTGCTCTCTCATTGTGAGTCAGATTTATAGATATAAAGCCATATCTGTGTTCTTTTCTTGATTCCTGTTTTGTATTTAATCAAGGCATGGTATCCTACTTAATTTTTAGCTATTGAAGGAGTGGAGTTTCTCTAACCAGTTATTTTTTCTTCTCTTCCTTCTAAAATTTATAAATATTTGCTACTGCTAAATTTTGAGAATCTACTGTCAAACATTGAATATTGCCATTTATTATGTCATATGCTAAGCTAATTACTAAAGGGAATATAAGCATTCATCATGAGAATGTAAGAAAAAGTCCTTGCCCTTGAAAAGCTTACAGTATACGTTAGGAGTGATACCTTGGACCCATTTTTTAAAGTTTAAATGATGACAGTACTTTTATTATTTGAGAGACAATAAAGAGGAGAGATTTCAACTTCCTTGTTAGTTCTCCCACTGAAACACAGCTTCAGCTTTGTGTAGTTCTGAAAACCATAGAGAACAGACATGCACTTTAGTCTAAGATTGTGACATGTAGTCTTACCCTGCCTCTTTCCATATTTCTTTCTACCTGGTATGCTACCTCTTTCTAGTTAGAACTTCTCGCTGGCTCCTGCTTTATCTCTGTGGTGGCTTAGGAAATGGCAGGGAAGAAGTTGAGGATTGAGTATCTCAGACATGGCATAGCGAGTTCAGGTTGTTGATTTTTACCATTCATAGTGATATTAAAAAAAAAGTCTGTGAATGTTTTCAAGATGTTGGATGTTTTGTAATTTGTGATTATTTCTTTTCTTTGCACTCAATACTTTTCTAATAAGAACAATATATTATGCAGGCCTATTCAAAATGCCTTTCAGTCTCTGCTACCAGTTAGAACAAGCCTTCACATGAGTTAAGTTCTCAGTAAGTGTCTGTTTGGTGACTAATATACTTATCTGTTACCAATGGATTATATTTTATTCTGATAGGAATATCGAGCTTATGCGGCTTTCCCAGACTTTTTCCGTAATTCAACTATCCTGTGGTGGAAGAGAGAAATTGAAGAGCTACACAACAACACACAGAACCCTGAGAAGAGCTTGAAGTTTGATGGCTTGTGGATTGTAAGTGTGTGCATATATGTCCCTATACATGTATGTTTGTGTATATCTGTATAGGTTTATGTCTATCTTTGTGTTTCTTAGCATGTGAATCATTGTAGAAGAGAAAAATAGTTATCCAAGAAATATGTTTCACATATCAGAATGCATTTGCTCAATTGAGAGTGGAATAGTTCTGATAACCCTTAAACCTTATACCTTGCCTAAAGTTTCTGCTGTCAAAAAAATGGAATGATTACTAGAATTTCCTTAGAAAATTGCTTTCTCTGAGAGAGAAGTTTTAAAATCCTCGTCATACAAGTAGAGATTAATTGAACTTGCTAGAAGTTCCAGCTAGGAATTTTTGACCTTCCCTGTGCCAAATTTTACAGAGATTATAGGATGCTAAATAATTTATTTACTATGGTATTTCTCAATTTCTGAATGGACAAGACATAAATATTTTTAAAAGTAAGCTATGCCTATGTTTGACATTTCTAGGATATGAATGAGCCAGCCAGCTTTGTGAATGGAGCTGTCCCTTCAGGTTGCACAGATACTTCTCTGAATCATCCTCCCTACATGCCATGTAAGGACCCTTGTTCTCTTACAGCTGTGGATCCCTGGCGTTAGAAAGAGGTTGACTGCTGCGTGAGTCTAGGGATCCACCTTGACCACTTAGGGCATGGGCTATGGATTCTGTGTTTTTAGAGACCAGAGACAAAAGCACTTGAAACACTTTTCCACCTAGGTAGGTAAGCTTTTCTGAATCACTTAGGTGAATTTATCAAATGTAAGTAGAAAACACTTAACAGAGATAATATCTCCGAAAGATTCTCCCACATAGATTCCTTTTTTTTTTTTTTTTTTTTTTTTTTTTAGTTCTCTAAGGAGCTCCCTTGGGTGGTGAATGGTTGTGTGTATTTCCTTCTTGCTACTTCTATTTTCTAACAAAAGGTACCCCAAAATTTTCAGTGATTTAGCACAAGTCCTCCTCACTCTTCTGTAAGACAGATTTATTGATCAGGATCTATTCTTGTATTTAGTAATACTTTACCTTTGGAAGTTCCACTTGCAATCAATGGTTATGATACAATGGAATTTTCTTCTCTTATAAACTTTGGAGTTGTGCTTAATTCTTGTCCCCAAAACACTGTTCTTTTTGTGAGTTTTGTAATCATCCATACATTATATAATTTCAGGTTATAATTTCAGTTTTCTGTAAAGTAAGAGACAGATTAGTTTATCTTTATCGTAGACTTACATGAAACAATTTAAAGGTTAATAGACTAGATATTCCACTTTATGAAGTGTTTTAAAACACGCGGTTTTCAAAGACCTCTGCTTTCCCAGTTAATTTAATGCTGGAAGTAATTGCAAGTATCATTATATCTCAGAAGTAAACATTGTTTAACTGCTGCTGGGCAGCAGAGAAATGAAACATGCAGAGGTAAAGTTAGTCTCAAGAAGCAGAGTTCAGTCCTTTGAGGAGACATCAGGGCTGTTTTTCACATTAAGGTTCTTCCCCTCAGATTTGGAGGACAGAAATGGGGGCCTAAGCAGTAAGACCCTGTGCATGGAGGGTGAGCAGATTCTTTCAGATGGTTCCAGAGTGCGTCACTACGATGTGCACAGCCTGTATGGATGGTCTCAGACCAGGCCCACCTATGAGTGAGTTGCTCTCTGCCTTCTCTAGTTGATAGAATTTGTAGAATCAGTCAGGGATGGGTGTAGACTCTCTACTTTTCTTACATGTATCTCACTAAGACTTAAGAAGAGTTTCACTCAAAGCCATAGTAAATCTTAAACAAAATCCCTGAAGCATGCAGCCAAGGCCTATGACTGTAACTGATAGGACTGATATAAATAAGTAAGCTGTCACCTCATAGAGGAGCTAGTAAACCAGATGGAGGCATACAGAGGGACACTAGTTCTGTGATAACATTAGTGAGAATTCCCACAAGTAATATGGATCGTAAGTGCCTCTTTGTTACCTCAAAATGGAGGCATCTTTCCTGTTATTTTTCCCCAATCTTTTTGAAAAGACCATGAGTCAACCGTCAAATTAGCATTTTCTAGTTTGTGAAGTCAATAGATTGTACATGTTACATTAAGTAAAATCATAAAAAGAAACTTACCACGCATTTTCCCCCTCAAGGATAGAAAACCAAGTCTCAAGTAAACAAGTAACAGAGTTAGTGCTTGTTTACAATTTCAGGATAACCACGTGATTTTATCATATTGTGAACTCCTTGTAAACACTGAAAAAATAAACCAGTGGTATTAATGGCCTCCATCAGTGTGCACCACCCTACCTGAGTTCCATGTATTCCTGTTCTGATCAGGCGTGAGGCAAACAGTTCCTCACCATGCCCTAGGCACCAGGAACTTTACAAGGCAGAGGCCTGTAGCCTTTCTTTTCCTACTTTGGTGTCATTTCACCCCCTTGCTGTCCTCCAACCAGAGCCGTGCAGGAGGTGACAGGACAGCGAGGGATTGTCATCACCCGCTCCACATTCCCCTCTTCTGGCCGCTGGGCAGGACACTGGCTGGGAGACAACACAGCCGCGTGGGACCAGCTGAAGAAATCGATCATTGGTAAGTGGGCCTGTTGGCAGGGCTGTGGTGGCAGGGAGGGGTGAGGGAGGAGGAGCAGGAGGAGCGGGCAGGGCCCGATGCCGCCCTGACACACTTGTGGTTCCCATTGCAGGCATGATGGAGTTCAGCCTCTTTGGCATTTCCTATGTAAGTGGCCTTCAGATCCCTCCTGATTGCTTCCAAGGTGGTGCCAGCATTCAGAAATCACCACCGACCTGGTTTTATTTCCTCTTGTTTCAGACCGGGGCAGACATCTGTGGGTTCTTTCAAGATGCCGAATATGAGATGTGTGCTCGCTGGATGCAGCTGGGAGCCTTTTACCCCTTCTCCAGGAACCACAACACCATTGGCACCAGGGTAGGGCCTCAGTTCCTGCTGCCTGCTGTGTAGTTTGTTTGTTTTTCCTTTTTGTTTTTTTCACTTAAAATGCACAACCATTTTTGAGCTAAGTTCTTGACAACTCTTTCCTTGGGGAAATTTTCAAAATTGTGAAACCCTCCACTTAGTGAACCATATTCCTCAGTGTTGTTTATGGAATTTGTTGTTGTTGTTGTTGTTATTATAGTTGTTCAGGAAGATTCTTCCTAAGATATGCCAAGAACAATGTCTGATGGGCAAAGTTTATCAACTTTCTCTGTAAAGTTTCAGTGATCCATTGTAGGGTAATAAGAATATTCTTGGCGTCTCACCCATAGTTATCCTTAGTTTAGCTGTGGGTCAGCCATGTGGAAAAGTGTTCATTGATCCTCTGAACTTTCTCAGTTCCCCTTGCATGAAAGCTAAGCACTTCTTATCTTCCTTTAGAGACAAGACCCTGTGTCCTGGGATGCTGCCTTTGTGACTATTTCAAAAAGTGTGTTGGAGACCAGATACACCCTGTTGCCCTACCTGTACACCTTGATGCACAAGGCCCACACAGAGGGTGTCACTGTCGTGAGGCCTCTCCTGCACGAGTGAGTGTCCAGCTGGGATCCTACACACTAAGGCAGAATGCATTTCTTTTTTTTTAGAGTGGTAGTGCATGCAGAGAATTTCTCTAAGCAGAAGATATGATTTCTCTTTTGTCATAAGGTTATAAGAGAGAGATGATACTTTGTAGTTTTAATAGTCTGTGAAGAAAAGACATTTATGTACTGAAAAATCTTCTGAAAGGATCTAACACAACACACCGCATAATTTTAAGTATTTTGTCACTGCAGAGACTGTGCTCCATTTTTTTTTTTTATCATTATTGTGACATGGGCCCGGGCCTAAAGAGTTCAGTTAACCAAAGAAGATACTTAGGGGGAGACAAAAGCAATGAGGGCTAACCTGGGGTTTAGCATGTGCCATGGTGAGGAAATATCTTTCTGCCTTCAGAGGAGCCTGACCTGTGGAGAGCAGGGCTCCATATGTTCAGTGACACTCAGAAGTGAGGATGGCAGTGAATGCAGCTGAATTCTTCACACAGAGTTGAAGCTGAGGTCTTTCCTCAGACCCTGGGATCTGATTGTGACCAGTTTCTTTTCCTTCCAGGTTTGTGTCAGACCGTGTGACCTGGGATGTAGACAGTCAGTTCCTGCTGGGCCCGGCCTTGCTGGTCAGCCCTGTCCTGGAGCCTGTGAGTGTGGAGGGCCAGGCTGGTGGGTGGAGGATCTGAGCGGTGAGGCTGGGTGACTAGGGAAGGAGAACCAGCAGGTGCACGAAGTAGCCTGAATCATGGCTTCTTGTTCTACCTTGGTCTCTTTTTCTCCTGAGTCGAAGTTATATGGCTTCAGTATTGTGGTATCAGCTTCTACTTCTTTAATGTCTGCAAAACTTGGTTAGGACAATCAGGAAAAGAAACATACAAGCACGCACACACCCTCAAGTATCCTCAAGATCTATTTGAGAATGTAACTTTTCTCCATTCATTAAAATGTTGAGTAAAGAATCAGGTGGGGCAAGAATACATAGAATTCATCACGGATTCTGTCACCATTAGACTCACACTTTCCAAGAGAGCTACGCACAGCCATGTGCTCTGTTCTGTTACTGCTGCTGAGCCCTTCCTTCCTTCACAGCTGACTGCAACTGCCATTTCATTACTTCTCTGTGAATCATCTTACATATGCTTATGATACCATCTAATGACATTCTCCTTATCGTACCTGTAAGTCTTTCTGCTTCTGACCAAAACTCAGTGTCTTTAGTGAATGTCTGAGCCAAGTGTGTAACCCAGTGTTAGTCTTTTCCTCTGAAGTGGTCTATGCTAAAGAATTTTATGAAAGTTACTTAATCTGGGTAGCATAAATCATCCTGAATGAAAGCATTAAAGAAAGCAGGTGGGGCCCAGGCAAACTACTGTTTTAACTCCTTTTGTTCTGACTGAGTCTTCTGTGCTGCAACACATCGTCCACTAATCAAACCTTGTGTTTAATTTCAGAATGCCAGAAGTGTCAATGCTTATTTCCCTGGAGCCCGCTGGTATGATTACTACATGGTAGGTTGTCTTCATCTTTGTATAAGTGAAGAAAATATCTAAACAAGTGAGTTAGATGGATCCTCCTCATGATAAACTCCGGTTTTGCATGCGTGTGCTGTGTAGTCTTGCAAAAATCACTTTAAACGTTGTAACCTCTATTTTGTTCTTACTATATGGAGTATGCCTACCCAGTCATATAAATGTTGTAAAATAAACACGAAGCTTCTCACAGAGGACCTGTCTTATCCTGAGTGTTCTCCATATGAGAGTCTTTACCTTTTTGTGTTACATCTCTTTTCTCAATGTTGTATAATTATAAACACTAGCCAAATCTTAAAATCCTAGTCAAGCTATAGTTTTTGTTTATTTGTTTTTCTGCTGTAATTTCCCAAGTATACAGATAGTTTCCTCTCTTTTCATTAAATATTTTTTGTGTAGCTTAGATGTGCAAGGAAGTGTTGTCTCATATAACGACCTAGGATCAAACATTCATGAGGCAGTGCAGGAAAAGTATTCAGATGTGTGGGACCCAACACTTGCAATTATAAGCAGTGCATATGAATTTACCCATGAGGGGCCCACAGAGCTGTGTTGCATAGGTTTTGGTCTAGTATGAACTCCATAGGCCACCTGGGTAACAGGGACATTGGATGCAGCTTCATGAAGTTCTCTGGTGACACACAGGTGAGTAAGACTGTGGTTCTTGGAGAAGAAAGAAAAGAAATGTAGTTCATCTCTAACTTGTTCTCCTCTTCTGACTTTCTGAGTAGTAAAAGGTAAAGGACTTGAAATTCAGCAGCAAGACGAGAACAGAGAATTTGTAATCCCAGTGATACAAACAATTGCAGTGAAATTGGATGAATATTGTGCAAAATCTTTGGAAATTTTTTTCACTTCCCTATCTTGTGGAACCATGGTTGTTGCCACTAATTCTTTGTTGCTAACCTGAGTCTCTCCTTAGGCTGATGATATTAGGATTGCCTTGCAATTCCCATCTAGGGCTCTCTGTGGAGTGAGAAAACTACTGCCTTTGAATGAATTTAGCTTTGGTCCTGAGAGCATAAGGCAATGTGAGAAGATAACTTTGGTAGGCACATTGGGTCGGGAAGATGCATTATTGCTGGCATCTGGTATATAAACACAGAACGTGCTGATGCTTCTGAACATCAAAGATCACAAATTTCTCAAATCAAAGAATTTTCCAGTCCAAAGTTTCATGGTGCTAACATTAACACACACTGCTCTATTTGAAAAAGTGTGTTGTCGACTTAGTCCCTTAAGATGAGGTTAATGACTCAGGTTAGAGAACACTTCTCATGTATGAGACAAAATATTGGTGTCACACATGAAGTTATATGTATTCATTTAAAAATAAGGAATTTCAAATTAACAGTTCACTTTGCTCAAGTGTGTCATGGTAAGATGGAATTAGGACTGGGATAGTCAGTGGCAAGGCAAATAAATCGACCTTGGTGCAAAAGTTTTAGGAATCCCATCATAGACACCACATCAGAAGTCAAGAAGGAGTGAGTGAAGACTTTGTAGCAGTGGTCTGTGACATAGGAACAGGCCATGCAGTGAAGGTGGGCAGTGATTTGTCTTAGTACTTTATGTAGTATTTGCTACAGAAAACCTTGAAAGACAAGACATTACAGCACAAAGTCAGATGTCAGACAGCAGCAGAGTGTGAAGAAAGTGTCCTCGCAGTTATGTGAAGAACAGGCAGCAAGTTCTGAGAGTCAGAGAGAAATCGGCCAAATGCACTGATGAGAGAGGCGTGTGTCCTGTCTTTCATGCTCTCCTTTCTTCTGCCCACAGGGTGTGGACATTAATACAAGGGGGCAGTGGAAGGACTTGGCAGCTCCTCTGGACCACATTAATCTTCATGTGCGTGGAGGCTACATCCTGCCCTTGCAGGAGCCTGCACTGAACACTCACTTAAGGTATGTTATGGACCATGGCTCTAATTGGCAAAGTATGAAAAACACTGGTTTGTATTGAATGCTACCAATACCTTAATTATCATTCTGAAGTCCAAAACAATTTTACTGAAAGTATATTTTTTTGAGTTTTAAAAATTTGCGTTTGTTTTCATGATACCTGTGATTCTGTTTCTCTGTCTCCATTGTTTGGAGAGAAGATAGTGAAGACCATGGAAACACCATGATTACTGCTGGGCAGCTATGTGTGGGTGCATGTTGGGAGTTATGGTCAAATTTTGTATTGTATGTCTGTTGATATCTTCTCGTGAATGTTTGGTTCTATAGCTGCTCCCAGATTGGTTTTGAAAGGTCCCAAACCCCATTCCTAAGCCCTCTGAATTTCACAAATGCATTGACAGCTCTAATAGTCATACTTCCCAGTTTTTGGAGGCCTCTGGCAATTGTAGCACTGAAGTGTTCATACTGTGAGAAAACTCTCACTCTAGGCACACAGTGTCAGTTGGTCTTTCTACCTGCCTTTGGCAGACTCACATCCATGCCTGTCTCCTCTTGCTTTTCTCATTCTCATTTCTATACAGTCAGGATCCACTGTCGGTCCTCCTAGTACCATGTATCTCATTCCTTTCCTCACACTGACATTCCTTTTTTGTGATTCAATATTGGGTTAAACAATCCTTCTGCAAAACTCAAGTCTTCTTTGCACATTTTGATGATTTTTCTTTTTTTTCTTTAATTTTATTTAAGGAGAAAAAGAAGAAAAAAGCAGAGAAAGGGTACAAGTTATACAGATTTACAGAAAAAAATAAACAGTAGGAAATCACTAGTTAATGGATTACATTTTATCATCTTAGAAATAATTGTTCAAGTTACAAAATTAAAGCTTACAAAGTGGACATTCCAACAGGGAGACTGCAAACAGTTCTGTTCAATGATCCAACAAAACTCAGTAATATCATTATCTATCTTATACACTTAAATATACATGCAGTTATATTGTTTAGAGCACTTTCTTTTCCTCTCTTTTGTACAATGACAATTACACATTTTGGGTTTTGTTGCTCCCACAGTTCTTATTACTTTTTTGGAAGAGCGTAGAACCAAAAGTGACATAACAGAACAGTCAGTCAAATCAAAAGGGTGGACGTAATAGATAGTGTAAAAGCATAATACTAGGTGATCAACAGTGGTTACCATAGTGCCTCCCGCTATCACTAATAGAATTGCCTATATCATTAGTTATAATAAAATTTGAACAAAACAGTAAAGAACAAAACCAACAAAACCAAAACATTGGAGACATTATAAGTCTTCAAAAGTAGATAATAGTCAACCAGAATGGGCGTCATAATGAATCCCACTATCTTCACAGCTGTTGCCTAAACTTTCGAACCTGATATTATCAATCAAAACAGAATAGAGGAACATCAGTCAAAACAAGATGGTGAGAGCAATACAGGGCTTTAAATCAAGATAATGGAAAGTCAAAGTGGGTCACTATAATATATCCTGCTATTTTTTAATTTATTTTTCCCTTAATTAAAAGGATGAAAAAGTAAATAATAAAATGGAGATTGAGATAAAAGAGGGCATAACGGCAAATCAGTGCAGATCAAAACATAACCATTTAAGCAAAATAGTGTTTATCCCGACATAAAAGTAGTTACCATATTGTCTCTTTCCTTGAAATCTTTGAGTATAACTTCGTATACTGTAGCATCAAATATACCAAAACAATGTAAAACCATTTAAGAGAATGACAGTATTATAGGGTATTTAGAATCAACTAACAGAAAATAAACAATGGTTTCTGTATAATCTCCTTGTCTATAAAAGGTTTTGCTTATACTATCATATATAATAAAATCCAATAAGATACCACCTGTTTAGACCAATGGAGACAGAAGAACAAAATCTTGATGAGACTTCAAAACAAGATGATACTAAATCAGTATTACCTCTTAAGATGTCATTTTCTCCAATATAGCTGTTCCTATCATCCAATCTTCTCTGCCTCATTTCTTTTGAGCTTTTTCTGTCATTAGTTGTCAGTTTGTCTTCTTCATTTTGTTTTCTGCTCCATTCATTGTGGCCTCTCTGCCGCTACTTCTGGATTTTTCATATTTTTTCTTTTTTAGAATATCTTGCAGTATTCTCTGTAGAGTTGAATTGGTGGTTGCATATTCCCCTAGTTCCTCTTTATCCTGGAAGCACCTTGTTTTTCCATCAATTTCCAGGGATAGTTGTGCAGGATATATCAATCTTGGCTGGAGATTATTATCTTTCAAAGCTTGAATTATTTCCCCCCACGCTCTTCGTGATTTGATGGTTTGTGCCGAGAAGTCTGCTGTAATTCTGATGGGTGTTACCTTGTAAGTGATCTGTTTTTGTCTCTGATGGCTTTTAGTATTCTGTTCTTGTATTGGATTTCTGGAATTTTAATTATTATATGCCTGGGTGTAGCTCTGTTTGGGTTGTAGGTGGCTGGGGTCTTGTATGCTTCATACAACTGAGTATCTTTACCTTTTGCTAAATTAGGAAAATTCTCCTGGATTATTTCTGTGAGTAGCTTTTGTAGTTCATTTGTTTGTGTCCCTACTTCTTCTTTTATGTTCTTAATTCTTAAGTTATAGACCTCTTATTATCTTCTAGTCTTTGTATTATTGCTGTTTGTTTCTTTGTTATTTTTAAGAAGTTTTTCATTTCATGCTCCCATATTACAACTCTGCCCTCCAGTTCAGATAATCTGTCCTTAGTTTCTTTCAAGCTGTTATGCCAGTTTTCGATAGACTTTTTAGTTTCCTGGTAGTCTCTTTGAACCTGCTTCACGTATTCTATGCTTTCTCTATTTTCTCCATTAAACAAGTCTCCCCTCTTTCTGTTCTTCCATCCCACCATCTGTTTTTTCTTGGCTGGTGCTTAGCATTTCTCTAACTATTCTGCTTATGTCTAGCTTCAGGTCATTAATAACTTCATTCCTGAACTTGTCTATGAGGCTCTTGAGATAGCGCTTTATGTCTATTGGTGCTGTGTCTGCTGTTGTCTCTTTCTCAGGATTGGGGGCCGAGGACCCTTTCTTGTTGCTGCCTCTTCCCATATTCTTTGTTCCTTATATATGCAAGCATATATAGGAGGCCCAGCTTCCTTCCCTGTCAGCCACAGTCTGATTGAATTGTGACGGCTAGGTGTTCCCACCCTCCGCAGCGCACCAGGAAGTTGCAGACCAGACAGCCTATGCGCGGCCCACCACTCCAGGTCATTCTACCTTCAGGAGCTGGGACCTGGGCTGTGCTAGCCTACTGGATCTCAGCCAGCAGCGTCACATGGGCTAGTCACTGCTTACCAATCCCACTTGAGAGGGGGATACATGACTGAAGTCACTGCAGCACCCTGTTCCCGCAAGTCTGCCTGGTCCCAGAATGTCCTCTGTTGGAGTCTCCTGGACCATGGCAGAGTCCCAGTTTTCCCTCACTCACCGGAGGTGGATGCAAGGCTTTCCGCCCATTCCGCTCTCAATTCCGTTCACTGATTCCTGTTCTCAGAGCTTCCACGCGTCTCTCTCCCTGGCGAGCTGATGCAGACGCAGTGGCGGTGGCGCGAAACCCAAATCGCGGCTTCCAATGGCACAGGCTCCAGCTTCCATGCTGAGGCTTTATCTGTTCCTGTTATAGCACCAGGATTGCATTCCCAGCTGGTTTCTCTCAGCCCAGTTTGTTCTTGGGTCACCGGAGCATATCTCCTCCTGCTTATGATTCCTTACTCATCACCATTCCTGAATTCTAAGCTGGGTGTTTCAGAGAGCCTCTGTAGCTGCTGCTATCTGTCCACCATGTTCTCCCGAAAGTCCTCGATAATTTTTCTTTTGTGCCACTTAGGTATTAAAATTTGGGCCTTGATTTGTACTAAAGAGGTACAGATTTCACTCTTTGTGAATGAAGGTGGAACTCCATTGTTTTTAATACATTGAGAGTCCTTGGAGGTTAGGAATATATCTTTTCCTTTGAACCTCCCTACTGTCTTAGTTGAATTGTATACCTTTACTAAAGTATGCCTAATTCCACAAACAGTGGTTTCTTCTACTGTAGTTGTTCATCTTAATCTGTCCTGTGGCCTGAAAACAAAACTACCCTTCTAAAATGAAAATCTTAATCTATTGCTCTCCTGTGTGATGTGTGGAATGCCTTTTTCACTAGGGTATTCAAAGCTAACTGTAATCAGTTTCCCATTGAACTTAATAACTGTGTCTCCTGTAATACCTCAATAGCCTATTGTGCAGCCATGCCCAAACATGCTATTCCCCAAACCAACTCACTGACTATGCTGCATTTAGGTATTTGCATTCATTTCCCTTTCAAACCTGCCCAGGGCCCTCAGTATTCTGGAAAGCCCTGTACTACTGACATACAGTTCAGCCCCTGTGCATACTTAATGATGCAAGTGAAGCTCAGATTTCCACTGCATTAAGTCTTCTCAAATTCTTCTAGCAATGAGTGTGCTGTTTCTTCCGAAGTTTAGGTCCTTTTAAAATATATTTTGGTGGAGTTTCATTGTTACAGTTGTATGTGGTTCCTTGTGACCTCTTCTAGAAGAATTATTTGGAGACAAGTAGATTCAGTAGCAAAAGGCTTATGATACAATTGCGTCCAAGGGAAGCCTCTTGAAATTGTTTTGGACAAAAGTGTGTGGTGTCTCTATTTGCTCCCCTGAGCCTGGAATGTGTCCTTTTGTCTCTGTCATCAGCAACAAAACAGATGCAAGGGCAGTGCCTCTGCAGTGATTTCCCATGATTCTTCCCATGTGGCAGGTATCAATGGCGTTTTAATTATCAACTTAGTTATATACACTGTACTCAGACAATAAAGCAAGTATATCTTCGTGTAGAGTGTTTTTGTGTCCCCATGCTCTTGCTTAGGAAGAATTCCAAGCTCTGTGTATTTGGAGGAGGGGTGAAACATTTACAATGTCACTTTTGCCTCCTGAGGAATCTGTTGAATGCTATAGCTACATCTTAACAGTGTCTGTGGGACTACTCTTCCTCTCAGACTCTATACTGTACGATAAGTTCCTGTTTTGTTTCATTCACAGTTTTTCAGGCCCCGTTGAAAGTTGTACTCTCTGAAATTTCTTTGAGAATATAAATCTACAGTTGGTTATTTTGACTGACTTTCTTGGTGCCTTGTTGTTTGTGTGTGTAGTGATATTTTGCTTTTCAAATGTAGTGAGCATAAGGACTGTGACGTGGGTCTCCTTCCTGCAGAGGTGATTTGCCTTCTCTTTGGGTGCAAGCCAGTGGGTCTGCTGCCAACTTGGTATCATATGAGCTTGCTCACTGAGCCTGGCTTCACATGGGAATTGAAGATTCAGGTTTTCTTTTTTCTGTATCTTGATTCAGGTATTCTGTAGTGGCACAGTTTGGGCCTTCTCAGGCATTTGTCCTTGGAAATGCTTGCTTGGGGCTGGAGACCGGTGTTTTGCTTTCCTATTTTTTCTGTGGAGTGTTGGATACATCCTATATTTACTTTGAAGTCCAATGATAATTTTTAAAAGAATTGTGCTTTTGTAATTTATCTAGGATCAAGTAATATATCAATGTGGATATGTCATCCACATTGTACGGTCTACTGTATTTCTGTAAGTCTCTTTCAAAATTCTTGTAGTATACTAAAGTTTGTATCACTTTTCCTCTTCTGACTTGATTATTTGGTAAATGGACCCAATATTTCTTAAAACATAGAATGTCCAAAAATTCAGGAATTGTTAGTTATTCATCCTTGTGTTTCCTGCACTGTGTAGCACTGACTATTTCAGACGTGCAGTGAGTGAGAGCAGGCGATTGCTTTGATAACCTGAGTTGCATGGAGAAGGCTGAACTGTGAAGCCTGCGGTAGGAAAGGTGAAGCAGGGCGAGGCACAGGAGGAGCAGGAGCTGGGAGGGAGTCCAGAGGAGTTGCTCAATGAACAGATCCCAAGCAACTCTGCTTTCTTCCTTCTTCTTTCCCTACATGCATCTGATTATCTTTATCAGTATTGTTTTATGTTTTCATTTTAAAATATAAAACAAGCAATTAAAATGTCATTTTTGTCTAAACTCAGATTAATGATACGCCCCCAGATAAGGCAGTTGCCATGGTATAGACAGAGCTTGCTGAAGTTTTTGCTTTCTGAGGAAATACGCTGCTGAGGCACAAAAGTGGCTCTCCCAGAGGCAGCTGACACTTGTACTGTGGGGAGCATCGCTAATGTGATGTGGCTGCACAGTTATCGTCTGGTATTTCCTTCCCATCCAGTTGTATGTGTTGTAAATAATAGCAGTAGCTGTAGTTTTAATGTAGTGATTGTAGTGATTTTTACGCTTATATTATTGTATGTTTATTGCAATGCTTGGGGCATTTCTCTCTTATGTGACACTGCTATAAAAGAAACTCATGCCAAGTTTCTCCTAGTGCCTGAAGGAAAGCAGAGCAACCTGATGCTAGTGATTTTTACCTTTTCAGCTTGTTGGATATGTGGGCCAAAGTTCTTAGAGACGAAGTCTTTATTTCTTATATGTCTCTCATTCCCTACAGCCGGAAGAATCCTCTTGGTCTCCTGATTGCCCTGGATGAGAACAAAGAAGCAAGAGGGGAGCTCTTCTGGGATGATGGCGAATCAAAGGGTGAGTACAGTTTCAAGAATATTGCTGTTCTGAAACCTTAATCTGTAACTTTTTGCATTTTGTTCTTATTAGCCATTGCTGTATGGGAAATATCTCCGTATTCGTAGTGAGTAATGTCAAGAATTTTGTTTGGATTTCTCCTGAAAAGTAATGTGGCAGTAATGCATGAATCTCAGACAGAAATAAAATGCGTTTATACCAGTAAAATTCTTCTCCGCAGCGGTCATCAATGACATTTTTTCTTATTTTGTTAGTGTTATCTAGGAGATATCTTCAACAATTTTGTAATATCAGTGATTTCCTCCCAAATCTTGTGAACATGTATTGTTATGAAGAATATGAACTAGGTAGCCAGTAAGCGTATACTTCACCAGGGAATCTATAAGTAGACCTGAGTTAGACGCGTTTTTCTGTGTCTATTATATTAACTTTTCTTTTGTCTGTAGCTTAGGGAGTAGATTCCCATAGGTATATGCATTGTAAGTACTTGAAAGGGACATTTTTCAAGGTTACAGTAAAAAGAAGAAGTAATGATGAGATCTTGGTCTCAAATACTCTGTGTGTATTATATTTATCCTCAAGATTTATATATAAATGCTTTATAATTGTGCATAACTAAAAAGTATAATCAACAAAACTGAATAGATTCAAGGTGAACTGTGTATAAGTGTATTTTGTGTAATGATTACACTGTCCATTGAACACATTGGCCAACATACATGCTGTATCTTAACTTTCAGAATTTGTTCTAATCATTGAAGATTTTACACACTGAGGAACCTGTATGCTTTCTCTCACCTTTCTGTCTGTTAACAGCCACTCTTGCACCCTTTGATCAATTCTGTCCATCTTGTTTCAGAGTCCACTTATAAATGTTCACATAAAAATGAAACCACACAGCTTCCAATTATTCCTGGCTTATTTCACTTGCTATAATGTGTTCCATCATCATCCATGTTGTCAAAAATGACAGAGTTTGCCACTTTTTTTTGCCTGAATAATACCCTACTGTCTGTAGGTGCCACAGTGTTTTTTTCCATGCCTCTGCTGATGGACATTGGTTGTGTCCAAAAATTGGTTATTAAGAAAATGAATTGAAATATTGTATGTAAGGTTTGGAAGTGTGAAATTCCAAAACATAAGGAAATTTCTTTAACATTGGTCTGGTCTACATTATGTGGATATAACATAAAAAAACAGGCAACAAAAGCAAAAAATAAACATGTGTTATGACATCAAAGTAAAGGGCTTAGGCATATTGGAAGAGTTCAACAGAGTAAAAAGAGATCCCACAGAATTAAAGGACATGTGTGCAAACCACAAATTTGATAAAAGGGTTAATACAAAAACATGTGAAAGGCTCCTATAACTCAGTAGCAAGAAAATGGGTATGCTGATTTACAAATGAGTCCAATGGACATTTTTCCAAAGCTGGCCAACAAGTATGGAAATGATTTGCTCATCACTGAGTTGTAGGGAAACATAGATGAAATATTGCAGTGATGCATCAACTCAGAATTGTCAGGAATCATGCAATAGGAAAGAGCAGAGATTGCAATGTGCCAATAGTTCTGAGGAATGGGGGAAAACCTGATAATTTCTTGGTAGAAATATAAATTGATCCAACTATTACATACTGTTAATAAACATTTTTTAAAATATTAAATATTAATGTTTTTGGTTGGATCATTGAACACAACTGTTTGCAGTCTCACTCTTTGAATGTCCACTTTGTATGCTTTGATACTGTGACTTGAGCAACTATCTCTAAGATGATAATGTGTAATCTATTAACTGGTGATTTCTTACTGTTTTTTTTTGTAGTTCTGTATTACTTGTATCCTTATACCACTTTGTTTGGTTTTGTTTTTTCTCTTCTTCCTTTTAAATAAAATTTAAAAAAAGAATATATAAATAGCACAGATAGAAAATGAACTTATATTTAGAGAGAAAGCAAGGGACAGAGAAGAGCCTTTTAATGTATGAGACCTAGACATGGTTAGGAATCCAGAACTTGCAATCATTTAAACATATTTTGCAAATGTTTCCTTTAATGAACACATAACCATTGTATGTATTTCTCAAGGACAGTGTGACAGTTCAAGGAAACTTGTATGTTATTAACTCAAATATTTGTCATTTCATTGGGCTGAGAACATTCAATTTTTTCACCATGTATTTGATATAAACAATAAATTTCTTTTATGTTTTAGAAAGCTGAAAAAATATTAAAAATAGAACTATGTGATCTGGCAATCCTATTTCTAGCATCTATCCAAAAAGTATAGTGAGTCTATCAAAGAGGTATGTACATTCCCACATTAATGGCAGTTAAGATCCAGAGACAGTCCATGGTTCCACTTACTGATGAGTGAATAAAGAAGTCATGGCAGATGTACAGTAAGGAACTCCTGCCATCTGTGAGACAGAGTCAGCTTTAAGGAGAGGCAGATGAGGTTTGTGCTTTGGTGAGCAGAGAGTCTGAGTTGCCTTTTTTCTGCTTTCAGATACTGTGGCCAATAATGTTTACCTTTTATGTGAGTTTTCTGCCACCCAAGTGAGTACTGAATTTTTATGTATTTTAGCTGTGGGCTTTCATCTGACCATTAGCACAAATGTGCTTGTGGATGTGTCTGATTATGAACTTAACTTACTGGGATTAAGGGTGATAGTTGGAGATATTTCCTTTTAGGATATAACAACCAGTGGTTAGTAACAGTGTGTGTGTGACCAAAGGAGCCACTCATATTGGCAAATCAAAGCAGCTAGCGTTTATAAGTACAGATTTTTCAAATGTCTGTCTGCATGATGCTGGCATTTTTCTTATACATAGTTTTATTCAAATAAGATTATGCTCCTTGACTGTGCATCAGTAGCATAGTCTGAAGAATTCAGAGCAAGAGGAAGTATCTGGTCCTGGGTGTAGCATTTGTACATGAGCAAGTGTGTTTTACAGGTAAACCTTTGTGTTTCTTTGTGCTTAATTGTTTTGCAGAACCACCTGGAGGTGAAGATTTCTCAGTCGACCTACAAGGACCCCAATAATTTAGCATTTCAGGAGATTAAAATACTTGGAATAGAGGAACCTATCAATGTCACAGTGAAGCACAATGGTGTCCTGAGTCAAGCTTCTCCTAATGTCACTTATGATCCTAATCTGAAGGTAACACTGCATTGTGTGAATGCGTTTGTTTTATTCTTCTTCAAAGCTCTGTGACTTTTTTCCTGTCATTTGTTGGTGCAGGATCAGAGATCCATGTGAGTGCTGAGTAGTGAATTCAAAGTATCTGACTAGAAATGAGAAAGAGACAGACAGACAGACCAAGAGTGAGTTGAGGAGCTACTGTGGAGTAGTCTCTGATTCCTCACTCATCTATACTTAAATGTTCTGCTCTCTTTAGTGACTTTTCTTTCTGAGAAAGAGTTGTCATGTTCACAAGAAAACCAGTGAGTAATGTGGGGACAGGATCAGAGGAAAAGGGATTTGGAAACCTGTGACAGATGGTAAAATGTAAAGGTGGGATGCAGGGTTCTCATAAATAAAAATTGTGCAGGGTGTTTGTTTTTTTCCATCTGTACTGAAACTGACTCCAACACATACTGTATGTGGTAAAGAAGTGCATTATGTGAAATAATCTGCCATCCTATCAAATGCCTTGTTTGTTCATTAGGTGATAAGAAAAATACAAGTTTACATTGATATTCAGAACGGACCCTCTTTAACAGGTTGTGATCAGTTCCTCTGAGTTCCTAGCATTATAAGTAATTTTTATTTCAAGTTATGCTTGATCCGGCCCATGGATCAATCCATGGGTTGTACCTGGAGGGGGAACGGGGATTAAATAAAAACATGGGGGAGACAGAGAGAAGACTGAGGCAAGAGAGTCCAATCAAGCCCCGTTTATTCGGGAAGTGATTACATCTTTTATAGGCCAAGGGCAGGCTGGTGGGACAGGAAGAAGCTACGGGGATGAATACAACAGGGTCATTGTCATGTCTGGGTATGTGACGTAAGCAGGAGAGGATTATGGTTAATGTAGGCAGACACATTGTGCCCATAGGAGAGAGAGAGAGAGGCAGGGAGGCAGCAATGGGGCTGTAGCGCAGCTCCCTACATCTCCTCCCTTCCTATATTATTTAATCAGGAGTATGGCAGGCCCTGTGAGGACCGCATCTGTCTTAGATCAAGGACCTCATTACATGAACCCAACCAGGCTTTACCTGTCATGGGCTTGTGGGACAGCAGTTGGTCCTGTGCCTGTCTTAGGTGGCCGATGGAGTTAACATGCATGTCCTAGTTGCCCGTCTCTGACTGCCTGTCCATTGCCCCAGGACAGTTAGGCCACATCGTCATATGGCCACTCATGGGAATTCCTTCCTGGTAGGTTTGTTGATCTGCCATCTCCAGCTGATGATAGTGTACCTGAATAGGCTTTGCCATAAACGCATCTATCCAGTTATTAATGAGCATCATAATCCTCTGAAAAATACAAGGACTCACAGAAAGGAGAAGCAATAGGGCAGCTAGGGGACCCAAAAGGGGTGCTAAGTAAGGGGAAAGCTCCCCCCCACACACACATCAAGGAGAAGGGGTTGGAAGCCATTTGTTGTCGCTGTTGAAGTTGTTCTTCTATTTATGGAGCTTGCCTCGCGTAACACTGGACACAGTCTATTTGGCTGGTTTATGTTCCTCCAGACTGAGAAGACCCTCCTCTGAAGTCACAGGGGGTTGTGTGCATGGCTTTCAGCAGTTGTAGTCTGTTTGGCAGGGGTCTAAATCCACCATGGGTGTGGTATGGCTCAAGGAGAAGGCTGAGTAGGCAGCATAGGGCTCCGCGGAGTTGTGTCACCTGTAAGCGAACACAGGGGATTGTGCCTCAGGAAATGACATTATTCCTGGGCGTTGCATGGGGTCTTTGAAGAACTGTCTACTTGTTTTACAAGGTGCTCAGGTAGCCATCTAGCCTCTCTATCTTGTTGAGAGTAAACACTTACTGAACCACGTCCCCATATAAGAATGGGGTCAGGGCCATGCCATGAATTAATGAGGGGGTCTCTCCATAGTACAGAAGCAAATTGCTTTTGTGTTTCAGAATGCCAAAAACACATGCCTGATGACTGTCCAGAAGCATCCAAATTAAAAAAATTAAGGATGAATAAGGCATGAGATAGAATATTTTTAGGTGTCCTCCTTGTGGAGTACCATTCCCCCCTTTTTTATCAGCAGTGAGTTTTAGAGAGAGATGTGCCCTTTTAACTATGCCTTGACCTTGAGGGCTATAAGATATGCATTTTATATGATCAATATTAAGATGTTGACAGAAACGAGAAAAGGCAGAACTAGCATAGCCTGGACCATTATCAGTCTTTAATTGTTGTAGGCATCTCAGAACTGATAAGGTAGTTAACATATGGCTAATAACATTTGGTAGCTTTGCCTTTTAGGGATAAGTCCTCTAGGATTAACCCCAAAGTGTGGAACTGGGAGGTGCATGGCACAAGAAAGGCAATCTTTTACTATCTGTCTGGCTTGTTTCTATAATGATCTTAATACAGAATTACAGAAAAACAAACGGTAAGAAATCAACAGTTAATAAGTTACACACTGTCATCCCAGAAACAGCTGTCCAGGCTACAAAACCAAAGTATGTAAAGTGACATCCAAACAGTGACACTGCCAACAGCTCTGCCCAACGATCCAACAAAAACCCAGTAACATGTTTATCAGTCCCACACACTTGCCTTCCATCTCAAAGAGGGCAAGACCAAACATATCAAGACAGAACAAAACAGTTTTAAAAAAAATTAAAGAAATATAGATTTCAAAGCAAGTGTACTGGAGATCTTTACTGTTAAATTGTCTCTAGTTTCCTCCAAACAGTTATTCCCATCTTCACACACATTAAATACACACAACATATTATAGAACTAATCAAATCATTACAGGATGATGAAGGCTTCTCAGTCCCCAAGATCTGACATTGGGGAAGACAATAATAACTATCATAGTGTCTCTCATTCTCGTCTCAGCAGCTGTCCCCTCCTTACATATGCTGAAATTAAACTTAAGAGACTAGACCAATATCACTCAAATAAGTTAAATGAGTCAAAGTAATTGACATTGGAATCTCTATCTCTGGAGTCTTTTTGTAAAATGACCAGTTTCTCTACAGGTAAAACAGTCCTGTTCATGCTTTTGAGACAAGAACTGTCCAACTACAAACCCCTGCAAGGCAGCAGCCACAGCAAAGGTGTATATATCCTGTTAGGCCTGTTCTATTTTTACGAGGTCTGATAGCGGCCTGGCAGATGGTGCCGGTGCCTTTAAAAGCCAGCTGTTCAACAAAATCAGTGCCTGCATCAGCACGGCCAAAGACTCCGCTAGCAGCAGCAAACAATCAACAAGCTCTGAAAAGGGTTTATCTGGGCCTTGCTTAATGCTAGTGAGAGAGGAGCTCATATTATCTTTAGCAGGCAGCTTTCTCCATGCTCGAGTCGCTGCTGTTTGAATTTGAGTGAAGTGTTGGATTAAACTCTTTTTGAGCCTTTCTGCATGCATAGGCATCTTCCACTATTAACATATTAAGGTCCCACCTATTGCCAGCCTGTGTATTGTGCCTAGTGGTCTCTTTGTAATTTTTTGTATATTCTGATTTTTACAAAAGATTATCCCCAGCTGATAAAGTCACTCGGGCCAATCTTTGCCAATCTGTAGGTGTGAGTCAGCCGCCAGCCAGAGAATTTAAAACAGCAAGAGTGAAAGCAACTGTAGGGCCATATTGGGCAATTGCTGTCTTTAATTCTTTTAAAGCTGCCACTGTGAATGGCATATGAGTCCTAATGACTTGTGGAGCTAGCAGTGTGGTGCCCACGCCGTCTTGCAGCTGTGCGGCGCCATCTTGGGGAGGTACATTTGTTTCTGTCACCGGAAACACAATTTTGGGGAGGGACCCACGCTGATGTGGCGGAAGTGAGGCAAGCGCCATTTTAAGAGTGCCACAAGGCTTGCCGGAGGCAGGCGCCATCTTAGGGGCAATATAAGGCTGTGTAGCTCGGAGGGCCTTGTGTGACCGTCTCCTCAATATTAGGATCTGCATGCCACTGAGCAAGCAGATCAGAGATTAAATTCCAATATGCAAAGGTGGTCACCAGAACTTTTTCTGGACCGAAAACCCTATAATAATCTTTTAAAGCATCTCTTACTCTTTTTTGCCTCTTGGTATCTATAGAACCCTCTAGGGGGAACCAAGGGCAAATCTTATGAATAAATTGAAAATACTGCAATAATTCTTTTGTTCTAACCTTACCTCTCTTGTCTTTCATGCCTTTATAAGGCCTCCTATGAACACTTCGTGTTTGCTCAATGCTTGACCCATGTCCGGGAAAGGGAATGGAGTCGCTGTTCACTCACCGTGACTCGGGTGCGACTCGGGCGGGACATCAGGTAGTCGTCCACGCAGGCCTCAGTCCTTGATTTAATGTCTTTTTGTTTTTAGCTTTGATCCTTGATTTAATTTGTTTTTCCTTTTGCCACGGTCTTTGGTTCAATTTGCTTTCACTTTTAGGCGGCTTTCTCGAATGGCTCCCTTGTTGACTCCCCCGTGCCAGGAGCCCCCACATTGTGCGCCACTTGATCCAGCCCACAGATCAATCCATGGGGTGTACCTGGAGGGGGAACGGGGATTAAATAAAAACATGGGGGAGACAGAGAGAGAGACTGAGGCAAGTTGAGAGAGTCCAATCAAGCCCTGTTTATTCGGGAAGTAGTTACATCTTTTATAGGCCAAGGGCGGGCTGGTGGGACAGGAAGAGGCTATGGGGATGAATACAAAAGGGTCATCTTCACGTCCGGGTATGTGACATAAGCAGGAGAGGATTATGGTTAATGTAGGCAGATGCATTGTACCCATAGGAGAGAGAGAGGCAGGGAGGCAGCAATGGGGCTGTCGTGCGGCTCCCTACATATGCTGATCACAAATCCTTCAGAGATTCTTGCCACTGAAGATTATTTTGTGATGAGCTTTCCAAATTTATGGAAATAATTCGACTTAGACATTTACTATAACAACAAATTGATGATACATGGTATTTTATTTCACAAACACATACTGAGGATGCATAAGTAAATATGTATGACAGTTCATGTATATTGCTAAGAAGAAGCCATTTATAAGTATGTACATGGAAACAAGCTCAATGTCTGTTAACCAAATATATTAATTAACATAAGACCACAAGAACTTTTTCATTGTTTGAGTCTAAGTTATGTATGGGAAGACAGTATTATACACAGCAAACTATTGGAAAAGGGGAAGTGAATGCAGAGCAACTTTGATGAGATGTTAAATTGGGTATTATCTGATGAAAACCTATTGGTATTGGTGAACTAAGTTTCTTGGGGAATCAAATGTCTTTGGAAGATCATGAACCCCTGAGAAGACAATAGGACTGAAAGAGAAAAACGTCCAAGTGGGATTTTGTTCTTTGTTGATGATTATAGAAGGAAGAGGCCTGCTGGTATTAGTTTAGAGACTTAAGGTTAGTTGAGGCCTTTTCTTCTCTTGTGATAGAATATGGCTATCTATGTCAATTATCCGTGCTTTTGTCCTAAGATATAATCTTTTAAAAATGAATGCTGATGAATGAGATAAACTTGCAGAGGCAGGTCTTTATATCAATTAATAAAGACTTGATGAGCAACACTCAGTGAACTTGAATTTATCTCTTCATAGTCATTTTTATGCTACACTAATTAAAAATTTATCTATTTTTGGAAGTTAAATATCATATTTTGCAGTGGGCTGAAAATATAATACCCATGGCCTTGAGTAGGCAAGTAATGTGGTACTGAGCTATACCCTCCAGTGGAACTCCAGTCTAACCTGAAACAAGGAACAATAGAGAAATGTGTTATATGAGGAAGGTAAAAAGCAGTGGAAACCAATGATGGATACCATTTTCCTATAAATGCATCTTTGTCAATTTAAACAATCACACATTGAAACATTAGAATAAGCCAAGCTAAGGGCTTGGAAGAACTTTGTATCAGTGGTCTGTGAATTTCTCATAAAAAGCTTTGGTAGATTTACATTCAAAAAGAGGTTGGTTTGGCCTGTAGGAAGTTTGTGGTCCCATTTTGAAAGGTTTGAGGTGGCCCAGTGAGAAAGCCATACTTGACTTAATTCTCAAACTTTCTCATAATGATGCTAACAGTAGGCATTATTGAGGTGGTGGCGGAACATGGGGATTAGTAGGACAGTCAAGGGCAAAATGATTTAGGTTGGAAGATGGATGATAATGTCTCACATGTGATCTTCTTGCTTCAGTCAAATGAGAATGCTAACTGTGGGAAGTGCTACTTAAAGAAGAGTACCACATAAGACTCAGGTATAGAAAAATGTGAAATTTGAATTTCTGAGTGGGGTTCAGAAAGGATGTAAAAGTTTGAGTAGCTAGATTAGAGAAATGAAAAGCCTGACTTATTACAAATGAAGAAAATATTATGACCCATAGAACTCACTACTTTTGAAACTGGTAAAACAGAACCTTAAAGAATTGAAACAATTCATGTAAGATTCCGTGGAATATTGGGAACGCAGCACCCAGCCATAGGACTTTGTATGCTTTCAACTATTGCAGACCATGGGAACAGTGGTTTTGGGAGTGGAGAACAAGAAGATAAACTCAGTTTTGGAAAGCAAAAGGGACAGTTTTTGCCACAGTAAGGAGACAGAAGAGGAGTTAGGGAAGGAAAGAAAAGTTGTGATCACAAAAATCTTATTTGACCTACATATTTCACTGTTATAAAGTACCAGATCCTGACAAAATGTGATAGTCCATTATTCTTACATACAACTCTTTAAAACTAGAGTCATATATTAATTGGATTTGAGAGTCTCATATAATGATATTTTTTTTCCTAAAAAAGATTTCTTATTTTGTAAGACCTTTATCCTGAGGGTGAATTTTCTATGACTTTTCCATCACTGTAGGTTGCCATTATCTCAGATATTAATCTTGTCCTGGGAGAGGCATACACAGTGGAGTGGAGCCTAAACATAAAGGACACAGAGAAAATAGACTGTTACCCAGATGAGCGTGGCATTTCTGAAGCAGCCTGCATTGCCCGTGGCTGTGGGTGGGCGGTAAGTGTGCTGATGCTGTTAGTGCTCACTGAAATATTTTGCTCTTTGTCTACAACTTCATGAGCATGGTCCTGGTACCTGTACACCTAGGTACAACTGACAGAAGGCAAGGGCTTGAGAAGCAGTGCATGTGTGTGTGTGAATATGTGGGGGAGGGTTGGATGATTGTACTGGGTATCTTGTTTGGAGATCAGTAGTGTAATCTTTTGGCATTATCAAATTATATATAAGTGAGTAAGTGGTGCCTTCATCGCCACATAAATTGTCTGTCTCAAGTCTTTCATAGAATAGATGCTGAATAGGATTCTGACTTTACTTTTCAGGAATCTAATACCACAGGGGTCCCATTTTGCTATTTTGTCACCGATCTGTACTCTGTCAGCAATGTGCAGTATGACTCACAGGGCGCCAGCGCTGACATCTCCTTAAAGTCTTCTCATGCCAACGCCTTCCCCTCCACCCCTGTGAGCCCCCTGCGCCTGCAGGTGACCTACCATAAGGATGAAATGCTGCAGTTTAAGGTAAACACAGTAAAGTGTCAGGTGATGACACAACCCTTTTTAGTACCTCTATTGCTTTTCCTGATACTGTGATTTGAACCCAGTCTTTATATTGAGTTATGTCCACCATCCATTTTTTATTGTTTAATTTTCAGACAGTGTCTCATTAAGTTACTCACTGCACAGGCCGGTTTTGAATTTATTATGTTCCACTTACCTTGGTCTCCCTGAATACTAGCATTATAGGCAAGTACAATGAGGCCTGGCACTTATTACCTCTTGCTATTGAAGGTTCATAATAATCTTGAAATAAGTGTACTCTTTTTGAGTTCCTTTTAACTTTAAAATTTTTTTTTCCTTGAAACAAAATGGAGTTAGTATTTATTACTTGAGGTTGAATCCAGGTAAAACAGCAAACTACGACTCCAGAGCAGGGCTCTAAGTTATTCCATTCACTGACCTGAGCTTGAACTTGTGATCATCCTGCCTCAGCTTCTCAGAGCACTGGAATTACAGGTCTATAGCAGCACACCTGATTAGTTTTCTCTTTCAAATTATGCACTGCAATAACTAGATGATAATTGTAATCAAATGAACAGTGAGAGCAGATGGGTAGTTCAGTGAGATCTGTCCTGACTTGCATTTGGAGAGCTGATCAAGGCTACTCTAAGAAAAATAGCTGGGAGAATGGAGAGGACATTTAGGAACCTTCCCTTCACATGGGGCAGGTGAGAGACTGAAGCTGTTTTCTGTGTATCCTCACCACATCTGCGGCAAGCAATGAGTATCTACAGATTTAAAATGAGTAACTTTATTGTATTCTGTACTCCTTACTCTTCTCCTTGATAATATATGGTGGCTGTCTTCTAAATATGCGTATTTTCCTAAGTCAAATAATTTCCTGTGTCTTTGAATTCCCTGTTTCCTTATCAAAGTGTTTTAATCTTGTCTTTGTGCTTGGTTATTACCTTCAAAACTTTTAATTCTCAGTCTATATTTCTCACTGAGACTCTATCTCCTAGAAACAGAGGGAAGCATTTCCTTCCTTACAATCTCACAGCTTGTCTACAGAGTTCTGCATTACCACACATCACTCCAGTATTGTGAATCTCTCTCCTTCTGTCACGTGAGCATGTGGATTTCCTAAAACAATAACCATCACTCCTTGAGGTCCTGTCCCTAGTGTCTGGTACCTACATTAAGGCATAGCAGATATTGTGCAAAATCAATGGATTGGCTTAGGTGTCATTTTCAGCAAGAACATCCAGGATTTTTTAAGTAAAATAGATAATGTTTTGGGAAGATTATATTTCTGAATAATTTTCAGATATTCACAAGACTCCTATTCTCACACAAGTGAAGAATATAAATAGCACAGTGAGGTTTAAAAATTATTTTACAGGTTAGTACCCATGTTAAGATGAGTGTTTTACTGAAGGGTTAAAAGTGAAGAATGACAGAATCAGATCAAATCCAGATGTCAGATTCTTACAGAATACAAGTATAGCATATCTAGATTATTGAGGTAGTCAGGTACAGCTAACAGTATAGCTATGCATTCTACTATCCTTGCCTAAAAGGTTTTTTCTTTGACAGTAATACTAGGGCAAATCTGTAGTGTTCACTATGATGCTTTGAGATATTTCTACTTTGTGAATTGATCAACTTAGGAGGCTAGGTTGTTTTATTGTTTCAAATATTTCTGATTTCTTTACAATCAGAATACTCAAATTCACACCTTCAAACAATTTCGAATTTTGTAGTAAAATATTGCGAGCTACAATCATGTCTACATACAGTGCATATTAACCATTTTTGTATCCTTAACTAAAACCCACTTACTCTGTCTAGATTTATGATCCCAACAACATTCGTTATGAAGTCCCAGTCGCTCTGAATATCCCCACGATTCCTTCCAGCACCCCGGAGAGCCGGCTGTATGATGTCCTCATCACCAGTAATCCATTTGGGGTAGTAATTCGCCGGAAGAGTACAGGCACTGTCATGTAAGTGTGATTTGGAATTTCTGGTTACTTTCTGGTCCCTTGTGAGCCATTTGTCCTTGGAGTTAATCTGAAGGAAACCAGATGCAGTCCATTTCCAGATCTGTGGAATAAAATTTTTCCTGTAGATCTGTTTAATCAGAAGTTTTTTTGCCCCATTAGAATATTGCTGAGACATTTACATGTTCCTGAAACATCATCCAGCTACTCAGCATTTATGGCATATCATTTCCATTTGACCTGTTTTTCTCGGTTGCATGTTCATGGACAGAAGTTTCTCTTCTCATGATAACCAAGACCATTTGCATTGCAATACAAAAGTGAAATTGGGGCACAAAATAGTTGTGTAGGATAATGAACAGGAAAATCTAGAGTTCTGTGAGCTTACTGCTTTTGACAGTGTGGCCAGAGTAGGGCTGTCCCAGAGGTGGTATTTGAGGTAGGGTCTGGATGTAGAGGAGGGCTCTGAAGTGCATGCTATGTTCTGGGGCAAGGGAAAAAATATTCTTTATAGAGGGAAAATAAATGCATAAGTCATGGGACAGGAGTAAAAATTGCTCTGAAGGGACTAGTGTAGTACATAAGGAGGGGTTAGGTATGAAGCTGGGATGTACATGAATTAAAATCAAGTATAGTCTTCAAGGCTTCACTTACATGGTCTTTGCATGAGGAGACTCTTTATTCCGTATACAGCCTTATAACACAACGTTAGGGTCTCAGAGAAATTAGGAAGTTTGTGTGAGAGAAATGGATCACATGCAGCAAGAGCAGAAGGCTGTGCTGGCACGGAGAGTGGCAAATGAGATGGTGGGAAGTCTTCACTTTGGTGTTGTGGGCAAGCAGTGAAAGGACACAGTGACAGAGAAAGCGGAGGAGGGAGGCTGGCTTCTATCTTTCAACAAGGGCATCAGTGATACTTTTATCCATGTAAACTGTGCTGTACTGGGAGAGGAGCAGGGTCTGTTGGCTGGAGACAATTAGCAGTTCTGCTGCCCTTGGAAAGTCAGCTGCTCAAACTCAGTAAGGAAAGCTGAGGTCCTTTATAACCTACCTGTGCACTTCTCAGCTGGGACTCGCAGGTCCTGGGCTTCACCTTCAATGACATGTTCCTCCGCATCTCCACCCGCCTGCCCTCCTCTTACATCTATGGCTTTGGTGAAACGGAGCACACGGCCTTTCGGAGAGACCTGAACTGGCACACGTGGGGCATGTTTTCCCGAACCCAGCCCCCAGGGGTGAGCATGCGTCTCTGCCTCTGTCTGCCTTCAGCGTGTGTGCTTTGTGCTTCGTCTTCCCTGGCTGGGTGGGGCTTGTCACACTGTGCTCTGAGACAAGTGGGCCCATACCTGGTCAGCTTTGTTTGCCTGTGTTTAACTTACTTCTCAGGAAAGGCAAGACCCATCTTAATAAACATGTTTGTTGAATTTCTTAATGTGTCACAGTGTGTGCTAACCCCGTTTCCCTTCTCCCTCTAATCAGTACAAGGTGAATTCCTATGGTGTCCACCCTTACTACATGGGACTTGAGGAGGACGGCAGTGCCCACAGTGTGCTGCTGCTGAATAGCAATGCCATGGGTAGGTGATGCCAGTGCTCCTTTATTTTTTAGAATGCTACTTACTCCTGAATAATGTTAGAATGTGTGTTATCTGGCTGCATTCAGAGGTCGAGATATTCAACTTGTGGCGGGTACTTTTCATCTTTAAATTTAATATTTTCTTTCATTTGAGTAAGCATACAATAGCAAGATAGTTGAACCCATGTTTTGGGAAAAGTCACATAAAAAAGTAAATAAAACCTCTAGTATTCTTGAGGGCCGCTGGTGAGTACAACTGTATGAGTTGAACCAGTTGCCAAGCTGTGGGTTTTTGTACTCACTCCCAGTGTAGGAAGTGTAAGTAAAATTTGTGTGATATGATAGAGAAAAGTAAGGGACATTGAAAGAAACGTGAAGTAAAAATGGTGAAATGTGAAGAAATTCACTTAGTAGCATTTTATTACTGCTAATCTCCTATGATTAACAATGTATACTAATGATTCAGAAAAGGCCGCCCATGATATAAGCTGGGTGAAGTGTCCAAAAAAATCTGAGGAACACTTCTGCAACTTTTTGTGAGTCCCTAAATTTTTGTGATATTAAAGGTGTAATACTTTTGAAGAAGGAGAATGATAAAACATGTACAAGATAATAAAGCCCACCAAGGTGGAAATGTCCAGGGATGGAGCCTGTGGGCTAGCACTTCCGCATTCCTAGCCGACTGTCTGCCTTTAACTCTGTAAAGATGAAGTGGGATGCAGGGACGCCAAGCATATGTCCTCATAATGGAGATTTCCACCTAGGTTGGCATTATTTCATGTCTTTTCAGATTTGACGTTCCTAGGAGAGACAGTATAGATGCCAGCTAGTTGATCCACATTGTTGGCATTTCCCATCATTTTATAGTTTGTTGACATCATTTTCCTATGTTTTTAGATGTGACGTTCCAGCCCATGCCTGCCCTGACATACCGCACCACAGGGGGAATTCTGGACTTTTATGTGTTCTTGGGCCCAACTCCAGAACTTGTCACTCAGCAGTACACTGAGGTAAGAGCAAATCCATTAGCTTCTCAAGTATGTGTTAAGCTCATTCTGTGTTTATATTTCACTTCTCAACTAGAGTTATTCTTCTCAGATAGAGGTTTTACCAGGTAAGAGTAAATGCATTTTCACAATCATTATACTCACAGCCTCTGTGATTATTGTAGTGAGTCATGGTAGCAATGTTAGTGATGAGACAAATAATAGTAAGCATGTGGTTATGGTGATAATGGTTTTGGTGATCCTTGGTTAAAGAATTGGTAATGTAGATAGTAGTTCTAGTGGTGTGGGTGGGAGTGTTTGTGGGTGTTATGATTTTGATGGTGATGATGTCATTGCTGGTGTTGGTGAAGGGGTGGTGACAGTGGTGGCAGGAATGGTGGTGGATTGTGTGTGTTTAGCTGTAGTTCTCTGGTGACTGTTGCGTCTGTGGTGCTTTTAGACTGGCTAGTATGGGTGACGAAGGGAAGGTAACAATGTGAATTGTGTGAACAACCACTCATATAACACTTCATGCTACTTTTACTTTAGTTGTTGTATATCAGAGCACTCTTGCCTCTTGCATATCAAGTTATGATATATCGGGGCTGGGGATTTAGCTCAGCGGCATAAGCACCTGCCTTGAAAGCAGGCAGTCGTGAGTTCGATCCCCGGTACCGATAAAAAGGAAAAAGACAAAAAAAAAAGAAGTTATGTCATATCTATGTATAAGGTAGTCCCTGGCGTTATCCTGTTTGACAGTTGTAGAAACAGAAGCATGAAACTATGCCTTGTAATGTCACACAGCTAGCACACATGGAGCCTGTCTGTCAATCCAGAAACATTTTCTCTGGGTTCTGTGCTCCTGGCCATAGACCAACTGTACTAATCAGAGTAAAACTGAATTTCCCCCAATTCCCAGCTTAGCAGTTTTCTCCAGGTATTTTGTAGCTCAGGAGCTCAACACCTCCTCAGTTTATGTCTGCATTTGTACTGTTGGTTTTTTATCTCAGAGCCCTGCAGAAATGTTTTTATTACTGCATGTGCTGCTTAAACCTGACTTCTCCCAGAAATATTAGTATTTTGTGTATTTTCCAGGTGATTGGTCGGCCTGTGATGGTGCCTTACTGGTCCCTGGGATTCCAGCTGTGTCGCTATGGATATGAGAATGACTCTGAGATTGCCAGCCTGTATGATGACATGGTGGCTGCTAAGATCCCCTATGTACGTAAAGGACATTGTGCATTAGCTCTGAGATATTGGGGCTAACTCGTTTAACTCTGTATCTGGATTCGTTGGATGTTTGTGAAGTTGTACAAAGACACAAAGTTGTTTTTCATATGATGTCCCAGGATGCCTAAGCCCAGCACTGTAAGGCAGGTGTCACTTGTGACCTCTTAACAAGAATGATCCAGGCTTTCTCTCTCATATCATGCTCCCTTCTTTCCCTTATGTGAGTTCAAGAAATTCTGTGAAAAAGTTCTTTGTTCCATAACAATAAAATGTGCCGCAGCAAATGAGCCCAGGTGGCTGATTATAGCTATGCATGAGGCTAAAGTAGAAAGATCAGCACTGTGAATCTAGCCTGGAAAACTTATCAGGATCCTATCTCAAAATACCATAATAAAATTGCTAGGAATATAGCCCAGGTTTAAAGCACTTGTCTGACTAGTGCAGGGTCCTCTGTTCAAACCTCAGTATTACAAACAAAAGAAAACAGGAACAAAACCGGACACATAAAAAGATAACAGAAAAACCTGAAACAGTAATTTTGTGTAATAAAAAAAATGACTCCAAATGCAATCAGACCTTTACAGCTGGAAGTATGTTCTGAATCCCAGTGCTTCATTTGATTTGTGGAGGACTCCTCAGTGCCTACGAGGGTTTGTAGTATCAGGAGGGTATAAAAAATAGGCTATGAACCATGGAGCCCTTTCATACTAAATAGGTCCGTTTACTCTTCTATTTTTTACAGTAGTTTCAGTAATGGGAAGTTTGTCATATGGTAAAAATTGGTGAGAGAGTTGTAAATGATTACTTTCCAAAGTAGATATTCCAATGTAATTACAAGCTTCTGTTTGTTTTGTAGAGTATAAGATCCATATTGTCTTATGACCTAAAAATTCTCATTATGTTTTCTGAAAAGGATTCAGTGTGATCCTGGGGTGATCTCCGAGGGTAACCAAAATACCTGTGTACAGTCAGAGTTTACAAAGCCACTGTCCAATTCAGAGTTTTTATTTATCATGGTAAAATGCTTCTGGATACACTGTCATTCTATGTGTTACTGATTTATATTATTTTATGATTTAACATTTGAAAAAATTCGATAAACTTCCTGCAGCACATACCAAACAAATGACAGAGTTAGGATTTGAAGGGCCCGCGAGAAACCTTTCAACTTCCCCATCAGTATGGATGGTTGCCGCTTTTCAAAGTTGGATTGCACCACCTGAGCCCCTGAGTTTCCCTGTGTCCTCCCACAGGACGTGCAGTACTCAGACATCGACTACATGGAGCGACAGCTGGACTTCACTCTCAGCCCCAAGTTTGCTGGGTTACCGGCTCTGATTGATCGCCTGAAGGCCGATGGGATGCGGGTCATCCTCATCTTGGTTAGTCCTGTGTGAATGTGACTAGTATGGGCAGTGGCTTGCTTCAATGGAGAATGCAATAGGCAAGAGAAATTGAAGCACAACAAGAATTTGATTTCCTAGGCTTGATGGATATATTAAAGTTCAGATGGAAGCGAGAGACACCTGTGTCAACAATTCCCCTGTCTCCTGCCCCTTTGTCGTTCCCTGGCTGTGGTTTCCCCACCTGACTTGTGCTTTGCTTTCAGGACCCAGCCATTTCTGGCAATGAGACGCAGCCCTACCCTGCCTTCACTCGGGGTGTGGAAGATGATGTCTTCATCAAGTACCCAAATGATGGAGGCATTGTCTGGGGAAAGGTATGACCTAAGGGATGAATGATCCACCAATCCCAGGCTAGGGCAGTGTCTTAGAGGTGGTAGAATGTTTGTAAAAATGTTTCTTGGTCCTTTGCATTTGGGATCTGAGGTCCATACTTTTCATTTTTCAATCAAGGTTAGTTGGTACAGGTGAGAATTTTGTAGAATCTACCTGACTCTATGTTGGAGACCACAAATTCACAGTGGCTAATTTTGCACAGCTCCCTATAGTTCAAATGTAGGTTTGGGATTAGGGTACCACCTTTGGAGACTTCTCATTAATTCTTTTTCATGGGCCATCATCTGCCACCCACTAATACTAAACTAAAATTCCTAAGATTAAAAAGAAAGCTGCAGGGCAAGATCCTTCTTAGCATAAGATCATCTCTACACTCTTGAGTCTTTCCAGGATTATTCATTTACTCCTGAAACTGCAGACCTTGAATCTTGTGCTAGTTATACTTTAGGCATCCATTAGAAAGTGGCTGCATTGGAGTATCTTGGTCCCTGCCCCTGCTGAGGCATGGGCCTCCCAGCACCCCACCATGCATTACTCAATTTTCTCCGTTTCTCATTTCATCCTCTTGCCATAGCCCTCATACAGGCAGTTGGGCATCTTGACCAGGTCTTCAGTCCCTCTAGATTAGACATACATGCTAATTGATGCATTAGTGACCGTTAAAGCATAGTTCCAGTTTTCTTGGGAAATACTGTATGGTGCATTGCTGTTGAATGTTTGTTTCTCCACAGGTTTGGCCTGATTTCCCTGATGTTGTTGTTGATCCCTCTCTAGACTGGGATAGTCAAGTAGAGGTAAGAGCCCCACTGTGCATCTTTGTGGAGGGTTTTTTGGGACCAAGGAGCCTTACCCAGGTTTCTGGAAATTCGCTGCCATGGATGTGGGTTCAGCAAAGGATAAACACTTAGGAATTATGTCCTAAGTGTACATAAGTCTGTGTGCAGATTTCTTCATATACAGTAAAGATCTGTTTCCTGTAGCAATGAAGGTACTGATAAGGTGTTGTTATCCTTGGGAAAGCGAGAGATCTTCAGATTTTTTTCATGGCTTTAGATGACTCTGGTAATTTCGCCCTCAAATCTGTCAGATTTCAAAGGCCCCTGAAATCCTGATTACACCTCACGTACAAGTGCTACTTCCCTCTGAATCAATGTGTTTATAGTTGTTTAGAAAACTCTCTTACTTACTGTGTCCAAGCTTTCTCTTTAGTTATTGAGTCTTTCTCTGCACATCATTTGTTCTTTTATTCTTCTCTACCTTGTCATGTATAAATCCCCACTGCCAGGTTCCTTGAATCTTGAGTCTTTCCACTTTTCTCTTTCTCTTTAATTTCCCATCTTTCTGGAAAACTCTTCTTTCCTAGGAACAGTTTCTTGTTTGCAGTGGATTCTGATAGCCCCTACAGCTGGACATAAATGCTTTCCAGCATCATCAATCATTTGTTACCTGAGTGAATTCATGTTGCTTGTTATTCAAGTAGCTTCAACTGTATTCTACCCTGTGATATGTACACTGTGAAGAGACACAGCTCTGTTACCCACTGTTCTGATAACATCTGTGAACAGGGTTCCCTTAGTTTTCAGAAATCATCTCCTTTTACCTTTTTTGACTCTTTCTGCAATGATTATTCTTTCCATCGGATTTTGTTTAGCCCATGGAACTGCCATAGAATTTTTTTAACTCAGTGAAGATATTTTTCTTCTACCTACAGTAGTCCTGCAAGGAGTAAGGGGTCCATTTTCTGGCCTATGTGGTCAACAAGGTGGTGGAAATTTTACTACTATGAAAGTCTGTAAGTTTAAGAATGAGTGGATGTTTATCAGTGTCGTGCCAAGAAAGCACAGCCGTGAAGTATTCTAATATTCCTCAAAGTCCAAGGCCAAGACCCCTTTCAAGAGATCTTAAAAAGATGGAGGATTCTGTCTGATGGATGGGGGTTATTTGAAAGATTTCCCATTATAAGGTAGTTCTCAGGGCACGTTATGAGTGTTTCATGGAAGAATCACGTTATACTGAACCTCCATATCTGGGGTGAAAGTTCTCAGGTGGGACAGCTCTCCTGGAGTAGTGAAAATAGGTATGACTAGGTCAGGGATGTATCTTTTTGTGGTGTTAGTTTCTGACTGCTTTTATCCTAGTTGGCAGTAGCGCTTTAGCTTTAAAACATGGTACTGGTACTGGTGAACAGGGTACCTGTCTTTGGACTGTATATGTCTTCATGTTTTGTCAGTAGAGGCAGTAGAAGAGACTACATCTGATTGTGGCTGGTTTCTCAAATTTACAGAGTGTTTCAGACTCAGCTCTTTCTTTTTGTGATATTTTACAAATATGTATCTGTCTATCTATCTATCTATCTATCTGCTATCTTCTGTTAAGAATTTGAGGGAAATTATCTACCCACCCTTTCATCAGTTCTGATGGTAAGAGAATAGTAACTGCCCCCACAGTGTAGAGGCATTTATTTATGCATTTAGCAACACACTATCTCATGGTATGCATTTGCCTTGGAACCCATTGCTTGTATTGTCTAGGGACTTGGTGATTTTCTTGGCTGACCCTTCTTTACATGGCTTGCCCCAGGTGGTCTTTATTCTTTGGCTGATCATTCTGCAACCCTGCACATGTGATCGATTTCCAGGTTCAACAAAACAAAGAGCTAAGAAACCCACATAATTCAAATTTATTTCTCTTTTTTTCTTTCTTTCTGTCCTTTTCTTCCTTCCTTATTCTTTCTTTCTTTTTATTTTCTCTCTCTTTCTTCTTTCCTTTCTTGCTTGTTTGCCTGCCATCCCTACCTCCTTCTTTTTTTCTTTCTTTCTTTCCTTCTTTTTTTAATGGGAATTTAACTCAGGAATTTGCACTTGCCTTGCAAGTACTGTGCCACTGACCTATATCCTAGCCCATAAAGCAAATTTCCGAGTTTAAAGTTTGGAGGTTTAATTCAGTAATCCTGGATTGGGGAACAGGAATTGCGTGCATGCTGTGGATTATGATGAGTAATCCTCGATTTAGTCATGCAGGTGTGTACATTCCTGGTTCAATATCAAAGTAACTGATCGCAAGAGCAATTATTGAAGGGTGGATTATTGACTGAATAGGGTTGAATTTACATACTGGAGAATGGGAGGGCTTTTTAAAATGACATGGATATTAATTTTCCCAATGGGACTTAGTGAGGTTAATAAATTATCATTGTCTTAATTTCATCTTATATCTTCTTGTTGATACAATTGTGACTCAGACACAGCTGATAGTGTCTGTTCATCCTACTTCTCCACCTGCTGCTGATCCCATTGTTCATCCAACTCCTCCATCTGCTTTAGATTTCCTGAGATGGAGCTCTCCTTAGGGAAAGTTATTTTCTCCTAGTTTTATGGATCCTTGTATTTTCTTCTACACTTATTTTATCTTTATTTTAAAGGGACTGAGATAAAACAATAAAAGGCTACCGAACAAAACAGTGAGAACAGTATTGTAAACAAGGCAGAAGGAAATACCCTAGTTGCTATATTGCATATTTTTATCATCTAAATAATTGTTTAGACTACTGATTTTAGGCTTGCAAAGTCAATAAAAAAATACAAACACTAAGTTGATATTCTTACTTCAGAAGTTCTCGTCTCAGTCTGTCTTCCTCTGAATCAGTTGGTTGCTTACCAAGGGGTAAGTTGAGGTGTGGGGCTCAGCTCTTCTTGTCACCTATCCTGATGCTGGCTGGCTCTTGGCAGGGGTTTGACTTACTGATTCACCTCCTGGTCTGCCTGGTTGCTTCTAGCTCATAGGAGGAAGCTCACAGGAGAAATTCTTGGTTTTCCTCCCATTCCATGAATCTAGCTTGTTCACAGAAGGATGTTGCTAATGTTCCATTTCTTAACAAGCTGCTTCCAGAGATTTTCATTAAAGTGGTACCTGGGTCATTGTAAGACAGATCTATACATACAGATCCATTTATATATTTTTTCTTTGTGTTTTATCTATATATATGGTTGGTACTTCATTTTGTCTACTGTAAATAGGGACTGGAATTCCCTTAGATAAAGTTGTCTTTCTGCTGCTCCTACTACCCTCATCCCTAATATTATTGAGCTATTTCACTCTTAGAAAATGGAATGATTGACATGGAAGAGATTGTTTATAGAGGTCTATCAACTACCATGATGTCCCATGACAGGGCACATGGTGTATACAGACATTTATAGAATTCTGCTAATGAAAGATATGTGAAACCACAATTAAACAGAATGTTTATTATTTATTATTATGTTTGGCTAAGCACACAAAAAAATAAAACATTGATCAAAACAATGTAACAAAAGATGGTTTTCTAGAGAGATACCTGTTTTAAATTTTTATTATTAGTACATTTTAAAAATCCATTACATTACATTAATTATGAGGAGTTTGTGCACAGCATAGCTTTATTATTTTTTAATCCTCACCTGCTTTCTCTTATCCTCCTCTTCTATTTGTTAATTCCCTTCACTTTATCAAAAGAGTGACACTTTAAATGCCATGTTTACAGTTAAAATAAAAGCATTACTTTTATTATTTGAGGGTGCAGGGAGAGTGGACATTAAAACTTTCTCCTTGCATTACACACAACTACACATTACTTTTTATATATGCATCTTTATTAAGAATGTATTTTGTTGTTTCATAATATGGATCCTTTACTGTGTCAAACGTGATACTAGCTAAAGGAGAGAAAGGAAGGAAAGTACAGCTGAACTTTTTATGTAATTCAGAAACAGTAGAAAATAAAAGTGCTGGAAAGGAAGAACAACATGTAGTATCCACATATAACTATATGTATGCTTAAGTGTGCGAGATAAATAAAGATAAATAACAAAAACTACTAAGTTTTTGTTAGTTCATCAAAAAAGAATCATTTGTGTTGTCATTGTCTTTCATTTTTATGCTTTGATTTTGTAACTTCAACAACTACTTCTAAGATAACAATATGTAATATATTAACTAGCGATGATTTCTAACTACTTTTTTTGAAATTCTGTATCATTTCTATGCTTTTTTTTCTGTTTTGACTTTTTGAAAAAAATAAACAAAACAAAAGAAGATTAAACGCATTATAGTCTAACATGATGGGAGCAAATTTTATCCCTTCCTCTGAATCCTAGTTGATGTTTTGTTGTAACCTGATACAGCACATCTCATGTCTACTCTTTGTCCATACTGTCTTTCTTCCTCTTGCCTTGTCTTTGAGAAGAGCTTAGGAAATATCTGGACAGAAGTTGAAGGCTAAGCATCCAGAGCAACAGAATATGAGTTGAGATTGCCGTTGCTGTTCATATAAACCTGTAGGGGTAATCAACTTCTGGATGTCTTCCAGACTCTAGGGTATATGATTTGTGCTCATTCTTCTGTATTGTACTCAAGAAACCTACGCATGCTCTGTTTGGCCTGTCACTATCTACCACCAGACAGTGTAGTCTTTGCATGGGTTACATTATAAGTAAGTGTTTGCTTGCTGTGTAATACATTCATTTAGCACAAATGAGTTATACTTTGTTTTTATAGCGATACCGAGCTTATGTGGCTTTCCCAGACTTTTTCCGTAATTCAACTGTCCTGTGGTGGAAGAGGGAGATTCAAGAGCTGTACAACAACACACAGAATCCAGAGAAGAGCTTGAAATTTGACGGCATGTGGATTGTAAGTGTGTGCATGTGTGTTCCTTACACATGGATAGGTGTGCATAGCTTTCTCTTCCTTAACTTGCAGATCTTTGACTCCTTCATGTGAATAATAGTGAAGAATGCTTTGCATATTTCAAAAACACTTAGTCACTCAGTATGGGGAAGCCATGATACCCTTCAAACCTTGTATCTTGCCCTAGGGTTCTGGTGTAAGACCTCATGGGCAATTACTAGGAAATCTTTGCAGTTTTCATTTTCCTAAGAGAGAATTTTTGTCACCCTTTGATCAGTCACCTTGTAGGGATTAATTGACTTTTCAAGTTGTTCTTCCCTGGATTTGATGAACTTCCTGCTGTAAGCATGTATAGGGATTCCAGTATTTTAAGTAATTTACTCACTACTCTCTTTTCTCTGGAAAGGACATGATTATCTTTTAAAATGAACTATGTCCACTTATTTTGTAGGACATGAATGAACCAGCAAGTTTTGTGAATGGAGCTGTCCCTTCAGGCTGCAGGAATGGTACTCTGAACCATCCTCCCTACATGCCATGTAAGGACCCTAAGCCTCTCTGCTGTGTATCCCTGGATAAAAGTAGGGTACCCCTAGAAGAGCCCAGCATCTAGGGGTTTATCCTGAGCCGTGAGGACATGCTCTAATTGATCTGATGGTTTTTGGAAATCAAGACAAAATCACTTTTAGGACTTTACTCCACTTATGGTATGCAGTGTACTGGGCCAGAGGGATTGATGTTGAACACCTTGATGGAGTCCTCATTGTAGTTTTGAATAAATAGTATTCTTTCTTGGAAAACTAGAGGAGGGACCCATGAGCAATCAAGTTATTGTTAAGTTTCACAGTTCAGTGTCTTATACAGAGAAGGGAATAAGGACTAAATGCAATAAGGATGTTATCTTAAGTGTTTTCCCCTCAGATTTTATGTGAAATTTGGGTAGAAAACACTGAAGCACTGCAATGTCTCTAAAGAAGTCTCACACATTGATTTCAAAGCTGTCCATGAATCTCTTTGGTGAATGGTTGAGGAGCTCAATGCTTTCTCCTTTCAAGAAGCACCTCTTCTTGCCACTCATCTATGAGACAATTAATTCATGATTTCTCTTAGTTTTTGGTGATAATATATCTTCAATGATTTCTTTTGCCACTAATTGATATAAAGTAACGGTATCCTCTTCTATTGTGGGTGATGGACTTTATTGACCTTGAAGTTGTGTTTGTATTTTAATCCCTAGAAATTATACTTTCTATAAATTTGGCAACTTTCCATAGATTATATAAAGTTCCACGTCTCAGCTTTTTATACTATAGGAAATCACTAATCTAATCTTCCTCCTAGAATTGTCAAAAATCACTTACAAGTTAAAATAGAGCGTATCATCCCTAATGATGTAGTGTTTAAGAACCCTGAGTTTTCTGGCAGGAAATTCTGCTTTCTGTAGTGAACTTGATGTTGAAAATTCTGTGGGAAACGATCATACCACAGCACCCACTGTTGTTACCTTGTCCCTGGGAAGCAGGAAATAATCTTCAGATTCAGAGTATCTTCCCTTAAAAAGGCTGCGGGTGGTTTTGACATTTCTAAATCTTTTCCCTTAGATTTGGAGGACAGAAATGGTGGCCTAAGCAGTAAGACCCTGTGCATGGAGGGTGAGCAGATCCTTCCAGATGGTTCCAGAGTGCGTCACTACGATGTGCACAGCCTGTATGGATGGTCTCAAACCAGGCCCACCTATGAGTGAGTTTCTCTCTGCCTTCTCTAGTTGATAAAATCTGTAGGATCAGCCAGGGATGGGTGTAGAATCTCTACAGTTCTTAATGATGTATCATGCGAAGATTTAGGGAGAGTTTAAGTACAAGCCATTTTAAATCTTAAACAAAAAGCCCTCAAGCATACAGCCAGGCCCTAATACTGTAGCTAATAGGACCGAAGTAAATATGTCACTTTTTCCGATCATAGAGAAACTAACAATCCAAATGGGTCACACACAGAGGGTTATCAGTGCTGTGACAGCATTGATTAGAAGTCTCAAAAGTAATAAGAATGATAAGTGCGTTTTTGTCATATCAAAATGGACATATCCCTATTTTTAACCTACTGTGTTTGAATAGTTCCTGAGTATTCTGTTTAATTAACATTTTCTAGTTTGTGAAGTCAATGGATAGTATTTATTACCTTCAGTGAATCTGTAAAAAAGAACTTGCCTCTTTCCTTCTCAAGGATAGAAAACCAAGTCTGGAGTTAATAAGTAACAGAGTTAGTGCTTGTTTACAATTTCAGGATAACCACGTGATTTTATCATATTGTGAACTCCTTGTAAACACTGAAAAAATAAACCAGTGATATTAATGGCCTCCATCAGTGTGCACCACCCTACCTGAGTTCCATGTTTTCCTGTTCTGATCAGGCGTGAGGCAAACAGTTCCTCACCATGCCCAAGGCACCGGGAACTTTACAAGGCAGAGGCCTGTAGCCTTTCTTTTCCTACTTTGGTGTCATTTCACCCCCTTGCTGTCCTCCAACCAGAGCCGTGCAGGAGGTGACAGGACAGCGAGGAATTGTCATCACCCGCTCCACATTCCCCTCTTCTGGCCGCTGGGCAGGACACTGGCTGGGAGACAATATGGCTGCATGGGACCAGCTGAAGAAATCGATCATTGGTAAGTGGGCCTGTTGGCAGGGCTGTGGTGGCAGGGAGGGGTGAGGGAGGAGGAGCAGGAGGAGCAGGCAGGTCCTGATGCTGCCCTGACACACTTGTGGTTCCCATTGCAGGCATGATGGAGTTCAGCCTCTTTGGCATGTCCTATGTAAGTGGCCTTCAGATCCTTCCTGATTGCTTCCAAGGTAGTGCCAGTATTCAGAAATCACCACCGACCTGGTTTTATTTCCTCTTGTTTCAGACCGGGGCAGACATCTGTGGGTTCTTTCAAGATGCCGAATATGAGATGTGTGCTCGCTGGATGCAGCTGGGAGCCTTTTACCCCTTCTCCAGGAACCACAACTATATTGGCACCAGGGTAGGGCCTCAGTTCCTGCTGCCCATTATTTTACTGGCTAATTTATGCCAATGGTTTTCTTTGGGAAATCTTCAAAGTTGTTAAAACCTCCTCTTAATGAACCATATTTTTAGTACTATTTAGGTGATTTTTTTATTTGTTTCTTTGTTTTTGTTTAAAAAGATTCTTCCTAATGTTTGCCAAAAAAAATATCGGGGGGCTGGGGATTTAGCTCAGCGGCATAAGCGCCTGCCTTGCAAGCAGGCAGTCGTGAGTTCGATCCCTGGTACCGATAAAAACGAAAAAGACAAAAAAAAAAAAAAAAAAAAAAAAAAATATCGGAGGGGTATATTTTGTTAGCTTTTTCTGGAGAGCTTCAGTGATCCATTCCACTGTATGAAGTATATTGCTGAATTCTTACCTGTTGCTATCTTTTTTAGTTGTGTGTAAGCGATGTGGAAAAGCATTTAGTGACCCTCTGAACTTTCAAAGTTCCCCTTGCGTGAACTCTGAACATTTCTTTTCTTCCTTTAGAGACAAGACCCTGTGTCCTGGGATGCTGCCTTTGTGACTCTTTCAAAAAGTGTGTTGGAGACCAGATACACCCTGTTGCCCTACCTCTACACCTTGATGCACAAGGCACACACAGAGGGCGTAACTGTCGTGAGGCCTCTCCTGCACGAGTGAGTGTCCTGCTGGGATCCTGCGCACTAAGGCAGAATGCATTTCTTTTTGTAGAGTGGTAGTGCATGCAGAGAATTTCTCCAAGCAGAAGATAGGATTTCTCTTTTATCATAAGGTCATAAGACAGAGATGATAATTGTACTTTTAATAGTCCCTGAAGAAAAGGTATTTATCAGCTGACAAAATTTCTGAAAGGATCCTACACAATACAGCATAATTGTATGTAATTTGTCAATGCAGAGACAGGTCTCCATTTCTTTTTTTTACTGTTGTTGTTACATGAGCCTGGGCCTAAATGAGTTTAGTTAACCAAAGAAGATACTTAGTGGGAGACAAAAGCGATGAGGGCCAACCTGGGATTTAGCATGTGCCATGGTGAGGAAATATCTTTCTGCCTTCAGAGGAGCCTGACCTGTGGAGAGTGGGGCTCCATATTTTCAGTGACACTCAGAAGTGAGGATGGCAGTGAATGCAGCTGAATTCTTCACACAGAGTTGAAGCTGAGGCCTTTCCTCAGACCCTGGGATCTGATTGTGACCAGTTTGTCTTCCTTCTAGGTTTGTGTCAGACCGTGTGACCTGGGATGTGGATAGTCAGTTCCTGCTGGGCCCGGCCTTGCTGGTCAGCCCTGTCCTGGAGCCTGTGAGTGTGGAGGGCCATGCTGGTGGGTGGAGGATCTGAGCTGTGAGGTTGGATGACTAGGGAAGGAGAAGCCAGCAGGGGTACGAAGTAGCCTGAGTCATGGCTTTTTCTTCTACCTTGGTCTCTTTTTCTCCTGAGTCGAAGTGTATGGCTTCAGTGTTGTGGTATCAGCCTCTATTTCTTTAATGTCTGCCTGAAAAACTTGGTTAGGACAATCAGAAAGACAAACAAACTCCTCAAAAAACTAACAACAAGGATAACAGAAACAAAACTGTAAAGCATGCTGCCTACTGCTCACACCTTCTTTGTGCTTAATTTAAGGATGCCAGAAGTGTCAATGCTTATTTCCCTGGAGCCCGCTGGTATGATTACTACACAGTAAGTTGTCTTCATCTTTCTGTAAGTGAGGGAAATATATAAACAAGTGAGCTAGATGGATCCTCCTCATGGCACATACTGGTCCTTCATGCACTTGCTGTGTAGTCTTGCATAAATCACTTTAAAGATTGTAAACTGGATTTTGTTTCTGGTATATGGATTGTGACCACCCATTCATATAATGGTTGTAAAATAAGCTTAAAGCTTCACTGTGTTGTCCTGAGTGTTCAGTACATGAGAATCTATACCTTTTCTTGTAACGTGACTGTTCACAATATTATGTAACAATAGACACTAGAATAGTATTAAATTTGTGGTATAAGGTCAAGTTTTTATTTCTTCTTCTGTTATAATTTCCTAAGTACACAGATGGTTTCCTCTCTTTTTGTAATTACCTCTTGTATAACCTAGATTTTTAAAGAAAAGTTGTCCTGTGTAATGACCTAATCAGGCATTCATGAAGAAGCACAGGGAAAGCACTCAGATATATGGGTCCTAAAACTTGGAATTCTAAGCAGTGTGCATGTACTTACCCATGAGGAGCCCACAGAAGCTATATGGTATACGTTCTGGTCTAGTGTGAGCTCCACAGGTCACTTGGGTAGCAGGGTCGTTGGATGTAGCTTCATGAAGGTCTCTGGTGGCACTCAGATGAGTCAAAGTATGATTCTTGTGGAAGAAAGAAAGTCGATGTTCTTACCCTATAACCTGTCCTTATCATCTAACCTGTCCTCCTTTTCTGAATTTCTGAGTAGCAAATAGCAGAGGAGTTCAAATTCAGCAGCAATACAAGAACAGAGTGTCTGCAGTCCCAGTGACCCAAGCAATTTCAGTGTGATTTGATAAATACTATGCAGAAACAATAGAAGTGGGCTTCTGTCCTTCTCTGTCCAGTGGAACCCGGTAGCATTAATCACTAATTCTTTAGGCTAAGTCTCTCGTTAGGCTGATAATAGGTTATGATTGCCATGTGCTTTCCATTCATGGATTTCTGTGGGAAGGGAAACCTACTTTCTTTAAATGAGTTTAGCCTTGGTCCTGAGAAGATTTGATAGTCATGCTGGAGTAAAAGTTCATTGATTGTTGCTGGCATCTAGTATATAAACACAGAAGATGCTGTTAACCATCAAAAATCACGGAAAGTTCTCAAAGAAAAAATTCTTCAATATTTCATTAGTCTTCACAGAGAGAAACAGTACTATATTAGTGAAAATGTACAAGGATAGTCTCTTAAGATTTGTGGTATATGATTCAGAATAGAGAGCACTTATCATCTATGAGACAAAATAAAGTTGAAAAAACAAAAGGAAATGCATTAAGTTAACCATAACGTTGTATAAAATCAACTCTCACTTTTCTATGGGGCTAGAGTCAGAGATCTTAGATAGGTGGAATAGGAGTAGGGCAGTGAATGTTGATGGATATTCAGCACATGTTGGTGAAGGGAATGTCTAGAAATTCCATAATGGAGAATTTTTTAGTTGCCAATAAAATTTAATGAAGAGATTATCCAGCCTTTTCTAGCAGTCTGATTTGTTCTAAGAACATATGCAAAATGCATGATTCCCTCACAAGGCATTACAGTATTAAAGGCAAAAGTCCAGCAGCAGCTGCAGAGTGCATGCAGAACATGTCCTAACAGGTATGTGCTGAGTGATGCTGAACTGACAGTTGAGACAGGTAGACAAGACATCTGCCAAATGCACTGCTGAGAGTGACTGTGTCCTCTCTCTCATCTTCTTTTCTTCTGCCCACAGGGCATGGACATTAATGCAAGGGGACAGTGGAAAGACTTGGAAGCCCCTCTGGACCACATTAATCTTCATGTGCGTGGGGGCAACATCCTTCCCTTGCAGGAGCCTGCGCTGAACACACACTTAAGGTGAATGATGGACCAGCGATCTGCTTTGCATGCTGGTTTGCTCAGTAGTTCACAACGAATGCTGCCAATCTGTTAAATTTTCTAAAAATTTAATTTTTGTCTTTTTAAAATTTTGTTTTCACCTTTTTCAAAGCTGTTTTATTTTCCTATAGCTATATGTTGAAAGAGATTGCTAAATACCATGCAAGCCCTGTGCTGTGCTGTGCTGTGTGTGTGTGTGTGTGTGTGTGTGTGTGTGTGTGTGTGTGTGTTCTTGCTGGGGGAGGATGTCATCAAATTCTTGCCTGCATATTTCTTGGTCCCTTTGAAGAAACTATTAAACTAGATATGCCCCCAGGTCAGTCTTTTGAGACTTTCATCCTCATCTGAAATCCACTGAATTTTACAAAAATACATTGACACCTTGGGTAGTCAGTCTTCTTTTTTTCCCCAGAACTGTTGCCATTTTAGCACTATAATGCTCATATCTTGAGAAAGCTCCCACTTCTGGGTACACAGAGTCAGCTGGTCTCTTCTTGTCTCTCCTTGATCAGACTGTGCCTCCATAGTTCTTTTCCTTTGCCTCTTTTATTCTCATTTCTAGAGGGTCAAGATCCACTGTCCATCTTTCCAGAATCTCACATCACATTCTGTTTTTCACACTGATATATTTCTTTTTGTGATTCAAAATGGGGTTCATAAATTTTCCTCCTTTTTCAAGCCTCCATCTTCCTCATGTTGCTGATGTTTTATTTGTACTTCTTTAGATACAGAATTTTAGACTCAATCTATACTAAAGATTTGCACATTTAAATATTTGTAATTGAAACTATATTTTATATTTCATATTGAAAGTTCTTGGGAATTGAGTTATCTTTTTTATTTGAACTTCCTTTATTACCTTAAGTTCTCGATGTATAGGCTTTTTATGTACTTATGCTCAAATCCAAAGCCAGTTGGCTTCTTTTTCTCTAGTTGTTCAATTTAGATTGCTTTTCCCACTGAAATAAAAATTATTGTTGCAAACAAAAATCTTCACTATTATTCTCCTTCCTGGAATGTGAACTACTTAATTCCTAGGGTATGCAAGGTCAACCAAATTAAGTTCCAAGTTGACCTCAGCAACTGTATGTCCTTAAATACCTTAATCTGGATATTGACCAGTCATATCAAGACATGCTGGTCTCCAACCAGCAACCAACCAGTGATTTTGCTGTGGCTGTATCTCTGCATTTATTACCCTTTCCAACAGGCCTAGTGCCCTCAGAATTCTGAAAAGCCCTTTACAACTGTTGGACAACTGAGCTTTATGCATACTTAATGATGCAAGTGAAGCTCAGATTTCTTCAGCATTAAACATTCTAAAATTCTTCCAGCAGAGGGGGTACTGCCACTTGAAATGTTCTGGTCGTTTAAAAATATGTTTTATTCCTTAATGAAGTTCTATATGGTAAGTTTCTGTGTACTTTTTTGTGACCTCATCTAGAAGATTTAGTTGGAGATACTTAAATCCAGTAGAAAAAGGTTTATTCTTATGCTCAAGTACAAGAGAGACCTCTTAAAATAGCTGGGACAGAAGTTCCTAGAGCTTCCTAGGAACAGGAGTTCCTAGAGAGAAGTGTTGGAGTCCCTTTTTGCTCCCCTCTTTCAGCAATAGGTGCTGTTATCACATGCAATGGAGGGAAGAGAGCAGTGCCTGTGAGCTGGCTTTTCATACTTCTTCTGTGTGGCAGGTGTCATTATCACTTTTAGTCTCCACCTAAGGAGTTGTATTTTGCTATGATAATAAAGCAAGAGTGTCTTCAGGTCCAGTGTCTTTGTGTCCCCATGCTCTTCCTTAGGAAGAATTCCAAGCTCACCTTGTTTGTTTGTTTGTTTTGTTTTGTTTTAGAAGTGGGAACAAGCTTTACAGTGTCACTTTTCTCTCCTCAGGAAACTGTAGGTTACCACAAATGCATTCTAACAGTGTGTGTCAGACTACTTCTCCTATCAGACCTTATATGTTAAAACTCTCTGCTCCTGTGTCATTTCAGTGATGGTTATTTCATGCTCTGTTTCAAAAATTTTACTCTGTGAAGTTTCTATGAGAATGTAAATCTACAGTTGATTATTTTGACTGAATTTCTTGATGCCTTCTTTGTATGTTTAGTGATACTTTGCTTTTCAAATGTAATAAGCATAAGGACCGCAGGGTGGGTCTCCTTCCTGCAGAGGTGATTTGCCTTCTCATTGGTTGCAAGCCAGTGAAACTGCTGCCAACTTGTTATCTTATGAGCTTGCTCACTGAGCCTGGCTTCACATGGGAATTGGAGATTCCGGTTCTCTATGTTGGACTATCAAGTGTAGTGGCAGTTTGAGGCTTCTGAGGAATTTGTCCATGGGAAATTCCAGGTTTTGCTTACTGTGCTCCCTTGTAGTTGGAAACCAATGTTTTGCTTTCCTGTTGGCTCTGTGAACTGTTGGATATATTCTTCATTTACTGGAAAGTCCAAAACAATTATTTTTAAAAGAGATGAGTTGCAATTTTTCTGTGACCAAATAACATCTAAGTGGATGTACTCTCCAGAATGTCTAGTTCTGCCTATTTCTAGAGAAATTCAAGATTCTTATAAAATCTTAAGTTTTATGTCACTTTTTATTTTCTGTTTTCTGCTTTGATTATATGGTAAATATGTCTAATCTTTCTTAAAATAATGGGGGTTAAAGAAGTTAGGAGTTGCAATTTATTCACCTTTGTAACTTCTGAACTTTTTAGCAATGACAGATCAAAATACTTAATGTGAATGAGAGAAGGTGATTTTATTGATAACTTAACATGACATGCAGAAAGAAGTTTAAACTTGGAAGACTCCAATGGAAACTTGAATGTGGGAGAGGAACAGGAGGAGCAGGAGCTGGGAGGGAGTCCAGAGGAGTGGCCAAATGAGCAGATCCCAAAGGAAACTGCTTCTCCCACCTCTCCCCCTTTCCTTACATCCATCTCATCATCTTTCTGAGTAGTGTTTTATGTTTCCCATTTTAAACTATGAAGCAAATAATTAGAATGTTGTTTTTGTCTTAAATCAGATTAATGATGTGTACCGAAGTAAGGAAATTGCTATTGTATACACAGGATTTACTGAAGTTTTGCTTTCTGAGTAAACATGGTTCTCAGGCAGGAAAAGTGGCTCTCCCAGAAGCAGCTGGCACTTGTACTGTGGGGAGCATTGCTAATATGATGTGTCTACACCATTATTGTCTAGTATTTCTTTCCCATCCAATTGTCTGTATTGTAAATAATAGTTGTAGCTATTAGTTTTAATGTAGCAATTGCAGTAATTTTTGTGCATAAGTTATTGGCTTGTACATAGTTGTTTATTGCAATGTTTGGGAATTTTTCTCCTCTGTGATAACACTAAAAAAGAAGTTCATGCCAACTTTCTCTTAGTGCCTGAAGGAAAGTAGAATACCATGATGCTAGTGACCTTTTCTATTTGAAATTGATGGAGACATGGGGAAAGTTCTTGGAGATCTAAGTCTTTGTCTCTTACATGTTTCTCATTTCTGACAGTCGTAAGAATCCTCTTGGTCTCCTTGTTGCTCTGGATGAGAACAAAGAAGCAAGAGGGGAGCTCTTCTGGGATGATGGCGAATCAAAGGGTGAGTTCAGTTTCAAGAACACTGCTGTTCTCAAACGTTAATGTGTGGCTTATTGCACTTGTTCTTACTAGCCACTGGGGTGTGGGAAAAAATCTCCATATTCCTGGCAATAAAAGTCAGCTGAGTGAAGAGCCTTCCTTTGGTTTCTGTATTTAGGGGTGGTAATAGATGCACTACAAATGTAAGGAAAACAGTTTTCTATCTCTCAAATTTCTCCTATAGGCCACTGGTTAATAATTGACCTGTATTTATTATTAGTGGGCACCTGAAAGACATATTCAAGACTGTTCTGTAGTTTCCCTAAAAATACTTATAAACCGATGTTGAAGTAGAAAGAAGATGATCTCAGTTAGGCAGTAAAAATATAGTTTACCAGAGCATATACATCTAGGCTTGATTTGTGCACATTTTTCTGGACCCAGTACACTAGTGATTCTTGTGGCTTTATCTTAGGAAATAGATCCCCATGAGGTACATGCCTTGCAATCACTTGTAAGGGAATATTTTCAAGAGTATAGTGAAGAAGAAGGAAAAAGTGTTTTCAGCTTGGAGACTGTGTTCATAGTTTTGTTATCCTCAAAATTTTACTTTCAAGAACTTATTTATTTTCTATTAAAAATGTGCAATCAACAAAGTTTGATCATAATTAAAGGTGCAACATTTACATATATCATGTGTAATGATTACCACAATCTAATTAGTTAATACATTCTCCAACACTTGTGCTATACATTAATTTCCAAAATTTGTACTTCATGTAATTGAAATTTGTAGGCATATCTCCTAACTTTTTTCCAGTCTTCTGTCTGTTGCATACACGATTCTATCATATGTCTGTATTAAACTTTTTTTAGAGTACACACACAACTACAATCATATAGTGTTCAACTGTTCTTGCCTTATTTCACTGAGTATAATGTCTTCCATCTTCATCCACATTGCCACAAATGACAGGCTTTGCTTATTTTTATGGTGGAATAATACTCTGTTCTGTGTGTATACCACAATTTCTCTATTTATGTGCTGATATACACTTTGGTTGTTTCCACATATTAGTTTCTATAAAAAGTGGATTGAAAATTTAAATGTAAAGGTGGAAACTATAAAACTCTTAATATACAGGAGGAAATTTTCTTTGACATTGGTCTTGTCAATGCTTTCTTGTTTATTACATGTATAGCAGGGGGAAAGGAGCAAGAAACAAAAGAAATTATGCTACATCAAAATTCCAACCTTCGCAACAGGAAAAGAAACCATCAAAATGAAAGAGCACCTACAGCACTAGAAAAAGTGTGTCTAAACCACATATCTGATAAAATGGTTAATATTAACCATATAAAAATGTTGCAAACACTTAAACCTCAGTTTCAGGAGCACAAAAACTGTACTTAAAAATGGGAAAAGATTTAATGATATTTTCCAAAGAAGACTTACAGCTGTATGACAGTTGTATGAAAATTTGCAGATCATCACTAAACAGCTGTGAAATACTGGTCTAAAACTGCAATGAGATATAACCTCAGGATTGTTACGATGATTAGTATGAAAAAGTAGATATTGCAATGTTGCCAAGCATATAGTACTCTGTGAATCACTTGGTAAAATTATAAATTGGTTCAGTCATTATGTAAAACAATGTAAAAGTTCTTTAAATATTAAAAATAGAACTTTATAATCCAGCAATCATTTTCTAGTGTATATCCAAGAGGTCAAGTCAGTGTATCAGAGAGATATGTACACTCTCATGTTCATTGCAGCATTACCCATAATAGCCAAGGTCTAGAAACAGTCTGTGTTTCCACTTACTGATGAGTGAGTAAAGAAGTTGTGGTAGATGTACAATAGAGTGTTATTCAGTTATTAAAATGAAGGAACTCCTGCCATCTGTGAAGTTTCAGTTTTAAGGAGAGGCAGGTGAGGTTTGCGCTGTGGTGAGCAGGGAATCTGAGTTGCCTTTTTTCTGCTTCCAGATACTGTGACCAATAATGTTTATCTTTTATGTGAGCTTTCTGCCACCCAAGTGAGTACAGCATTTCTATGAATCTTAAGTGTGGGCTTTCATCTGACAATTAGCACATATATGTTTGTGTAGATATGTGATAATATTTTTAATTCACTGGCATTAATGACTACAGGTAAATGCATTTGTATTTATGATTTAACTCCAAGTAGTTGTATTGTGTGTTTAATCAGAAGAGCCACTCATATTGGCAGATCAAAGCAGCTAGATTTTTCAAATGTCTGTCTGCATGGTGCTGGCTTTTTTCTTAAACATAATTTAATTCAAATAAGATTATGCTTCTTGGGTGTGCATCAGTAGCATAATCTGAAGCATTCAGAAGAAGGGGAAAGTATCTGGTCCTGGGTGTAGCATTTGTATGACTGCACATGAGAATGTGTGTCTTACAGGTAAACCTTTGTGCTTCTTTGTGCTTAATTGTTTTGCAGAACTGCTTGGAGGTGAAGATTTCTCAGTCGACCTACAAGGACCCAAATAATTTAGCATTTCAGGAGATTAAAATATTTGGGACAGAGGAACCTGCCAATGTTATAGTGAAACACAATGGTGTCCTGACTCAGGCTTCTCCTAAAGTTGCTTATGATTCTAATCTGAAGGTAAAAGTCCATTATGTTGACGTGATTATTTTAGTATCCTTCACAGCATCATGAAACAGTCTGTGTTTCCACTTACTGATGCCATGATTGCATGGCTTCCTACATGCCAAGATTGTATGGTTTCCTAGTGGATCAGAGAGCATTATCATGCTGAGTAGAGAGGTCAGAGTGTTGGGACAGAAAATGAGAATTAGACAGCAGACCTAGAGTGAAATGGGAAGCTACTGAGAAATGATCTTTCCATCGTCACTGTCTTTTCTGCGCTTTTCAGTGTTTTTCTCTTTTCACTGACTTCATCTTCAGAGAAATAGATAAAGCACGCAAGAAAATCAATGAGGAGACTAGGAGACAGGATCAGAGGAAAAGGGATCTGGAAACTTACAACTGATGCTAAAATAAATTTGGGCTGTAGGAAATTCCTTGAATTAAAATTTTGAAGGGCTCGTATTTTTTGCCTGTATTTTGACACTTACTGCAACACACATTCTGATTAAATATGCTGACAAAGAATATATGATCCTATTAATAAATTAATATTTTATTAGATGGTGATAAACTTTAATCAATTTTAATGAGATCTGACTGTCTTGAATAGGTTATAATCAGTTCCTTTAATTTCTTAGTAGTATAAGAAATCTTTTTTTTTTTTCGTTTTTTTTAATTTTATTTAAGAGGAAAAAGAGAAAAACACAAAACAAAACAAAGCGGTGTAAGGGTACACGTAATACAGAACTACAAAAAAAAAACATAACAGTAAGAAATCACCTGTTAATAGATTACATATTATCATCTTGAAAATAGTTGCTCAAATCACAGTATCAAAGAATACAAAGTGGACATTCAAACAGGGAGACTGCAAACAGCTGTGTTCAATGATCCAAAAAACATTGATATAGTCAGCTATTTAACACCCCTAAACACACTTGCTGTTATATCCGTTAGAGCTCTTTTTTTTTCCCTCTCTTTTTTACAACAAAATTTACACATTTTGGATTTTATTACTCCTTAGTTCTTATTGCTTTTTTGGGGGGGGAGAGAATACAGTCAAATATGGCAAAACAAAGCTGTCAGTCAAAACCAAGGATAGACATAGCACATGGTGTAGAACAGAGTACAAGGTTATCAACAATGGTTATCAACGTTGTCCCTTGTTTCCTTAAAAAGAATTGTCTATCTCATTAGATATCATAAAGTTGGACAAAACAGTAGAGAACAAGACCAATAAAACTTAGACATTGTAAACATTACAGGACTTCCAAAGAAGACAATAGTCAAACCAGAATGGGCACTACAAAGTGTTTTTCACCTTGCACTTCAGGGGAATCAGCTTACTCTGGCTAGCATCTGTACTGACTGGCTCCCTATAATGTCTGTAGTGCCCTTCAATGGAGTCACCACAACAAAGAAGGGAGCCCTCATAGTGATGATATAGGGGAATGAAACTCCTAGCCTACTATATGTCTGATATGTAATTGTGTTCTTTTTTTTTTTTTTATTTAAGAGGAAAAAGAGAAAAACACAAAACAAACCAAAGCGGCGTAAGGGTACACGCAATACAGAACTACAAAACAAAACAAAACAAAACAAAAATTAGGATATATAAATAGTAACTCTTTTTGATTTCCTATTAACTTGTTTTGAAGTCCTGTAGTACTCCCACGATCTTGTTTTGACTGATTAGACTCTGTTCAATTCTATATGATAGTATCAAGTTTGAAGACATAGGCAACTACTTTGAAGACAATAAGATTCACTAAGATACCCATTCTGGTTTGACTATTGTCTTCTTTGGAAGTCCTGTAATGTTTACAATGCCTAAGTTTTATTGGTCTTGTTCTCTACTGTTTTGTCCAACTTTATAATATCTAATGAGATAGACAATTCTTTTTAAGGAAACAAGGGACAACGTTGATAACCATTGTTGATAAACTTGTACTCTGTTCTACACCATGTGCTATGTCTATCCTTGGTATTGACTGACAGCTTTGTTTTGCCATATTTGACTGTATTCTTCCCCCCCCCCAAAGAAAGTAATAAGCACTAAGGAGTAATAAAATCCAAGATGTGTAAATTTTGTTGTAAAAAAAAAGAGGGAAAAAAAAAAAGAAAAAGAGCTCTAACGGATATAACAGCAAGTGTGTTTGGGGGTGTTAAATAGCTGACTTTATCAATGTTTTTGGAACATTGAACACAGCTGTTTGCAGTTTCCCTGTTTGAATGTCCACCTTGTGTTCTTCGATACTGTGATTTGAGGAACTATTTTCAAGAAGATAGTGTGTAATCTACTAGCAGAAATCTTTACTTCAAGTAATCCTGATCAAAAGTACTATAGGGATTTCTGTGACAGGAACTTTTGTTTGTTAGAGACTTTAGAAATTTCTGGAAAGTAAGGCAATTTATGCTTCTACTATGATGATAGGTTGATGACATTGGATACTTTTCTTGAGAATACATATTGATGATGCATTCATTATAATGCTAGAAATAAATCATTTATGATTATATATGAATATATATATATATATATATATATATATGAACAGGCCATTTAAAAAATGCATATGTGTAAACAAGCTCCATCCTTGTTAGCCACATAAATTACTTAATATAAGACCAAAGGAGCTCTTTCATTGTTTGAATGTGGGTTTGGAGGAGACATAATCTACACACATAAAAATGATAGAAAGGTGGGGAAACCAGACTAACATTTAGGAGATATTAGCTTACATATTATTTGATGTTAAAGATTAATGGAATATTTGAAGCAAGTTTCTTGAAGAAGGCAAGCCTAGAGCTGGGCCTTGAAAGAACATATATCATATTGAAGTTTATCAGCTGTGAGAGAGAACATCACAAATGTACCAAATTAGGATTTTTTTCTTTCCTTTTTAGATGTATAGAAGGTAGATAGATGCTGGTATTGATTCACAGACTAAAGGTGATCAGAACTGAGGTCTCTTTGTCTCTTTTGATTAGAAGTGGCTGGATACTTCACTTGTCCATGCTTCCATTATAGGACAAATTTTCGAAAAAATGAAAGCAGATGGAAGAGATAAACTTGCAGAGGCAGGCCTTTATATAAAGGAATAAACATTGTACTAGCAACTATCAACTTGAATTTACTTTTTCATGGTCATACCTATTCTACATTGATTAAAAATTTAGCTATTGATTATAAAGTTTGGAATGTTTTACATGGAGGAGGCAAAGAACAGTGTGATCTTGAAATGGGCTCTATTTTTCCTAGAAATGGGCTGGTTTTTTTTTGTTTTGTTTTTGCTTTTGTACCAGGGATTGAACTCATGATCACATTCTTTCCAGGCAGGAGTTGTGCTGCTGAGCTATATTCTCAGCCCTATAAATGGGTATTTGGCAAAGCATTCTAAGTTGAAATATCAGAATAAGCCAGTCTAAGGACTTAAAACAGGCTTGCATCATCAGTCTGTGAATCTTTTATAACAATCTTAGCTAGATTTTGGAAGAAGATTTGTTTTCCCAGGAGGGAATTTGTGATTAGATTTTGGAGGATCTGAGGTGCCAGTATGAGAAAGGTGCACTTGATTTAATTCTTGAAATGTCTCTTAATGACGCTTGATACTAGGTTTGTTGGAGATGGGACTGGAGGTACAGGGAAGGGCAAGATGATTTAGCTTGGGAAAAGACTGGCAGAAGGCTAATCCTTCAATCCTTCTTGCTCCAGAGAAAAGACAATATTAGACGAGGAAAATGCTATTTAAGTGTGAGTGCAATGTAAGACTCGTATACAGAAAAATGAACTTTCAATCGATGATTGGGATTCAGAAAGGATTTAAAATTTTTAGTATCTAGGCTTGAGAAATGAAGATCCTGGGATGTTAGAAAAGTAAGGAAATGTTATGATCTATAGAAATTAATACTTTAGAAGTTGATAAAAAATAACACAAATATTTTTGAAAGAAATTGTGTAAGTTCCCATAGGAAAGTGGGATTGAGACTCCAGGTCATATAACTCTTATACACTGTTCCTTCTATCACTGCAGACCAGTGAGGAACCCTAGTTAGGGAGTAAAACGATTTGGGGGAGCAGAAGAGAGACTTTCTTCAGAAATAATGGAGAAGAAGAGGAGTTAGGGGAGAAAATAAAAATGGTTATCACAATAGATTTTATTTAATCAAAAGCTTTTCATATTATAATGTCAAGATTTAAGGGTAGTGGCATTTTCCCTGTTGCCATGAAATAGTTCCCTATCATGTATAAACTTTCTTCATAGGAACTGCAGTAATATATTACTTGGATTGAGACTCTTCTGATATCTACTTGTTTGCCTAAAGTACTTCAGATTTGGCTAGATTTTTTCCTGAGCATTAATTTCCCTTTGACTTCTCTATCCTTGCAGGTTGCCATTATTTCAGAAATTAATCTTATCCTAGGAGAGGCATACACAGTGGAGTGGAACATAACCATAAAGGATGCAGAAAAAATAGACTGTTATCCTGATGAGCATGGCTCTTCTGAAACAAACTGCATTGCCCGTGGCTGTGTCTGGGAGGTAAGCTTGCTGATGGCGTTTGTGCTTCCTGAAATTCTCTGCTCCTAATCTGCAGTTTCATGAACATAGTATGGAAATCTATACCTACTTACAGTAGAGATAAAGAAATAGGTTCCAAAGGTAGAAAATCTGGATGTCTCAGTGAACAAGGATAGGAATGGGTTGTTTTTAAAAGTGTCTTGTTTGGAAATCAGTAATTTAAATTTTGGACTACCAAATGATATATAAGTAAGTGATCTGACTTAATCTCCATGTAATTTGCCTTTTCCAAGTCTTTCAGGCAACACATGCTGACTAGGATATTAAATTTACTTTTCAGGAATCCAGTACCCTAGGGGTCCCATTTTGCTATTTTGTCACCGATCTGTACTCTGTCAGCAATGTGCAGTATGACTCACAGGGCGCCAGCGCTGACATCTCCTTAAAGTCTTCTTCTTATGCCAATGCCTTCCCCTCCACCCCTGTGAGCACCCTGCGCCTGCAGGTGACCTACCATAAGGATGAAATGCTGCAGTTTAAGGTAAACACTGGATATGTGTCAGGTACTGGCACAGCCCTTTTCTGTCTCTACTATTTGCTAGTGAAAGTTCAAATCTATTAAATAAGTTTCAAATTTCATACTATGATAGACGTTTTTATCCTAATCCAAAGAACACTGTAAATTATTTATAGAGTAGTAAGATCTGCCCTAGCTTGCATTTAAAGAAATTGTGGTGTCTACCTGAGGAATTAGCTTCAAGAATGAGACATGGAGAGGAAAGTTAATTAACCTTCCAGTTTTATGCATCCGATGGGTGACCGCTGTTCTTTTGTTTGTGTTTTTACTATAGCTATGTCATAAGGCAGGCATCTAAGGGTTTAAAATGAGTAAAATTGATAAAATTTGTATTCTTAACTCTAGTTTGCTCTTATTTTTGATAAGCTTAGTACTAATATCAAAATGAATGTGTTAAAATAATGTTTGATGGATGCACAACAAAATGTTAAATCTAACATTGTTCTTTGATATGTTAATGAAATTCTAGATCTTGTATACTTACAAAAGATAAAAATAGACTTTGTCAGGGAAGTCAAGAATCTTCTCAGGGTATAGATACCTAGAGTATTAGCCTTGAATAAAACTTTTTTCACATTGACAATAATAGTTGTACTTCTTTATAGTGAACGGTGTGATGTCTTGATATATTTCTGTACTGTAAATGAATCAAATCAGAATACTTATAGCCTTTATCATCTCAATTTTCATTTCCTTGTAATGAGAATATTCAAAACCATCACTTCTATTTTTAATTCTATGATAAAATATTAACTATAGTCAAGTCTGAATATTGAATTTATTCCATTTCTGTCTTTATATGAAATTTATTTTTTCTCCTAGATTTATGATCCTAATAACAATCGCTATGAAGTTCCAGTTCCACTGAACATACCCAGGGTTCCATCCAGCACCTCCCAGGGTCGACTCTATGATGTTCTCATTACAAAGAATCCATTTGGTGTTGTAATTCGCCGTAGGAGCACAGGCACTGTAATGTAAGTGTCTTCTAATCTGATTTGGATTTTCTGGTTACTTATATGTTACTTGTAGTTACTCTGACTCACAATTCTTGGAGATAACTCTGGCTCAAAACATGACACTGTCCATTTCCAGATCTATGAATAAGTTATGTCCTGTAGGTCTGTTCTAATCAGAAAGATTTTGAACTGTGGCAATCATTGCTGAGTCATTTACATGTTCCTATGATTTCAGTATATATACCTTTACTAATTTTAAATAGAATTTTAAATGCATAGGCCATGAAACAGGAGGAAACTTGGCATGTCAAGAAATAAAAGGCCAATGTAATATCTGAAAAAGAAAGTAGTAGAGATGAAGTTGGGATGTTAGGTGGACCTTCATCAGATGCAGCCCTAATGTCTTTATGTACTGTTTTCCTGAGAAGCCACTGAAGAAAGTCAACAGAGGAGTGAAATGATATGAGGTGCTATGCATTCATGAGGATAGTGGACATTGGGGAGCATGTGTAAAAGTAGGTCTAACGTGGAAAGTGGCAGATAAGATGGCGGAAATTGACTGGGTTGGTGTTGTGGAAGGCACAGAGAAAGGAGGCAGTGATACAGCAAATTAACAAGATGAAGGATGACTCCTAGGATTTTAGCAAGGATTTCTGCAATTATTTTAAGCAAGTACATAGATTTTATGTTTTGTTTGGGGTATGAACAGGATCTAGTGGTGGGAAGGAATCAACAATTCTGTTTTTAGAAAGTCAGTTTCTTGAAGCCAATAGGAAAGCTAAAGTTCATCCCAAAACTACCCTTTTGCTTTCCAGTTGGGATTCACAGATCCTGGGCTTCACCTTCAATGACATGTTCCTCCGCATCTCCACCCGCCTGCCCTCCTCTTACATCTATGGCTTTGGTGAAACAGAGCACACAGCTTTTCGGAGAGACCTGAACTGGCATACGTGGGGCATGTTTTCCCGAGACCAGCCCCCAGGGGTAAGCATGCAGTGAGTGGGATCTGTTTGTTTTGATTTGTGTCTAGATGTCCCCAAAGCCTTATGTAGTCATGGAGAATTTGAATACTCCACGCAATCTAGGAGGGGGATATCTTACATATAGTGTAAGAGACAGAAAGAGTCTTGTCTCCCCTAGCTTGTTTGCTTTTGCTGTCTTCTACCACCATGATCTGTTGTGCCCCTGCCATGTACCATCCTGCTTTGTAGGCAGCCCATTATGGACTGAAACCTCTAAAAATTGTGAGCTAAATAATCCTTTCCTCTCTTGATTTTGGGCATTGGGCATTTTGTCTCAGCAACAAGAAAAGTGACTAAGACACAGTGTTTCTGCCTTTGTTTACCTATGCTGTATGTGCTTTGTTCTTTATCTTAACCTGATTCAACATAACTTGCCACATTGTGTTCTTAGACAAATGGGCCCATTCCTAGGTACCCTTCTTTCTCCTATGTTTAACTTATTTCTCAGATGGTACAAAACTTGTATCAGCAAACAGCCTTTATTGAGATTTTCTAAAATCAAGGATGATGTCTTCTAATTTTGTACCTCTTATCCTACATGACTCTTAGTACAAGCTGAATTCCTATGGTGTCCACCCCTACTACATGGGACTTGAGGAGGATGGCAGTGCCCACAGTGTGCTCCTGCTGAACAGCAATGCTATGGGTAGGATGATGCCTATGATCATTTTTTTTATTGGAACATGTTTGTAGTACATAATGATTACATTCAAATTGGAGAGTTGATACTTGTACAGGACACATTTCTTTCCCTTTTTCCTTTACTTTCCCTCCATTTCTTAGACTCCTTCAAAGATACATAGCTTTTGCACAAAAATCTAGTACACAGTGATCAACTAGCTTGCAAAGACTCAGCACATGTACACAACACACCAGCTCCACTACTGCTTCTCAACTCACCCATCCCCAAGCTCTTGGTTCCCTTCACATGTGTGAGAGATCTATCTGACTATCTTTTATGGTTTTTAGAATATGTGTGACATACCTTTATCCTTAGAATGAATGAAGGTAAAATGAGGTGGGTGTACAAGAATCATACAGTAGTAAGATGTGGTGAAATGTGAATTTGTTACATACCTCAGTTAGCAGTATTTTATTACTGCTGCTCTCCTACTTTGATAACGTACCATGATTCAATGAAATGCTATCATCAAGTAAAGCTGAGGGAACTATACACAGAAATTCCCAGGAATATTTCTGTAACTTCTTATGTTTCTTAAATTCTTCTTATATAAAAATTATAATAATTTAAAGAACTAGAATGAGAAAGTTTATACTAAGTTAACAAGGCCAATAAATGGGAAACATTTGGGAATGAGTTCTGTGGACTAGCACTTCAGCAATTCTTTTGGGTAAAGTACAGAGTATCTGCCCTTAATATTTAAAGTGGAAAAGAGAGACACTACGTATGTAAAGGCTAATTCTTTCCATTATAGGTATCATTTTCCTCTCTTTTCAGATGTGACATTCCAACCCATGCCTGCCCTGACATACCGCACCACAGGGGGAATTCTGGACTTTTATGTGTTCTTGGGCCCAACTCCAGAGCTTGTTACCCAGCAGTACACTGAGGTAAGAGGATATCCATTTGCTTATCAACTATATATAGAAACAGAAGTACAACCTATTCTTCATTTTGCTCAAGATCAGACAGCTAGCACATGTGGAGCCTGATTGCTAATCCAGGTATTTTTTCTCTGAGTTCTATGCTCCTAAGCAGAGAACAACTCTAGGAATCAGAATAAAACCAAATTTTCCGTAATTCCTAAATCATGAGCTTTATTCTAGTAGATTTCTCAAAGGTATTCCGGTAGCTCTGCATATGTTCAGTTTATATCTGGATTTGTACTTGTTGATTGTCTGTCTTACAGCACTGGAGAAATATTTTTATTACTGCATAGCTTAAATTTGACTTCTCTCATGAGGATTAATATTTTGTGTATTTTCCAGGTGATTGGTCGGCCTGTGATGGTGCCTTACTGGTCCCTGGGATTCCAGCTGTGTCGCTATGGATATGAGAGTGACTCTGAGATTTCCAGGCTGTATGACGACATGGTGGCCGCCAAGATCCCCTATGTACGTAAGGGACATTGTGCATTAGCTCTGAGATCTTGGAGCTAACTCATTCATCTCTGCATCTGGTTTGTTTGTTGGACATTTGTGAAGTTGTACAAAGGCACAAAGTTCTTTTCCACATAATGCCTCACTCCAGCATTGTGATGCAGACAGGCCTTGTCTCATCTTAAAAAAGGATGATCCAAAGCTTTTTTTTTTTTTGCTGTGTCATGTTTCCTTCTATTTCCCTTACATAACTTGAAGCAATTTTGTCAGAGTTCTTGATTCCATAAAAATAAAATATCCCTCAGCAAATGAGCTCTGGTGACTGATTTCAGATGTGCATGAAGTTGAGGCCAGTCTAGATAATTTATCAAAATCCTTCCTTAAATAGCATAATAAAAGGCTAGGAATGTAGTACAATGGGAATGCATTTGATTGACATGTGGGAGCCCTAGGTTTAATCACCAATGCTGAAAAAATTATTACCTATTATTTTTGACTACTTAAGAATGAGCCCCAGTGCAGTTAGATCATTACAGGAGAAGATGTATCCTGAGTTCCAGTGTCTGGCAGCTGAGGGCTGCATTCCATCTGCTCTGAATATGGGGAACCAGGCATACATTTCAGAGCAAATGGCAATAGAACCAAAATCTGTGCTTCAGTTGAGAGCAAAAGGGATGCAACAACCAGAAATATTCCATGGAGCACTTTCATACTAAATCAATCACTTAATTTTCTATTATTTGTAATAGTTTCATTAATTTAAAGTGTGTCATGCAACACTTCAGCATAATAAGAAATTGTGCCTGATTATCACTTAGATGGGATAGTCCAAAATAATTACAAACTTCTGTTTTGCTTTGTTTGTGCTGATTTTCTGCAAGTATTGTGCTATGCCTAGAGATTTCTTCACACTATTTTCTGTGACTACAAAACACTGTGATCTCAGTGGCAGACTCCTGTGGAAAGTTACCAAAATTGGCAGTTTTAAAACCACTTTCACATTCAGTGTTTTTATTTATTTCCATAATAGCCCTTCAAGATAGACATCATCATTCTTTGTTTTACCGACATATGATTTGAAAGAGCCCGAGAGAAACCTTTCAACTTCACCATCAGTGTTGCATGATTGTTCCCTTCTGAAAATGGATTGCACCACCTGAGCCCCTGTGTTTCCCTGTGTCCTCCCACAGGACGTGCAGTACTCAGACATCGACTACATGGAGCGGCAGCTGGACTTCACCCTGAGCCCCAAGTTTGCTGGGTTTCCAGCTCTGATCAATCGCATGAAGGCAGATGGGATGCGAGTCATCCTCATTCTGGTTAGTGCGTGATCATGTGAATGTGATTAGTTTGAGCAGTGGCCTAGCTTTGGTGGAAAATGCATTATACTGTATTTACTTTCCTGTTACAAGAAGAGAAACTGAAGCGTCGTATTTCCTAGGATTCATGGATGCATTAAAATTCAGATGGAAGCTAGGGACACCTGTCTCAAGTCATTTCCTAGCTGTGGTTTCCCCACCTGACTTGTGCTTTGCTTTCAGGACCCAGCCATTTCTGGCAATGAGACGCAGCCCTACCCTGCCTTCACTCGGGGTGTGAAAGATGATGTCTTCATCAAGTATCCAAATGATGGAGGCATTGTCTGGGGAAAGGTATGACCTAAGGGATGGATGATCCACCAATCCCAGCCTAGGGCAGTGTCTTAGAGGTGGTAGAATGTTTCTAAGTATTGTTTCTTGGTCCTTTGCATTTGAGATCTGAGGTCCATACTTTTCTTCATTTTTCAATCAAACTTAGCTAAATCAGGTAAAAATGTTATAGAATCTGCTTGACTCTAGATCAGACATGCCTTATAATCAAAGTATTAGTAATCCTTGGACAATAGTTTCCATTTTCTTGGAAAATATTATACATGTTAACTTGCATGGTGCATTGTTATTGAATGTTTATCTTCTCACAGGTTTGGCCTGATTTCCCTGATGTTGTTATTGACCCCTCTCTAAGCAAGAATGATCAAATAGAGGTAAGAGGCCTCCAGTTGAGAGATGGGGTTTCCAGGATGGAGGAGTGTTACCTAGATTTCTGGAAATTCTCTGTCATGGATATGGGTGCAGCAAGAGAGAAACACTTAGGAAGTATGTCTAGCACATCTGTCTGTATACAAATTAACCTTACATACAGTAGTGTTCTCTTTCCAGTGCCAGTGAGGGTGTTGTTATCCTTAGGACACTGAGACAGCTTAAATTTTTATCTATGGCTTTAGGTTACACAATGGTAATTTCGTCCTCAAAGCTGTCACATTCCAAAGGCCTCTGAAATACTCACTTGACCTTACATGAAGGAGTGCTACTTTCTTTTGAATTAGAGCCTTTGTTGTTGTTTGAGTAACTGTCTTAAGAATAGTTTCTAACCTGCTCTTAGTCATTGAATCTTTTTCTCCATACATCTTTTGTCCTTTTATTCTGCTACACTTTGATATGTATAAATCCTACCCTCTACTTTTCTTGAAACTTGTGTCTTCCCGCTTTTCTTTTCCACCTCAATTTCTAGGCTTTGATAAAATTTCTTATCTTCTGGGAACAGTATCTTGATTGTTATACATCCTGGAAATCCATACAGCTGGACATAAATTTTTTTCAGCTTCATTAAGCATTTGTCACATAAGTCAACACATAGTTTTTTACTAGTCTAGGAAGCTTTAGCCCCATTCTCTCTCAGGGTATAAGCACAATGAAGTGATATACCTTTGTTATTCACTATTCTGATAATATCTGTGAATATTGATGTCTGGATTATCTATTGTTCTGATAAGACCTGTAAGCAGGACTCTTTTCTTTCTGGAGAGTAAATATCTTACTTTGTCTTATCTCTTCAACAAGGATCATTATTTCTAGACAAATTGTTATAGCCAATGGAAGTATCATAGAGTCACTATTATATAAAAGGAGACTTTTCCCCAGTCCTTCTTTTTTTATTTTGAAGAATGTAAAACAAAACAGCAAAACGGAATAAAGCAGATCAGAAGAAAACAATATAAGTGACATAGGATTTCAAAGCAAACAATAGAAGATGTACAGTGGCTACCACAGTGTTTCTTGTTTTCTTCTAAATAGTTGCCTATAACTTTGCACACAATAAATTCATGCAAAACAAAATAATATAAAACTGATCAAAACAAAATAATGAAAGCATTACAGGCCTTCAAAACCAGACAATAGGAAAATCAACAATGACCACCATATGTCACTTGTTCTCTTCAAAATAGCTGACCGTAGCTTCATGTATGTTGAAATTAAATAATATAAAATAATATAATCTAAACAAAGAATAAAAGAATTACTGGATTTCACATCATGATGATCGGAAATCAGCAATGGATATCATAATGTCTCTTTTTTTTCAAAGTAGTTTTTCATATCATCACATATAATACAATAAATTCTTGTAAACTATTTAGAAGAAGTTCTAGGCATGTATAAAGCCTCTACATGTACATATATCCTTTCTGTATTAGAAGAAAAACCAAACAAAACAAATTACTAGAAAAACAAACAAGACAAACAAATAACTGTAGCCAAGAGCCCAAAATAATGACAATATAGGCCTTCAAAACAAGGTGGTAGGAACATAATTAAGGTTGTTATTTTACATAGTAATCTTCAAAAGAGTTCCTCAGGTCACCAGACACAAACCTGCAAAGCTGATCCAATCCTAAGATTGTTAACTGTTTTGTTCCACAAACTTAAAGAATTTGTAGCACAATCATCTTAGTATGTTTATAAAAATTTAGATATTTTTTTCTTTTCCTTTCCTTTTTTTTTCTCCTTTTCCCTGAGTTATAATTTTTCCTCTTTGAGCAGATTTTACCCCTTTCACAGCGTTTATTGAGGGTTTTATATCTTATGTACTTTTACTGTTTCTTATAGTAGGGAGACAATACAGTATTTACACATGTGAGTTTGATTTATTTCACTTATGAGTATGGTCTCAAGTTGCACCCATTTACATATAAAAGTCTCAATGTGATCATTCTTTATAGCTGAGTAGGACTCCATTGTATAAAAGTACCACACCTTTTTTATTCATTCCTTAGTGGATGGGCATTTAGGTTGTTTCCAAGATCCAGCTATTATAAATTGTGCCGCTATAAACATGGTTCACATATACCGCTGTGGTATGATGTTTTCAATTCTTCTGGAATTATGTCCAGAAGTGGAATGGCTAGGTCAAATGGGACTTCCAATCCCAGCTTTTTAAGGAACTTACAGACTGACCTTCACAGTGGTTGCACCAGTCTACACCCCTACAGAAGAATTCCTTTTTCCCCACAGCCTGTCCAGCATTTGTTGTTGGTGTTTTCTTTATCCTGGCCATTCTTTGTGCAATGAGATGGAATCTCAGTGTCATTTTAATTTTCAATTTTTTAATGACCAATGATGTGAAACATTTTTTCGTGTATTTATTTGCCATTTGTATTTATTCATCTGAGAACTGTGTATTCATTTCAGATGCCCATTTTGGGATTTGGTCTCTGAATTTTGGGGGTCTGATTTTTAAATATTCTTTGTATGTTCTAGACAGGAGTCCTTTGTCTGAAGGACAATTAACTAAGACTTTTTCCCAATTTTTGGGTTTTCTTTTTATTCTGTTGGAGATTTCTTATGATGTACAAAAACTTTTTAATAAGATGAGATACCAATTATTGATTCTGGGAAGTATTTCCTATGCAATTTGATTTTTGCTCATGAATTCTTTGCCTACCCCTAGGTCTTTAAGAGTTCTACGTACTTTGTTTTCCAGCAGATTTAGTGTTTCTGTTTCAATATTTATATCTTTGGCCCATTTTGATTTTAGTTTAGTACATGATGATAGGCCTGGGTCTAATTTTAGTTTTTGGCATATGGAGAGCCAGTTTTTCCAGCATCACTTATTAAAGAGACTGTCTTTCTTCCAGTGAACATGGGCCCCTTTGTCAAAGATATGATGGCTGAGTGTGTTTGTAATTGTAGTTGTATCTTCTAAACTGTTCCATTGATCTTCAGGTCTGGTTTTATTCCTGTACCATGCTGATCCAGTTCTTCTCAATAGGGCGATAGGAACTAAGAAACTATATCCTATGTGGTTATAGCAAGGTGGTATAAATTAGGAACTCTTTCAGGATCTAGGAACTATTTCAGGATCAAGAGTTAATAGACATAAATCAGTGAGAACAAAGCATAACAGTGTAAATTCTCGTATTAGTCACTCAACATCCAAAGTAAAGGTGTTTTCTGAGAGCTCCCATTATTAGGATTCTGTCCAGTGGATTAATATATAGCGAATTGACTCAAGTCACTAGGAATAAGAGTGGGAGGTATTAAACCAGATATGCATGCATTAGCTAGGGAAGTTAATTTTTTAAGAAAACCAGTGTGTCCTAGAGAGTAACAGACATTAGACAGAGCTAGCATTATGTAGGGACCAAAGGCTTTGGCCTGGGATAAATCTTACAGAGTAGCATATATAGGATCTCAACTGGCAGGAGGAGCACTGTACTTGCAAAATAAGGTGCTCATGCTGGGGACTTGGTTGCCTGGCTATTGAACTGTGTGCATACTTTGTGTCTTTATCTTTTATAGCAGGTGTAGTAGGAGAAACCAGAAGCTGGCTGGAGTACATTTCACAAATTTTCAAGAGTGTTTCAGACTCAATTCAATATTTTCTTTTTATATCTTTTGAACAAGTACCTATAAATTATCTGTCTGTCTTTCTGTCTATCATCTAATAAGAATTCAGGGGAGAGACATAGGCACCTATCCTCTCCAGTGTGTCACACAGAGGAATACTTGAGTTTTGGTGCTTCAGGCAGCCCACATGGACACAAGGAACCTTCCAACCAGCAACATGCAGGGATATGGACTCCTTGACTTTTATATTGTTACATTGTACAGGGGCCACTGCATCAATCACGGGGTTGCTACTAGGTTATGAGATCTGCAGTCCTTCAGTTATGACTGCTAACACTGTCCCTAATCACAAGGTCATTTTGAAATTGGTGGAATAGTGTTGGTTATCACAGTGACTTGGAAACACCCTGTGACATTTAGTTGGTAGTGATACGTCAATGCTTCTCATTGTAGGATATTCACTGCAAAGATTCTATTCTTCCAGATGATACAATTGTGACGTTGATGAGAAACACTTCATTTATGGGTTCACAGAATTTATTAGGATGATCATAAGCGATTCTTAGTAATTAGAATAGTTATAACTATTTATATTAGTAGTATCAACTATGAGTTTGGTGAAGACAAAGTCCATGTCTCACATCACTGGGGGTACTATAAAACAACCAAGAACCAGACTGTGAAAAGCAGACTTTTGAGTTTGAAGTTTAGAGTTTTAATTCAGTCCAGGAGTTAATTTTGGTAGCATGAAGTGAGCTTGGATAAGTAAACCTCATTCAGTCACTCACGTGTGTGCATCCCTGATTCATATGAGGTAAATGATGGCAGGAGTAATAAGGCAAGGATTAAGTGCTTTACTGATAGGATAAGGCAGACCCCATGCTTAGGAGAATGGCAGAACATTTTTTATTAGGTGGAGGTACTATGAAAGCATAATTATTGATAATAATAAAACATAGTTGGCCTAACTTTCTACTTGTATCCTATTAGGGATACAATTGTAATTCAGACTCAGCTCATAATAACTATTTATCCTAAGAGCTCCCATCCCATTATTTCTGACCTTGCCTCAGCTGGAGCTCTCTGCAGTGAAAGGTTCTTTTCTCCTAGTTCTATGATTTCTACTTTTATTTCCTACCAAGAGACTTCCTCATGTTTCCAGTGATATAGCACCAAGCTCTCTGTAAGACAGATTAATGCACACAGATCCATTTTTATTTTCTTTCTCTTTACCCTTCTATTTAGACTCATACATTCCTACTTAACTTTGTCTGTTTTATATAAGAATTCCTTAGGTCAAATCCTCTTTCTGCTATTCTTCCTACCCCACCCCTAGTATTAGTGCGCTTTTCTACCGTTACAATGGAGTGATTAGCATAGAGGAGTCTGTATATAGAAACCTACCAACTACCATGATGTCCTGTGACAAGCCACGTGGAGTATAGAAACACCTGAGAATTTTTGATGCTGCTAGGTGATGTTAACCTAAAGCTGAACAGAGTATTTATTATAAGTTTTGTTCATTATTACATCAGGTTCTTAGCTAAGCACTCTAGGGAATAAGAAAATTGATCAGAAAAATATAAGATAAGGCTCTTGTTCTCTAAAAGTTTATGGCGTAAATACAGAGTGATAGCTTGGATCTGTATTTTTGGTACAATAAGCATATTAGTTTTTTCATTTGAAGGAACATGAAGAGAGGGAGGTTGAAACTTTCTCCTTAGGTCCTCCTGTTTCATATTACACATAGCAGCACTTTTCATGTGATTCTAAAAACCATAGGAAACAGAGAAACAAGCTTTCTAGTCTAATATCATGACATGGAATTGTGTCTGTTCATCTCATTCCTGATGGATGTTTTGTTGTAACCTGCTACAGTACATCTCATGTCTACTCTTTCTCCTTATCATATTTCTGCCTCTTGCCTTGTCTTTGAAAAGAGCTTAGGAAAAATCAGGACCTAAATTAAGGGCTGAGCATCCAGAGCATCAGATTATGAGTTGATGTTGCTGCTGCTGTTCGTATTGACCTGTAGAGGTAATTAGCCTCTGGATGTCTTCCAAACTCTAAGGCATGTGGTTTGTGCTCATTCCTCTTTATTGCACTCAAGAAAACTATGTAGGCTCTGTTCAGCCTATCACTATTTACCACAAGCTAGTTCCAAGTCTTTGAATGAATTAAGTCCTAAGTAAATGTTTGTTTTTAGTCTAATATGCTCATTTGGTACAGATGAGTTATGTTTTGATTTTATAGCGATACAGAGCTTACGTGGCCTTCCCAGACTTCTTCCATAATTCAACTGTCTTTTGGTGGAAGAGGGAAATTCAAGAGCTGTACAACAACACACAGAATCCAGAGAAGAGCTTGAAATTTGATGGTTTGTGGATTGTAAGTGTGTGTGTATGTGTCTTTGTGTGATGTGTGCATAGATGTGTGTCTTGGCATGTGGATCACTATCCTTTACAGAGTAATTGCCATCCAGTAAAGTCTTTGGAATGCACTTTTGGCATGAAAGAGCCTTAATGCACCTGAAACCTTGTGTCTCAAGTGACACCTCAAACCTTGTATCTCATGTGATATTCCTGCTGTAAAACATTCTCAGCCATATTAGAAAATCACTACAGCTTTGCTTGCCCTTAAGGCAAGTGATTTAACTATTTGGCCAGTCATCCTATACAGGTTAAAAGAACTTTTGAGCAGTTCTCTCCAGAAGAACTTCCTTGAGCAAGCATGTATAGAAATTATTGAATATTAAATAATTTATTACTTTCTTGTCTCAGAATGGGCAGAAGAACACCATTATCTTTAAATGTAAGCTATGCCTGTGTTTGACATTTGTAGGATATGAATGAACCATCAAGCTTTGTGAATGGAGCCGTCCCTTCAGGCTGCAGGGATGATACTCTGAACCATCCTCCCTACATGCCATGTAAGGACCCTGGGCCTCCTCCAGCTGAGGATTCTTGGACAGAAATAGTGTGACCCACAGAAGTGCTTAGCTCCTTGGAGATGAACCAGCTTATATGTTCCTAGAAGCAAAACCACTCTCAGCACTGTACCCTGCTCAGGGAGCACAATTTACTGCATTCCTTGTGGTGAATTTCTGTGATTTGGATAAAAAGAGTTAAATAGAAATGTCTTTAAATAATTTCTGTAGCTATATTTCATAGTTTTGTGGCTTATATTAATTTACCTATATGAAATTCTTATGCCACTAAAGACTATAAAAGTAAAGGTTCTTTGTAGATTGTAGCCCATGAACTTTCATGTTGAGCTTGTTTGTCTTGAATCTACAAATTATTTTTTTCTGAGTTGTGTGACCTACCACAGGTTTCACAATACTTTTCAAATTTCAATTTTCTGAACTGTAAAAAGACAGATAATACTATCATGTTTATGGAATTAGAAGATTCTGTTAGATTATTTTAAAAGTGAATAGCCTACATTGGAGCCTATATTTACAGCAAGGGTTTGACAGCCCTGTGTTCTACCCTCACCTCTAATTCTACTTTCTGTGTTAGAGTTGATGTTGAAAATCATTATGTAGCCATCACTGCTGCTCAAAGCCAAACACTATTCTGCCTCTGGGAAGTGGGAGAAGGATCCATGGGAATTAGTTTTAAGATCCACAGTTCAGATCATTAAAGAGCATTCAGGAGTTAAAAGCAATGGGGCCTTTTTTCACACTCTTAACTGTTTTTCCCTCAGATCTGAAGGCCAGAGGCAGGGGCCTAAGTAGCCAGACCCTGTGCATGGAGGGTGAGCAGATCCTTCCAGATGGCTCCAGAGTGCGTCACTATGATGTGCACAGCCTGTATGGATGGTCTCAAACCAGGCCCACCTATGAGTGAGTTGGTCTGTCCCTTCCCAGTTGCACCTGGGTGGACATGCGGTGAAGGGTATAGGGTCCTTATTTTGTTTTTATTATCATTCTAAACATTAAGAAAAATTAATTTAAAATTCTGACTTGTTAGAAAGACATACTCATTGAGCATGGAGCCAGATGTTATGATTATAATTGGGAGGACATGCTTGCTTGAGGCATAATCCTCTCAGTTAGAAACAGATAGTCCTGATTTACATTTTTCTTTTATTCCAAAATGAATTATCTTTGTTGGATTTCTTTCCTCCATTCCTGTTGGATGTGATTGAACCTAATGTTGAATTAGAAAACTTCTACTTCATGAGTTTGAAGAGTGTAAATTATTTTACAGATAATCTTAAGTAATTTATAATATTCGGCAGCAAATATAGGAAACTGATAAATAGCAAGTTGCTAACTTACTCTTTTGATACTATTCAGGGTTTTATACATGATGAATTTCTTTGTAAAACACTATGAAAGACGTCACGGCCCCTATTATCTATATTAGTATCTATATTTCCCCCAGCCATACAGCCAGCAGATTGGAGGATGAGGTACTTTAGCTTTTATTTCTCTGCTCTGGCGTCATTTCACTTCCTTATTCTTCTCCAACCAGAGCCGTGCAGGAGGTGACAGGACAGCGAGGAATTGTCATCACCCGCTCCACATTCCCCTCTTCTGGCCGCTGGGCAGGACATGGGCTGGGAGACAACAGGGCCGCATGGGACCAGCTAAAGAAATCGATCATTGGTAAGTGGGCCTGTTGGCAGGGCTGTGGTGGCAGGGAGGGGTGAGGGAGGAGGAGCAGGAGGAGCAGGCAGGTCCTGATGCTGCCCTGACACACATGTGGTTCCCATTGCAGGCATGATGGAGTTCAGCCTCTTTGGCATTTCCTATGTAAGTGGCCTTCAGATCCCTCCTGATTGCTTCCAAGGAGGTGCCAGCATTCAGAAATCACCACCGACCTGGTTTTATTTCCTCTTGTTTTAGACTGGGGCAGATATATGTGGGTTCTTACAAGATGCTGAATACGAGATGTGTGCTCGCTGGATGCAGCTGGGGGCCTTTTACCCTTTCTCCAGGAACCACAACACCATTGGCACCAGGGTAGGACCGCAATGCTACCTCACATATTCAATATTACTTGAAATGCAACTTCTATTTTTGAGCAACATTTAAGACTTTCTGTACTGTCTGAAGACATCTTCAAAATCATTCAACTCTCATTTCAATCAATCTTATTCCTCTGTATTATTTAGATGATTCTCTTTGTTTAAGAAGAATTGTTCCAAACAAGTCCTATGCAGAATATGATATAAGTAGATAATATAAATTTTTTTCTGTAAAATTTTAGTTATTCATTTCCATCTACTGTAAATATTCTGGGAATCTCGTCCAAGACAATCTAGTTTAGCTGTGTGCGAATCATTTAGAGTCATTCTCCAGTGACATCCAGAAGTCTCCATGACTCACTAGATAGACTCTGAACACTTCTCTTCTTCCTTTAGAGACAAGACCCTGTGTCCTGGGATGCTGCCTTTGTGACTATTTCAAAAAGTGTGTTGGAGACCAGATACACCCTGTTGCCCTACCTCTATACCTTGATGCACAAGGCCCACACAGAGGGCGTCACTGTCGTGAGGCCTCTCCTGCACGAGTGAGTGTCCAGCTGGGACCCTGCGCATTAATGGATGTTATTTTTTTTCTGTAAGGTGATAGTTGATGCAGACAAGTTCTTCAAATTGAAGACATGGTTTTGTTTTGTCAGAAGTTCTTTCTAGACAGGAACCATAGTTTATTGCTCTTTTTAGTGCAGTGTTATGCACACTTTAAATCACTGATGAAAAACTATTTACTGAATAAAAAATCCTTTGAAGATACAGCACAGACAGCATAATTCACATTTGACTATGCAGAATTTTCCCTATCTCTTGTAACAGTTTCAATAATGTAGATGCAAGTAATTACAAATTACTAGAAAATGCATTCTAGGACGGGATTTGTGGAATGAGTGTCTTGCTCTGTGGAGGTGTTTTGTAGCAGAGACTGTAACTGAATCAGTTTTGACATTAGAGGAACTTGGCCTTTTGGGACAGGGGCTGGATGTTCTTTATGAAACATAGGAAAGAGTATGGTAGAGGATGCAGCCTGATTTGTGACCGGATCTGAACATGAGAATTTCTTGAGAGCCTTGGGCTGCTCTGATTCTCATTTTATCACCTATTTTTCCTTTCTAGGTTTGTGTCTGACCGGGTGACCTGGGATGTAGACAGTCAGTTCCTGCTGGGTCCTGCCTTGCTGGTCAGCCCTGTCCTGGAGCCTGTGAGTGTGGATGCCTGGCTTAGTTACTTTCCTCTTTGCAGAGAAACAATACCATGCCCACAATTTAAAGACAGAAAGATTTATTTGGCTCATAATTTCAGAGGTCTCAATCCATGCATGATCATGGAATGGCTGGCTCCAAGGCATAAATATCATGAAGGGCCTGATGCAATAAAGCTGCTCCAGTCATCCAGGCCAGGAAGTGGGGAATGATGGAAATGATCAGGGAACGAAATATACCCTTCTAGGTCAAAACCCCAGTGACTCACTTTTTAAAGCAAATACATTTAGCCAAAGATTGATCAATGGATTAATCCATTGGTGAGCATAGCGCACTCATGATCCAGTCACCTTCCCAAAGCCCACATGTAAACAAATGAACCTTCTTGGGGACATTCTAGATCTAAACTATCACAAGGCCTTTTCTGGGTAGAGCATCACAGTTGTGAGGCTGGGTAAATAGCATGAGAAGAGAAACAAAGCCTGGTACATGGCATTATATCATGACACTTTCTTATTCCACCTTTGTCTTTACTTCTGAGCAGAGTCCATTAGTAAGGTGTTCTGGCTCCATCTTCATATTAAGAGTGTTAGCCTAATAGTCATAGTTCAAAGAACCATCAAGAGCAAAACAACTTTATCATACGTTTGAGAATATATCATTAATGCATTTACTAAAATAAGGAATACAGTTATAGTGTACATAATTTATTACAATCATGTTACTCTTGACACAGAAACTTCCAGGATAGCATATGCTATCCTGTTGCTGCTGGCAAGCCCTGCCTCCCTTGCATAAAGTGCTCCAGACCAAAGGCCATTTCTTTGCTTCCTGGGTGACAAGGTGTATGATTATAATACTAGTTCATGGCACTCCCTCAAGTATTACTCTATATACATGATCTTCTTCTCCAAACCCAGTCCCAGGTTTGTCCCTTTAGAGGTAAAAGGGGTTTAGTTCATAAGAAGATAGTGATTTTTTTTACCCCTGATATCCTGGGTTGTTTTGGGTAAGGAAATTTCCGTGTGAAAAAGTGGAAGAAAAGGAAACCTTTCCAGGCTTTGCTAATCTCCCAAGAGCTGAGGCAAGTGGGTACTAGGTCTCCAGCATTGTTTTATCTCCTTTTAATATGAGCCTGTTACAGTGTCCTAAAATACAATGTATACTGCCTCTTACTTTACTTGTGATTAATTTCAGAATGCCAGAAATGTCAATGCGTATTTCCCTGGAGCCCGCTGGTATGATTACTACACGGTAAGTTTTCTAAATATTTTACACAATCTGGGAAAGTGGTAAAGAACAAACCCTTTTTCAGTCCTCAGGCCAAATGCTGGCCCTCGAAGCCACCTGTTGTGAGGTCTTGAATATCCATTTAAACTTTGTAGTCTCAGTTTCTCATCTGCAAGTTAAGTCAGCTCATCCCTTCACAGAAGTGTTGTAAGGTAAGTGTAAAGTCTCTGACTCAAGGCCTGGATTTGTGTGGATTGAATTGTGAGTTTATATAATTCCTTACACTATTACTGTTCACAATAGTGTATAAAACAGACACTTGTGAACTTTTGAAATTGTGCTATAAATTATAATTTTTGCTATAAATCTCTCCTGTGAGTTCCTAAGTACAAAGGCCTTTTAATTAAATATCTACTTCTGTAGATGCTCAAGAGAAGGTTGTTACATACAGTGATGATGGCAATGTGCAAATGCACTCAGAGATATGGGTCTGACATTTTGCAAGTCTAAGCATCACACATGCATTTACATGTGACAAACCCACAGAGGCTTAATAGCAACCAAGAGAAGACTCCAAGCCTGTCTGCACCCTTTATCCAAGGATACTGCAGTATAATTTGATGAAAACTGGGTGAGGATACAGAAGGGGAGTTTCTACTCTTCTCTATTTTGTGGATCCCTGAATCTCTCCAGCCTGACTTTCTTTATCGCTGAGCTGGATCTGTGTTTTTTTTTTTTTTTTTTTTTAAGACAGGATGTCACTATGTGGTATAGACTGGCCTTGAATTCTCTTAGGTAGACCAGTTGATATTGAACTCATAGCGATTCTCATGCTTCAGCCTTCCAAGTGCTGGGATGGCATGCACCACCACATCCAGTGTACATGTGTCTTTAAGATGATTCTATGTTAGGATTTTCTATGTACCTCACTTTCAAGGGGAAGACAGCAGCCAGTGTCTTTTATGTGACCTTAGCTATGGTGATTCTGCATCTTGATTCTTTTGTTCACTAATAGTCACTCCTTTTGAGTTTGAAGCTGTTTTGTGTAGGAATTCTCTTAAGATTTAGCTAGTGAATAATCTAGCACACATAGTTTAAGGAGGTGCTGCATCACAAGGCTGACCTGAATTTGCAAGACTTTGACAGTGAGGGCTTTATTTATTTTAACACCTTGGCATCTCGCTAGACTCATTCTACCTTCAGTTTGTCCAGGTGCAAACTATTTTACGGAGGTTCAAGCACTGGCAATAGAAACATTTCCTTATGGACTTCACCATGCAATGAGGGCTAATATTTGCTTACCACAAATGCTAATTAGATGTATAAATAATTATATATATGACATGAAATAAAGTGAAATATTAAGCTAATAAAAGAAAGCTTCCTGGAATTGCCAATTTCATACAGGTTCTTAAATGAAGAGAGCTTTAGTTAAAGGACAGGTAAAAGAAATCATGTAGAATGACATAAGCAATGGGGAAGCCACTTCGAGAAAATAAAAAGTTTTGTTGTTTAATTACTTTTGGTACCAGGAATTGAACTCAGGATCTCACCTTGGCATGCAGTTTCCATGCCACTGAACTATATCCTCTGGGCTTTTGTGATTTAATTAAAATGAAGACTAAATGGTTGGAATTAATTAATAAATACTTCCTGTATTATTCCTTAAAAGTTGTTGGGCCCTGGTATTTATGCTGGAGTAGAGATTTATGCTGGAGTAGAGATTGGTAAATAATGACTAATAGACAAGTCAGGGTGTCACCTATTTTTGTAAATAAAATTTTATTGGAACACTTCCACACATTCATTTAATTGTTATCAATAATAACTGCTCCTTACCTCTATTTTTCTTTTTTTTTTTTAATTTAAAGAAAGACTAAACAAGACAGTACCTGGGCAGATATAACACATACTTTCAAAGACAAAAATAAACAGTAATAAATTACTAGTTGATGTTTACATATTGTCCTCTTACAAATAATTGTTCAAGATACAAAAGTGGAGCATGTAAGTGGGAATTCAAACAGTGAGATTGCATATAGTTCTATTCAACTATCCAAGAAACACTTAGTAATAGGGTTATCAATCGTATACACTTAAACGTACATGTAGTAATCCATATCTTCATTTATGTTGAGATTAAACAAACCAAAGAAGACTAAAATCACTCTGGACAAAGAATAATAGTATTGCTGGATTTCACATCATGACACTTCGGTATCAGCACTGGGTACTATAGTATCTTTTTTCCTTCAAAATATTTGTTCATTTCATCATGTGTCATAAGATCAGTTCTCGTAAACTTCTAATAGGTTCTACGCATGCATGAGTCTTAACATGTATTTCTATCCTTTCTATATTAGAGGGGAAACAAAACAAAGTAGGATAGAACAAAACATATTCCTGTAGATACATAAAATAAAAAAGACATATAAAAGCACTGTACAAGGAATTCTACCATGGTTACTGTGTTTTCTCTTGTTATTCTCAATAGAATTGGCTATTACATCAGGTATAGTATAATTGAATATATCAGTACATATCAGTATTGATAGAAACACGACTTTGTAGATAGTGTAAAACTGCAAAAACAGTACTAATCAAACCAGAATGGGTATCGTAGTGAATCTTGTCATTTTCAGTATAGTTGTCTATACTCTCAGACTTGGTACTATCAGTTATAACTGTTTTTAATAAAATCTGTCGATAACAAACAGCAATCAAACAAACCAGATTTAACTAAGATCAGTCATGATAAAACAGTATAAGTTATACAGGGCTCCAAATTAAGTTAATAGGAAATTAAAGATGAGTACTGTGCTATATCCTGATATTTTTGGGATAGCTGTCTGTGCCCTCAGATCTAGTGCATGTAGACAAACTGAGACAGAATAAGTTCTATCTAAGCAGAGCGGTATAAGTAATATGGGTTTTGATTCCTGATACACTAGTAACAATATCTTTTGCTGTCTTTTTTAAGACTATTCCTCCCCTTTCACTTCCCCAGGGAATACTGTGTATTTTTGGGTCTCACCAACACCCTCAGTTTTATATTGGCGGGTGCAACCTGCTGTTTACCTAAGTGGTTCCAAACCTTCTCCCTCTTGAACTTGATCTCTAGTTGTATTCCTTTACCTATTAAAGCCTGTCTTTCCCACTTATCCTCAAATACTCTCCTAGTTGCCCCTATTACTCTCTGGTTCCCTGTCACTTAGACTGCTCCCTACCACTAAAATAAGCTTTCAAATGTTTTCCCACATTTGGCAATGTGTGAAGGCATTTTGGGTAGTTATGATGCAGTAGAGGAGGGGTTGCTAATGGCATTTATTAGGTAGACACTGAAGATGTTACCAAACATCAAAAGCACAGGACAAGCACACAATGAAATTATTCATCTCCAAGCATCAATAGTTCCAGCAATGATAAGTTCAGCTGTAGTTGATAATGTGTGTAAGAATTCTCCCTTAGGATTTGAGGTTTATGCCTCAGGTGACCGAGAACCTCTCATATACTACACGAAATAAAGATTGTCAAAGATCAAGCAAGATAAACATTGTCAAACATAAAGACATATAAATAACTTAAAGATGAGTAAAGTAAGTGAACATATTTTGATACTTTTTGTGAAGTGTGAATTAAAGGTATGGCAGCGAGTGGAGATGCCAATACGAACATTTCCTTGTGGATTTCACTGTGCAATGAGGAGCAAATATTAGCTCTTCATTGCCTCAGTAAAAGAGAAAATCTAGGAATGCCATTGTGGAACTCTCATCAGGTGCCAACAAAAACTGCATGAAGAGATTGTCCAATCTCCTCCAGCAGTGCCCTGTGACAGAAACAGGCTGTGCAGTGAGGGCGGGCTGTGTCATCCTAACACCTTGTAAAATTTATGCTATAGAACTCCCCAAAAGGCAAAGGACTCTCACAATACATTACAGAAGCAAAGCCAGATGTCACACAGCATCAGGGTGAATGCAGAAAGTGTCCTAACAAGTGTGAGCTGAATGGTGAAGAACAGATAGCAAATTCAGAGAAGTAGATGAGAGGTCTGCCAGATGCACTGATGAAGGAGTTGTGTGTTTGCCTCTCATTATCTCTTCCTTTGGCCCACAGGGGGTAGACATTAATGCAAGGGGCCAGTGGAAGGACTTGCCAGCCCCTCTGGACCACATTAATCTTCATGTGCGTGGGGGCTACATCCTGCCATGGCAGCAGCCTGCACTGAACACTCACATCAGGTGAGTGACTGGTCAGAGCTCTGCTTTGCATACTGGTCCACTGAGCAATTTGTAATGTGTGCCAGCAAAGCTTCAAGCGTCACTTCAAGCATTTCCCTAAACACTCTTTTTATGTTTACTTGCTTTGTTGTAATGTTTTTTCAAACTCTGCACTCTTTGAGCAGCTATTAACAACTATTTTATATCTAAGTGGATAGGATATAGGCCTAATAGATGGCATTTGAAATAGAAGCCAAAATAGGAACAATTATAATTCATGCTAGTTTTTGAAGATGTATCTGACTTGACTCTTTCCTAAGAAATCAATTGCTAAATAGTTATATAAGCCCTATATAACAGTTGATACTGAGGCTGAGATTCCTTCTGTAAAGTATTTTAAAATACTTGACCCAGGTCTATATAATAAATGGCAACAACATCAGATGAATACTTTCTCTGTGTCTAGAATGTAACAAAATGAGGTTTATTTGAAGATACTCTGTTTTTTCCTAGTAAAAGAAGAAATCTTTTGAGATATATATTGTTAATCCCTTTTTACAGATGAGCAAGCAGCTTTAAGAAGATAAGTGACTAGCTCAGGGTCACAAAGTTAATAAGAAGATGAACAGAGACTAAACTGAATGTATGTTTAATAGCTTTAATAAAATACATAAACTCTTGCTCGTCTGATTCCAAGAATTCAGAACAAAACTGAAGACTGAAGATATTTCTACACAGGATTTACCTTAGTGTTTTAGGAAATGGGCTATGATAGGACTATAGCATCTAGATTTTCTTACCAGAAAGAAAGAAGGAACTCAGTTATTTTACTCTGGGTTTCTTTAAGAACCGTATAGCAAAATCTCTCTTGCTCATTCAGAAGTTCATTTGTTCATGACATGAAGCCTTCCAGGTACCTGGAGACTGAACTAGAGCAAGTTAGACAGTTGAATATTAGTACTTACATTTAAAAAAATTATTGTTTTAGTGGTACATATTTGCAATACATAATGTTACATTCACCAGGGCAAGCTGATGCATGTGTGTGGCACATCTTATTTTCGTTTCCTTCCTACACTTCATTTTGCTGCTCTGCTTTTACACACATTCTTGGCTTGTGACTGTGGCTTGATGTTCCTAATGCCTCTCTCCCACCTTCCCGCAGCCGTCAGAAATTCATGGGCTTCAAAGTGGCCTTAGATGATGCAGGAACTGCTGAAGGATGGCTTTTCTGGGATGATGGACAGAGCACTGGTAAGTAGGAGCTGCCTGGCATTCCTGCCCATGCTACAGAGTTGGTGTCTGGATATCTTACATGTTTGTATTTTCATTTTCCATGTTAAAACATTTTTTGAATTTTAAAATGCCGTCATTTTTTACTTCAAGTGTATAATCCATTCTATGTATGATCCTTATAATTTAGGAAAATGAACCTTAGTGCTGAATTTCTCACCAGTATTCAAGTGTCTGATTCATTTTGGCAGACTTAAATTTATTTGTGGTCAACTGAGATAAATTTTATATAGTTGATGATCGAAGGCACATGCCCTAATTACATGGTTTACTGTTCCTGCAAGACAATGTCTCTATCAGTTGTGCTATTTATAGGGAATTTTCCATTACAGGTTTACCTTAATAACTTCTTAAGGGAATGAATCAAGGATCATTAACTCTTTTTAAACCAATGCTGTCTGGTAGAACTCTCTGCAGGGAAGGAAATGTTCTGTATTTTTTTCTGTCTAATACAGTTTTAGGCATATGTGACTATCAAGCCATTGCATGTGACAGGTACATCTGAGCAACTGAATTTTAATTTTAATTTAAAATTGCATAGCTACAGTTTTCTGGTGGCTTCTGTCTGGGGCAGGACAGTTCTAGAGGATGGCCACTGGGGGCTGATCCAATGATGAATGAATGAGGAAGAGACCAACACGTGGGGGAGGTTGAGAGAGCCATGTGGGTGAGAGTAGGACAGAGGTGCCCATGAGATAGCTCCTCATACTCTCCCAGGGTGGAGTCAAACGTTAAGGATAAAGGACAAAGAGGACTAGTCTGAAATCCTGGAGACCACATTTAAAAACTGCCTAATAACTCTCAAGATAACCCTACTGATGCCCTGTCTTGGTATTTATGAATGTGCAAGTGTCTTTGTGTGTACACACATGAACATTTAAGAAAAAGAATCTTGAATTCAGAACCATGTACATCTAAGAAAAAGAATCTGGAATTCAGAACCATGTTGGTTGGGGCTGATCTCAAGTAGGTTTAGGAAACCACTAAATGGAGTTACTACGACAGAAATGTGTACCTATTCACTTATTCCTAACATTTGATGTTAGCTGTGATTCGGTGAAGTCTGACTAGATTTCATAAAGAAGATTTAGGTTATGAAATGGAATTATGCAAAGAAGAAAAGTCAAACACAAACAAAAATAATCCCTGTCTCTTAGTGAGTGCTAGTAGGTGATTAGGATTCTCTCATGCAGGTCCAGGTTTATTTACCTTGTTGTTTGTTTGCAGATTCCTATGAAAAAGAACTCTATTACTTGGCCAGATTTTCTGTCAGCCAGGTGAGTTTGACTGACAAAGAAAGGGGTGCAGAGTTACATTTACCTAGCAGATGCTGGTTGTCATATGGGTCTAACATTCCTGTGCTGCTCATGGTGCTTATTCACATCCTTTCCTTCCTCCAGATTTCAGACGCAGGCTTTGTCTGGTTCCCAGGAAAGCTATGGTGACTGAAACTATTCATGTTTCACCAGTGTCTTATTTCAGTTCACCGTTTCACAGATAGGTAGACTGTGTCTACACCATCTGGCCCTCTTCCTGTTTTGCCTTGGATTGATCTGAATGCTTTGTGACTCCCCAACACGTGGGATATTAGTGGTGATTGTGTATTGTGTCGAGTTCAAAGCAATGCTAGAGAACTTGCAGGTGCCAGTGCAGAGTAGATGGCCCTTGATTACAGGGGATAGGATGCTGACATGATTTCACTATCTAAGGATACAGTTCACTGCAGGATCCACATCTGTGCCTAAAAGGATATTTGGAAAAATTGAACTCATTTTGCTGTGTTTTCTTTGTGTTTTGTTTTCAATTTGACAGAATACAATGCAAAGCCATGTAATTTTAAACAATTTCATCGTTGATACAAACCCTTTGAAATTGGGCTACATTGAAATCTGGGGAGTGGGCAGTGTCTCCATTAGCAACGTGACCATCTCTGTGAGGAATGTGGATATACCACTCCCTGTCAGCTACAACCCTACCACACAGGTTTGTTTCCGGTGGAAGTCTAATGGTGTCCTGCCTACATGCCATGCTCAGTGCCTGCTTCCTCTCTGCATGATTCCTTTTCCTGAAAAACCCTTCAAAATCTCCACTGGCAGTTAGCCTGTGCTGTAGAGAGAGGAGGGGAAAACATGATTTACCCCAAATTTAGAATTGAAGGTCTGGATTCTTATTTTCCACATTGGCCTTTTTGTCTGTAAGCCTATATGAAGCTTTGTATATTTATTCTCTCATCTCAGAGACCATCTTACCAAACAATTTGAATTATTATTTTTAAAGTGTAAGACATGATCAGCTAGAAATGCTTTATTTGTGAAAGAATGACAAAATCATGAGATAATTTTTCCTATAACCCATGTTTTAAGAACAATACCTTAATAATTGGTAATAAACATATTTTATCTTATTTAAATTCATATTATAATTTATTTATTATTTTATAATAAAATGGTTTATTATTTAAAAGAAAAATATGTGGTACAATTGGTTAAGCTATGCTTATTAAGAAGGGTATTGTAATTCCACATTTCCTCAATTTTTCTTATTGTCTATATACAGTGTTCTCCCAACCCACTAAAGTGCTTTATACAATTTTTTATTTGAATACTGCCTTTACTACACATTTTTCCTAAGATAATCTTTGTTCTTTTTATTTGTTTGTTTTTTGAGGCTCTTACTCAAAAACACTACTGTACTATGTAGTGTGGGCTGGCCTTGAACTCACTATGTAGTCCAGGCTGGCCTTGAACTTGGATTGATCTATGATCTAATACATGCACTCATATTCTGGAAGGTGTCTACCTAGAAAAAAGCAGAAATATTAAATTCTTTCAAGGTGCTATTTAGTGACAGGAAAACAGAAAATAATAGGTGAGCTCCAAGGAAAATCAGCACTTGAAAAGCATGGAAAAAAGGACGTCCTCTCTGATTTGTCTCTGCAGTTGTTACTCTTCAGTGGTTGTGTGTTGCAGTTGTGATGCACCTGATTTATTTTTCTGTGGGAAAGTTCAAGTAGCAAACACCCAATACTTTTCCATTGTTTCCTAACAGGTGTTGAATATCGACGTGACCAGAGAAAGCATTAGCCTGCAAGATTTCATTTCATTGACATGGAAAAGCTCTCTGTAAATTTTTAGGACAATATCCTAACTATAATGATTATTGGATCATTCCCAGTATGGATAAAATTCTTGACTGATTTTATTGTATGTTTTGTCTGTAACCTAATGGTTAAATATTTGCTCTGAGGCATAGACAGTAGAGTGGTGTGGAAAAAAATTCTATGGTTAATTAATGTTCCAGAGTGATTAGTATAGTATAGATGGTTCATCAGGTGGCAGGTATAGGAGATGAACTGGGTCTAGGATGAAGTATGTGTCCATGTTTATGTGGGTGTGATTGATCATGGAATGGGCCCCTCACTTGCTAAAGGCATAACAAAAAGCTTGCCATGACAGCTCTTGGCCTTGAAGCTAGCCAATGGCTCAAGAGAGAATCTAGAAAGAACATCTGCTCATTGAGTATAGGGTGGAGGAAACAACATGCTACAGCATGATACAAGCAGGAAAAAAAGGCAACTAGAGGAAAGGTGAGCCAGGAAGATGCAACAACAGTGACCTCAGTGGCCTTAAGGAGAAGAAGAAGGAAGTCACCTTGGCTGAAAGAGAGAAGAGAAGCTTGAGGAAATCATGAGCTAGAGGGAACAGGATGAGATTTAAGCAGGCAAATGTGAAGAGAAGGAATTTGAATATAAAAATAATTTATTTTCACAGATGTGCTTTGGAATATATAAATCTTATTTCTCTACCCTGCCTAATGTATATAATGACATTCCACACAAACACATGCAATTTTTTGCCAGAGAAAAAGAAAATAAATGAATTTACAAGAAATTCTGTGTGTTGTGATCTTTTGTCTGTGGGTAATTTCACTTCAGAGTTAAGGCCTCTTCTTGTTCAGCAAACTCTTGCAAGTTGGTTATCCTGTTCCCTTCAGCATCAGAGCTCCTGCTTTGTAATACATCAACAAAACTATCAGATTATGACTGGCCATCCTTTCCTTTTTAACTTTTTTTTTGTGTTTTTTTCATTTTTATCGGTACCAGGGATCGAACTCATGACTGCCTGCTTGCAAGGCAGGTGCTCATGCTGCTGAGCTAAATCCCCAGCCCCGTGGCCATCCTTTCCTTACATCTCTGTGATTAGTTCTTCACACGTTTTAAGTTTGTGGAAGAACGTACTTGAATTGTTGCAGTTTGTGCATGTGCCAGTTATTTCATAGAATTTGGCTGAATATTAACTCTGGCAAAAATAAGCTGCAACGCTATTGTTTAAAACACTAGATGATTAAAATTTGGATTAAAGAGATTATGTAATAATGTTCCACAGAGATATTTACTTTTATTGTTATTTGAAAAATGAATATATTTGAAATGCATGTTTACTACATGTCTTTTCTGATCTAGCAGGAAGCCATTCTGCTTGCTTCTTCAGCTGTAAGCAATTTCTGTGTTTTACAGTGTCAAGTTAGCTTATGGTAAAAATAAGAAAAATTCACATGAGGATCTGGGCTAACTATGAAACCAGAGAGACCTGGAAAAGCAACCTGGGAATCATTTTATCGAAATGATGGAGAACTTATCAATCTCCTCTAACCAATGCAGAAAGACTGTAAAGATGAATATGTTATTTGCCTCATACTGTAGAAATTTTTGATGCTACCATCAGGGGTGTATAAGTTGCCTCTGGTTGCCCCAAAGTACTCATGAAAATTTCTCTCTAGACAATCCTGAGAACCAAGACCCTGAGTGAGAATGTAGTGGCTGGGGACTTTTGTAGTGTCAGGGACCCCATTGATGGCTTGATGATACCTATGGAATCCTTCCTTAAAGCAAAGTTTTAAAATGAATAAAATAAAATTCAGATTATTCCAACAGACACTTATTATATCAAAATTTACTTATTCAAATAATTAAAATTTGACAGCAATATATGAAATTTATTTTTAAAATAGGAAGTGATCCCAGTGGAACCAATACTATTGTGATTTAAATGTAATTATAAGTCTAAATAATATTTTGTTATAGCTACAATAATCTGACAATGTGTTATGAAAATATCTGATTCTGCTACAACTTGTAGTCTTATTATCTATATTCATAATCTCAGGAAATACTAAGTTAGAAATAAGTAAAAAATGTTTTTCCTATATACTGATGGTATATAACATGTTTTGCTCTATTTATTCAATGTAGAAAGACTTAATAGAGCTGATCACCTGAGCATTTCGCTCAGCAGCGTAAGTGCCTGCCTTGCAAGCATGCAGTCATGAGTTATTCACAGAGTCCCTAAATTGCACCACAGAAGTCTGAGCTATCTAGTAGTAAAGCCCCAGACTAAAATAATGTCAAGTCCCACGCTCCAGTTTAGCAGCCTAGCCTAAGTAACTCTAGCTGTCAATAGAGCTCCAAGCACAAGCACCTGCTTATTCCCTTTCTCTTGAGGTCACTTTTGGCTTTTCAAATAATTTTACATTTGGATGGTATATAACATGTTTTGCTCTATTTATTCAGTGTAGAAAAACTAAATAAAGTTGATCACCTGGGCATTTCGCTCAGCAGCATAAGTGCCTGCCTTACAAGTGTGCAGTCATGAGTTTGCTCCCTGGCACCAAAAAAAAAAAAAAAAAAGCTAATCATCACATCCATATTATTGTCATTTTTGCATGGTAACACATAAAATCTATCGTTAGAAATTTTTATGTGTAATGTGTAGTATACTTTGGGTTTCTGAGCAGCTAGCTCCTCAAGGAGATGCTGATCTTCTGTATAGAAACAGAAAGTTTCTTAAGCAGCTTTGGCAAAGGTCAGGGGGATCTGGGACCTGTGACTCTCTTGTTTCTCTGCCTAGAGAAGAGCCATCAACCTCAGTGTGAGCATGCATTCTGTTGCCCTCCCTCACAGACTTTGGGCCACTGGTGGGGCACTTTGTATTGATTTCATTTGGGGAAGGAAAACTCAGAAGCAGTCTGTAAATTCAGAAGATGTTATTAAATCACTGTTTTTGTAGGGTCGATTTTTCTTATTTGCACAATACTTATTTCAGGCTGATGTTGAGACTTCCAAGCTGTGGAGTTGTGAAGAGTCCTAGGACTCATCCTTGTTCCCTAGGAGAGATAAAAAGGGGAAAAGGCATATTCACGGGATGTGGAGCTCCCCACCCTGGCTTCCGCCACTGATTTTTGTTTATTCTGGGGTCTTATCTAAAATACATATTTATCGGCAGTCCTAAGAAATTTTGTAAAGGAGATTTTTTTATTCTTTTAAAAAATTATTGAGAATCCTAGTAGGCCTTTTCTGTAGAGTTATATTTGATATTTTTATATTAAAATGTAAATTATCTTTTCCAAAACAAAAATGTGAGATTAGTATTATTTTACACTCTTGCAAAACTGTTTAAAGTCTGATTTCATAAAAGGAAGCTGGATTATTATACCTATTTCTGCATTCAACCTTTTGTGATATCACATGTCCAGTGGCCTCTGGAAAACTCCACTGTGGCATATGAGACAAAGAGAATGAAATGAGAAAATGTGATAATATGTTCTTGGTATTTTTATGAAAATAGTTTTACTTTCCAATCATACTGAAAAAGCCTCAGGGACCGCAGAGCTCAGTCTTTAGATCGTGCTTTGATGACTACTTCAAAACGAGCCATTGCTCTCTATGGTGAGCACAGAGCTGTCCCTGTGACAGAGGCCTCTACTTTCAGTCCTGGCCAGATCTAGGGGAAGCTTAGGTTTCAGTTTTCCAGATCCCATAGTTTCACTTTATCTCCTTATAGGTATGTTAAAATACAAAACAAACAAAAAACCAAAAAAATTTTTTTGCACCAAAAGAACAATAACAAAAACCCCCCTCAAACTACTCTAGATCACATAGTTTCATTTTATCTCTTGATAGGGATATTAAAATACAAAAAACAAAATCCACACAAACCCTTTATCATAAATAAGAAGAAATGTATTCCTTTTTAAAACTAAAGCTATCTCATTGTCACATTTACCATAAACATAAGTTTGTTTTGACTTTGGCAGGTATCATCAGAATCTTAGCAATATTCCTTTGTTCATTAATTGTATCTGAAGCAGTGAGACTTTCTCATCTGCTTGGAGCTAAGGGTCATCTGAAAGCTAAGGGTCACACATATTGTTGGTTTCTGACCTGATGTTTGCAACTTCCTGCTTGCGTGCTTTGATAACAGAGATCTGCCAGTAGCTAGCTTCCTTTTGCTAACTGCTCAGAGGCCTGTCTCTTCCTTTCTCTGTCACTTTTTCACTGTTTGACGTTTATTATTAGTTAGAGAGGGGGAATAGTGAAGTTAGCTATTTTTCTGGATATTAGGAAATTAATTATATACTAGCTAGGCGTATGTGTCCTCATTATAACGTGATGTCACAAATGAGCAGGGAATGTGGGGAGTTAGAAGTAAACGCTTATGAAAAGTATAGAAGGATCTTATGTAATAGTATATCCCCTTAATCTTCATTCTTGATCCTTTGCCAACATATCTTTCCAATTTGAAAGGAGATCTAGGTAAATGTCTTCTCGAACAAAGTCTGCTTTGTATTGAGTCTAAAGATAAGGTGGATGTGTCATTCCAGGAGTTCATAAACAGAAACATAGACTCTCTCTGTGTGTATGTCTGCGTAATTTGCCTACATACTGAAGACTATTATTGGCAACATCACTTCTGGTTCACAGACACCATCCAAAGAATCCACTAACCCCTCAAATATTATTAGGGACAATGGGAATAAGAAGGTTTATTGCTGTTTTTGAAACCAGTTTTGCTGCTCCTCAAAAAGTATAACATAGCCTGACCCTACATCCCAGCAATTCTGTCAGTACTTATAGACCCCAAAAATTGAGAATATACACAACTAAATATGTGTAATTGTGGTGGTGTTGTTTGTAGGAGACAAACAGTGGAAATACCCCACATTTGTCAACCAGTGCATAAACAAATGTGGTTTATATCTATCCATAAAATACTACTATGCAGCTATCCAAAGGAATGAATACCTGCTCCCAGAATAAACTTTGAAAACATTATACCCAGTAAATAACCCAGAAATCAATGGCAACATACAATATAATTTTATTTATATGACATATTCAGAATAACTAAATTGCTAAAGAGCAAAACTGATAAGTAGTTGTAGGCATAAGGAGAGAAAGGAATGATAATTATCACTAATGAATATATATATATATATATATATATATATATATAGCTTCCTTTGGGGATAATAAAAAAATTTTAAAATTAGATTGTAATCATGGTCATGTAACTGTGAATATGCTGAAAATCTCTGCATTGTAAAGGGGTTAATTTATGGTATGTTAATTATATTTAGCTCATAATATATTTTATATAGCTTAAAAAATTTATCTAGAAAAAAAATTAAGAATCTAAGTGACTCACTGAAATGCCAGAAGAGAGAAAGAATCAGGTTTGATGACTGAGGTGAGGCATAAGACCCAGGTCACCGGTGGGAAACTGGTGGCAACCCTTAGTGCAGGTCTGGCAGGATACATGCCAGTACTGAGCATGGGATGACCCTACTTCTTGGCTCCTGTTGCAGACAGGTCCTTGACACACAACCTCGCCTTACCATCAAGGACTCCACATGTCACCCCTTTTTCTGCACTTCATTCTGGATATTAGCCACTCACAGGCACATCCCATTCACTGTGCTCAGGCCTCTTTCTTTATGTTGTTGAAAGAAAGGCTGTGAAAGAGATTTTCAAGGCTTTTCTTTGGGTAACAGAATTTTTATGGTGAGAAATTCATTAACCATAAGGACAGTTAGTAAATATGTGAATCAGGCAAAAGGCAGGCAAATATCTGCTAGCTATGTCTTCTCACTGTATGACTATATAGTTTCCATTTTCATGGAGCTCTGCTCACTTAGAATAATTTGGACAGAGACTTTTTTGAATTAATAAAAACCTGAGATAAATTAAGAGAACTTTAGAGGACAGAAGTGGAGACAAGAGCAATGTAGTGGACCAAGAGCTATTTATTCTTTTCTTCATCTATTTAACAAATAGCTTCATATTTTAAAATACCTGTGCATATGAAGTGGAATATTGAGCATAGGAGATGCAACCATGGGAAAAATAAGGAAGAACATGGCTTTTGAGTTCCTTAGGCTACATAGACAGACAAGGAAGCTTGATATAGGTTTCCAGCAGGCAGAGTACTCAGGTATGAGTAGGAACACAAAGAGGGGCAACTATTAGAGAGAACTCCCACCTCCTTAACTAACAAATGGAGCTTTCTCTTTCCTGATAAGGAAGGTTAGCACTCTTTTATGGTATGTTGGGAAATGCACTCCCCTCCTCCAACTGTGGTCAACTTTACGAGGTAGTAAATCGATTGCAGCAGAAGCTGGCTCCAAAGGTCCAGTCACTTTTTCTCAGTGCTCCTGAAACACCCAGGGACAGCCATAGAAAAGAAAAGACTATGAGGTGAGTACTTTTGTCAGTGCATATGGTCTTTTGAACAAGTAGGATCCCTTTCATTTTGTAAGCTTTTCTGTTTCTTGCTCTGTTAAGTAACCTAGATACTCACATTTTCTTCCGGCATGGTGAATCTCTCTCTCCTTCTCTTTCTATCTCTCCCTCTTTCATCTCTCTTTCTCTCTGAGAAACCTTGAAAAGTATAAAAGATGATATCCTTTTGGATTCAGAGGAAGGCAATTGTGTCCCAGTTTTTGGGCAGGAAGGATTTTTAAGAAGAGAAGAATTTCTACAATGAGGAATACCCATCCCTGCCCTATGTCTGGATGACAATATTGCCTTTGGAACGATAATTTCTTGGCTTATTGCCAAGAGTGCCCCCAAACTTCCTAAACTGTTGTGTGGAACCTGCTCCCTCAGGAGGATTGAGTTGTTTGGTTTTGGTTTGTAAAGGCTGGAAAGAAAAAAAAATATTCTTTTGGAAAGAAAGTATACTTGAAAAGGAAGATAATTGATGGCCAATGTATTTGCTAAGATACTTAGTAATGGGCCATGGGTAAAAGAAAATTTAAAAATTATGAATAATTAGGGTGGGCCCCTCAGATTTCTTTCATTACCTGAAATGTCACCATTGGAGATTTGTATTTTATACCTTCAAACCTCAAAGTCTGGTAGATATGTGGAGAGAGAACTCAAGTAGTAGTTTAAGAAGTGGTAACTCAGAGTTTTCCTCAGCTCCACAACTAATAATGATAGACAAAATTCCTTAGCCTTCATCTATAAAAGGGGCATTATGGTGCTTATATGATCAACTTCGATGTAGAGAGGTTATGAGAATGTAGCATGATATATATTTTATGAGTAAATGTTATGAGTAATTTAGATTGAAAGAAAGACACCAGATAGACTGAAGTTAATAGAAAAGAATAGTTAAGCACTAAACCTCGATTTCAATTCCAAACTCTAGTTTCTACAAGAGCTGAAGATTTTTTTCTAAGTATTGGCAAACACTTCCTAAATATTGGCAAATTATTTGTTGATCCTTGATGCTTTTTCCTATTTCGATACTAAAATGCTCCTTTCCTTGGGTTATTACACACTAAAGGTTGACTCAACAACCCACTTCGGTAAAATGAAGTCATGGCATTGGGCTACAGGAAAAGAAAGCTGTAAGGAAATGTAAAGTAAGAGAAAAGTCAAAACAAAACAAAATTGGGTACACTGATCTTTAGTTTCACATAAATAGCGGTTTAGTGTGGTGCAAATATAGGATACAGGCTGAGTGTAAGGGGTATCATGAATAATTTGCTCACAAGATAAGAAAGTTTAGAGTTTATCTAAGGAAGCATTAAGACTTGAATTTAAGAAATATGAAGGATTCTATTTGTGCTACGTGACTGGGGAAATGGAGAATACAGTCTGGCTGAACTTTTGTGAGAACCAACAGGAATCAAAATGATTCTCAGGTATTTTTTTAAAAAGTAAATGTAGTTCTTTTCCTCAATATATTAATTATTTGAGGGCAGTTGATTTGGCAGAATTGGCAGAAATTATGAATTGAATGTTGGGGGATTGTTTCATGTTTCAAATATTTATTTTTGTTGATTCTTGTGGACACTCAAGTGAAATATTGTACAGGTTATTAAATATGTGAATCTAAATCTCTGAGTAGAAATGCAGGTCATATTGTTCACATGTGATTTAAATTAATGTGAATAGATGCAATTGTTAAAGGAGAGTGGGAAGGTTTAAACAGGGAATTCCTTGAAAATATGAGATACGTTAATATATAATCAAATAAGTGATGCTCCATATAAATTGGAAAGATGCCAAAACTGTACGTGGCAATTTGAGATTGAATGGTATTGATATCAAGGTTTTGGTGGGTGGAGAGTTTCAAGGAAAAGGGAGTGGTTGATAGATCTAGAGGATTAAAACAGCATTTAGTAAGTCCCTGATGACCTTGGCAAGAATGTTCCAGTAGATTGCAGAAAACACAAACCATCCCAGTAAACAAACCATGCCAGTAAGATGTGTCAGATTGAGTGGTATTGGCTTTGGTGGGTGGAGAGTTTCAAGGAAGAGGGAGTGGTTGATAGATCTAGAGGATTAAGACAGCATTTAGTAAGTCCCTGATGACCTTGGCAAGAATGGTTCCAGTACACTGCAGAAAACACAGGCCATGCCAGTGAGATGTGAGGAAGGTAATAAGGACAGTGTGTCATTATCGTTTTGCAAAGTTAGATGTGAAAGGAAAAAGAATGTTAAAGTGTTACCTAGAGAAGACTCATCAACAGTTTAGGGTGACAGAATCCATTTAACAGGGATAAAGCAAGTTTGAAAAGAGATGATTTTAATGCAAGTAAAAGGAAGTAGAATTGGTTAAAACAAGATTTTTGAGAAATTCAATGACTATGAGATCTAGAGAATAGATGTAAGGATTATGCTGGGACAAGAAGAGGATAACATATTGGAAATATATTTGAGAACATATTGGAAAAGATAAGAATTTGCCTTGTTATGCATAATATTTATAAGATGCTCGAATTTAGAAGCAGGGAGATCGTTTCTGCAAAACAGTTACTTTTTATTGATATTAGAGATTAGGTAAGAATAGGACAGTAGATGACAGCAGTTAGGCTTGAAAAGAAGGATTGACTCTTTAATTCATTTCTGAGAACAATGATTGGAGCTAGTAATATCAGTTTGTAGGCCCATTGTTTTTTGGGGAAAGTATGGGCCCGAACAGTGTGTGTTAAGTTAGTGCAGCCACACAAAGACAGAAGTTTGGTCTGATTGTCTCATTACAAAGATTCAGTTAGCAGAAGAGAGGGAAAAGTTATGCAATAGACATTGATGTTTATGTCAGTAAGGATAACAATATGGAAGAGCTAAGAGACCAAAAAGAAATGGGAAAAAGACAGAAATCTCAGTGTAATCAAAGAAGAAGGAAGACTGAAGTAAGGCAATTGAAAAGCAAAAGGACATCATTTTGTGACCAGTAAATGAGAAACTGAGTTTAGGATTTCAAAAGTGGAACAGTTCTGGAGCACAATAAATTCCAGAGTGGGTAGAGCCATAGTGTATGGACAATGGAAATGGGGCGATGATGAGAGTCACTGAAGTTGAGAACTGTCACAGAGCTACCAGGTGCACAGTATTAGCTTAATTATAATTATAGTATAACATGTGGGAATAGATCCGCAATCAGATCTCATTTGTGTAGGTGAAAATCACAGGTCTGCAAAGGTAAACATTTTGTCTGTTCCTAAGCAAAAGAGGACAAGAATCTGAGTCCAGGTTAGCACATTTTTCAATGTCAAAATAGTAACACTTAGGTTCATACATGATCGCCAGGGTTACTGTGAGACATTTCATTTATATGACTTTGTGTGCTGTGAGCATACATGTAAGCATCATGCTTGAGGTCAAGAGAAGGTTTATTTTTGTTAGCAAATCCTTAAAAGGATCAGTGACCTCCAAACAGTTGAGCACCTCAGCTTTATGCCACTAGGAATTAGATGACTTAGATTCAGTTTCTGCTAGTTTCTGTCTCCTCTTTTCCACTACACAGATTGAACGATCAAAGTGACTTTAGAAAGGAGTTTTGAGGTCTTTTAACCCCTCTATTTTCACTTGTGTTGTTTCAATTTATGCCTCATGTACTTTTCCTTGGAAAATACTCAGTGTCTTTGTAGACAAAAGGTAAGAGGCCTAGAGCTGCTGGATGCAAAATGGAGTTGATGCTGTAGTTGAGTAGAAAATATTCTCTCGATTATGTGAAGAGAAATACTGATCATCAGATTATACGGTAGACAAGTTCATGTCTTAATCACAATGCCTGTCTATTCTTTTGGTTTATGGGTCTCTGTGGCTGGCTGTGTTTATTACTGTGGTTATCTGTGTCCATCTAGATGGCTAGGAAGCTCACTGTTTTGGAAGTCCTTCTGATCACCATCGTGACTGCAATAATTGCAAACATTCTGTTGCTGATTTTTGCGTTGCAGTATCATTCAGGTAAGGGTGATGTTGTGACTGGTGAGTTGGGAAGATGGCTAAATGTGTCATTTTGGGGGGATACCAAAGAGGTCACTTTACCTTCACACTTCAACATGTCATTACATTGCTGTGTTCAAAATCCGTACCCACAATTAATGCGTGTCAATCTTCCAGATAAGCTCTTCTCCCCATATCTAAATCTTGAATATTAGGTTTTTCTAGCTCCACTTGTTGTAAATCTAACAAGATGCACTTAGCACTCACTGGACACTTTCCCTTCCATGCAGTCATCAAGTACTAGAATTCTCAAGGAGAAAGTACAATGAAGAAAACAGTGACTAGTTCTATTCATATCATGGAAAAGGTCACTAGGGCACAGGAAAATTGATATACTGACCTGATACATGCATTGTAATTAGTCTGTATTCCATATTATTACTGAAATAGCTAAGGATTTTTAAACAGATATTTTCAAAATTGCTCTCTTTCTCCCTCCTCCTCTCCCTCCTTTGTTTTCTCCCCCCTCCCACATTCACACACACAGAAGCGTTAAGTAGACTTACTTCTCCTCAAATGTAAATGCTATCTTCTAAATGATAAAATAGGTGAAATATAAAAAATTACTTCTAATACAAACTAAATTTGGGGCTTTGCTCTGTTCCCTAAAGCCTTTTATAGATGTGAGTAATCCTCCAGTGAAAATAAATTGAACCGGGCCTGGGGATTTAGCTCAGTGGCATAAGCGCCTGCCTTGCAAGCCAGCAGTCATGAGTTTGATCCTTGGTACCGATTAAAAAAAAATAGAAAAGAAAAGAAAAGAAATTGAACTGATAATAGAAATTGTCTGTTCAGTCTGTCTTCAAACCTCTACAAAAGAAACACTGAAGTACGTTCTAGGAAAAATCAGTTTTCTGAGATAATTGAAAAATCATTGATGTTAATCACTTTGAGTCTATTCCTACTTCTTTCCAACATTTTTTGGAGAAGAGATTACTATTCAGTAGTCTTAGTTACTTTTTACTCATTGCTGAGACAAAATACCTGATGCCCAAAGTTGGCAAGGGAAGGTTTATTTCTTACAGTTCTTGGAGGTTTCAGTCCATACTTGGTTGGCTCCAAGGCAGGGTGGCATGGCAGGGCCGTGGTTCACGGCAGCTGCAAACAGCAAGGCAGAAGAGAGAGAGAGAGATAAGCTTTCTTCCTGCCATTACATTGTATGCTGGCTCCACCCCTATGTGGGTGTAGCACTGACACTATTAATCTAAGCTCTATTCAATGAACCAATCACAAATGCATAATGCAAACGCATGAGGCCTGGGGCCACTGGCATAAACCATGACACCAGTGTACATACAGTTTCATTATGTGAAATGAAACTAATTTTCACACCTATGTTCATGCCAGAACACACTCTAATTCATCCAAAGTAGGTCCAGATTTAACCATTTTGCATACTGGACTTTTCTCTGAGATATTTCTGATGATATTTTCATGGGCTGAAAAGCGAATTTAATTTTTTTTTGTAAGAACATGTAAAATGAAGCATACATTTTTAACAGACTTTTAAGTACATATGAGTGTTATTATCTATAGAAACAATGGTGTACATCAGATTTATATAATTTATTTTTCAAAATATGAATATATTTTTATTAGCAATTATCCACTTTCCCTTTCCCTGACACCTAACGTTCTATTTTCTGCTTCTATGAGTTTGACTGTATTAGGGAATTCATATAGAAGAAGTAGTGCAGTATTTGTCCTCCTGTGACTGGCTTATTTCACTCAGCATGTTGTCCTCAAGGTTCACCCATGTTGCATATCACAGGACTTTTCCCTTTTTAAGATTAAATAATATTCCATTGTATGTATGTCATATATATATATATATATATATGATATATATATATCACATCTGCTTTATCCATTCCACCTTTAGTAGACATAGAATTTTTAAAATACATCTTGGTTACTGTGAATAGTGAAGCAATTAATATGAGAGTAGTAATAGCCTTTTAAGATCCTGACTCAATTCTTTGGATAAATATTCAGAAATGGGATTGCAGAAATATATGGTGATTTATTTTTAATACTATGAGGGACCTCTTATTGTTCCCATAGTGGCGGCACCAAGTTACATTCTCAGCAACAGTGTGCAAGTTTCAGTTTCTTCACATCTTTGTCAGCAGTTGTTTTTTATTGTAATCATTAACACCTATTGAATGTACAAATTTGTGACTTTCACTGTGACACATACATGTGTGGACCCTTCCTGGATTGTACCCACCTTCTTTCCTGCTCACTCTTGCTCTCCTCATTTTATTTTTAATAACAACTACCCACCCAGGTGTTCCTTGACAACTAGTGATGCAGGGCATCTTTCACATAGTTGTTATCCATTTGTATGTATTCTTTGAAGAACCATCTATTCAAACCTTTTGCCTGTTTTTAAAGTAGGCTATTTGTTTCTTACCTTAGAGTTTTCTGAGTTCCTTGAACAATTTGGAAATTTGTTTCTTACCAGATATGATGTGTGACCAAAACACACAATGAATATCTAAACGAAAAATTTTTAAAAAGTTACAGTGAAAAATGCATTGCCATTAATATTTCTCAAAATACTCTCTCATGCTTCAAACACTTTCTGAAGGAGTTCTGGAAGTATTCCATTTTTAATGTCTCTGTTAGTTGCCCTGTTATTACTGTCTTGGTATTCTGAATCAATGCAAAATATTGATGGCATTTTTTTTGTCAAGTTTTTACATTCTCATCCCAGGCACCATTTTACCTCTAGCTATTTATCAAAGTCAAAATGATTATGAAAGGCAAATGTTTTGAACTGATTCAAGAGATCAATTTTACATTTATTGCCTATGCTTGTGGTAAAATCAATGTTATGAAACTTTTACCATGTGTTTTCAATTAGGAATTTTATAATTTCAGGTCTTATGTTTAACTCTTTAATTTTGAAACAAATATATGCATACTCATTAAGTATAGATCCATTAAACATAGTCAAGAGATAATTTGGTAGTCTTTCTGAATGACACCAACAGTATCAAAGAGAACCTATTATGCAGAAACTGTTGCATGAAGCATCAAAGGAAGTCCTGTGTTTTGGGTGTATAAAGAAGTCCGTTGACTCAGTCCTATTCTGCTGTTACACAAGGGAAGGGTTGAGAAATTTGTTAAAATAAGGATGACTAAACCTGAGTGAAAGTGTGTATTTTGTATGAGACCAATTAATATCCTCCAAGTCTACATCAAAGTTTGTTGGAAGTGAGTGGAGCAAAACCAAACACAAGCAAACAAACAAAGGAAAATACAAACCTAAATGTGCAATGCAATTGGGATCCATGTGCGAAGCAGATGATGTGGGATTCTAGCCTGACACTATTCATTAGAGTAACTCAAAATAGATCAATGACCTAAATACAAGAACCCAAGCTATAAAGCTCTAAGAATACAGGGACAAATACCTGTGACCTAGGGTCTGGGAACAGTTTGTTAGAGAATACCCAAAGCATTCAACCAAAGAAAAACTAGGCAAACTGCACCTCAAAAAACTGAAAATTTTGTGCTTTGAAGGACATCATCCAAAAAAGTAAAGGGATGATTCACAGAATCAGGAAAAGTATTTATAATGACTTATCTGGTAAAGGCCTAACATTTAGGATACATAATGAAATACTACAATTGAGAAGTAAAAAGAAAAGTAACCCAATTTTAAAATAAAGGATTTAAATAGATATTTCTTTGGAGAGATCTACAAATGACCCTAGTCCATGAACTATATTCAGCAACATCAGTTATTTGGAAAACACAAGACAAAACAATGACATTGCATTTCAGACTCAGTAGAATGACTATAATAAAAACAATAACAAGAATTATTTACATTACAGAGATATCATAATCCTCATACTTGGCACTAAGAACATAAAATAGTACAGTCACTTTGGAAAAGAACTTGTCAGTTGCTAAAAATGTGAAAGATAATCACATGACTTAGCAATTGCATTCTTACACAGCTGAGGGAACTGAAAACTTGTTCACACAGAATTTTTACATGAATAGTCACAGCAGAGTTATGTACATTAGTCAAAAGGTGGAAATGCAAAGGTACATCGAATGATGAGCAGGTAAACAACATGTTTTACATAGTAAGCTATGACTCAGCTATAAAAAGGGATGCAGCACTGATACATAGCAACATCAAAGAAACTGGAAGACATTAGACCAAGTGAAAGAAGCCAGACAATAGTGGGTGCTCGCATTATCATGAAGCTACTATGAAATGTTCAGAATAGAAAACAGTGGAGAAATAAAAGAGATTCTTGTTTATCAGAGACTGGAAAAAATGGAATAGCAGTGTGATTTGTTTACAGAGTTACGAGTGTGTTTAGTGTGGCATGTGTTACACATGTGTACCAACTCCTCACAATGAATGTAATCATTATGTACTGCACCCAGGGACTAATAAAAATTAAAATTAAAGCTGGATAGAGTGATACAGACCAGTAATCCCAGCATTTGGGAGGCTGAGGAAGAAGGATTGCTGCAAATTTGAGGTCAGCCTGAACTATGGAGTGAGACTGTATCTTTTTAAAAAACCTGAAAGCCAAAACCAAAACAAACAAACAAACAAAAACCAAACAAGTAATCAACCAAATAAACCATTCCCAAACAGTATTGTCACTTGAAAAAGTTTATGGTACATCAATTCTACTTCTAAAAATCAAAGAAACAAAGCAAAACAAACAAACAAAAGAAAAACCCCAACTGAAGTAGATTCAGCACTTGGAAAAGTGTAAAACACTGTATAGATACCAACTGTCAGTGATTTGTTGATTGAAGGACCTACTGAAAGTCTGTTACCTTTCACTTTCCTTTCTGGGGCTGTGTGTACACTACAGATTTTAATTTTGTACTTTAATTTCTATGCAGATTCGTTTACTCCAGAGTGCCCTGCGATCCCCCAATCAGAACGGATAGACTGCTTACCTCATCAGACGGTGACAGAGGTTAGAGGGTTGGGGCCCCTGGTGGCCAGCCAAGTTTTATTTAAAAGAAAAAAATCTAGAAAGGTGCTGGTGGGGTGGCTTCAGGATCTGTGATTTGTGGGGAGATGTTTTTTCTTGCTTAATAAAAAGCAAAGCAAACATTAAAGAAGTGAAGGAAGCAAGGTGGAGGAAAGAAAAGAAATGCAGGAAGAGGTACTGTCCTAAAGTCCAAAGTGGAAGAAATTTTCAAATATTGGCGATCACGTTATGAACATAATTCAATGGTTAACCATGGAAAAGTTAAACATTTGTGAACTAGACTTCATATTCCTTGAGAATGACGCCAGCAAGCCCACACAGATGACAATTGCTCAGAGAATTCAGTGAATCGTTATGAAAAGAGCCTTTTGGAATTGTGTTATTGACAACAGGGGTCCCAATGAATATATGGTAAAGAACAGGGTTTTCTCTTGAGTGACTTCGATAAGAATTTCAACTGACCAAAATGTGGTAGCACACAGCTATAATCCCAGCTCTTGGAAGGCTGAGACAGGAGGGTCACTGTGCGTTCATGGCCAGCTTGGGGTTCATAAGCGAGTTCAGGGCCAGTCTGCACTACGTAGTGAGACTTATCTAAAAAAAAAAAAAATACAGAGAGAGAGAGAGAAAGAGAAAGAGAGAGGGAGAAAGAGAGACAGAAAGACTGTCAACTATTTGAATTGTGTTTAGTTGTAACTTATGAATTTGTCATAAAGGTTGTGTATATATGTAGATTTTATTTCTTTACCACAATTCTCTTAGTGTGTTATTATGATATTAATTATGACTATATAGAATTTTAGGCTAAATTGGAAAGCATTCAGACTGCAATAATTTTAAATCTTCCCATGCCATAACAAGAGCTAAGACAAATAATATCAACAAGTATGAAAAAGGTGATGGAGGAGCCAGAAGAGAATGGGGGAGGGAGAAGGAAAGAGAAAGAGATTAGAAAAATTAATCTGCAATGTATACATGTAATCACTCCTCAGGATAACTGTAAACTTCATGAATTTTTTTAAAAAGTTATAACTTCTGGGTATGGAGGCTGAGGCAGGAAGACCATTGTGAGTTCAAGGCTAGCCTGAACAACATAATGAAATCCTGTCTGAAAAGGAAAAAGAAATGAAAAAAATTATAACTAAAAACATAGAAAACATGTCCATTTCAATTACCAGGTGCATATATATATATATATATATATATATATATATATATCTTAAGTGATTATTATGTCTCTCTATTGTTTTGCTGCATATAAATGCTGAAATTTTTCCTAGGTTTTCATATTCTGTTTCTATTGAAAACATAATTCATTATGTTTTCTAGCTGATGATATTTTATTACAATCCTTCCTTTCTTACCAATTATTTTATATGTATTATTTTTATACAGTTATTTTATTACATAATTGGCCAATTTGAATTTCCTATTGTTTTTAGAAAAGATTGATATAATTCTTTGAGTTATTATAGTTATGTCCTAAACAAATAATAATAACTTTGCTTTGTACTGATATTTATCTCATTTACACATCCAGTTGTACCATATAGTTCTTCCAAAATGATATACATGAAGTGATGGTGCTAAGAAACCCTTATTTGCACTTGAATTTAATGGAAATTCTTCATATGTAAGATAGTAAGCAAGATGTTGGTGCTGACTAAAGAGACTTTCATATATATTAGGAACCACCTCTAGAGTCTTATTTTTTTTCTTAAAATGAAAAGCTGATTTCCTTTTTGGAAATTTAGTATTGAAATGTAAAAAAAGCATGTAAAAAAGCTGAAGGACTTTTGTGATAACGTCCATTACCTAGCACTTAAATTCTACCATTAATTTACCTTGTTTATTCATCTACATTACTCTACTCTACACTGTATCAACCTATCTTATTTTTACATACCTGAAAGTATATTCCAGAAACCAGCTCATTTTCTCATGTTTCTCATCATTCATATTAATTTTAATCATGGTTTTATCTTTAGATACAATATTATATATAATCAATGTAAATAGTGAACATTAAATATTTCACACATCTTAGGAACATTTGTTGAGTTATGACAGTTGATTGTAGCTATTTAATTCAGTGCTGGTCATAATACAGATTGTTAGCATCATCTAAGACGGTCCTTTACAGATATTTTGTACTCCCTTCAGAGATCATCACTGAAAGGATTTCTCAATACTATAGTTTAGTTTTGCTTGTTGCAGAACTTCATATACGTGGAATCATATAAGATAAAATAAATAAAAATTAAAAAAATAAAAATTTAAAAAGGCTGAAGATATAGCTTAGTGCAGAGGCCTGGATTCAATAATCAGAATCACACACACACACAAAAGAAAAAGTTCAGGAACATTTTCCTTGATTTTTGTAATAGATTTGTTACTACTTACTGAAATGACTTTCTGTTTTTGCATTGCAGTGGCATGTTTATTGTAAACTGTATGCTTATATCTATAGATTTTCGTCTGAAATCCAGCCTGTTAAATTATTAGTGTTATTTTTTGTCAATATCACATTATCTTATAGTTGCTCTTGATATGGAGAGGTATGTTTTCCAAATCATTGTTATTCTTCAAGATTCTAAGTCCTGTTCTTTGCCTTTAGACTGTAGAATGAATTTTAAAATTAGCCTGCCAACTTTTTCACAAAATCTATCAGAAATTCAATTGTCACTGAATAAAATGTACTAATTGATTTTATGATAATTATCATTTCTATTAAAGTGAATATTACAAGTCAGAAATGTAATATTGACTACCCATTTATCCAGAGTTTCATTTTTTAATCATTGGTGTAGACAACTTGCGCAGTGTTTTAATTTTTAAATTAAATATTTGACTCTAATTAAGTACTATTTTCAAATGTTAATTTTCTCTTTCTGTGTTGTGGGCATAGATTTAAAAACTGGTTTCTGAATATTGATGTAGTAACCAGAGACCTTCTTAACTTCACTTATTCTCTTCATTTTTATATAAAATCATTTGGGGTTTTCTTATATGGTGATTGTAACTGCAAACAATGGCACCACTTTTTCTTTCTATATATTCCTCTTTCTTATCACACAAGTATAATAACTCCTTTTTAAAAAAAATTAATATGGCTTGAGATAGTTAATATGAAAGAATGTGAAAGGAGTAGCTTTTAGAAAATGATACTTTCTGGAAGTTGACTGTAACTAAATATAGGAAATATTAGTGCAATAAAATACTAAATACAAAAGTAGAACTTCTTGATTTTGTTAAGCATTTATCAGAGACTCTATTTAAGACTGTATTTTCATCAACTGGAAGGTAGGCTCAGTAAATTCCAGGTCAATTTTAAATTCTTATATTAGTGAACAATGTGTGATTGAAAACTTACATAGAATTTATTTGCAAGATAACAAGCAATAATCTTTTGGCAGTTTAGTGTTGAAGAAAGAATAGAAACAAGGAGACTTGTGAGCCAGGCAACTTAGGCATGGGTTTATGAATATGTGTGTCATTATGACAGCAACAGGAATGAGGAAGAAAGAAAGCAATACTGGGGCAGTTCACATGCATGGAGGGTATAAGGATTCTGAAGGAGTGGAAAGTAATCGTCTACAAGGTTTGACGTTTGGTGTCTGGGACTGATGAAAGGATATTAGATTAGGTCTCACACAAAAATATGTTTATCTGAATGTTCATTGCTTTTTATGGAGGTTTGTAGACTTTGAAACAATTTATGACAATGGAATTAACCTTTTGGACTCAATATACCTCGATTTCAAGGTGGTAGAAGTTCTTACTATCTGCCTTGCAGTTAGGAAAATAAGTCATCCAGAGGCCACCTAGAATCCCAAAATCTTTCTTCACCGATACCCAGGAATCTTTTTTGTTGTTGTCCGAAAAGAATGAGACAGGAATGTCAATTAGATTTATGGAGAACTACTAAATATTTAAATAGTTTTTATGATTATAATGTGCTTTTTCATAGTGGGTATTGACTTATATTCCATCAATATTAGGGTTTTACAGAAAAATTGTATCAAGTGCTGGTGTCTAAAATACTAGTCAGTACTCTATACCTGTTGCAAATGAATTGTGTGGTGACATATTCTTTATTTTTTGAGTAACACAATCTATACTGAATATAATCCTTTAATAAAAAGTTCAGACATTGTAGTTCTGTGTAAAATCAACTGGGGTAGTTCTCTTTATTCATGTTTTCTCTGCACATCCAAATCCCCTTCCCAGTAATGAGGCAGTAACTCCACGTGCATCTTCTCTTGGTCTTTCCCTACTCACTGTTCTTCCCCAGTGTTCTCAGCTTGTTAAGTTTGTGATTTTCAGTCTCCTGTGTATTGCAAGGGTGGTACCGCCAGGCATGGGGCTGAGATTTCCTATTCTGCGAGAGATGAGCAAATTCAGCAGCACACTGACTTGTGGCCCACCTTCTCTGCTTGGAGTACCTTTCTACTGTTCATCTATCTAATAATTTCTGGGGTTTTAGGAATAATTTTTCCTGTCCCAAAGCCCTTTCCAGCCCACTCTCCGTCTACCAGCCTGGTGTGATGGCTGGTGTACATGCTCCCTTGCAGTCTCTTGGAGCACATAACTCATTATACTGTAATCATTTTTAAATTGTTTTGATTTCCTGCTTGACTATAAGTCTGCTGAAGGCACAAACTACCATGTCTTGCTTGTCTATGTTCTTTGATAGGCAAACAGTTAAGAAATGATTAATGTAATTATCTTAAGTTCCTCTTGAAATAAAATGGTTTGTAAAGAAATGGTCTAAAATGCTTTCCTTCTTTTATTTTATATAATGCCACTTTGTGCCTATCGTTACAGGATATATGCAGAAGTAGATATAAGTGCTGTTGGGATCCTGTGGCAGATACCAATTCCTCTAGGTGTTTCTTCCCTAGGAACTGGGGCTATGAATTCAGCAGTGTCCATAGCAATACTACCACAGGTGAGCACTGCCCTTGAATGGCCCCAAGGAAAAATTCTGTGAGTCAGATGAGTTTACTGCAAAGCAAAAGTTAAAAGTCTCTTTCATACTCTCTCCCTATTGGTAGGGTATACTATCCGGTTAAAAAAGATGCCATCCCCAAAGCTATTTGGAAGTGATGTTACTGAAGTCTCCTTCACAGCAAAATTTCAGACGTCCAATCGTTTTAACTTTAAGGTGGGTTAACCAGCCCTGGGAGTTCATACCATTTTCCATTATGTTCCATTCAAATGTGTGGAGGCAGAAGATGCCTCCATTCCTCAATGCAGGAATCTCTGGATGGGATGGGCAGGCTAATATATACAGGGCATGTGTGGTTGAGGGATTTCTTGTCACATATCAGGAGACCCAAGGTCAAAAATCAGAAGCTATTCTTTTGGGAGATGGAGCTCGGCAAGGAAGTGATCTTACCTGGAGCTGTCCCTTCTGGTTTCTTGTGACAGATTACTGATGCCAGTGAGAGTCGTTATGAGGTACCTCGTGAAATCATCCAGTCCAATAATGAGACTGCTAATACTTCCAGTTTGAGCTACCACATTGAATTCACCAAAAAGCCCTTCAGCATCAAAGTAATGAGGATGAGCAACAAAAGAGTCTTGTGAGCTTTTTACCATTCTTTGTACATTTTTGAATATAAGGTCCCAGTATCACTCATTCTAACATATTTTAGGTATGCAATAAGTATGATTTAATGTATGCTTGCACTTCAGAAATATGTAAATTTATTTACTGTAACTAATTAGCAATGATAATACATCATGATTATAAAGCAGAGTACTAAAACATAAGTTATATATTATATAAATACATACAAATTTATAGTTCACATATAGTATGAAGTAAGGAATTTTATTGTTTTGAGCTATCATTTGTACCAGAACTGAAAATATTACAAAGTATTATTTTCTGTGACTCTTATCATCAAGCATCTAAAAGAATTTGAATTTATTTCATCAATTGTCCTGGAGAAAATTCAGGTACTAGTAGCAGTAAAACCAATACTCAAATCCTGGACTAGCAAATCACAGTCAGTAATATGTTTCACCTCCTCAGCATCAATTTCTTTGTCCCCACAATGCTAAAGAAAATGGAATAATATTTATAAAGCATCCAGAGTGATGTCTGGGATGCAGTAAATGCATAGCAAATACAAAGTCAAATTTCCTCTCTCTTCCCCATCTGAACCTCTGGTGTCTATCACTGATACTATGCTTCTCTAGAGTCAAAGAACCAGAGATAGCCTGCAAAGAACCTTCCAAGTTAACATAAAAATGGATGAAAATACCCAGAGCAACTCACGCTGAGGGAATGTGAAAAGGTGCAAGCCGCTTTATGGCAGAGACAAGATAGTGACACACTGACCCTTTATTTTTCCCTCGTGGTTCAGATTGGACACAAGCATTGGGCCCCTCCAGTTTGCCCATCAGTACCTGCAGCTGTCTTTCCGCCTACCCAGCTTCAACGTGTACGGGTTGGGGGAACACGTGCACCAGCAGTACCGCCACAACTTGGACTGGAAAACCTGGCCCATCTTCACGCGGGACACAGCCCCCACCGCGGTGAGGCCCCTGTTTCCTGCTCACAGCACGTGGTCAGGCTCCTGCTCCCTTTCCCAGAGGGCGCCTACAGAGATACATGCATATCTTGTTTTGATCGATTGGGATGGGTTTGTGTTGAAGAATACTTGTTTTAAAATTTATAAGCTCACTGAAATTTTAAAAACAATCTCTCTTTTGGTGAGAAATATAATTGAATGGTTAGTATAAGGAATCAAAGAATGCTGTTTCAAAATAACACTGTCTGGCTTTAATAATTGAACATCTAGAGAAGAGCGTCAGCATTCTCATGTTTTTATCTTCATTGCAATACTTGTGGGTGGAAAACGCTTCTAAACAGCTTTTGTGTAGTCTTTGCTAGTCAAAGTATGTTTCTGAGAGGGCAGTGTTAGTGTTCAGAGGTTGTTGGGAATGTAGAGACCTTGAAGCCCATTAGTCCAAAGCTGTTTATTTATTTTTTTTTAATAAGACCCCCTCAGGTAAAAACACATGGATATAAAAGAGGGAGAAGGTTTTTCTATTCAGTACTTCTTAGTTGGAGTGAAAGATAAGCATATGTATTTTTGGTTAATCCAGCATGGGCAATGCTTTTGTAATATACCTTGTTGGGCAAGCAAAATTTAAAAATCCAAAGATAAAAACTGTCAGCGCAAATTTTAAATGGAAGAAACAAAACTGCTGCTCTTTAAAAGCACTATAAAAGATTTTCTAACCTCTTACTCTTTGTTTTTGCATTCATCTTGTTGCTGACTTAGAGCAAAGAATTTGGGAAGGTACAGTCCAAGGACAATCCTCGGATCAGTACTGGTGTGTAGAGCTTTGTCTGAAGCCTCCCTTGGCTGATGGTCATTCTCAGATCAGTACAGGAACCGAGGGAAGTGTGCAAGGGTGGTACCACATAGGAATGGAGCTGAGGTTTTGTATACCACAAGAGATGAGCAAAGTCAGTAGCACATTCACTTGTGGCTCACCTACCTGTAGCTGATACAGTGGAAGGAGTGACTCACCTGCCTGTGGCTGATGTGATGGGAGGAGCATGCGTATCAAACTGAGCAGAAGGAAAAAGCACTGAACTGTCGGTCTTGGAACTTGACATATATCTTTAATTCACATTAAGTTTAATTTCTTACAATTGAATTTCTTAAATTATATTGTTACCTATTAGATTAAATACTTACTTGCCTGCCTTTCTCCTTCCTGCCTTCTTTCCTTCCTTCCATCTTTTCTCCTTCCCTCCCTCTGTCCTAGCCTCCTTCCTTACCTTCTTTGCCTTTCTCCTTCTTTTCTTCCCCTTTTTCTCATTTTTTTCTTTGTTTAAAAATTAAAAAATAAGTCTGTATTGTATCTCAATGTTAGGCCTTGGGTCACCCTGGCACAGTGTTAAATCTAGTCAGTGTACCATTGAGTGCCTCCCTGTGGTGTTGATTCTCTTTTGTCTCAGTGTACCATTGAGTGCCTCCCTGTGGTGTTGATTCTCTTTTGTCTTCTCTTTTTCTGAAACTTATCATTAATCATTTTACTGTCATTCCATGGACTAGCTTGTCATTCCATGGACTAGCTTTCACACAAGGATTTCTCTAACACTGTCTGTTTATTAGAACTTCAGTATGTGTAATTTTATGGTGTTTACAGTTATACACAATTTCTCTCCTTTTTAATAAGTGCTCATTTGGTCCTCTCTGTGACAGGTTCAATATCTTTTCTCTTAGCTTTAAACATTTTTATATATTAATTTTAGAAAGATTTGTAATCACAATTGACATTAAGAAATTCAAAATTGCCAGTAACACCATCACCTTCTGCTAAAATTTGGTATATATCATTGCAAGTATTTTTCAATTTTTAAAAAATAACTTGATTGAGGGATAAGTTATATGCCAAAAGAGTTACCTGTTTTGGGTGAGGGTCAGTAGTAAAGCATTTGTCAGGCGTGACAGAGGCCTCAAATCCAATTTTCAGTATGGCACACAAAAATTGATTTGTTTTAAGAATAGTTCAATGATTTTTAGCACATTTATTGAGTTATGCAACCACCATCACAATCAAGTTTTGAGATGTTTTTATAACAGTTTCACTACCTGAGTAAGACATCTTATGTTCTTTTAGAACTAATCCTAATTCCTATCCTATTTATGTATCGCCTTAGGCAAGCCAAATCCACTTTAAGTCTATAGATTTGGATTATAAAGACATTTTATATGAACAGAACTGTTTGACGTATGGTCAAACAGTTTTATATTTTATATTTGTTTCTTCACCTAGCATAACATGCATGCTATTTTGTAGCATATATCACTATTTTATTTCTTGCCATTGCTTCATATTACTCCACTGTCTAGATATTGTATTTTTTCCCACTTATTAGTTGATGTAATATCTTTTGGATATTACTACACTGCATCAAGTGTTGGCCAAATGCATGTATAGCTTGGAATTTGATTTTACTTTTAAGTCAATAAAACATTTTAACACATAAACTATTACTTCTCTTTTTCCACTTTTTGCTAACAGGGCCTAATCAATCTATATGGAGCACACACATTCTTTTTGTGCCTTGAAGATACCAGTGGCTTCTCTTTTGGAGTTTTTCTGTTGAACAGTAATGCTATGGGTAAGAAGCAACTTCTTCTTTTCTACCAGTGTGAATAGGTTTTAGGGTACTAATTTTATAAGAAAAATTACTTTTTATGGTGAAGTCACAAATCTGAAAGTAAGTTAACCCATCTGCAAATGCAAATCATGCTTAAAGCTACTAAAAACTGCTTCAAGGATTTCTTTTGGTGGAATGGTTCCCCTAATGTTCTGTAGATATCATTTACAGAATTTGTTAATAGATGGAATTCACTGACAAACATATTTAAACATACTTCTGGATTCCAGTGTATACCATGCTGTCTATCTGTAGGCAACAGATTTTGCTTTAATGGGCTGTTTTTCACAGCCCAAACTTAATGTATTTCATAATCTTCATTCTCCAGCTTCTGGATCAATGGCGAACTGAAAAGCACTATTTATTTATTTATTTTTTAAAGTTTTAATTGTAATCAAATTCATTGAGTAAAATTTTTATAACATCTTTTCCTGTATGTTAAACTATCCATAAACTCCAAAACTTTACAGTTTAAAAAGGGCAGGTTAACCTAGAATTTTCTTTTCTTTCTGTTAAACAAAACTCAGTGCTTCCTTCATATTTCAATAATCTTCAAATAAAGTGAACATATGTGACTTCCATTCCTCTAAGAATAAAACTGAGGTTGTTTTGGAAGACTGTTTTATTCATATAGGCTCCAGAGAAAATTTTCAATCAGAATATTCAAATAACTCCTTATAATCCTTTTAGAGGTTGCGCTTCAGCCTGCACCTGCTGTCACATACCGCACAATTGGAGGCGTTCTTGATTTTTATGTGTTCCTGGGAAACACTCCAGAGCAAGTGGTTCAGGAATACCTGAAGGTATGGCTTGGCATTAGATGATCTTGTGTGTTGACACTGTCACCTACACTTAAATAATTTAACAAGGGGAAAACAAATGTTATTAGTAAACACAATAGATTATATATTCTGGGACTGTGAGGCTTTCACTCTTTGTATTTTTATTTTGATGAAATTTATTGGATGCTTTATGCATACTGAAGAGGCATGTGCAACTTGGGGAATATAAAAACAAGTTAGTTGATCATCCTACTCTCAAGGCACGCACCATCTGTCCAGGTGTGATCAATCATTCCAAACACCGACAGCCACAAATCAGCAAAGCTTATTCATTCAACAAATAAAGATCCAGTGAAAGGAATTATGTGTTAACTTTATATTTGATTCAAACCATAGAATAAGAGAGAATATTAGATACCATTTTAACCTAAACGCCCCATTTTTGATGCCAAACTCAATTATAAAAAGATGAAGTAATTTATTAAAAATGATTAATAAAGCAATATAAAATACGGTTCTAGATACCAGTGAATTTGTAATAAAATAAGGAAGTGCAATTATTGAAAAAAATTGTAATTATCAAATAATTATAATAGGAAGCAATCATAGTACAGTAAATGTTGTCAATGAGGTCGAAGATTGGATTCAGAGACACGAGACAAATCGCCCTCTCAATGTAGGGCAGACTCCGAGGAATGAGCAAAGCCGGACCGGGTACAGCCAGACCCTTTTCAAACTGTTGGCTGGAGAAGCTTCAACATTTGAATTTTAAACATACTCCAGTGTTCTTCCCCCATCCACTCCTGAACCTATTCATTGTTCTGTTATCTCTCGAAAATGCCACTATCTGAAATTACAGTAGACATTTATTTCCTTTAAGCTCTGTGAGGGAGGAAATGATGTTTGTTTTCTGTCATTATATTCTTTGTACCCACATCAGTTCTTGGCACATTGTAAGCGCTGAAAAAAATCCTTCTCAAATGTATGAAAACCACTAGTTTCCCCACAAGATGATGTCATTAGTGAAATATTTTTGTTTGTTGCAAATCCTATCAATTTTTTTGATGCTGCCATTTTGGGGAGTACATTTAGCACTCACTGAAGAGATAAGTATGCTGTGGAAATTTGCAGATTACCTTAGAAGATTCCTCTTGGCCTTATCATTTTTAGAATTGAAAACTTTATGAAAAATGAAATGGAGCTAATGTAGAATGTGGCAGTACAAACAGAGCTTGCTGTAAAGCTTAGAAACTTCTTTCCTTCTCTTTTTATAGCTTGTTGGACGACCATTCCTGCCTTCCTACTGGAGTCTTGGGTTCCAGCTTAGTCGCAGGAATTATGGTGGCATTACTGGATTGAAAGAGGTTGTTGACAGAAATCGTGAAGCTAAGATCCCTTATGTAAGTCGACACTTTTACCTACACTTAGAACCATTTCCTGTCTTACTTTTTTGCATCAAATTTAACTTATTAGGAAAAGTGCAAATAGACAAATAGGTTGATAGATCGATAAAAATACATGCATACTTACTGTCAGAAATCTTGCAGATTAAATCGCTTATCTGAGCATAAAAATACAAACAAAGTTTATGGAGTCAAATAGAAATGTTTGAATTTTAGCTGTGTATCTGCTTAGCTCCATTACTTATGTTGGGCTACATAAGTTATATCTCAAGTTTTAATTTCCACCTTTGCTAAAGAGAGTGTAAGATTTACTTCATTTGGTGATTAAAAAAAAACCCTCGTGCAATGTATATAAAATACCTTAGGGGATGAACTCCATCGAAGTTATCTGTTATTCTATGAGACAAAGCAACACCCTAGGTGATACAGTTAACAAGAATTCATGATCACACTGATGACTGACAGTAAATGCATTTTCACACTGACTGTCAATTCTTTCCAGACTTATTAGACTAATTTTGATACTTTGTGATTGAACAGTATTTATGATTTCCAGTGTCTTCCTATTGAATAACATAATTATAAGTGTGTAATGTTTGATAAGTTTCTCCAGGCAATATATAATACATGGTTAGTGAAATTACCAAAAGAGTTTGTCTCAGGGTAGCTTTATGGAACTTTGAAGCAAACATGTATGTGTGTGTAAAGGAAGATTGTCCAGGTGTAAATGACTTTGGTTTGATCTTAGATTCTTTAATCCCCTCTCAGCGCAGCAATTAGAGCAGACAAGATGATCAGTTTTTCCTTTTATAAACCTGATGCTCATCATGTTGTGTTGGTATTACAGGGAAACTGATTTGATTTAATTTTATTTCTCCCCAATCTGCTATCTTAAAAAAATACCAAGTTCTTGAAGGAATCAGAACAAATTTTGCCACACATTTATTATTTTACAAAGGGCTTTTACATTCCTGGTGCCCACATCAATCACAGTTTTTAAGTGAAGAAACAGAGGTGCTGCATGGTTAGCAACTTTTTCCAGGTGCACACTAGCTAAGGGACAGGATCAGTACACAACTGGACTTTGTTTGACTGCATTTGTATTGCTGACTGTAATCTGTTTTCCTGATTCTTATGAGAAGGGCTTTATTGAGATCTTACCAGTTCAGGGACAAAGTAGCTTTTGTTCCATAGCTGGGAGCTCCTTTCTAAGTGGTTATACGGGGCTGGGCAGGTGGGGTGGGAAACCTGAGTCCTAAGGGATCTCCTAGTACCAGAACAGATGGTGCCACATTGGGCAACAGGCTACAGGCTGGAGGCTCCTAATGCTCTACCACGTGAGAAACCCATAAAAAAAAAAACTTTCGTATGTCTTTGAGCTATGTGGCACCTTGGGAAAGAAAGAGCAGCCACAATCAAAGGACCCGTTACCAAGACCCAGTCAGCTTTTCAGCTCCCGACTGTGATTTTGGGAAAAGTCACTTAGTTCCTTTAGATTTCAGTCTTCTCACTAAGAACAGTGCCTATCCCTTGTAGGCTGATGTGCAAACACAAGAAAGTGTGTGTATCGATCTTCATTAAACATCACTCTAGCAATTTTATAAGGCAAAAAGGACATTTTTCTCCTTTTATGATGTATTCTGCCTTGATGTTTGGCATTCAGGGTTGTAAATGGTTACAATATTACTGACATGTCTTTTATATAAACATTTAAGAGCAGTTGCTACCTGTCAAACATCCAAGATCTCAAGTTACAGAGATGAACAAGATGCAGGCCCTATTGTCAAGTTCCCCTTGATTCTTTATGATGTGTCTCCGTCAGGGTGGTGATGTAAAGCCACACCTAAGACCATCTGCAACTTTCATTGATGGTTTATTCATTCCTAGGAGATATCAGAACCTGGAGATTTTAGGGCTATTAAGAAACATGGTTTCTTTTTAACAGTTAGGAACTTGAGCTGAAACCTTTTTGATCAGAAGGATGACAATTGCTAGATTCTAATTGGTGTTGCTATCTTTCAGGATGTCCAGTACTCAGACATAGACTACATGGATGGAAAGAAAGATTTCACTATTGATGGACAAGCTTACGCCAACCTTTCAGATTTTGCCAAAGAATTACATGAGAATGATCAGAAATATGTAATTATCATGGTATGTTTAAATGTGTGCTCTGTTGCCTTGTATTGCCTTTCAAAGGACAAAAATATCCTTAAAAATAATATCCTATCCTCTTTATTTATTAGAATCCTGGCATCTTTAAGAACGACACCTACATGGTCTACCACAATGGAAGTGTAAAGAGAGCGTGGGTCTTGGAAAGCAAAGGCTTTGCCATTGGGCAGGTAATTTCTCAAGAAAGTCAGAGTAACTTACACTGATTTAAGGGGGGGGGGCTTTTATTTTGGTATTAAGATGTGTACGGAGGGATGACAACGCTGCTTTGCTATGTTTCTGTTTTTCTCATTATTATTTCTAAATCAATAATTGTATGACCCAAAAGCGTAAACTTCTGAAGGAGTTAAAAAGCTGGTCTTCCATCCACTAATACTTCCCGGATAATTGAGAAGTAGTATGCCCCATAAGAGCATTCTATTTCTTAAAAGTCTTTTTGCCTACAAATTTATATCTTATTTCTCAAACAATAAATTAAGTATCATAACTCACCTGGAAGACCATAGGTTAATGTGGAAGCTATCTCATCTAAAATGGTTTTAATTTAGACAAGACTTCTGGATAAAGCCCACGCTTGAGTGTAAGGTAGCAGTATTAGGTGTTGGAATAAACTGCTCATGCATGTCTTTCCAGGAGAGCTGAGCTCCTAAGAGTGTGTAGTTTAAATCAAAACATATACATAGTCAACTTTTTATTTAAGTTATGCAGGAGGTAATTGGATTATGTGATTGGTGATTGGATTATGTGAGACTTACTAAAATTGAAATTTAATGTAAAAAGTTCATGTATTTCCCCATGTGGCTTACTTTGCAAAGCTGTCTTTTCAGGGTTATTGATGGGCTTTAAAAAAACTCTTTATTGATTCTTTTTATTGATTTTATTTACAGTGCTTCACTCTGTTTGCTTACCTTTTCACTGATTTTATTTTTCCATGAGGCAGTAGGATAGTTTCTTTCCTCCTTTAAACAAAGACTTCATTTTTGCTGTATTGTTTTATGCAAATTTCTAAAATATCAGATAGATCTACCCATATTTATATGAAAAAACAAAATCAGAAGCTCTAGTCAAATGAAAATTATTTTGGTCATCTAAAAATTATTCATGTCTGTGAGTCATTTTAGTAGTGCAAATATTTGGGCATTGTATAATGCAATATTTGCATATAATTACAAAAATTTATTTAGCTGGTTACTTCAATTAACCAATAAATACCATGAACCATTTTGCTTCAAGTGCTGGCAGAAGTAGCTATTGGGGAGGCTGGTATGGGTTTGTTGCAAATGGATTTGCTATAACAGAGTTTTCTTGTTCTGTTCTGAAGTGAATGCTGCTGTTGGCAATTACTTTGCTGAACTATGTGTTTGTTGAGATCCAAAACTACCTCTTAGTCTTACTTAGGTGCCCATCACCTAAAACGAGGGACTAAGAGTTCAATCCACTTAAAATGGGAATCTCATGTTCCCACCTTCTTACCTTTTAAGATTTCTTTGATATATATATATATATATATATATATATATATATATATATATAATCATTCTTTTTAAAAATAGATATTCCACTATTTTAAATAGTTCATCTCCCAATTGAAAAAAACATAATACAGTTTTTTATTATTTTCATAAAAAAACCCATGTAATTTTCATTCAAGTCTTTTTCTCTTTCTTTTTTTCTTTCTTTGACTCTTTGCAGGTATTTTTACTCTTTTATTGGGAAATCCACAGATTTTGACTCTAAAATGGCAATGTAACATGGACTTTCCGGTGAAAGAAATAGTAGTCAAGATCACTATACTTGAGTAACTGAACCATGAAACAAGTTTCTACATGTTATTTTTTGTTGTTGTTGTTGTTGTTCCCTAGGGCTATCCAGGGCAAGTAGTCTTTCCTGATTTCAGCAAATCCGATTGTACCCAGTGGTGGAAAGAGCAATTCACTGACTTTCATAACCAATTGGACTTTGATGGAGTATGGATTGTAAGTTATTATAACAAGATAGAAATTTCCTTGGGAAACAGAAATATCAGCTTTTCAGATGAATTTTGATCCTGATTTTTAATAAAATACTTTGCTTGGGGTCATGATATTCAAAACTATCTTGCTTAATGCTAAATTTATATACACTAAACTAGTCTTAGAAGTCTACATTTTTATTCTCAGTTTGCAAAGAATTGATCATTTCATTTTGGTAAGTTTTTAATAGCGCATATGTGTATTACATGATGTTTATATTCAGCTTAGGGAGTAAGAACATGTACTCAGCATATCTTTTTACCCCCCTTTCCTTCCTCATTCTGATCCCTCCTTTTATGTTTAGACCTCCCTCTTTCCTTCCTTCCTCCCTTCCTTTTCTCTCACTTTCTCTTTCTTTCTTCTTCCTTTTTTCCTTTCTTCCTTCCTTTCATTTTCCATTCATTCATTCATTCATTCATTCATTCATTCATTCATTCATGTTTTTAACACGTAATGATTGAATTCATTGTATGTAATTGGTGTGTGAACACCACACATGACAGATTTTAAATCTGTTTGTATTCCCTTCTCAGTTTCTTGGCCCCCTTCCCATTTGTAAAAATCTCTCTCCCCTTTTTTTTTTGTTTTTTGTTTTTGTTTTAGTAACTCTTTATTGGAAAGTGCTTTATTCTTTTTTTAAAAGTTTTTTCTCCCTTTATCAACTATTATTGGATCTTTCTTTGACCTTTGGGTCCCTTCTATGAGAGAAACCATATGGTATTTAAACTTGTGTGTTTGATTTATCTCACTTAACATTATGTTTTTGAGATGCATACATTTTCCTACAAATGTCTCAACTTTTTCTTTATGGTTGAGGAGTGTCATATTATGTATAGATACCACATTTCTGTCTATTTTTCTGTCAATGTAATATAGGCCGCTTCCAAGATTTATGAATTGCGTCGCTCTAAACATGAGCATACCGGATTCAGTAAGGTGACTTTAGCTGTACTGGAAAGAAGGAGGTAGCTAGGTCAAATGGAATTTCTATTTTTAGTTTTTGAGAAATCTCCACACTAGTTCCCATAATGGTTGCACTAGTTTACATTCCCACTGGCAGCATAGGAGGCTTTCTTTTTCCCCACAGCCTTGCCAGCATTTGTTATTATTTGATTTCTTGAAAATTGCCGTTCTTTCTGGAGCAAATGAAATCTCAGTGTTTTAATTTGCATTTCTCTAATAGCAAATAAGAAAAAATTTTCATTTCTCACTTTGTCATTTGTTTCCTTTACTGTTATTTCTTGTGCAACTGGAGTTCTGTTCAGAAAGCCCTTTTTTATTTTTGCAAGGCTTTGGTTTTTACTCAATTAACTATCAGTGTGAAATATGACTCTATTGAAAGTTATAATTACTTTATTAAAAGTTATAATTATTTGTAGTATTGGCTTAAAAGATAATTGATCACTAAAAGTAATTAAAGGGGACTCTGGTATTTCTTATTAATGAATAGTGGGGTTTTTTGGGGGGGATTTGAAAACATTTTTTTTGAAAGACTAGAAATTATTTATTTATTTATTTATTTATTTATTTATGTATTTTTACCGGTACCAGGGATCGAACTCATGACTGCCTGCTTGCAAGGCAGGCGCTTATGCTGCTGAGCTAAATCCCCAGCCCCTAAATCATTTATTTTTAATCTAAAAGAAATGTGTTTGATCTCAATTATATATTATCTTACTGTCTCTCATTCAGTGAAATAAAAATGGAAAAACATAAAACAGAAAGGTTTTATGTCTTTGCTTCTGTAAAGTATGAAATAATAAAATCAACAACAAAACATTCGAGTCAGCCTTTGAAATAATTTTTCTTAATTAATAGATTGATACTAATTTATAATGAATGTTGTTCAGACATGAACATTTCTTAGAAGAATCCTAATTCAGTGTCTTAATTTTATAAAGAGATCAATGAAAGGTGGGGAAAATTATTCGTTATTCAGGTTCCACTTAACAGGAGACCAGATATCCTGGCTGTAGTTTAGTAAGTATCTTATAACAAGTCATTGTAAACCAATAACATTTGCCATTTTTGTATTTTGTGTCTTTGAAGGAAATGGATGAAGTCTCTAGTTTACCTCAAGATTCTAGTCAACAGTGTGAATTAAACATCTTGAACTTTCCTCCTTTTGTTCCTAGTAAGTGTTCACCTGTTTGCTAACGTTACCAATACAGGACTTACTTAAAACAATCTCAGCAGTATTCAGCGTGGTTAAGAGTAACTCACTTCCTTGCCCATTAAGTTCCCAACTCCATACATCTTGATCACTCTTCCCCTTGAGTCTCTGTGACATCACTTACTCCATGATCACATTTCTGCTGCCATAATCCATAAATGACATGTGGTAAAAGTGCCAGTCTGAGCCTGAAGCTCTTTGCTCTCCAAAACTCAAAATTCTTTCATCCTACATGTCAATGAATTAACGTAATAGTTTAGTTTTATTTGCATGATTCCTACTAGTATCCAGGAAAGTCAGTTTAGAGGTGAAAGTGTTCATTTCAGCTTCAGTCCATGGTGAGCTGGTTTCATTATGGCTGTGGGCCTGAGGTGAGGTGGGATAATCATGGTGGAAGGGCATGGTGAAGCAAAACTGCTTACCTCATGGTAATGAGGCAGCAGAAGGATAAAGAGCCCTGGGACAGGGTTACCGCTCCAGTGGCCTACTTCCTCCAACTCTATGAATTCATCAGTGGTTTGAGTCATCGTCTTTCAAAAGCTCCACCTTTGAACACATGAGGACATTTTTATTCAAATCAATAAAAGTCTTGATTTCTCCCTCAGAGGTCTTTGTTTCCTGTTTCATGGATGATGGGAATTTTATGGGTGAGCCTGGGTGTAGGTTCTACCCAATTTGCCCACATTCATTTGCTAGCTCATTTTAACTTCAAGGGCGTTAAGAATTCTTCAAGCACACTCTTTATACTTCTGGAGAGAACACTGGTTGGGTAGTAGTTGGGTGGCTATGCCAGTTTACCTGCTTCATCCACTGTGTGTATACTTCTGTAGCCAAAGACTAGCTACTTCCTTAGCTAACACTGGTCACTGAAGGAGTAAAGGATGTTTTGGACAGTTTTGATATCCTCCTGCAAAACTCACTCTTTACTTCCCTAGTTTATTCTTTATTGTTTTATATGTACTCTGCATCTTCTTCATCCCTTTTGTTCATTTTGAATGAGCTTATTGTACTTAATTCCTTAACCTTCTTGGTCAAAGCTGTGCTTTGTGTTTTCCTGCAGAATTCCACAGTCTATCACCTTCTGCTTGCCCTGGCAAGGGCCCCGTTCCTAATCTCTCTGCATTTTGTCTCCTCATATGTGACCAGCTACTTTCCCTCTGAGCCAAGTAGCTTCTCACATTTTTAGGGCTGCATAAAACACATTATCAGCAGGATAAAGAGGGCTATAATTACCTTTGACTCTGGGAAAATATTAGTGGCCTTCTTACAACTGAAGTGGTTGTTAATCTCATGTTACATGCTAAGCTATGTAAGAAATGCATTTTTCTTTATATTTTATAATTCAAAATAGTTTCTGATGCCAAATATTGGTTCTGTTAAGCGTTGGGATAAACTAAACTTTAGACTTTCCTTGTTCTACTATGTACTCAAATTGTGCTTCATATGTATGGGCAAAGTTTTGTGAAGGAAGACAGATATGACTCTGGTGTGGGTCCACAGAGAAAAGGGGAAGGAAGGAGACTGTAGGTCGAGGCAGAAAAAGGACTGAAAAAGGGAAAATGTAATAGAATCTTGAGCATTCTCAGAGCCAGGATTTGAATTCTTTTTCATGAGAACACCCAAGTGACTCATCCCATTTTCTGCTGTTTTAAAAGTGTGAGTGAGATCTACAATATAAGATTGAAAATGTTCTCTTTCATTGCCCTCCTGTCTTTAATTGCATACTTAATTCTTACTTGAGTAGATGTAGACACACAATATGTGTTTTATATTTAATCTCAGACCAAGTGCCCATGGCTCATCAGGTTTGAATAATAAATCACTTGCTTTCACTCTTAACTGTCCTTAATGCATTCAAAGGAATCCAAATTAACTTTGAAAACACATGGAGGAGCTCTGGGTAGGTCCCAGGTAAAAAGTGATATTCAGGATAGAATTGAAAACCTGGAAAAGATTTTGTGGGGTAGAGATTGGGAGGGAAGGTATAATAACCTAGAAGAAAAATGCTGGATGATGACTGTGTTTAAAGTTGATGGATGGATAAGTGCCTTACTGATAATGTTTCCTCCTAGAAATCCTGGATGGTTTTCTGTTCTCCGGGACCCTCTGCATGGACACAGAGTTTCACGAGGGCTTTCACTATGATGTCCATAGCTTGTATGGCTACTCCATGGCAAAAGCTACCAATGTGTAAGCACTTGGCCCTTTTCTGATTCCAGAATTGGAAGGTGGGAGGTGGAAGGTAGAGGGATTTTCTTTTCTTTCACAGTTATATTATTTAAATATTATTTGCAGCTATCAGGATATGGAAGCTGATCTTATAGGGTACTTTAGAGGCCCTCTCTTATAAAACTTTGGTTTCTGTAGAGGACAATACATAATTAGCTTATGGTTACAGAGCATCATTATTTCAAGGATACTCACAGGCAATACTGTGTGAAGCACTGAGATCCCAACTGGAAGTTAGCTCTTGCCATGTGCTCCTAGACTCCCAAGTGAGAAACTTTGGATTACTCTTTCTTTATTTCATGTTCCCACATAAAATTAGCCCACTATTTTTTAAACATTTCTATAACCCACATAAAATAAATTTTCTACTTTGGAAACATCGCTATAACCATGTCTCATCTTTTTCCTGTGGTCACATCTTTCTTAAGGTCATTTCACCTCCCACATAAGTTGTTATGCTTCACCCATCACCAGCCTCCCTTGGCTTTAATTATCAATTGATTTATCCTCTACTTTTTATATTAGAAGTATGGCCCTAGGACCACAGTGTCGGTGTTGTCAGGAAACATATATTACAAATGTAGTATCTTCGACCTCAACCTAGACCTTCGAGATCAGAGTCTGAATTTTAACAAGATCTCTGAGTGTTCTGAATATATGCACACTATGGACACAGAGTTATATTTAGTTTAAGATGCACACTATTTTATTCAGTGGTAAAAGCAGTCTTTCTGAAGCACAATTTTTTCTCATTGTTTTCCTGATGTAAAATTCTTTGTAACTGACGGTTTTCTCTATAAAAAAAGTTTAATCACCTTAGCACAAGATAATCCATTACCTAAATTTCTCACATCTTTGGTACTTCTCATGCTTTAGGTAATATGCAACGTTTTTGTTGCTTCCAAGTTCAAATTTTTCATGTGCTGTTTGTCATACACAACATAGCCTTTCTTGTCCTGTGACATTTCTTGTATAACCACAGATGTTAGCAAACAAGAGCTATCTAGGTTGTCAGTGTGAAAGCCTTATTGACTGTTTAGAAAAATATCTTCTCCTTTTTTGTGCTGTTTCTCAATTACAATATGTTTAATATTCAACAAGAATGCATCATAATTTTAGATGGTCAATTTTTCTGGCTGAACTGTAAGTTCCTTGAGGGCAAAGTCTCTCCTGTGTTCTTAGCCTTATGAGTAGTATGTATACTGAAGTTACATTGGACTTCATGTGAGCTAAAGTCATAGGACTGAGGAACACTTGGCTGAATCTTAACTGGAACCATAGTTGGGGGACAGAGGTCATTGGGCAAACTAGGGAAGCTAAAAGCAAAAGAGAACAGATACTCTCAGGAATTATGGCATGAACCAGATCTGGCAAATGGAAAAGATTAAGGAACTCTGAATCAATTTTTCTCAAAACTGGGAAAACGTGAATGTTATCTGATCTATGTTTGTATATTGGCCTCCTCTAAACTGCAACTTCAAATGTTTTCATTTGTGTTTCAGTTTCACTCCTTGTAGACTGGACTATGTTTCTTCCGTGACAGATGATTGCAGAGAGCAATAAATCTTTAGCAAGTGTAATAAAAGTGACTTGTCTGCTAGCCAACACCAAGTGTAAGTGAGGACATAGAGTTCCACTGTGTGTGCTGGTGTTGTGCTAATACAGATTATGCCTAAACAGCAAGGCATGCAATCAAGGGAAGTTAGAAAAACCTTGTTTTGTGGCAGAAAATGAGGCAAAAAACCAACATGTGGAATCAATCTATTGTCCACTAAAAGGGCAAGACAACAACTTGATTTAACAAGAGAGAAAATATAATCAGGAGGATAACAGCCCAGACAAAATTATGGGAGATCTGAAACATAAGAGGTCTGAAACTGTACCCAGAAGTGTGAAAGAAACTTAAAAATGCTAACTAGTTTGTACACCTGGTTTTTGACACTATGAAGGTGTTTCCAGTTAGGTGGAAAAGCCCATTGCACCCTTTCATGCTCACCTTATACTCAATTGGCTGTATTTCTTTTCAGGGCCATGGAGAATATTTTCCCCAGTACTAGGAACTTCATCTTATCTCGTTCAACTTTTGCTGGATCTGGAAAATTTGCTGCTCATTGGTTGGGAGACAATGCAGCCACGTGGGATGACCTCCAGTGGTCAATTCCCAGTATCCTTGAGTTTAACTTGTTTGGTATTCCCATGGTGAGCCCATTCTTGTCCAAGGAATTTAACCCTTTGTCTTTTGAAACTCTTTCCACTACCAGTATTTGAGGGTGTTTAAAAACTAAGAAGCATATATCCTTTTGTGATGTGTTGAAAAGCTTAATTTCTCTGATTGATCTGCCTTTTAAAAACAGGATGATAAAGCTTTGTCATAGGGGGATCTGATGTTTTTTTAGATTAACACATATTCTAGACATTAGTCCTCTGTCCAAAGAATAACTGGCAATTTTTTCCCATTCTGTAAGTTATCTTTTCACTCCATTGGTTGTTTCCTTTGCTGTGCAGAAATTTTTTAATTTGATATGATTCCACTTGTTGATTCTTGATGTTATTTCTCATGAAAACTTGGAGTCTATTCAAAAAGTCTTGCCTATGCCTATGCCCTCAAGAGTTTTACTTATTTTCTTTTCCATCTTTTTTAACATAGATCTTTGATGTAGTTTGATTGTAGTGTAGTACATGGTGAGAGATATGGGTCTAAATTCAGTCTTCTGCATGTGGAAAGCTAGTTTTCTCAGTTTCATCCATGGACTCTCTGGAGATAAGAAAGAAGCATCATGAATAAAATATGTTATCACTGACAGAAAAATCCTATCCAGAGAGCATCACTCAAAAGGAAGTATGAAATTGGGAACTGAACAATGAGGAGCAGCCCTCTATTTTCAGTTGTCTACAACCATAGTCTTTAACCAATGTCTACACCATGAGTCAGTCTTCTCCTTCTAATTCTGTTCTATGTTGTATACTTCATTTCTTCTCTTATGTGGTGGGAGGCTTGTCCTGGTACTCTGAGGTCTCTTTAAGTATTGAGTGATAGCAATAGAGATTGTCTTTTATCACACAAGAAAACAGTCAGTATGTTCAGTTCTCTTAGTGACCACTGCTCTCTATGTGTGCTAATTCTCCAGGTTGGTGCTAACATCTGTGGTTATACAAGAAATGTCACAGAAGAGCTCTGCAGAAGGTGGATGCAGCTAGGAACATTTTATCCATTATCAAGAAACCACAATGGGCTTGATTTCCATGTAAGTTCCCCAGGAGAAGTGATAAAAGATTTTTAGATTGTATAATCTTCTTGTTTGCCAAGGGGGTCTGAAGAAAATGCTATGGGTTGATCCTAACTGCAGAAGATGGATAATATTGGGTGATATTATCAAGATCTGTTAAATTTTCTATGGTGTTTCTCTCACTCCCATTATCATCTTATATGAGATTTATTTTTTACTCCAATTAATAGAAAGGAGACTACCATAATACAGGGCAGTGGGGAAGAAGAATTTAGGGAGCTGCAGGCCAGTGATCTGAACAGGCTTCACTTTGTTGTGACAGAACAGAACACTCCTTATGAACAGCTTGAGAGGTACCCCCTAACACACATACACTACTTCACATGATCCATCCGCCTTTATCCTCTTTTTTCAAAATAAAATTTTTGATAAGCAAGTAGATAGAAGCGGATGCAAAGTGCCTCTTGAGGTATTTATGGTAGTGCAGGGGAAAGTAAGGTGGGGCTCCTTTCTCTAAATGAAATAATCTCCCACTGAAATAATTTAGATTGAATAATTTAACTTTTAATAGACTCGGTAGAGTAATTTCCTGATGATGATTTTAGCTGCAACTCTTGACTTTGGCAATGACAATTCTCAAACTTGAAAGGATTAAGAGCAAAATCTTCAAAGTTTTTGTTTTTTATCTTTGGGATTTCCTACCCACTTCTGGTCTAGGAAGAGAGAGAGATGAACCATCTCTGATTGTCTAAGCTGGTGATTGGGAGCAGGTAAGGCGGGTGCTCTTCATGGAGAGAGATGGCTTAAAGACTTGTATGAATACAAACCCTCAGCTCACTCAGGTGGCTAGGTTAAAAAGTGCTAATTTTCATTCTAAACTAGTTCTTTCTGAAAGAGTTAGAGTAAGAGCTATGCACGCCAGTCCAAAATTTAAATGTAGAAAGATAAATGAAACAGAGGGTATTTAAAATATAGTTCATATAACTCAGCTTATTCATAGCATAATTATTTCAGTCTGTGTTTAACACAGGCTGTATTGGGCTATTTTATATTTCTTCCCACCAACTATTCAAAATTCAGTATGAATTTTACAGTTTGGTCACATCTCTATATGTTGCATTTTAACAGTTAAGTATAATGCTATCAAAATAATGACACTTGAGGGGTAAAATATTTTAAATCAGTTCAGTCTTAAATTTATATTTAAGTTAACCACAAGTCAATAAAGTTAAAGGTTTAGTCCCTCAGTCTTACTAGCACTTTTCAAATGTCTAGTACTATTTACAAGGACTGTGACCACCAGTGGAGAGAGTGGCTCTAGTCTTTCTCGGTGGAGAGCTAGAGTGACTGGTGATATGCAATATTGTTTTCTTTTGCCTTATCTCAGAAATTTCATGAGCCTTGGGTTGGGGGTCAAGGATAAACATATTTAGTGAGAAGATAGGCATTTTAGGGAAAAAACCAAATGAATAAATTATACAAATTTCTTCAAAATTTAGTACCAGTAATACAGTCTAAATATAGCATGTGTGTCTTTAGCATCTTTCACATTATAAAGAAAACTAGAGGCTTGAGCGCCAACCAAGGACAGAAAATTTCTATCTCCTGGTTATAAGAAAATTACCTTTCTCTTTTAATGGGTTTAAATAAAATCTGCTAAAACCTGTTATGATTTCTTTACATATGCAATATGATATATTGCATAACAAATAGAAGTCATTATATTTGGGATAGAGAAAATAAAACAAATTGTGATAATAAAACTATTACAGCAGAAAATGTCTAGGTTTTCATGACAGTTTTTAAATTTAAAATTCATTAAAATGCACGTCAAGGAAAGGATGAGTTATGGATCATGATAGCAGGGAATGTGGCTTACGACAATGGTTTGAAATATTTTTAGCAGTACAGCTAAGTTTAATAGAACTTATTAGTATCTTCCAAGTGAAATATGAAAATTCACATTAAATAAATTGGGGTGGCTGTGGAAGGTGCAGGATCTACTATGTCCCCCTATGTATATGCCAGCCTCTGTGGGAATCCTTTTTCATTCTGAGGCTGATGTATCCTGCCCTCAGTAGACACGTGTCAAGTGAAAACCTACCTGCATATGAACTTTTACTTATTTTTTCAGTTGTAAAACAAAGGAATAGGACCAAGATCCTTTCAGTTTGGGAAACGCTCTTGAATTACTGAGGTGGGAGAACATGACTATTTCCATTCAGGAAAGTTTCTTAGCATCAGAGAACTTATAAACTATGATAGAAACAGTAATTGCTTCCATTTCCTTCTAGGACCAGGACCCAGCTGCCTTTGGTTTTGACTCTCTGCTATTGAATTCCTCCAGACATTATTTGAATATCCGCTACACATTGCTGCCCTATCTCTACACCCTCTTCTACCGTGCTCACACTCTGGGGGAGACAGTAGCAAGGCCCGTGATGCATGAGTGAGTTTCCTAATCACCTTCAGCATCCAGTTTCACTTTACCTCATTAGTGGTAACAAGGTCACCTAGGACAGAGTGTGCTGTCATCCTGTGTTGGAAATTCTACATTCATCATCCAGCTCTCTGTTTTCAAGGTTCTACCAGGACCCAGCCACATGGGATGTGCATGAGCAGTTCTTATGGGGACCTGGACTCCTCATCACACCTGTTTTACATGAAGTATGTTTGTAATGTAAATAATGGAGTGGGATATTGCAGTTATTTTTGCGGTTTTATAACTGAGTAAGCTAGACTCCTAGTATCTATGATTATATTTAAATCTAAAAATGAATATAAATGAGAGATCATAAAAGTTTAGAAATTAGAACAATAGTAATTCTTGGTCCTAATGTCCCAGAAAACAAAACAATTTCCATGTTGTAAAGTTTCTTGAATCCTGAGTCCCTAGGCACATGACTATGGCACTAATATAGCCTTTAAGTGCCTTGCTGTGCTAACTGTCTCTGTCTGTGTTTCCTCATCCATATGGGTTGTGCTGTGAGGATTGGGTTGGGTTGGAAAAAGAGATTGGAAAAAGAGGTGTGGTTGGAAAAAGAGGTGTGAAGAAGAGGAAGAAGTAGGGTGAAGACCATGTGTAAAGGACCACATGTGTCCAACTAAGAGTGATTTGAGCCAGAAAAGAAATGAGAAGTACAGAAGGAGGATCAGGATTATACTAATCAGATTCTTAGCATGAAATATTGCCAATGTATGCATGTTAAGACCCTTTGAGCTGAAGTTTCAGGTACATCATCTGATGATTGGTCCTGCCAACAAAGAAGTAGCCCTGCTGAAAAACTTCCTGAGGATCTGGCTGGTTGAGTCTTCTCTCAACTCTCAGCTTAAATGATCCAGTGAATTAACTCTCTGTGTTTCTCCTAGAAAATTTAGGAGTATTAAAGCAAAACAAACAATGTCTAGGTAAAGTTTTGCTTTGAAAAACTTTCAACCTCTCTACATTTCTGTATTTTCATGAGTAGAATGGGATGACCTCATCTCTGCCTTACAATTGTTCAGATGACCATTTACAGTGAAGGTGTTCTATACAGTGAAGGTGTATGTATTGGGGGATGCTAATGTGTGCATTGCTTTTGTCTCCTCAGGGTGTGGACCATGTGAAAGCATACATACCAGACGCCATCTGGTATAACTATGAGACTGTAAGTGAAGTGGCTCCAGTTCTCTTTGAGATCTGTCTCTAGCAGGAGGCAATTCTAAACCAGCAATTTTGGGAACTTGGGATAGAATAATGCTATGAAGTTTTATATTTAGTTAATCATGGGAGTTGTCTTAGTGCTCGAGGAGAGTATAACAAAATGCTGTACCCTGGGTAATTAGTAAACTGCAGAAATTTACTGCTAATAGTTCTGGAGGTTGAGAGTCCAAGGTCAAGGCCCCGGGAAATTCAGGGTCCAGTAAAGGCTCACTTTGCTTCATCAATGGCAGCTTCTTACTGAGAGTTCATGACTTAATCAATTACCCAAAAGACTCATTTTGTAATACTATCACAGTTGGGTATTAGATTCCAATGAATTTTAGGGAGACATCAACATTCTGACCATACTAGAAGACTTTTCCTAATATAAAATGAAATGATTTAATATCTGGAATAAGTTTGTAGAAATTCACTGTGTCAATCTGGTAACTGTTTAGCTATTAACACTAGTTATTGGCTTTTTGATAACAGAGAATTCAAGGTCAGTTGTTAAAATAGCGTGTTAGTCGTATGTCTGATACTATAGCAAATACTTTTGCTGATAAACTTATAAAGAGAGAAGATTTATTTGCATTCACAGTTTGGGAAGTTTTAGGCCTTGATGAACTGGCCTCTTTGCTTTGGGGCTAACATAGTACATCATGATGGTAGTGTTGGTGGAGTAAAATCACTCACTTACTGCTAGGAGTTAGAAGAGAGAAAGGAGATCTGGGGTCCCACAGTGCCTATTGGATGAACTCCCAATGACCTAAAACTTCCCATTAGGGCCCACCACTTAAGGCTTCCATCACTTCCCAACAGCATGAAGCTACGGACAAAGCCATTAACACATGGACCTTTGGGGAGCATAGAATGTGGAAACAGTATCACAGAATGTGGTGAAAGGAAGGGAAAGTAGGTCGTTTGAGTTTGAGCTCTGCCCTGTACTACCTGTATATCTGGAGGACATCACTTCAGTCTCCTCTTCTTTAAGATGAGGCAACTGAACTAGATGATTTCTAAGGATTCCAAGCCCTCTCAGTCAGTTATCTGCTCTGTCTCTGTTTTGCTAATTAGGGAGTGCCTGTTCAGCAGAGGAAACAGTTTATGGATATGCCACTCCCTGGTGACAGGATAGGGCTCCACCTTCGAGGGGGCTACATATTCCCCACCCAGCAGCCAAACACAACCACAGCGACAAGGTAAGCTCCTGTTTGTTTTTACTCTGGTGCTCTTCTGTGCAGGACATTATGGGTGGAGGCAAGTAGGACCAGGGAAAAACCTCCACTCAGCAATCTTCCTCTCCTCCATTCAGAATTGGCATCCAAGTCCTCTTACATGGAGATAAATGTAGCAGTAATTCCTTTTCATTTCTACGGTCCTTTACATTTGGATTAAATTATATTATAGGACCTGAGTAATCATCTATGAGGATTTCTATGGCCAGAAAGTATCCTTAGGTATATTCCCTAGTGCATGAGAGAGCAGAGATTAGAAAGCAGAAATTGAAAGGGAGAGAAGAGTTGCATGTGAAAACTGACATATCTTGGAGTTTAAGAGCTCAGATTTTGGAGACAATTTGAGTTTAAGCCCTGGGTTTATAGCACACCAAACAGGTAATTGTGGGTGACTGACTTTGTTATGATTTTGTGTAGTATTAGTAAACTAGGGAAGATGCTAATCTGACTTTTAAGCATTATTATTATATGAATGTAAATAATATATGAATGAATATAAATAATAACATATATATGTATGTATTTAGTATGTAGGATACTTAAGTATCTAGTACATGGTAAGCACCCAATAAAATACTCATCAGTATAATCACAAACCCAGATTTCAACAGGAACTGCCTCCCTCTATCGTTCTCCTTATGTTCTTTCTACTAAACTATGCTGTCTGTCTATCCCAAACTCTTGTGTTTTCATACAATGTTGCTATGTATTCAGTCTGTGAGGTAGATTATGGGGAGACCAGTCCCTGGATTAAAAGGGCTGATTTTGCATATTTCCGTCTGTTCTTCATTCTTGGAAAATGGGATTTGCTCTTCTCAGTCGAAAGAATCCTCTGGGACTCATTGTTGCCTTGGACTATAAGAGAGAAGCAAGAGGAGAGCTGTACTGGGATGATGGTGTCTCTAAAGGTAGGCTTCCTCGTGGGCCCATAGCTGGAGGTAAAGAGCTATCTCTGTTATCATGTCATTTATTCCTGAAGCTTAGAGCTAGTGAGTTAAAGGTTATTCTGAAAGTTTCATATGCCAAGTGCAATGGGTTCAGATATACTTCAAATGTGCACTTTATGTTATTGATACCACCAAAACAACAGCCATTATTGCATTTAGCTTACTTATTCTCTCCAGTGGATATCATTATGAAGCAATACATTTTATTAAAAGCTTTGTAAAAGTACTTGCTTTAGACAAGACTGAGATAGAAATGTTCTAGTTTGTAGTAGGTTTTTTTTCTCTGTAGTGATTTCATATAAAAACTTTATATGAACTTATAGTTTGTCATTATATAAAAATCCTTCAATGGATAGAATTATAAAAAGAGCAAATTAAAGATAGGTAATAGGAAGTAGAGAGACAGCTTTTTCTCAAATTGTAAGGGGACCAAGAGGTGAGGGAAGGAGAAGAAGGAGGGTAAGTGGATGAAAAAAGTAACTAAGATGTGTTATAAACATGCTTTGGATCCATGCAAGGAATGTAACATGTATTGCGAACATGTAGTGTTGAAAATAAATGTATGAATACAGATAAAAAGAATTAGAATTTATTAATGTTTAATTGCTATTTATGATTACATTTATGCAAGGAACATAAAGATGAAAGTGATATAAATGATGCTTTGAGGAATTCATCCTCAGTCTAGTACAAAACCTGTGATCTGCATAGATATTGATAGTGCAAACCAAAATGTTATAAATGCCTGAAAAATGGTAATACAAAGTACCAGAAAATTTTGTGCAGGTTGATAAAAATGGGGAGATCTTAGATGAACAGAATAGATACAAAGATAATTTAGAGGCAGAGGGTAACTCCCTGTTCCTCTGCTTCCTGTACTTATGGATACACACATCTTTCTCTTCCAGATTCTGTAGATGAAAAGAAGTATATTATGTATGATTTCTCTGTTACTTCTGTAAGTACCGATTCCAAGGAACATATATCTTATATGCACTCTTGCTGTGATTGATTTTTGAGTTTTTGTTTTTATATTGATGATTTCCCATGTAAACTTTAGACAGTGTTTGGTTTTGTTAGTGCCAGAGAGAATTCTAGTTAATACGAAAATGCATCGTCAGTAGCAGATGTATGAGTTCTGTGCTGAAATGATGATTTTTTCCTCAGGAAAAATGTCACTACCTTTGAACTTTATGTGATGGGTTCTGACTTTCAAAATATGTCATTGAGGAGTGCAAGTATGGGGTTGGTGGACATACAGGCTGCTTCTAAGGTTTAGCTAATATGAATTGTGTTGACAGAAACTTGGATATGCATGTGTCACTGTGGTATGATGCCTTTAACTCTTTAGGAAATGTAGCTAGATGGGGAATAACTAGGTTGAATGGAATTTCTGTATCAGTTTTTTGAGGAATCTCTATACTGATCCCACAATTATTATACTAGCTTAAATTGCCATGAACGAGAGAAATGCAAATTAAAACACTACTAAGATTCCATCTTACTCCAGAAAGAATGGCAATCATCAAGAAATCAAAGACTAGCAAATGCTAGTGAGACTTGCAGTGCCTTTCGAGGTTTGCTTTTCCTTTCCAGCCCTTAAGGACTTGGCTTTCAGCAAAGGCATCATGTGGTAGCTTTCAAAAACTACAGGATACAGATCGTCACTTACTTCATTTCTGTTTCACAAGGGACCAAGAGGAAGACAAGGGTGCAGGACTAGCAGAAAATTGGATAATCCTCACTTGCTTTTCTTAGAAAATAGATTGTGTATGGACAGGGATTTATATTTTAGGGATTGTTATCCCTTATTTCTATGTTCTTTCTAAAAAAATCTTTTATTAAGACTTTAATTTGAGGTAATTAATTGCCTCTATGATGTAACAAACAATGGCAGTTTTCCATCTGCCCTTTATGCAGATTTCCCTGATGGTAACAACTTAGAGAAGTGTGGTGTAATTTCACAGCCAGGATATTGGTACTGATTTTAAGAAGATACGGACTATCTCCACAAAGATCCTTCCTGTTATTCTTATACCAGCTTACCTCCTGTCTTTGCCTTTTTGTTGGCTCCTGGCAACCGTTAAGCTGTTCTCTTTAACTTTGTCTTCCCAAGAATGCTTGTAAAAATTGAATCAAATGGCATGTAAAAAACTCTTTTATTCAGCATAATTCCCTCCAAATTCTACCAAGTTGTTGTATTTTGTTCCTTTCTATTTTTAAAAAGCATTCCAAAGTATATTTATATCATGTTTTGTTATACATTCACTTGAACAATGAGATCTGATTCTTTCTAGTAATTGACTATTCTAATTAAAATGAAAATGCTATGAAAATTTGCATACAGATTTGGGTATAATGTATGTTTTCAATTTTTTTTTTCAGATACAGATGTCCAAGTGTCCACTTGTTGGTCTTATATTAGGGCATGTTTAGTTTTATAAGAAACTTGAAAATTATTTTCCACAATGACTGTACTGTTACAAATTTCTATTAGATTTTTTGGCCCAGTTGAGAGACAAAGACAGAGGTAAAAGAGGGCCTTTATTGCTGGTGCAGGAGGGCTGCTGGAGATTGCAAAAACCCTCAAAGGAGACAAAGCCCAGAAGTAGATTTTATGGGCCTGGGATACTATATGAGTGGACAGGTCATCATGTAGGGAGAGGACTGGAGGACTTTTTGGAGTACAGAGTAGAGACTGCCTCAGTAGATGGTGTCTGGAGGGGGATTGGAGGGCTTTTGGCATGTGCACAAAAGGGAGACCGAAAATTTATTGTTTTGGGACCACAAGAGGAGCACGGGATTTAGTGTAGGAGAGACATGCTGTTGTTTTAGGGGTCAGCACCATGTTGGGCAGGCACCATATTGAGTTGGCAGAGTCTTATAGGCGCAGAACCCATCAGTTTCCACCTGCAGTACACTGATGATCTAATTTCTCTGCTTCATCTCCAGCATTAGATGTTGTCACTACTTTTCATCTTGCCCCTTCTGATAACTGTGTGATGATATCTCTTTGTGACATTAGTCTGTGTTTCTCCAGTGTCTGATGATACTGGAAACCTTTTTCATAGGCCTTTTTCCATTTGCATTTTAGGTTAAGTATCTATTCAATCATTTCACCATTTTCTACTTGGATTATTTGGCTTCTGTTTTCTTAACTGTTCAGTTTTGACATCACTTGTACATGTTCAGTACCAGTCCTCTGTTGTATATGTGGTTGGCGAACTTTTTCTTCTATTTCCAGGTTTCTGTTTTCATTCTCTTGACAGAGAGTCTTTCACAAGATTAATTGATCTTGGTGGACATAATTGATCATTATTATATTTTATGAGTCATGCTTTTTGTTCCCAAATCTAGATCCTCAATATTTTATATTTTTCTAAAAATACCATTTTTCACTTTTCCATGTAATACTGTGATTATTTTAAGTTATTTATGTATAAAATATGAGGTTTAAGTCAAAGCTCCATTTTTTGTTTAGGCAGAGCCTTGATCTAGCACCTTTTGTTGAAATGACTCTTTTTCTCTATTGTATTTCTTTGGCCCCTCTGTCAAGTATTCTGGGGGCACATTTGTGTGGGAGTGCTTTTCTCTGTAATCACTGATATGTCCCTTTTTTTCTTTAGTGTTCACTTCTACCTTCATCTTTGCCTAGGTTAGTTTTATCACTTTTGGACTGTGGTTCTCTAAATAAGTCATTTTAACTTCTCTGTGCATCAGTATCCTCATCTGAGAAGTGAAAAAATTTTTGTTTTAATCCCACAGTCTTCTGGGATATTTGAATGAGATATTACCTAGAAAATACTTAGCACAGTACATAGAACATAGTGGGTTTCATAGAGGTTAGCTCTTGTCTTTATTAATAAAGTAAAATAAAAATTATTTGGGGACTTTGTGTATGAGGTGTAATCAAAATATATGGTGAATGTTTAAAAATTTAAAAAATATTACAGTGATAGGCACATTGCCTTTAATCACTCTCAAAATATCCCCCCTTTCTTTGAACATACATCTATCATTCTTGGCATTTTCTGAAGCATGAAAGTCCTATTTCCTGAGTGCCTTTTTATGGGTGGTTCTATGTTCTGAATTGATTCAAAACATACACATCCACTTCTGCGAAATAAAAACATTACAGTATATCCTCATATACCTTATTCACTTGATGATGCATTATGTGACTCTCTCTCAAAGTAAAAATGACCTTGAAAGATAAATAAATCTTTTGCATTGATTCGGACATCAAGGCTGCCAGGACAGCAAAATTAATGACAGTCATGAAAAAGGACTTCTCTACTGCTTTAGAAATGATGAGGAACCCTGGTACCGATAAAAAAAAAAAAAGGAAAAGAAATGATGAGGAAAAATGAAAAAATGTATTTTAGATGAGAAATCTTTGAGGGGAATTAGTGTCAATATGTATTTTAAAAATATAAACATTCATCATGTTTTGTGATGACACTTCGTACATGTGTCTTTAGCTTTGTGTCCTGGTGGGTCACTGGCTGTACTTCTATCTTTGGTTTGCTTTCTAAATATCCATTATATCCATTTAAACTCTCATAATGTCAGCATCATATTACCTGAGTAATAGAATACAGTAAAGAATCAGTGAACCAAGACTAATATGAAATAGTATTAAAAGCTTTAGGATGTTAAGAGCTTGAGCAATCTTTTCCCTGACACTCTCCTGGCAACATTACATAGAGAAAAAGATAGGCTTCAATTTTAGTATTTTTGCTACTTAAGTGAGCACAGGAAAAGCTTCAGATCGCAGAATGACATTGTATGTGATGTTTCTAATCTCCAAATTGACTTTTTTTTTTAGAACCATCTTCAGGCAAAGATTACAAACAATAATTACATGGACCCAAACAACCTCATGTTTACAAATATCACAATCTTCGGAATGGACAAGGAGCCAGCTAACTTTACTGTCTTATCTAACAGTTCTACCATCCCCATTTCAAGCATTGTCTACAATGCTTCAACACAGGTGAGGGATTATTCCATCAAGTAGGGTCCTCACAAAAGCCCTGGCTTGAGATTCTGACAGGGTGCCTTCCTCGTTCTTTTGACTTTGGGAAGACACAGGAAAAGCTGGCATGTTGGAAGAGACACCAAATCACAGGGAGATGGCAGGCATGTTATGGATGCAAGTATGATCCCCTGAACTGGTATATACTAGAGCTTTGAAGACGATAATGAAGCTGGGACTTTCAAGGGAATGGAGTATACTTTCTGCCAATTTAAAAAAAACAGGCTGATCCCACAAGTAACAGAGAAAACACTGGTCCATATGCTGGCTTAGTTCTGGAGAGTATTTGCACTGTTACTGTCAACCTTCGTGTTACTTGGTCCAAATACTTCATACCACAACTTAACAAAGGAGAAGTTTATTTGGCTTGTGATTTCACAGGGTTCTGTCCATGGTCAGAAAGAACCAAAGCAGAAGTGTCATGGTAGCAGGGCTGATAAAAGCTGTGCAACTCATGGCAGCCAAGAAAGCAGAAAGAAAGCAAGAGTTAGAACAAGAGATATACCCTCTAGGGTCATGGTTCTTGTAGCCTAGTCCCCTAGCCAAGCTCCATCTCCTAACAGCACATTCAACTATGCATTTATCAATGAAATAATCTATTGATGACTATAGCACCCCCATGACCAAGTCACCTTCCAGAAGTTCCACCTCTGAACACGAGTAATTTGGAGAACATTTTTTATCTAAACTATAATATACTTATCTGTCCTTAAATCAAAATTAAATTCTTTGAGACCCAGTTGATATTAAATAGTGTTTATACCATTACAGAAACTCATAATGAGAGAAAACTCAAGGAGCATTTGGTCCCAGTACCAGGAAGGTTGACAGTAACAGTATAAATACTCTCCAGAACTATGACAATATAACGGGCCAGTGTTTTCTCTGTTACTTGTGAGGTCAGCCTGTGTATTTTTGAATTGGCAGAAGCTGTGCAACTCATGGCACAGCTCCAGTTCCTTGGAAGTCCCAGCTTTTACTATCTCCTTCCAAGCTCCAGTACATACAACTTCAGGGGACCAGATGCGCATACATAAATCTAAATCTAGTTTTGGTCTTATTGAGTTATTTAGATAGAAGATTATGATTATTAGTACACTATTCAGGTCCTGGGAAGGTCATTATTTTTAGGTCTACTGTCTTCCATTTTGAAAATAAGATACTGCAGGATAAAGGCTTGGTTCCTAGGGTTAGGGAGAATAGGGTGCTAGTTCTAGCTCCACTGTCTCCAGTTGTGAGATCTTGGGTGAGATATTAAATCTTGCCAGACCTCAGTTTTCTGTTCTGTAAAATGGAGAAAGCTGTTATATTCTCAGCATGTGATCACTTTACAGAATTACTTGAGGCTGTGCTTATAGAGTGTTTATCACAGTGCTTGGCCTTTATGAATACCCAGTAAGGTTTAGCTGGTGCTATTATTGCCATTACTATTCAAATGGATAAGCATCACCACAAAAGAACAAGTCTGAAAATGACAGCTGCCCCTATTATTTGCACTCTTTACCATGGTGCAAAAGCTTCTCATCCCTTATATCCACAATGACTCCACCAGATAAAAAAGATCAGGAATATGTTAGTTTCAAATATTTCAAAGTGGTATTGGAGGGGGGGCTGGGGATTTAGCTCAGCGGCATAAGTACCAGCTTTGCAAGCAGGCGGTCGTGAGTTCAATCCCCGGTACCGATAAAAATGAAAAAAAGACAAAAAAAAAAAATGTGGTATTGGAGGAAGAACTAGGTCTTCCAGTTGAACAGGAAAGGATTTTATCCAGATGGTTCTACCTCTACTTCATTATTCACCCACATCTGCTTTCTGTTTCCCTAGGTGGTGACCATCACTGATCTCAGGGGACTGGTCCTGGGACAAGAATTCTCCATAGAATGGAATCTCCCAGTCAGTGACCTAGAGAAGTTCAGGTGCTATCCAGACAACCTTACTTCTGAGGAGAGCTGCAGGCAGCAGGGGTGCCTCTGGGAGGTAAGGATCTGGGACAGCGACCATATTGGGTTACAAAAATGGCTTCACAGGTACCTCGGAACTTAGCAAACACTTTTCACACGTTGATGGCTTGAAGTGTATCCCAACAGGAGTATTTTGTTAATGCTGCATGATGGTTGATCAGTATTTCTATCAAATATGCTGAGTCATAAGAAACTGATATCATTCTCATTGCCTCTCCAGCCACATCATTCAAAGTCTTATTTGACATAATAGCACATGTTCAGTATGCACTGTGTGTTGAGGATTTTAAGTGAACTTGTTTTTTCTTTGTCTATTGGAGAACACAAAACAAAGCATGAAGTAAGGTTCTATTTGAGCAATACAGGAAAAGGTAGTGATTTCTTGGTAACCAGATCAGGTGCTCTGGGAGTGGGACACTACAGGAGAATTCCAGACTGACCCTATTCACTCACTACAGGCACCGATGTGTGTGTGTGTGTGTGTGTGTGTGTGTGTGTGTGTGTGTGTCCCTGTGCTAGGGATGGTATACAAAGTACTACAAAGTGAGTGGGTTAGAATGATACAAATTTATATCTTTACAGTTCTGGAGTCTAGAAGTATAAGATCAATGCATCAGGACTGTTTCTATCTGAGAGTTATGAAGAAGAGTACTTCCCATGTTTCATGCTTAGCTTCTGGTGGTGTGAGGGCAACATTTGGCATGTGTTAGCTTGTACCTGAGTCACTCTGATCTCTGCTTTCACGGTCACATTGTGTGTTCCTGCTTATAATTGTCTTTGTATACAACCTTCCTCTCCTTACAAGGTCACCAGTCCAGCATAATGACTTCAATATAACATGATCCTTTACAAAGACCCTATTTCCAATGGAATTATATCTACATATCAGGGTTAAGAACTTTGGGAGGGGAACATAAGTTAACCCATAACAATGGGTAAAGCTGTCTAAGACTGAGTGTTTTATCCAACTTCTTCAGTAGTTACAATCTTCTGGCATCAGAAGCTAACCAATAATTCCTCCTGTTGTTCCAGCACACTACTACTCCTGGCGTGCCCACTTGTTACTATGACACCATCCCTCGCTATGCTGCCAGTAACATTCAGTACCTGCCCACAGGCATCACCAGTGACCTTACCTTCCTGGGGACCCCAGCATCTGCAAAGGCAACAACAGCTCCACTGTCAGCAGCAGCAACTTCTATTGTCTCTAATCCTCTCTCTGGAGAGATCAGCTCCCTCAAACTGAATGTGGTCTATCACACAGATAGTGTCCTGCAGGTCAAGGTAATTCCCAACCTGTGGGTCTGGTTCTCAGAATTTCTAACTTACAGCTACAGCTCTATACAGGTGTAAGTCAATGAAAGACCTTTTGTTTAAACCCTTAATTTACCCCTGAATGAGCTTAGGCCTACAGGGATAAAGGCCAGAAAGCTAGTGGATGTGACCTTAGATCTATCGGGATTGTGAATTTTCTATAATGATGAATATTCTTTGAAGAATTAGCCCATAGTCCATTTTGTGGTAAACACATATGAAAAGCATTGGCTAACTTCCAACATTTCTAGCTATTCTCCAATAGTGTCTTTCAAACTAATTTCCTCCTTGTGATACGAATATCAAACTTCAATCTCCTGCATGCTATGCAAATGCTCTTTCATTGAACTATACAGCTCCAACTCATTGACTTTTAAACTTTAGCATGCTTCAGAATCACCTGCATCTTCTTAAAATGCAGCCTGATAGGCTTCAGTTAAGTTTCCAGCTCTGTTAATCTGGGCTGGCCACTCTGAGAATTTGCATGTCCAGTGATTTCCAGCCCATGCTGGTATAACCTGTCAAGTGACCAGACTTTGAGATCCAGGGCTGTGTTCTTCCTATTAGAAACACAATGCAAGCCTCAAAAGTTTCCTAATAGGAGTATTTTTAAAATGTATTTGTTAAAAAATCAAGTGCAATTAATTTTAGCAATATTTTATTAGGCCATGCACTAAAATAAATTTTGCATTACCTTTTAATTATGAAGATATTTTGCAATTTTTCAATCTTACTGTCTTTAGATTTTAGTGTGCATTTTGCCCTTCCGATGAATTCCAATTTAGTTTAGCATGTTTCTGGTGTTCAGTACCCAACTGGGGCTGGTAGAGACAGTCTTGGGCAGCTCTTTTCTCAACATTGCTTTTCACACTTGAATATATTGTGAGTCATCCTTCTGTGAAAATGAAGGTCTGGGTTAGAGGCTGAGCATCTGCCTTTCTAACAGGATCCCACACTATTTCTGCTACTTTTGATTAAGAAATGGAATTTTGAAAATCAGAGCTGTAGGAAGAGCTTCACTGGAGCATAAGATGTAGTATAATCATAGTATAAAGAAGTGAATGATCACTTGTGATGGGGATGCGCTTTGTCCTTTTGTTATATTCCACTCTTGTTTTTTCTACTGACCAGTCCTGTTAGGGAATGAATGGTGGGTACAAAACAGGGGCTTAGCAAAGGTAAAACTGGACATCTGGAAACTTAAACAGTAAAGACATCTCAGCATCTGCATTAAAGCTCAATTTCTGGTTCCTTACACACACACACACACACACACACACACACACACACACACTTACATTTAATAACCTTACCCAATTACATGTACATAATATGTTTGTATAGCATGCCTCCATAAACATGCATTCAACCTACAAGATTCTACATGATTATATCACAAGTTCTCCATAGAATATACCTCAACTGGTTTCAAATGAGTATTAGAGGCATTTTAAGTTTAGGATCTGGGTCAGAAACAGTGGGATGGCAGGTCTCACATCTATTAGGGATTAGTGCTTCAGACTAGTCAAAAGATAGGAACTGTGTTTATAGAGACTGGAATGAGAAGTTTTGGGTTTGATGTTCTGTCAGAAAGCGTTTCCTTCTATCTCATTGACAGATGTATGATTCCACTAATAAAAGGTATGAGGTGCCAGTACCTCTGAACACTCCTTCCTCACCAGTCGACTGCTCTGAGAACTGCCTGTATGATGTCAGGATTCAGACCAATCCTTTTGGAGTCCAGGTTCTGCGCAGAAGTTCTGGTACTGTGATGTAAGCATGGCTTATATGGTTCTAATTAGAGTGGAAATATAATTATAGAAATGAAACATTAATCTCAGAGATATCCATAATATAAGTATATGTGTTTGTTAAAGAGTACATCACTTTCCCCCTACTTCATTATGGGATTTGTTCTGTATTATTAACTCAAAAATAAGTCAGTGGTTTTAAAAAACCAAGTGTTGTTTGATTTTGGAGAAAGAAAATACATGTTTTATTTGTTCTTGCTAGGTAAAAATAAAAGACTGTTTAGTAAGTATGACTGATAACATAAGATATGAATCTGTTCTGTATTACACTACATTAAGAAATAATAGCTGGATAGCTGGACAGAGATTAGTAAGGAGAGAAAAGTTGTTTTTTCTAGTCTTTGCTTTTATTGATACCATAGACTTGAAGCCTTTTAGTAATGTTAAGCATGGCAGAAATTGTCAGTTATCATCTCCCACCCCTTGTCCTGCTGCAGAAAGTCTGTATTCTGCCTAAAGGAGTTCCTCATCAAAGTAGAGACTGTCATTTGTAGGGACACATGTGTTTCCTACGATTTTTTCTGTTACCCTCTTTAGTAGGACTCTGAAAAATCTAGAGAAGTTGTTTTCAGAATTTTACATTTTTCTATTGGGAAGCATTTTTTAGATCTCATTGACTTTTTTCACATGTTTTCAAGCTGGTGTGCCAGGCACTGAGAACCAACAGTAAAGAGATGAATGAGACATAGTCTTTGCCCTCAATGAGCCCATGTTCCAAAAAAGGAGATCTCAGTCCTGCAAACTGCGGGATAAAAATGCAAGCTTGGAGCCTCACTACCGAGCTGTGGCTCTTGTTACAGCCTGCATCATTCCACATGTCTGACCTTGCATCCAGATGTTCACTAAGGCAGGTACCCCAAATATACTCTGTTTTTGCCTGGCCAGTGATCAGCACCTCTGCTTGGTCGGGGGGTGCTTTGTGTTGCAGTTGGGATTCTCAAGTTCCTGGCTTCATCTTCAACGACATGTTCCTTTCCATTTCCACTCGCCTCCCCTCTCAATATATCTATGGCTTTGGGGAAACTGAGCACACGATGTTCAGAAGAAACATGAGCTGGAACACATTGGGGATGTTTGCCCGCGATGATCCATCAGCGGTAAGAACGGGAATGAAATTAGCAATCAGTTTTCCTGTGTAAATTTACATTCTTTTGTCCACAAACAACGCTACTATTGATGAATTCCAGTCTTGCTTGTAAGAGACTAGCCATCATGCTCTTTTGTCTATAAAAATGTGTAGATATAGATTTGAAACTTTTATTTAATGTATTGTGTGTCCTGTACATTGCTAAGTGCCTCACTGCAAATTTAGTAAAAGATACTCTCTTTGCCCTTGAAAGGCTTATAGGCTGACTGTGATAGGTGTAGAAATAGTAACAGCACAGGGTAATTGGTGCTGTGATAGAATTATGTAATAATAAAAATAAAGTATATAGTAATAAAAAGGAGGTAATGTGGCTTCTTACTTGGGGTGGAAGGGAAGGCTTAACCAAGAATATGACATTGAGGTGCACCTCTGGTGTTGAGTGTGGATTCACTGACTGGGTAATAGTGTGAAAACAGTTCACTAGCACTTCACTTTGTTATCACATCCTTGGCTTTTTGTTACCAGTATGAGAAGAATTTCTATGGTGTCCATCCTTACTACATGGCGTTGGAAGAGGAAGGCAGTGCCCATGGAGTGCTCCTGCTGAACAGCAATGCCATGGGTAGGGCACAGGTGTATTTTTGATACATCGCCATCCACAGTTTTGGCTGATAAGCTGGAATCTGGGATATCATTAGAAGTAAATTCAGAGCAAAAATAGATAAATAAGTTGACTTTCCATTCATTCATCCATTTATTTGTGATTTATTAAGTGTTCTGAATCATATATTAAGTATAAAATTTGGAGTAACCATAGCCCTCTATTTTGCTGGGTCACTCTAGCTCCTTTTCACAAAGTAATATAGATTATTGAGATGGCAGAGTGTGTTTAGAACACCTGAAAATTCATCTCTGACTTCACTGGGTTAGAAATGACTTACTAGAGGAGCCAGGCAGTAAATAATGAGTGTAAAATGGCAAACTTGAGGACAAATTCTATAGTGGAGTTGCTTTTAGTTCTCTGAATTTTCATCTATTTTCTGTTTTTTTAATTTTACAGATGTGACAATCCAGCCCACTCCTGCCCTCACATACCACACTGTAGGAGGGATTTTGGACTTTTATATAGTTTTGGGGCCAACCCCTGAGCTTGTGACTCAGCAATACACTGAGGTTTGAAATCATTCTACCAATTAATCATTATATACTTACTGAATATTGTGACCATGTTTTTTTTTTTCTTTTTATCCATGGTTGTCTATACTCAATTATGCATTTCTTTAAAAAGTTAGATTATAATGTTTCAGGATGCTAACAGCATATAAGAGCACTGCATGTCCCTTGATTGCTTGCTAGAGATCCCATTTAAGAATCTCTAATCAGAACAATCTCTGAGTTCTTGGGTTTCCTACAGTGATGACTTTTTAGAATTCAGGGAAACCTTAGTTGTAATACGTCTGTCATTCTGCATCTCCATTACCATTCTTGTTTATTTGAATTTTTAATTTTTCTTGAGTGGGGAGGTCTCATAGATCAGACAGTTTTCAGGAGAAATGCTCACTAGTTGCTTCAATTATAAAACAATCCTTCCCCCCACTAGTTTACTTGGATCCATTTTCTTCACCCCTTAAAAAGTTTTTAAAAATGCATAGCATTTGTACATATTTGTGGAGTATGATATGATAATTTGGTACTTTGTTAAAAGTATGATGACCAAACATAAGAGTAACTAACGTTTTTCTATTCTAGTTGATTGGTCGACCAACAATGATTCCATACTGGGCTTTGGGATTCCAGCTGAGTCGCCATGGATACCAGAGTGATTCTGAAATTTCCAGTTTGTATGATGCAATGGTGGCGGCCCAGATTCCCTATGTATGAAACTGCTTTCATATCCTCACTCAGCTTCTGCTTTCTAGTTATGGAAATTTGTATTTTATGTTGAAAACAGCTCCACTGAAATATTCTTGGGACTACCTCGGTATAAAAAGTGAAGTTATGGAGCTGGTCCTGTGTGGAATATGTTGTTTTTGTAGCATTGCTACAGGCTACCTTTTAGATGAAAGCTCAAAACTAAGAATTGTGTAAACTTTTCAGTGGTTTTAGAAAGAGGATAGAGGCACTCCTCCCCACTGACTGTGATATCCTGCAGTAGCCACAGCTGAGTTTAAGAAGTGGGGAACTGTGAGAGATGGATATAAAGTGACAAGATGAAAGAAAGAAACCTTCATTTCCTCTGAAACATGTACCCACATGCGCTTACATGCAGTCTAGTTTCCCAGGAAAACCTTGAGAAGCATTGTCAATTGTAGTCAATAAGCAAAATTCCCCAAATAGAGTAAGTACTTATCTCCTTGTAATTATTAGTATTTTATCACTCATTCTTCTTTTCAGTTCACCTCCTGAGCTTGTGGAGAATAATTAAAAATTAGAAGATGAAAACAAGGTGCTATGATATTCTCATCAAAGATAATTATATACACACATATCATACTTATCAAACAGAAAGGAGAAAATACAGGAAAATTACAAAAAGAAAACTCTTGATCTATCTTATTAAAGCAGTCTATGCTGATAATCTGCTAGTTCATTCTTATTCAAGTTTTGATTTATGCACAAATCTCCCTTTTCCAAACAAGTTCTGCCTAGAGACCAAGACAATATTAGTGATTATCATCTTCAGCCTAATGTTTTCTTTTTTTCACTCTAATATTAACTATATTCTCTAACAGACATGGGTAGAGTGTTCCATGTGCAGAAACCTGGTTTGGTACCATGAAAAGAGAGAGTTCTTAATATATTCTAGAAAGCTATAAAATAATACAGTTTTAAAATGAAAAAAATTCAGTAAGGCACTACAGACAAAAAGTCTAGATATACAATCTTGTTTGTTTCAAGAAAGTCTCACTTTCTATGCTTGAACATGTGAACTAGTAGTTTGAGATTTGAAGAGAAAGAAGACATGAATTAAAGCATGGAAAGGTGAAGGTTGCAAGTGGGCAAACAGAAGGGAGAGTGAGGCTGGTGATCTGGGAGCAGAAACAGAAAGTGATTTCAGTCAGCAGAATGGAAGAGTTGGTGAAGGGGAATAGTGAGATGTGGGCTGGGCGTGCAGCAGCATCTGGAGTGGACTCTGGCAGAGCAGTCAGTGTTCCCTGTGAGTACTGCTGCAGGACGCTAGGGATCTTGTTTGCTTCTTCCTGTAGGATGTCCAACATGTAGACATCGATTACATGGACCGGAAGCTGGACTTCACCCTCGGCCCTAGCTTTCAAAACCTTGGTCTCTTGATTGAGCAAATGAAGAAAAATGGCACGAGATTTATTCTCACTCTGGTAGGTATTCAGGCCAATTAGATGCCTTTTTTGATTTCCATATTCATAATTTAAAAATAATAACACAGGAAGAACCCAGATGAAGGTTACAGGCAATCTTTCCATACATTCCTGGTAACTTCTTGTGAATTTATAATTAAATTTTAAGTTTGAAAAGGCCAAGTAAAGGTCAGGTGAAAATAGCTTTTAAGAGACAGTTCTTCAAGATTCTGTATTTCTTTTTCATAGTTGAGTATTACCGGATTGTAATTAACCAGTAAAATATAATTATCTTAGCAGAATGAGAAGAACTGTAGGAAGAAACACTGAATATATATATAAAAAGGTGTCTTACTGACACAAATTCTGCCTTAGAAAGAACAACTACATCTTTACTCTTATCTTTTGTCAGGAAGTTCAAAATCCTTCGGTTGTATCATCACTCAGAAATGGTGAATCCCAGGGAACTTATTTTTCATTTGCTATGCTCACAAACACTGAATTAAGATCCAGTATACTGACTTATTATTATGTAGTCAAAGCTGTATCTTGATAAATATATAAGTAGTTAGCTGTAGATATTTCCCTTCTTCTAACTTCCAAAATTAGAGAGTGAGTTTTGTCTGTTCATTAATTCAAAGATTTACTAATATTGACCATTTGAAAAATCACTGATTTAGATATTGAGTGTGTGTGTGTGTGTGTGTGTGTGTGTGTGTGTGTGCGTGTGTGCGCGTGCATGTGCAGAGGCCCTTTTAGATGAGCTACTTGGACCACAGAATAGATACAAAAGTTTTATTTTTTAAGAACTATTGATATTTTGTTCATGAAATGCAATAAATTTGCTATCTCTGCTTTAGGGCAATGTCTTATTAAACTAGTTTAGTTCTAGGGGTTGTTTTCAAAAATTAGCAGTGTTTTGCCTCAAGAATTTTGTGGAGAAAATCAATATATTCTTTTCATCCCAACACTCTCATTTTAAATGGATTTCCTTATTATTGGAAGAATCAGTCATCACATCATGTCATATTTCAGTTGCTACAGGAGTTTTTCCATTTCATTAGTTAAGGTCTATAACACAGAAAGGCTCCTTTATTTATTGTCAGATTCTTAACGCCTCATCTGCAAAGTTATTGTGCTTCATAAGGGTTATGTATCTTATTTTGTATGGCAATGACAACTTTCCACTTCAATTGGTTAATGTAATATACCCAGTAGGTGTAAATTAGATTATTTATAGGTATTTATTTACTTATTTCTATATCTTGAATTATCAAATTTCTTGAGCAAAATATCCTTGGAGATATTTAAAACCTTTTCACTTTCTCCTTTTTGAACACATTCCCTGTAGGACCCAGCCATTTCTGGCAATGAGACACATTATCACACGTTCACTAGAGGACAGGAAAATGATGTGTTCATCAAATGGCCTGACACCAATGACATTGTCTGGGGAAAGGTATGTGTGGGAAGAGTGTCTGTAACTAGTCAATTACTAAAAGAGGTTCTCAACAAATCTTGAAAAATATATGGGGCAGTTATTAAATTATGAGGATAAAAGAGTATATGACGCTGATTTGCACAATAAATGCTAATAAGACAAAGGTTGCAGATTTTCTGAAATATTAAGCATAATGTTATGGCTTGAAAATATTCTGATGTTTTCACTATTTATGTAGTATAGCTAGCCATTTAACAAACATGGACAATCTCTCAGAGAGTGACTCTGAAAACTGTGCTTCCCAGATACCTAAATTTAAAACAAAAGTCAGTAAGTCTTCTAGACCTTTTTCCTGTCACATTGGATTCCTCGGTCCTCATCCATATGTGTCTGATTGGTAGCAACAGTATTTGAGATAGACTTCTTCACCACAGATGATAGTACCTCTTAGCCTGGATTCAAACTCTTCTGCTTAATTCTAGTGTGCTACCTCCTATGGGCTCTGCTCACTTTCCATGTTGCCTTCTCAGATAATATATGCCATGTTGCCTTCATCTAGATAATATATGCCCAGCAAGAACAACTCAAATCTCATCTCTTGTGAAACGCTCAATAACTGTCTTTTTTTTCTCTCTTTCTTTCTTTTTGTACTGAGAATTGAATGTAGGACTTGTATTTGCCAGACAGGTACTGTACTACTGAGTTACATTTTTGGTCTAATAAATATCTTAGCTCTTCCTTTTTCCTTATGTTTGTGTCATTTCACTCTAGGAGTATAGCATACAATATAGTACTTATGTATACACTATCTGTGAATCCTAAGAAAAAAAGCATCATTTCTGAATTAAATCTCAGTAGAGACGAATCCTAGAAGAGTGTTTGATATAAATACTCAATAATGTTTTCTGATTGAATATATATGTATATATATTCAGTGTCCTACTAATTACAGATAAAACTGGCTGATGCTATGAATTTCTAAGCTATATGTACTTATGGGGCTCAGAAAACTATGATATTGCTTATAAGTGTTGGAACTAAGTTTTTGGGCTGTGATTGGATATTAATCTTAGTTTTTAGAGTCATGCTTTGAATTTGTTGCTTATAAGTAGAATTTTATAGGTAAAAATAAAAGGAAGATCAGAGAGCTGAGAAATCATGTGAAATATTTTTCAGAAGTGACATTAAAATAAATTTATTTATTTATCAAATTTAAAATATAGAATTATTTTTAAAAACCTGACAGAATGAATCAAAAGATGTAGCCTACTTGTACCTAGCAAAATTTTGTGTATTCTGCTTTCACAATTATTTATGAGAAAGATACTCTTCCATTTTGTGGAGATATTTGTCATCAAGTATAACATAAGAAACATCTCAAGGCCTATATTCTATGACTTTTAAAGTCATAGAATATCAAGTCAATTTTTCCTCTTTTTTTTCTAGGCTTGGACAGAGCTGCCCAATATGAATATAGATGAATCCCTTGATCATGAGACTCAAGTTAAGGTACAACTTTACATGGACTTTTGCTTGCATTGTCCTAAATATCTGAACACTTATGTGTTTTACCAAGGTGGGATAAGTAGCATATACTCTGCTCAAGTAGCTTCAAATTGAGTGTGCTCATCTGCTGAGTATTTTTGGCAGAAACCGATCTTAAAATGAAAAATTCAACAACTAACATGGGGTTTATAAGATGAAGTCCTTCCCATGTATTCCTTTAATGGATTATGATTTGGGACAAATTTTGCTTGAAATATAATGAACCAAGGTCTAGATTATTTGCACTGGAAATCTATATTGGGTTCTAATAAATTACCTAGATATCCCAAAAATACCTGCCAGTGGACAAAAGCAAAGGACTTGGTCTCAGCCATTGCTGCCACATCAACCTGTCACTACCAACCTCATTGTTGCGCAGCTGACTTTTGTTGGATAAGTCCTTTTTCATTACAGTTGGCCAGTCTAGAAAAATAGTTATTTTTAGGTTTTATTGCTTCAATGTTAACTGTTAATTTTCCAGTTCCCATGATTGAAAGTCTAGCGATAAAGTAAGTCCTACGTTTAAGAGGAAATTTAAAACTACATTTTTCTAACAAAATTAAGAGTGAAAACATCTTTCCTCTAAATCTGGGCTCTCTTTAAATTCTGAAGCAGTGATCAATTGAGGTCAGATCAGAGATTGAGCTAGATAGACATAAATTCCCTTTCTGGTCCCAAGACTCCTTTTCTTGGATGAGTAGAGACCCCGAACGAGTATGTGTTACTCTTACAGCTGTACCGGGCCCATGTTGCTTTTCCTGACTTCTTTCGTAATAGAACAATTGCATGGTGGAAGAAGGAGATACAAGAGCTCTATGTAAACCCTCAAGAACCAAAGAAGAGCTTGAAGTTTGATGGATTGGGGATTGTAAGTGCACCTCAGTTGCTGATCTCTGTAAATGTCAAAACACGGGGAGGCAGCTCAGAGACTTGCAAAGCCAGGAGGTGAGATTGTAGGAAAAAGAGTAGAGCCTTTACAGAATCTAGGTGCTAGAATGAGAGTCAGGTTATTGTAGACCTGCCCAGGGATGTGTGTCTGGTGGAAGCTGTAGCCCATCAAGATGTACCACTGCTGGAAATTCCAGAACATGCTGGCACCTCTAGCACTTCAGGTTCTTGCCAGTCCCGCTCATTGGGCAAACCTACCCGAAGACTGGAAGCCCACCCTATAGTTCAAGACAGAACTGGAAGCAGACAAGGCATGAATCTGGGCGCTAAGGCATTCAATTTAGGCCTGGAACAGGCTACCCAAAGGCTTAAAATCCTGTTCATCTCTGTGTTATTTGTGTTAGCTGGCCCAAGGTAAGACTTTTTGAGATATCTCTGGGGCATGTGTCCAAGAGAAGTTCCCTTATTTGTGTTCTAGGGATGGGAAACATCAGGGTTATTAATACCTTCTCTCGTATCCAGTTGCCTAAATTCTTAAGCAAATTCTAGGCAAGCCATAAAGACCTGCTCAAGTCTGGGGCAGGCTGAAAGAAGCTGGTAATTTATCCAGAGATAAACTAAAAACCCACTGGGTGCCCTAGGTCTTTGCTGGGTCCTTTCGGACAGGTAGGTACAGTGTAGACATGAGCATACAAGTTAATTCAAACAGCAAATTAGACAAAAAAGCAATTTGGGTATCCTTGGAAAATAAGAGATTTTGATTGCTGTTGGGTATTTGCTTCAATAGAGAATGCTGTAGCTGGGTAACTCAAAATAAATGACCCGCAAATATTTACCTTTGCTGTGTCCTATGTAAAGTAGTACAAAATTTTAACTTACTTATCAATAAAGTACACAGTGAACACTTTCTTGAGGGCCCTTATTCCTTGCATTTAAATTGTAAATTCATCAATGTTATCATTTTATTTTCAGACTTGTTTCTTGAGTTATACATAGTTTTTTGGGAATCTATCTGTAGCAGAAAGTAAAATTCTTCACATTGTGGTTGGTCTGTACCAATGTCAGAATTAATTCAAGCTTTTGAATTAAGGAAGGGAATCTAAGGATCATAGTGACCTCCTGCTACAAATACAAAATGAATAATTTATGAATCGAAAAACAGGCAGGCTCCTTGTGTGGGGAGAGCTGAATCAGGGGTTTCCTTAAGTCCTGCATCAGCATTACCTCAATATTTTTGTCATTATGACACATTCAGCATATATTTAAAAAATGCAAAGGAAGCTAGAAGTTGTTTAACAGTCCACTTATAGTGACATGGATTCTCACAGTCATTTTGGTCAATACCAGACTTTGAACAGAGTGCACTGCATCCCTACTGAGGGATGGGCTTCAGAATAGTTCAGTTAACTTTATTAAGTTAATGTGCCCGATAGCTGAGAAGATACTGCCCCCAACATGACAGGATCTTTTTTGTTAACTTATTTTAGGGTATGAATGAGCCATCAAACTTTGTGGATGGATCTGTTGAAGGCTGCCGCAGTGAAATTCTCAATAACCCACCCTACTTGCCATGTGTGTTAAGTATTTATTTTATCAAATTACTTTCTTTCTTGAAAACCCTTAAGTTTTCCTCTTACTATCAAAATGAAGCCAAATTCGGGGGGGGGGTAGAGGATAGTTTTTACATGACATAGATCCTCAAATAGAATAACCTTTAATAAGGACAATATAATAAATTACTAATCAAGTGCAGAAAACTATGCTGTGTGGTATGAAAGAAACCAAATGAATATACATTTGATTACATTGATAACCATGAACTGATCACAAAAATTTAATCCTCTACACAAACCCACACACACAAAAAGGTGGTTTACATTACAGAATGAAAATCTAGTACCTGGACATTCTGCCTATGTTCACAAACACTTCATGAAGGAAACATCTTGGATCTACTGTATTATAAACAGAAATAGGATGTTGGGACCAAAGATATCACAGCAAACGGAATCCTTTTATGTTACAGAGGGGGTAGGAAGCAAATGCATTCCTAAAAGCTTTGTGCTAGTGAATTTGTGAAACTGAATCTAGAATTTGGGTCACTGATAAGAAGCTCATTGCTCATTCATTCATTCACTGTCTCCTTCTTTTTAAAATTCATGTGCCAGGCCAATGTGACAAATCAGAAAGGTATAGTCAGTTACACAAAATTGATGCAAGTAAGATTTATCCCTTTGAGAACGTTACCATCTAGTGGGAGACACAGTTCTAGCAACAAAGGGGTTAGTTATGATAAGCAGTGGGCTGTGTCTGTGCTCAGTTCCATCAGAGTGCAGCAACAAATGCTTTTCCCAGTCCTTAGCTAATGCTGACACTTTAGCAGTTATGAAGCCAAAGGGTGTTACTTTTGTGTAAAGCAATTTAAGAATTTGACCCTATAGTTGATAACTAAATAGAGAAATGCCAAAATGATGGTCATTTCTAGCAAGCATGCAAATCTCTGATTGGGAAATAACTTGGTATTTGCTCTCAGATTTGGAATCTAGAGACAAAGGCCTGAGCAGTAAGACCATGTGCATGGAGAGTGAGCAGATCCTGCAGGATGGCTCTCTGGTGCGACACTACGACGTCCACAGCCTGTATGGGTGGTCCCAGACCAGGCCCACCTATGAGTGAGTGTGTCTTCATCACTGGCAGCGAAGGCAGCTTACTATATTGTTACTTTGTATTTGCATTGTGACTATACCTACCTGATTTCAGAGAAGTGAATAACCTTCAAAATATCAGGTTACCTCTGAATAGATGTATCATTTAAATTGTTGAATGCACCTATTTAAAGTGATTAATTAGGTGATGTTATAGGATATAAGTATCCTATAACATGCTTAACTCATTCCTACCTTTGTCACCTTCTCCTGATCCCCCACCACTAATCTACTTTCTGTCCTGTGCATAGTGTATTCTGTGTATGTTCTTTTGTGACTGGCTTCTTTCACTTGGTGTATTGTTTTCAGGTTCATTGTGCTACGTTGTAGCATGTTTCAGTGCTTCAGTCCTTATTGCTAATGTATAATATTCCATTCTATGCATCTATCATGTTTTGTTTATCTATCAATCAGTTGGTTGACATTTAAGTTAGGTTCACTTTTTGACTATTATAAATAGAGATGTTATGAACATTAATTGCAAGATTTTGAAAGAAAATATGTTTTCTTTCATTTCAGTACACATCTCAGAGTAGACTTGGATTTTATGATAGCTGTATTTTTCATATGTTGAAGAAATGCCATGTTCTTTCTAAGGAGTTTCACAGTGAAAAATAGCATTTTGCATCCTATCAATAATGTATGAGAATTGCAGTTCCTTTGCAATCTTGCCAACTCTTGGTATTATCCGCCTTTTTGGCTTAAGACATTTTGTTGTGTCTCAGGTATATCTGGTTGTTTTCCTCATTTCCTGACTAACTGTTGCAGTTGAGCATTTTTGCAAGTGTTTAATGGCTCTTTGCTTAACATATTGGCAGAAATGTTTGTTCATATATTTTGCTTTGAAGTTATCTTTATTATTGAATAGCAAAAATTTCCTACATAGTCTAGATACAAATTTAATTAGATAAATGATTTGTACATTTTTTCTTTTAATCTTTTCACTTCCATGATGGTGTTCCTTGAAAGAGATATTTTTTTAATTTTGAGGAAATTTCATATCATGTTTTAATCAATTTTGTATGATTGTCTAAATCCATATCATGTTTTTTTTGATACAGGGTTTTACTATGTAGTTCAGGCTGGCGTTGAACTTTCAGTAATCTCTTTGCTCAGACTCTTGAGGGCTGGGATTAGAGGTGCGCATCACCATGCTTGGCTAAATCCTTCTTATTTATTAGCGTTTTTCTGACACAGAAATGTTAAAGAGAAGAAAGAGAAATTAAATAAGTTACTCAATTACTCATCTTTTGTCAAGTGTGCTATTGGTGTCATAGCTAAGAAACTATTGTAGGAATCGAGGTCATAATCATTTACTCTAAAGCTTTCTTTTAAGAGCATTATATTATAGTCTTACATGTTGCACCAAGATCTGTGATCTACTTTGTGTTAACCTTTGTCTGATTTATGGTGTAGGGTAGAAGTACTTTGGCATTTGGATATGCAACTATTTTACTTTATTGAAAAGACCATTCTTTTTCCATTTAAACTGTGCTTGTACTTTCTGAAAAATCAACCAACAACCAATAAGAGGAGTCATTTATGGACTTTTGATTCTTTTCCATTGATTTCTATATCTATCTTTACGTATTAATATACAGTTGTAATTAATGAGATATGAATCTTTACTTTTTTATTCAATAGGGATTTTGATAGGGATTACATTCAATCTATGGATAAATTTGGAAAAGTATTGCTATTTTACTAATATTAAATCTTCTAATCTGCTAATGTGAGATATCTTTCCATATAGTTAGATTTTCTTCAATTTCTTTCAACAGTAATTTGTAGTTTTCAGTGGATAGACTTTTGGCTGTTATTTCTTCATATATTTTCTGCCCCTTTCTCCTTTCTTTACTCCTGCTGAGCTCCATTGAATGCATGTTGTTATACTTGATAGTGTCCCTCAATCTCTGAAGAATTGTGTACTTTACTTTCCGTTCCTTACACTGGTTCACCCCTGTTGTTCTATCGTTAGTTTTCTGGTTCTTTTTTTCTACCAGCCAAATCAGATACCTATTCCGGGCCCTCTCTAAAATTTAACTTTATTTACTGTATTTTTCAACTCCAAAATTTCTATTTGGCTTGTTAGTAGTTTTTAATTATTGATTAATATTTTCTATTTATTGATGTGACATAATCATGCTCTCCTTTAATGTTTTTAGGTACACTTTCTTTTAGTTCTTTGAATATATTTATTGTAGCTAGTTAAAAGTCCTCTATTAAGTTTGCTTAGCTATATTTTCTGTGGGTTACTTTTTCCGTGTGTATAAGGGATACATACATATATAAAATTTCAATAAATTGCATGTGTATCTTTCCCTTTTGGACTTATTTTGGTGTGAAATACTGAAAATGATCCAAATGGGTTAATTTTATTCCAGTAAGTAGCTTCTTACACTTACTTCACATCTTATTAGGAACAATTCTTCTTGTTGTATACTTACGCTTTTTTTCAGTTTTTGGATTGTAAACATACTAGGATCTGCTAATAGGTTTTCTAATTTTTCTCACACACTTTAAAAATTTTTTCACACTATGAATATAAATAGAAGATTCATCTTCTTTTGAAAGGCACTTAATGATCGTTTTATGCATATCTGCCTCTGTGTGCAAAATGCGTCCTGCTCTTTGAAGTATAGAATAGTAGAAAGAATTTTGTCAAAAAGGAACATCTATACACATATTCTTTGGACCCCAGGTCTGCTTGCTTGCTCTGTAAATTGTCTTTGTGAATTATCTAACTTCTCTGAGTCTTAGTTTCCTAACAAAAAATAAGGTGATGCAAGGAAACCTCCCTCCTCAGGTATGAGATGGAACACATGAAAGTGACCAGTGACCTGGGGCTTGGGATGTGTTCCTTACCCTTACCATTCTTCTTAACCTTTGTATAGATAAACAGCTTATTATATATTAAAAAAGTAAATCTGCATCTGTAGGTGCAGGCATCTCTGTCCCGCCAACATGCTGTGAATTTGGTTGGGATTCCTAGTGTTACCTTCAGATGGCAGATCTTTGCTAGGAAGAAGTTCTCTAACTCTGAATGAAACAGCTCAGCTGGTCCATAGCCAAGCTGCAGCTGCTCCCTGGCCATCGTCAAACTCATCTCTTTGTTCTCCAACCAGAGCTGTGCAGGAGGTGACAGGACAGCGGGGAATTGTCATCACCCGTTCCACATTCCCCTCTTCTGGTCGCTGGGCAGGACACTGGCTGGGAGACAACATGGCCGCATGGGACCAGCTGAAGAAATCGATCATTGGTATGCGAGCCTGCTCCTGGGGCCCTCTGATGGCTGTGGTATGGGTAATGGGAACAGTTATTTGGTTATACTGGGTGAGTCTAGACTGTCATCTAGATGAACAGTAAGATAACACGAGTTGAGTTCTCTGTGAGTGTGAGTTTTAATTCATACATATCTTTCAATATTTTTATTATGTATGATGCAGGCATTCTCATGGGGAAGCAAAGGGAAAGGCAAAGGGAAAGGCTTCCCTCTCCTCTGAGGGCTTGTCTGAAACATCCCTATTGTCTCATTTCAGGCATGATGGAGTTCAGTCTCTTTGGAATACCTTATGTAAGTCACTGTGAGGCCATTACTAACTACCTGGTCAGATTTAATTATATCTACAACCCACTCATGCTCTAATGCTGCACATATCAGACAGGAGCAGACATCTGTGGGTTCTTTGGAGATGCCGAATATGAGATGTGTATTCGCTGGATGCAGCTGGGAGCCTTTTATCCATTTTCCCGGAACCGCAACACCATTGGGACCAGGGTGAGGTTGCTGTTGTTCAAGCTACATGTGTTTTATGGCCTCAGATAGTGGCTTCTTTTTAACTCATGAAAGTATTTTAAGTATAACCAAAACAATCATCAAAATCATCCCCCTTTATTTTATGGAAGACCTACAGTGTTCAGAATCTCAGAATTATTGATAGATTTTAAGAATATATTTTCTTTATTTCCTGGAGATTAGTAACTAGAGGACATATGTCTTTATAATTCCTTCATGGGGCTAAAAAATAAGAACTCTCCACTTGCCTTTAGCAATATAGAATTTGTGTTTTATTTATATCCACCAGACATACATCTGTGTTGTGTGGGGACTTGTTTTTCCACCCATGTGCAAGATTAAAGCTAGACCTCTGCAGGGTATAACAATGACCAATAAAGAAAAGGAGCAACAAGTTCTAGATTTGTAGGTGGCAGGAGCAGGGGAAGGGCAGGTTAGAAATGAAGGGAGAGGGACTGGGCAACCTTCATGAGGAATGAATGCTGGACAATCCTTTTCTGATAGCACTAGAATGGAGTGAAGATGAAGTGATCTGTTATTTACTTTCTTAGAGACAAGATCCTGTAGCCTGGAATTCAACCTTTGAGAGATTTGCAAGAAAAGTCCTGCAGACCAGGTATACCCTGCTGCCTTATCTCTACACTCTGATGCACAAGGCTCACACCGAAGGCAGCACTGTTGTTCGATCCCTGCTCCATGAGTGAGTATGACTTCTTTCCCCAGAAAGCACCTCTGGGGCTGTCTTAAATTAATCCTCTGTGACGGTGAAGGATATGGGAGAGTTTTTCACATTTATCTTTTTAAGGTTTACAGATGACAGATCAACTTGGGATATAGACCATCAGTTTATGTTAGGCCCTGCCATCTTGGTCAGCCCTGTGCTGGAAAGTGTGAGTTTCTGATTCTAGGACAGACTCTAATCACGTAGTTTAAAGTCACAGGAAAACCATTTTAAAGATCATCTCATCTCATTCAGGTCACTGCTTTCAAACAAATGACTTTCTAGAATAGCTAAAAAAAAACTTTTTCCTTCTTTCAAGATCTCCCTTAATAAACATTTCACAGTGCTGATTGACTTCTTGTTCTGCAAGTTTGTATACTTTTAGAAGTTTCTTTTCAAAATCTCTTTCTGTGTCTCTGAAGGGGAGATTTCTAGAATCTTTCTCAATAAAAGCCCTCAAATTCTTGACATCCAAATAAATCATATCTCATTGTAAATCTACAAGAAGCATTTTAAAAATTAAAATAATCACATTACTGGAATATCTGTAATGATATATTGATTGGTTTTGTTTCAGAACATTTTTGAGATCAGGGCTTACTTTCCCAGAGCCTGGTGGTATGACTACAGCTCGGTAAGAATAAACATTGTTCCACGCGGGCTAGAGAAGTGTCTGGAGCTTTCTTCTGACTCTTATGTATATATTTTCTTTCTTTCTTTCTTTCTTTCTTTCTTTCTTTCTTTCTTTCTTTCTTTCCTGCTTACTTGCTTGCTTGCTTTTCTCTCTCTCTCTCTCTCTCTCTCTCTCTCTCTCTCTCTCTCTCTCTCTCTCTCTCTCTCTCTTTTGTACCAGGGATCAAACTCACGAGCTTGTGCTTGCCGTGTGAGTGCTTATGCCACTGAGCTAAATCCCTGGCCCTGTATATATTTTCTAAGGCAATCACCGCCAATTTGTTCAGGTTTGGAAACATTTGTGAAAGTGGAAAGATGCATACAAGTATACACTGGTACCTTTGAGCATTTACACTGAATTGATACTCACCACTCACTTTTCCTGGAGACACAGAAAAGTCTAGACTTTCAGAGTGCTAATCGAAAGTGAAAAGCAAGGGGCATTCTCAAGTTTGAAATGTTTTCCAACATACTTTCTTGGAAAGAGAGGACTTGTAATAATGCATTTACCTACTTACTACATTTGCCCCTCACTATTTTTTGTTGATTTGCTCTCTTCTAGGAATCTGGCCACAGATCTACAGGTGATTGGGAAATACTGAAGGCTCCCCTTGACCACATCAACCTTCATGTTAGAGGAGGCTACATTCTGCCTTGGCAAGAGCCTGCAATTAACACCCACTCCAGGTAAAGGGGGACTGTGTTTGATGGCCTTCCTCCAGCATAAATCAAGCTCTAGTTTTTAGATTTTATTCTTCAGCAACCAGAAAGCTTTTGAAAGATTCTTTATTCTTGGATCTTCTTCCTAAGGAATGCATATTTCATCATATTACTTGTAATTTGTGTATTTGCAAATTATGAATACTGTAAATTATTTTTTAATGTTGAAGTTAAACCAAATATGAATATATGTTAAATGCTTTTCCACTGACTGTTAATAATCCTGTATTTTATCTCATTTTATCTATTTTTAAGTCTCCTGTACATATTTTATTCACTCTTTTTTATTTCTAGATAGGTAATATTTTTAGCAAATGCTGATTCTCATTCTTATGACTTCCAACCTAGTGAAAAATGATTCTTTCTTTTTTGGTAGTCGACAGAATTTTATGGGCTTGACTGTTGCATTAGATGATGATGGAAAAGCTGAAGGTCAGATATTCTGGGATGATGGACAAAGCATCGGTGAGTTAAACTTTCCCGGGCCTTTGTATTATGAAGACAACCCAGAGTAGGGGCTCATCATCTACTTTGGAAACTAAATCCTATCTCTGCGTCTGCTACTGTCAGTAAGGCAATGATGTTTGGAGTATTTTTGCAATTTTTGTTAGCTTGTATGCATTACGGTACAACTGACTACAGACCAAGTATATAACCCTTAGTTTGGTAGGTTCAGGAACCTGATTTTATGGATTCACTCAGGAGTGATGAACTGTCTCTCTCTGATAAAACAGAGTGGGTGCAAGTAGCAGTTTGACAGTGGATTCATTCTCAGTGAGACACAGTCATGGCATTTATTTGATCAGCCCTTGATACCAGGCAACTTTTCCTTAGAAGAACCCTACTCAGAAGACAAATTAGATCCTAGAAAAGTTTCTTGGGGATTCATAAATTGTGAATTGACAGTTGCTAAGAGGATATTTCATATTACTTTTCATGCTTTCTCAAATCCAGGAATAGCTTGTTCTACCTTGGGTAATTGGAATCTGTCATTATAATCAGAACACCTTCTTCCTCAGACACCTCTACAGAAATACAGAGCTAGCAATCAGCTGTCAATTTTCACTACTTATTTCTCTGTTCCAGAATATTCTGACCTTACAATTTGTCACATATTTTAAAATTGCAGCTTATTTCCCACTAATAATAATTCTAAAGCTTTCTTCTTGTTAGTTTCTTTAAAGTAGTGATGGGGGATAAAAATGATCAAGTGTGTTATGTTCATCTACAAGTCTGCCAAAAACTTATTTAATCTGTATAACTAATATGTCCTAAAAAAAGATGCAAAAACAAAAGAAAAAATATTATCTTTAAAAGTTTTTCAAGATAGAAAATCAGAAAAATGCAATCACTTCAAATGTTTTTGCTGTTTGCTACTTGCTTTTCATATTAAGAAAATGGTCAAGATTTTATGTAACTGACAATCTACTACTTATTTAACTAATGAAATCTGATTGTTTTCATAACATTTATATATATCTAGGTGTTATTGTATATTTATTATAAGCACCAATATGACTCTCGTATTCTATTGAGAAGATTGTCATAATTTACCTAATTCTCTGTCTTCACTGTGATTTGATCAATACACATTGTATACGTGTATTGAAATGCCACACTCTACTTCATAAATATGTGCAATTGTTATGTGTTTTGGAAATACTTAAGGGGGTAGAAGTGTTTGCTACCCTGGTTTGGTCATTGTGTATTGTGACATATTATCACATTGTATTCCATAAATATATTAAATTAAAATAACAATAAAAAGAAAACACTAAAGATTGTCATGAAAAAAGAAAGGGTTTAATTTTAAGTCATTTGCCTCATCCTTAGTGATACTGACACTGTGGTTAATTATTTGTGCTGGTGGCTGGGCTATTTACTATAGGAGGGTTAGCAGCATTTCTGTCTTCTCCCCACCGGAGGACCAAAATGAGATGTCACAGTCACATATGTCTCTGAACATTATAAAGTGTCCCCAGAAAGGCAAAGTCACTGCTGGTGGAAGGCCAGTGCTTTTAAGAGAGTGTAGAAAGCTCCTGTGTGTGTATAGGCTGAGATAATCAGGACTAGATGAGAGATATCATAGTGGTTTAATAACACCACAGCTGTGTTTCAAAAAGTTTAAAAGAGAAAGCCATTGTTTAATACAGTTTAAGTTTTTGTGAAAATGTTTGACTTAGAGTTAAATGTTAATAGTCCCTGAAACTTTCAAATATTTTTCAGAGAGCCTTTTTATACTTTTTAAATGAAATGCATTTAGAAATTCAAATTTAAATACTAAAATATGGCATGAGGATAGATTTAATTAATTTTTTCATTAACAGCTTTGTAATTACTGTGAAACTTTCCCTTACTTACGAAAGGTGATATGATGTTGACAGTGGCCAAGAGTAGATCTTCAAATGAAACTGATTTTAAGAAATAGGGAGAGTTATAGAAGCCACATGAGGAGGATGAATAAAGTAGTTATTGACTCAGAGTAATGTAATAATAATAATAATAATAATAATAATATTGTCTCCCTTTATTTGAAGATTTGCTTGTCATGATTTAAATTATAGGTGGTCAACTACAGTCTGAAATTATTAAACAGAAAATTCTAGAAATAATTTGTAAGTTCTAAATTATGGGTCATCTTATCTAACTTGAGGAAGTCTTATGACATACTGCTCGATCTCCTGCAGGACACAGTCATCCCTTTGTCCATTGTATCTGTGTTGTCTCTGAACACAGGCATTTAGAATCCATCTCAGCAGAACAACTTCTGTGGTTCTGCAGTGCCTGTATTTTATTCAATAATGGGCATTATGCCAAAAGGTTTAATAGAATACATTGTTTTAATTGTTTTGCTTAGAGTGTATTATTGTAATAGTGCTATTATTATTAATTTCTTGCTGGGCCTAATTTATAAATTATACTTTATCATAGGTATGCACTTATAGAAAAAAATATGGTACATAAACATCAGTACTATACGTAATTTCAGATATCCACTGGAGTTTTGGGTCTTGGAACCTATCTTCCATGGATGAGGCCTACTGTATTTTAAGAGGAAGGTGTATATTTAAAGAAGCCTGAAAGTCTTGAATATCATGAAAAGATATTTAGATTTAAGTCACTTATGACTTTGAAAATATTTGATTCAATGAAAAAGGAAATGCAGGAGTAGTGTAGGAGAGGTAAATCAAATTTTGAGTTGAATAAATAGGACAATAAAAAGGACGTGATGCTAGATTGATATAATCGAAGAAAGGATTTGTCACAGTGGAGTACTCTGGGGCATCACAATAGCCTATAAAGATGGAGAAGTATTGGGGGGAAGTTAATGGAATCGTCTGCAGAGGCAGAGGGCTTAGGATCTCTAGCACTCTAAATGACAGACTAAGGATAGGAAAAGAACATCAATAAAGATGATGATAGTGAACAACAAATTTCGACTTATTTTGCACAAGCTGAATGCTATGTACTGATGTGCTTAAATTGGTACTGTTATTGTGGGATGTGATTGAAACATATGGGAAATATTTAATTTTAAAAAATTATATTAAAAGATACATTACGACCTGCTCTCCTTACCATGCTTCACACACACCCCCTGCACACACTCACACTGAACTCACTTATTTCACTATTTCTGTCACTTTCCAAAGCAGCTCTGGAAGTCCTCTTTCATATAGCTCAGTGGCATAAGTGCCTGTCTGGCAAATACAAGGTTGTGAGTTCAATTCCTGGTACCTACTCCCCTCCCCAAAAAGATAACAATCACAAGTGTCTTTAGTTTCACAGTTGTGGCTACCCTAAAATCCTGAATTGATTTAAAATATTTACTTTACAGTCATTTTGACTTTGGGGACATCCAGAAGTAGAATGGTGCAAGGGTGCCAGATTCAGGGAATAAAGTGAATAAAAACATACTGTAATGTTTTTATGAGCCTACTTTTCCATTTATGGCATGTGACATTCACTCAAAAAGGACTTACACGACTGCCTCATAAGATAGTAAGAATGATAAGTGTGTTCAAATTGAGGGGGATTAATGGTAATGTCTTTTACTGTAATACATTTGAAAAACTTTAAATATTCATCATATATTTTATGTATCTGTTCTTCAAATCATAAAATGCTAAGTGACTTGCCCAAGGTTGCACAAATGTTACAAAATGTACAAAATGTACAAAAACTGGTTTTTGAGTCCTTTTTTATCTGATTTAGAAGTTTGAATCCTTAACTGTTTTTTTTCTATTTTGAACTTTTATTATCGTAGATACGTAAACTCTCACGTTTCCTATATCAGTGCAGAATAATTTATCAGTATCTTTTATACTTCATCTCGACATCTAATCTTAATTTAACTTGGAATACCTTGCATTTCCAGACCCTTTCCTCCCCACCTCCTTTCCACTCATGGGTTTCTTAAGTGGAATGCCCTTGCTATTTTTCTTCTCCCTTCCCTTCCCCTCTCTGCTCTCCTCATCTTCTCCTCCCCTCTTTTTTCTCCCTTTCTCCTCCCCTCCTCCTCATTTTCTTCCTCCTCCTCCCCCTCCTCTTCTCTCCTCTTCCCCTCTTTCTTTGTATGTGTGTGCCAGGGATCCAGACCACAGTCATATGCATGTTTGGCAAGTGCTTATTACTGTGCTTAATGATTCTCAGGGAGTTGATGAACAATGTGATCAGTAATTGTAACCCCTTAAAATGTTTTATGATTGCACATGAGGTTATAAACTAGAATTAAAACAATTTTCCCCTTGCTTTCAGATACTTATGAAAATGGAAACTATTTCCTGGCTAACTTTACAGCAGCTCAGGTAAAACTACTGTGTTTTATAAATGCTTTTCCAGTTAGCTAAAGATTATGCATTTATACAATTGAATTGTGTAACTAGTATCTTACATCTTAATGGGAGGTCATTCGTGCCTTTATTTTTTTAATTCATGTTTGTTGACACTAAATTAAGGAAGTAACAGTCTTATTTTGATAATTATCCAACATAACATGGGGGAAGAGGGAGAGAGAGAGAGAGAGAGAGAGAGAGAGAGAGAGAGAGAGAGAGACAGAGAGAGACAGAGACAGAGAGAGAGAAAAAAGAAGAAGAAGAAGAGGGGAGGAGGAGGAGGAAGAGGAGAGGAGAGGAGAGGAGGAAGAGGAGAAGGAGGAGGAAGAGGAGGAGGAGGAGGAGGAGGAGGAGGAGGAGGAAGAGGAGGAGGAAGAGAACAAAACTTTCTGGGCAAAAATGGTCCCTTAAATTTATAACATGTTTTCAGGGATGAGAATTTTTCTGGCTGATAAAACTTTGAAGAGCAAATTTATATTAAATTGTCCAACATGTAGTAAATCTCAAACCTTAGTGCCATGCAACCAGCAATAAACACTGAGATTCTGAGCTCCAGAAGAACTGAGCTAGATCGGTCTCGTCTTGACTGGTTCTCATGAGTCAGGTGTCAGCCTCGGTTTGTTAGTTTGCTTGAATTGTCTTGATGGTACTCACTCACATATGTGTTTGATGGTTAAGGGCAGTATAAAATGAAATTATAGGAAATTGGGTTTTGGGTTATAGGAAAGTCTGAGAATGATTTTTTCATGATTATTGAAGAGGGCAAAAGTAGAAGTAAAAATACCCGAGTAGTGTTTAAAATCATTTCTTACATCAAGTTGCCTAATTTCCCATTAGCAAAGTAGAGTCATAGGACCAATCCCAGAAGCAGAGCAGCAACAGAATATCCTGTGTAGAGATTAAAAATTACACAGAAAAGGATAGACTACAGAAGATGATTGAGGACCACAATGCAGCCAATGTACTTCACATTTTAAACAAGTTCATGGATAATCTGTAATTCTAACAAGAAAAGTAGGGGAATCATTCTCTGTCAAACCTGGAATAATCTTGTGTTTAACTTTTTACCTACTGACTTGAAATAAGAACTACTGTTGCAAAAATCTATTTTTTTCTTTTCTACAGTGGTGCTTCAGATATTTGAGGATATCTGTTATATATCCATTTGTCTTTTCGTTTCAGAGTTATCCATATCTAGGTTAGTTTTGTTGTTTTATACACATACTGGCTACTAGATATGATCACTCTATTTGGACTTCACTTAATATAGATTTTTCCTAAAACATACTGCCCAGGGTTGAGATCATAATTTATATCCTCACTTCCAGTATACCAACCAAGAGCCACATTTGGCTACAGAGTACTTACGAATGTAGCCATCCTATTTTGAAATATTCAAGTGGTTACTTTGAAAAAAAAACATTGTAAACTACCTCATCCCCCTTTTTTATGTGTGATACATTGAAATAACATTTTAGAAAGTTTGGCTAAATGAAATATATCTTTAATTTATTCTGTTTACTTTTTACAAATGTGTTTACTAGAAAATTCTAAATTGCATATACAATTTGCACTGTATTCCTACATGATGGCATGAGCTTTTGTATTGTCTGTACTTATTTTAGTGTGACTCGTTCATGGATATCACACAGCATTCATTTTTATGCACATGTATCTGATGTTTGGGCTATATAAATTGCATAGACATCTAAGACATCCAAGTAATTTTCATAGACATGAGTAATCAGGTCATATTCTCTCTATCCTACATTAGACTTTTTGAAACTAAATACAACACTCACTACTTACTAATTACGTCTGTATATTGTCTCTTATTGTAGTTGAGTACAAGACTTTATTTTTCCTCTCAAATTGCTGTTTGTAAATGAGGCTGTTGATCTCTAAACTCTGGAGTTTTGTTCTATTTTTACTAAGTACTCAATTTAGGAAAGACACTTTCCTGATTAATCTATTTCTTTATTATAAGACATTAGATTGTTCTAAAATAATTTCTGACTATAAAATTCCATTTTTTCATTATTCCAAGTTGGTGACACATGTATCATTACTTCTGTGATGTTTGATGAGTTGGTTGTTTTTTTTTTCCCCTAAAGATTGGGGGCCTGAAATGAAAGAAAGCTCCCCGCTTTCTGTGGGGTTATTCTTAGTGTTGCCTGGCTGATAAGCAGCTTTGTGGGGATGGGAGCTGAGTTGCAGCATTTACTGATCTCTGTAATGTAAAGACTTCCCACATCTTACCTGATTTTGGGTTATTAAGCAGCTTGCAAAATTCCAGAAAATTTATCAATCAGCTACTAAATCAGTAAGAATTAGCCCTGATGTACCTATCTGTTTCAAATTATATTTCTTTATCTTGATTTTCCCTTGTTCCTGCCTGTCCGATCAGCCAAAAAGAGTTCTGTTAATTCTTTAGAAATACCAGTTGAATGTGTTTCTTTTTCTGTTGATACTATTAGAATTGAGACATTTGTAATTCTCCTCTACTGGAATGAACTCTTTTTTTTTAATCGTGTAGATTCTTTTTTTGGGGGGGGGGAGTTGGTACCAGTGATTGAACTCAGTGCCTCATGCTTGCCAGGCCGGCGCTTATGCCGTTGAACTAAATCCCTGGCCCAATCGTGTAGATTCTTGATGGCTTCATCGCACGCATTAGCTAATCTCATTTCTGTTTACATAGAACCAGTGACAGTTGCCCTGATACTCACTCAGAGTGAGCTTGGGATCACTGTATATATACCTGCACCACTCCCTGTCTCATTCATATCACTTTTATAAATCCTATCCGTTCACCTGGGACTTCAATGTCCTAACTAAATCCTCCCTTCTCCACTGTATTCCCAAGGTGATTTTTTTCTCTCTCTTCACAACAAATTTTGCCATGATTTTCATCTGAGTGATATTTCATGATTTGTCTCTTATTATTGTCACCCTTGAATTGAAACTTAAACTGATAGCAATTTATATAAGTTCCTATATTCCTGTGGACTGTGCTTATCAAAGGAGCTACCTTTTTGTCACCTTGTATTAACTGAGGTAGTACACATATGTGCATCATGATTCCACCTTATCTATGTCCTTTACTTCTATGGCCTTGAGCTTCTCTATTTTCTGGAGCTTCATTTTCTTTACCTGTGAAACAGAGACAATATCACTTTCATTTCAAAATTATGATAAAAATTAGTAATAAGTATACACAAAATAGGTTTTGAAGAGCTGGTACCTAAGCTTATTTTTGACATCATCAAAATTATTGTAGCAGATACTGAGAAAGTAAATATTCATAAAATGTTTAATTAAAATTTAAAATGAAATTAAAAATGAAAACGGAGCCAAATATGGTGATGCATGTCTCCAGTCTCTAGGATGCTGAGGGAGGAAGACTGAAAATTTGGGGTCAGTGTGGACAATTTAGCAATCTAGCAAGGCTCTATCTCAAAATTTAGCAAAGAAAAGAGATTGAGATTATAGTTCAGTGTAAAGGTCCTGAGTATATCTGTTACTGCAAACAAACAAACAAAGAAGAAGCAAGAGGAGGAGAAGGAGCAAGATGAGGAGGAGGAAGAGGAGGAGGAGGAGGGGGAGAAGGAGAATAAAGGAAGAAAGAGAATCGGTGCTACAAAAGTATTTTATATTACTATATTTTAATGTGAAATATAGTCTATTTTAAAATGTAATGTTTTTTTCTCTTTACAAATTCTTTATAGAATATCTTGCAAATCCAAGTCATACACAATAAGTATTTAAATGACTCAAATCCTCTGAAAGTTGGATATATTAAAGTTTGGGGTGTGAACTCTACTTATGTGACACAAGTCAGTTTCACTTATGACAACCAGCAATTCATAGAGACCAACTTGAAGAGTGATCCTTCCAACCAGGTATGGCTGAACAGAGTACCACTGATACAGGATACTTAGGGGGTTTTAATTCCGTGATAATGGAAATTAAACTGAAGCAACAACATGAATTTACATGAAAAAGCCTTCAAAAGGAAGAGAAAACTGGGAAGGGGCTTCAGCTTGAACAGAAGAATAGCGGAAGGGGACTCAGTCTTGACGGAGTGGGTTGGATTGGCTTATTAACAAAAGTGTGTCTAACTTTTGTAGCTTCACTGGGGTGGGTGAGAAGCTTAGTAACTTTCTATGTGGTCACAAGTTTAGAATTTTTGGTGACTATGTTTTAGGAGCTTTTCTCCTATTTTAAGATTATATAAATAAATAATTATTCTTCTGTCTTGTTCTTGAAGTAATCATAGTGCTCTCTGATGTTACCACATATGTGGTCCTTGCAATAAGAGTAGAGGGTAAGGGTATAGCGTATTCCATATATTGATAACAAGGGAGAATAGGAAAAAAGAGATGTCCCACTTTAGTGAGTAACATGTCAGTAGCCAGTGTTAGAGCATCCAAGTCTGTCCCATAGGCATACCTATCTGATTTAACTATCATAAGATAATTTAGTATTCTGAAAAATTGTCGCCACTATTACAATTTTTGGTACACACATATTAGAAAGGTTACCAAAATGTTGAGTGGATACACTCCTAAAAATGTTGTAGAATGTACAGCATTGGTGATCTTTCTCTGGTAGTCCAGGGACCAATGATCAGCAGTTTTATAATAGCCTCTCCATGTGTTTACCAAGAAAATTGAGCTATGTTTATATAGACTTGTTTTCTAGACTACATAACAAAACTTACTTTTCCATTCAAAGTTCAAAACAAGGAATGAGGGACTCCTTGAACTTACAGAAGGATTCCCCCTCTTTTTTGAAGCATTCATACCCATGGTCAAGTAGATGGTTCTTTTAAGTTGAAAATTGGCATTAAACTATAGTGATCACCAAGTGAATATATTCCACCCAGGGTGTGAGATTCACTTAAAGAACAGTGACATAGATAGAAGACCCTATTGAGGGATCAGTTCTCTTTGCGTTTTGTTGCCAAAATGCAAGTAAACTGGAATTTTAGAAGAGGAAGTACCAAAAGCAACCAAAAAGGAAAAAAAATTCTATTTTAGAAAATAAAGCTAATCATAAATGTGGATTTAGTAATCCATAGGTTAGAAAAGTGAACAATGGATAACTGTAGTTTTTTTCTAAAAGGTGAAAAGGATACCTTGATGATATTTGAACTTGTTTTAATTTAATTTAATTTAATTTAATTTAGTTTATCTTTTTGAGACAATGTCTCACTATGCAATTCAGGCTGGCCTTGAGTTCACTTTGTAGCCCAAGCTGGTCTCAAACTTGCGGCAGTCCTCCTGCCTCAGCATTTGAATTCCTGGGATTACAACCATACACCATCACTCTAGGCTTGATATTTGAACTTTAGAAAATGACCCAAATAGATCACTTCTCTAGGGCCTCATAATTATTTATAGCTGTTTTACCGAAATACTAGGTTCAAAATCACTTTTTGCAAGTAACTTCTAATTAGGAACAATGAAGAAAAACCCCCACGTTATTTCTTTTAGAAAATCTTCACGGGACCCCAGATGTCTCTTATGGGCCAAGCACTGTGGGTATGAGGTATTGATGATCATAAAATGAAAACAGCCAGTTGTTTAATCGGAAAGATTAAATGGCAAAGGAAACATTTTAATAAACATGAGCACAAAGATGATCTCTCTAAAGTAATAATCTATGTGACCATTTATCTACTATTTCTCCCTAGAGAAAGATGAACACTTTTTCTGTTGTTAAATTGCAATGTGAAGAGTGAATTTAAAATAATGTTTAAGAAGTTTTAATATTGCACCATTATCTTTTCTTCCATGGCAGGCTCTAACTATTCAATTAACTGACAAGAATATCAACCTGGAAAAATTAACCAAGGTTATTTGGATTCACGGTGATTCTGTAGTTACCACTCCAACTATAACAAGTGCCAACCCCAGGAGTACTCACCCATCTCCATCTACTGCTGAGTCTACCAGTGCTGAGACTATCACTAGTTTCAGTAGTACAAATACTACAGTGGACACTACTACCAGTGTTCCAATCACAATCACGCCTTCTGAAAGTTCTACTCACGTTACCACTACTCCTATTGTTCCTGATACAGCTACTACACTTACAAGTACTTCTGTCCCCGTCACATCCACAAATTATACACTGAATGTTACTTACATTACAACTAGTACCACTACCCCTCACACAGCCACTCCTTTCTCCAAAAGTTCTATTGCCACTAGTACTAGTATTATTTTTCCCATGAAAACCACAGATTCTGCAACAAGTACTACTGGTGTTACAAATGCTAGTATAGTTCCTGATGCAACTACTTCTTACCCTAATAGTGAAAGCACCAGTACTACAGTTCCTATGAGCATCACTCCTATATCGCAAAATACTATGGATGTCACCACTCGTACGTCTGCCTCTGACACAACTACTCCTTTCCAGAACACTGGGAGCACCAGAGTTACTATTCTCTTCACAAACAGTTCTTCCTCAACTACTCCTAACATCTCCACTGGTGCTACGGCCCCTGATACTACTCATTTACCCACTAATGTGAGCACTAGTGCTACTGTTCCTGGCAGCACCAGTCCTTTCTCAGCAGATACTACCACTGCCACCCCTGGTCCCGTTTCTGTTGATACACCTACTCCTTTCCCTGCAACAGTGAATTCCAGTGCTGCTGTTCCTGTGAGCACAATTTCTTTCTCAGCAGATACTACCACTGCCACCCCCGGTCCTGTTTCTGTTGATACATCTACTCCTTTCCCTGCAACAGTGAGTCCCAGTGCTACTGTTCCTGTGAGCACAATTTCTCTGTCAGCAGATGTGACCACCAGTACTGTTTCTCCTGATACAACTGCCCCTTTTCCTACTACTGTGAGCACCAGTGCTACTGTTCCAGCCCATACTCTTTCTTTACCAACAAATACTACTGAAGTCACCACTAATACAACTGCTCTTGATACAAATCCTTTCATTACTCCTGTGAACACTACTCCTACTGTTCCTGTTAGCATCACTCCTTCCCCAATCAATACTACTGATGTCACTAACTCTACAACCCCTAATACTATTCTTCCTACTACTTGAACACCAGTGCTACTGTCCCTATCACTACCATTCAAGTGCTGCTGCTGTTTCCACTAGTACTACTGTTCCTGGTACAATCAGGCCTTTCATTATAAGAACTACTAGTTCCAGTACTAATGAAATTTTTCATATAACCATAATGAATTTCCCAGCAAGCACTGTAGTGTACTACAATATAATCACTACTCTTTTAACTAGGACTCTTGTTCATAGCATTAATAATTATATTTCTGTTATGGTTGATTCATTGTGTCAGCTTGAGAAGTTCAGAAGTTGAACCAAGAGACTTAGCAGGGAGCCAGGGCTTTTACTTTGTAAGTATCCTCATTCTGTGCAAAGGAGAGTGGGGAAATTTTGTGTACTATATCTTCCCTGTGGGCGGGGGAGATGGGGATGGCCTGCATACGCTATAAGGGAGAAGAGGAGGCTTGATCTCGCCCCATTTTGCTCTGGCTCTGATCAAAGCTTGGGAGATTCTGGTCAAATCTAGGAGGCAGAATATTGACAGAAAGCTTGCCAATAAAGACCAGGATCGGGAAGTTCCTGCTGGCAAGAAGGACTGCTTTGGTTGTTGGACTCCAGTTGATATATGTTACAGCTTGGCAAAAGTTTGTCTGCATTTTGTTTATGTCCAGAGACTTTGCCTAAGACTAAGGTTAAAGGCAGTGGACTGATTAATCTGACAGAAGAATTTTTTTTTTTTATTTTAAAGAGGGTAAAATCAAACAACAAAACAGAACATAAGAAAGCAATGTAAGAGTCATAAATTTCAAACCAGGACAATCAGAGATCTTCACTATTTATCATATTGTGTCTTGTTTTTTTCCAAATAGTTGTCTGTATCTTCACATACATAGAATTCACACGAAACAACATGGCATAGAAGTGATCTGAACAAGATGAGGAAGGCATTTTAGGACTTCAAGATCAGATGATAGGGAAGTCATCAATGGTTGTCATAGTGTCTCTATTCTCTTCAAAATTGCTGTTCATACCTTCATGTATGTTGAAATTAAACAAAAAAATCACTGAACAGAGAATAATAGTATTGCTGGATTTAACATCATGGCACTATGGAATCAGCACTGGGTACTATTGTGTTTCTTTTTCTGTAAAGTAGTTGTATATTTCATCATGTGTTATATAATCAGTCTGACAGAAGAAATTTCAAGGCAGTCAGATGTTGAGATGGTGGCATGGCTATTGTTAGGGATTTTTTTTTTTGCCAGATTTATGTTGGGAATCAAGAGCACAGAGCCCAGTAGGGTGATTTCAAACATGGATTTGACCAGACAGGAGGCTCCAGTAAAGCTGTGGATACAGACATAGAGCCAAAGAGATCTCATTTGCTGAGAAAGAACAGGAGAATTGAAAAGATGGCCTGGAGGCATCACAAAAGAGGCAGCAGGTCACAACACTTTGCAGTCTCAAAACTGCAAAAGTGAAAGACTTTGCTTAGAGGAGAAAAACCTCAGAACAACATGTTCCAGAATGGCAGCAGAGGCCCCATGAGGTTCCAGAATGGTGGAGGCATAGCAAAGCTGTTCCTCACAATCAGGTTTAGGGTGCCCAGTGATCCAGGAACTTGACCCCTACAGCCAAGAGAAAAGAAAGCCTCGCTACTGATCCTGCTACTAGCAGACCTTGACATTATCCACATGGGGGCTGGTCTTAGGTGCATACAGAATGAGGGTTGTGAGGTTAAAAAGGCTTCCATCCTGATGTTAGAAGGTCTGGGAAGCCAGGCAGTGTGTTCCTGAGAGGGCAGTGTGTGAAGTTGTGAGCATGAAGCCAAATGTGCAATGGAGAATTCAGAAGTTTGGAAAATCCAGGAGTGTGGATTGTCTAAGGAAACTTATAAAGAGAGATCAAAGCCAGCCCAAAAGAGAAGCTGTGGGAGCTAAAGCCACCAGGAGTGCCATGGGGATGAAGCCATGCAAACCCTTTGGCACTCACAATTTGCTGCAGTTTGCTTCAGATGCTGAAAGTACAACTACAGGACTTAAGGTTCGCCCTGCTGGATTTTGGACTTGCTTTGGTTCCAATGCTTTGTATCGCCATGTTTGTACCTTTTGGAATGGGAGTATTTATCTTGTGCCACTGTATAGGGGAAGTGTTTAACTTTGTTTTTGTTTGTATAAGGGCTTAGTTTGGCTTACATCCAGGAGGATACTTAGGATTTAGACTTCTGAGCAATGCTGAAACTGTTAGGACTTTGGCACCTCTTATAGATGGACTGAATGCCATTTACACAAAGGAATAAGTCTTTGGGAGGCCAGGGGCAAAATATTATGGTTCTAATGTAATATAAAGTTCATTGACTTAATGTTGGTTCTTAAGTATTGCTAAACTGTGTTATAATGTTAAAGTTGTGAAATGTTAAGAATGCTTTGCCTTTGTATCTGAAGGCTGGTTTAAAGAAATATGGCTGGTTATCAAGTTGACATGGGGTGGATTGTTATGGCAGATACACTGTGTCACCTTGAGAAGTTTAGAAGTTTAACTGAGACACTCAGCAGGCAGCCAGGTTCTTAATTTGTAAATATCCTCATCCTGTGCAGAGAAGGACAAGGAGATGCTAAGAGTGCTACATCTTACCTGGGGGTGAGAGGATGGCCTGCATACATTATAAGGGAGGAGAAGAGGCTTGATCCTGCCTCTCCTCCATTTTTCTATGGCTGCTGCCTTGAAATGTTACCCCAGTTCCATGCCGCCCTGCCTTGGAGCCAGCTGATTATGGACTGAAACCTCCACAGTGAGCTAAATAAACCTTTCCTTCTTTCATTTTGGGTGTTGGATATTTTGTCCCACCAACAAGAGAAAAGCAACCAACACAATTTATATATGATTGATTTTATTCTTCTACAAGTGTGAGAGGTTCCAGCACTGGTAATGTTGTTCCTGTCATAACTACTTTCCCTTCTTCAAATACGTGTGGAATCTGTACAAGTAATATTGTCATTGTCAGGACTACTGAGTATTCAATTCCTCCCACCATTCTTACTTACATTATTTCTTCTGTTCTAAACCCTACTGCAAACAATAACTTCTAATATTGATATTTATTAATTTTACTACTTATTTAAATGCAAATACCACTAATTTCAACACCTTGGGTAGAAAATCTCCCGTGACTATAGATACTAACATTGCTACTACTGTAATGGCAGCCTTGAGCTACAGAACACTAATTTCCACACACAGTCCTAACCCAGGCATCACTGGTACAATGGTACAAGTATTGCAGCCACTGTGGGGAGAATATATCTATATATCCATATCATCTATATCATCTATGTCATCTATATCATATATATTATCTATATCATCTATGTCATTTATATCAGCTATCTATATCTATCTGTCTATATCTATATATATCTTTGATACAGACACACATAATCTCAGTATCTCAGAAAAATTCATATTAGGCTGTCAACACTATTGCTACAAATGTAGTTATTCAACTAAGTTGTTTCTTGAGCTGTGAGCTATAATACATTATAAACAGCATGATACTCATAAAATTAAAGCACCTTTCTAACAATAGTTAATAATATCACATATTATTTAATTATTGTTGCTGAAAATAATACTTTATTTTGCTACAGACTTTCCCAAATACCAAAGATACCTTTATCAAAAATTTGCCCATACACAAACTAAAAGTTTTATTGCTTCTGAAATGATTCTGGCTTTTGCTATTGAAATGGAAAATGCTATCATTGAAGATTTGGTATATATCTTGACCTCAGGCACTGAAATAATAAAATTAGAAATATTAAATCTTTTACTATCATAGGAAATAAAAATATGATTATAGATATTAAAATCATAATTTTCCCAATCTTGTAGCCATTATGTTCATAGGTAGTATGGGTGATCTTATTACAGATTTGATATGTACAGATTGAGCATTCCTTATCTGAAATGCTTGTAACCAAAAGCATTTCAGATTTTGGATTTTTTAAAGATATTAGAATATGTGTTTATATAGTATGTGATATCTTGGGGCTACAACGTAAGTGTAAACACAAAATTATGTATGTTTTGCATTTAACCTATACTCTGAAGGTAATTTTTCACAATATTTTAGATTATGAATAAAAAAGCTACATGGTATGAAATTTTTTACTTGTGATACTATATTTGTGCTAAATAATTTTGAATATCAGATTTTCTGACTATGAATGCTCATCCTATTCTTCTGTTTATAGACACTAATGCAATTCCAGAACACTGAAATTAATCTTAATTATGAAAGAACTTTAGGCCTTTACTGTTACCACCAATGCCTGGCTCTCCTCATCTATGAGACAAGAATCACTCAGGCAGAGATAAGACTGTAGAGATACAGCCCAAGACAGCAGGTCTCTGCTCTAGAATCAGAGCTCATAATCTTGTTTGCTTCTTTTATCTACCAGCTTTTCCCTTATTACTTTACTCCCAAATTTCTTCTTCATTGTGTAAGGGTTTTCCCACTCTACTTGGTCTTTCATATTCAAATTCGTTTATTTTTCGATGTATTAATTCCTAAGATTACTCAGATCCTTATCTTTAAACTCTTAATCATTACCAAATCTAGCTAACTGGTTTCTATTGAAGGTTTAACAATAGACTAGTGTACTCAAAGTGTAGAAAAGGACACTGTAGTCAGGTGTTCCAAGACTGTTCCTGGGATGAAAAAGTCACATCTATTTTCAAAATACTAAGTTGTTAGTAGCCTTATTTGCTGCCATTATTCCATTAGTAGATGGTAATCCTTTCCAGAGGCCCTATGTTGTATGGTGTGATAAAGGTATTATACAAAAATCCAGCTTTCTTCTATCATGGAATGTATTAAATTGTTTCACAAAATGTAAATAATGCCATTTTTATTTCTTTTTTTTTTTTTTTGCTTTGGAAAATATGTTCCACAAAAATATTATTTATGCTAACATTAGCATATTGTTATAATGAATAAAAACATTATACAAATGACTCAATTTTAATTTCTAACAATATCTTCACTTATTTTGAATGTATACAGTCCCTGAGACCAGAGAGTTTGAGAATCACTGTTTTAGGGAAGTAATATCCCTTTTCTCACTCTCAGGTCCTGATCAAGTAGATTCTGAACTTCACTGTCATGTAAGAACCCCAGCATCTTACTCCACATGAATCTTCACCATTGTCTGCAAACACATCTTCACTGCTTTCTGATGTGACATACTTGTGCTATTGTCTGAGCTGTGTAAAGCCACTCTACACGAAAACAAAGGCTCACTATTTTGCTGTGGTATATCTGCTTCATGGAATCAGCTCACAAACTACAGTCATTTGAGCAAAGCTGAAAGTTTGTGCTCAGAAATCCATGGCTCTTCGTTGGACCTTCCAACTCAGAACAAAACTCACAATTCTAAGGACTTGGTCATGAGCTCCTTCACTTGCACCTTTACCTAGGGTTGCCCAGTGTGCTTGTTTTGTTGACATCACAAAAGCTGATGTTAGACCAGGTGCAGATTTCAAACCCCTGTTGGACACTTGTGGTACTGCAGAAACCCTTGAGCACCTAGGTGACATGGTGGGATGCAGAATATGGACAAAGTCCATCTAGAGGCTATGGGTTCACTTCAGTGGTAGAGGACTTAGAAAGCAAACATGAAGTCCTACATTCAATCTCCAGAATGGCAATAAAAAAAAAACCTAAAGTAAAATAAGGAAAAACTGCCAAGATTTTATCATTAAATTTCCCAGGACTCCCACATTCCTACCTATGGAAACCGTATAATCACAGAGATTGAGGCCAGGATCTTGCCTGGAGAATTCTTAAGGCAGTGAGGACCAGTGTATACAGTGATAGATGCAGAACCAAGGAGCAGTTAGACTCACGGTGTCTAATACATCAAGAGAAAATTACACATCCTTAGCTGATGTGGGGGCAGGCAGCTCCACTGGAGCTGTCATGAGGTCTTCCTAGAACTGATTCAGAAAGTTGAAAGAATGATGGGATATGTGTTTAAAGACGGAGGGGGGGGGTATTTAGAGGAACATTAATGTCAATGTATTTTTTATTGGCGTACTGACTTTATTTATTTCTAAATTTATTTTTGGCAAGGGGGTTACTGAAGATTGAACCCAGGACAATTGCCCTGAGCTACATTCACATCCCATTTCAAAATAAAATTGAGACAGGCTCTTAATAAGTGACTCTACTGAGCTCAAACTTGTGGTCTTCCTACTTCAGCTTCCCACTGTGCTGGAGTTAGAGACATACACCTTGCTCAGTCTTGCATTTAGATGCTTCCTGTATTTATGTAAGACTCTAATACATATGACAGACTTCATGAGAAGGGTCTAAGAGTGCCTACTCCAGGGAGTGTGGGTTTAAACCATGTTTCCTCATCTAAAAATTGGGGAGCATCTGAAATATACTAATAAGCACAGAAATGCATCTTCTATTTGTAAAGTGTTCTGCAAGGATTAATAATCATTATTTGCTGAATATTCTCCTGTTTTCCTTCCCTTGAATCTCCTAGAAGAGAGCAGTTTTCACTGAGTCCTGTTACCTTATAAAGGAAAGCTACACTAAGCACTTCTTTTTTTACAAATCCATTTTATTTCAAGGAAGAAAAAAAGAAAAAAAAAAACTAAAACAAAATTTCAAAACAGGTCAATCAGGAAGCAACAAAGGTACATACATTGCATCCTGTCATCCCCAAATCATTCACCCAGAGCACAAGACATCTGCTTACAATTATCCAAACAATAGCAGCACAAATCTTTCTCTTCACTGAACTCAGAGAAATAAATATTATAAATATTTTAACTATTCTTAATATGTAATATATACATACACGTATACATATATTGTTACTTTCAGCTTTCCACTCTAGGGAGACAATATGATGTTTACATATGAGCGTCTTATTTATGTCACTGAGTATGGACCCAGTTGCATCCATTTAGCTGTAACTGTGGCCAGTTTGTCCTTATTTTTTTCTGGTTTTATTTTACCTTTTTTAAAAAAAATTATTTAAGGAGAAAAAAGAAAAAAAAAACAGAAAAAGGGTACAAGTTATACAGAATTTCAGAAACAATAAACAGTAGGAAATCACTAGTTAATTACATATTGTCATCTTAAAAATAGTTGTTGAAGTTCAAAATTAAAGAATGTAGAGGGGACTTTCAAACAGTGAGACCACAAACAGTTTTGTTCAATGATCCAACAAAACTCAATAATATGGTTATCTATCTTATACACTTAAATATATATGCAATTATATCTTTTAGAGAACTTTCTTTTCCTTTCTTTTGTACAATGACAATTACACATTTTGGGTTTTATTACTCCCACAGTTCTTATTACTTTTTTTTTGAAGAAAGTAAAACCAAATGTGACATACCAGGACAGAGTCAGTCAAATCAAAAGGATGGACATAATACATAATGTAAAAACAAAATATAAGGTGATCAACAATGGTTACCATAATGCCTTTTGTTATCTTAAAAAGAATTGCCTATATCATCAGTTATAATAAAATTGAACAAAACAGTAAAGAATAAGACCAATAAAACCAAAACATTGGAGACATTAGAGGACTTCAAAAGAAGATAATAGTCAACCAGAATGGACGTCACAATGAATCTTATTGTCTTCATAGTTGTTGCCTATACTTTCAAACTTGGTACTATCTAGCATAACAGAATAGAGGAAAATCAGTCAAAACAAGATGGTGAGTGCAATACAGAGTTTCTAATCAAGTTAATAGGAAATCAGAGTGGGTTACTATAATATATTCTGC